GCCCTTTCATCGGCCGGACTGCATTTAAAACCGGAGAAATGCCACTTCCACCAGACAGAGGTCAAATACCTGGGCCTGATCATAACCACGGAGGGTATTAAGATGGATCCTGCCAAAGTCTCTTGCGTACTCGAATGGGAAAAACCGACGACGGTAACGGATGTGCAGTGTTTCTTGGGCTTTGCGAACTTCTACCGACGCTTTATCCAGGACTACTCTAAGGTGGTATCTCCCCTGACGGCAATGACAAAAAAAGGAAAATGGGAAGTACGTCCCCTTCGAATGGGGTATTGACCAACAGCAAGCCTTCGACACTCTCAAGACTGCCTTCACTAGCGCCCCGATCCTCCGACATTTCGACTACGACCAAGAAATAGTGGTGGAAACTGATGCCTCGGATTACGTATCGGCCGGTATCCTCTCCCAGTATGACGACGATGGAATCTTGCATCCAGTTGCCTTCTATTCAAAGAAACACTCCCCGGCGGAATGCAATTACGAAATCTACGACAAAGAATTATTGGCGATTGTTCGGGCCTTTGAAGAATGGAGACCACACCTTGAAGGAGCCGCGCACCCGATCCAAGTTCTGAGCGACCACAAGAACCTGGAATACTTCATGTCAACCAAGTTGCTCAACCGCCGGCAAGCACGATGGTCGGAATTCCTGTCCCGTTTCGACTTCAAAATCGTCTACCGACCTGGTAAAGCAGGAGGGAAACCGGATGCATTGACAAGGAGGTCCGGAGACCTCCCTAAGGAGGGGGATGAAAGACTGCTGGCGAACCAACAAGCAGTCCTCAAGCCCCAAAACCTGCCAGAAGAATTGAGATTGTCAGCAACCAACCCGTTGGAAGTACCCCGTCCCGCACTCTCTACCCTGATAACCAAAGCATATCAGGCAGATCCAGTGCCGAACAAGATCCTCCAACTGCTCAGAAACGGAACACGCCACTCAAAGGACATCTCGCTCGCCGACTGCAGCGAAGTCAACGGACAATTACATTACCACGATTGCCTCTACGTTCCTGAACACGACCCACTCAGACTTCGCCTGATCCAGGACCACCACGGCCCGCCGGCTATGGGCCATCCCGGAAGAGCAAAAACCTTGGAACTCCTGGCCCGGAACTACTACTGGCCCCAGATGCGGAAGGACGTTGACCGATTCGTGAGGAACTGCCACACTTGCAGACGAACCAAAGCAACAAGACACGCCCCCTACGGTGTGCTCCGCCCACTCTCAGTACCCGAGAAACCCTGGCAACATATATCCGTCGACTTCGTAACCGGACTCCCTCCCTCAAAAGGATTCGATGCCATTTGCGTATTTGTGGACCGCCTCACCAAGCAACGACACCTGCTCCCCTGCAACACGACCATCACCTCCGAGGGACTCGCCGAACTATTCTGCGATCGGATCTTCAGATACCACGGACTACCCAACACCATCGTATCGGACCGGGGCCCCCAGTTTGCCTCACGATTTTGGAAACATCTATGCTCTTGCCTCAAGATCGACGCACGGCTCTCCACGGCGTTCCACCCGCAGACAGACGGTCAAACAGAGAGGATGAATGCGGTAATGGAACAACACCTCCGGGCATACGTGAGCTACCTGCAGGACGACTGGGTCGACTACCTATTCTTAGCAGAGTTCGCTGGCAACAACCAGGCATCCGACACCACTACCCTGTCCCCGTTTTTTGCTAACCTAGGCTACCACCCCCGTTGCGACTTCGAGCTTGACATCCGAACCGACACGAACGAAGAGCGACAGGCGCAGACAGCGGCAGAGCGACTCCAACAGATCCACGTCGTTGCCCGAAGTGAGATGCGCTACGCCCAAGCACGGCAGCAGGACGACACGGACCGGCACCGAACCCCCGCACCGGCCTTCCAGCCTGGAGACATGGTATGGGTGGACGGCCGAAACTGGCGGACGGAGCGACCAAGCCGAAAACTGGAAAACAAACACCACGGACCCTATCGGATTACCCGAGCCATCGGAACCCACGCATACGAACTGGACATCCCGAACACCATCCAAAAGCACCGCACCTTCTCAGTGTCCCTCCTCCATGCATCGGCCGACGACCCCCTCCCCGGCCAGATCCTGCCGCCACCGTTACCGGTAATTGTGAACGACCAAGAAGAATGGGAGGTGGAGGAAATGCTGGACAGCAGAACGCTGAGGGGAAGACTCCAGTACCTAGTCAAGTGGAGGGGTTTCACGGCACCGACGTGGGAACCTGAGGAGAACCTTGTGGACGTACAGGCATTGGACGACTTCCACCAACGGTACCCAACGAAGCCTGGACCAGTTCAACTTGCTCTCGTGGGAACTCGAGCCTTAGGAGGGGCTACTGTCACGGCTCGCGACGGGACGTTCGAGGAAGAGTCGGAACAGGGGTGGGAAGGCAGCGCGGGGGCAGTGCAAGGGGCTGCGCGGGCGGCAATGCAGGAATGAGCCGGAGGAATTGGGGCTGTGTGCAGTAAGCAGGGGTAGTGCGGCTGCGCAGGGTATGAGTCACGGAAGTGGGGTACTGGCAAGGTGGATTTCTCAGGGTCTGGCACACGCCCACGGTCATTGTCAGGTTGCGGGAAGAAGTGGAGGATTTTCTATATAAACGGGCCGTTGCCCCTCTGTATTTAGTTCTTCACGCAACAACTTGTTAATTCAATCACTGTTACCTCTGTCCTTGCCTCGGCTGCCGTCTGCGCTGTAGTCCTTGTCCCTGTCTCTGTTCTCAGTTGCCGTCCGCACTGAGCCTGCCTCACCTTGTCCTCTGAACCTGTCTTGTCTCTGCCGTACCTAGAACCCGATTCCGAGCCCGACTTCGCTACCTGGAGCCTTGCCCGACCGTGCCGTTACACCGGCAGAGTTCTTCGCTCAAAGTTCTCTGCCCCCATCGGTCGATGTTCGATTCTCTCGTCATAACAGTTTTTCCCTGGATCGGAGTTCCTACTGCGGGGCCCTATGAACGGAGATCTCAAAGTCCTCTGGACTGTTATCCCGATCTCCCGCATCTCCGATCACTGTCTAGACTCTGGAATCCGTTTGCTCCCTCCTTCCTATCTTGTCCTCGATCGCTTCTAACTATCCTTTCGGCTCGCAACTCTATTCTAATCACCCGAACTATCTAATCACATCTCTTGCGACCGTGGTGACCTCAGATACCTATCGGGGTGTCACACCTCTGTATTTAGTTCTTCACGCAACAACTTGTTAATTCAACAACTGTTACCTCTGTCCTTGCCTTGGCTACCGTCTGCACCGTAGTTCCTGTCTCCACCCTTGCTCCTCAGTTGCCGTCTGCACTGAGCCCTGTCCTGCCTAGTCTTTCCGCCTCGTCGCGCCCTTCTGCAGCCCAGTTCCTGTCTATCTGTCCAACCGTCTTCGCTACCTGCAACCCAGCCCAACCGTGCTGTTACAGCCCGGCCGTGCTGTTAGAGTATCGGACTTCACCGTGCATCACCCATATCGCCAATCGCTGTTTAGACTCTGGATCCCGTTTGCTCACTCCTGTCCAACTGGTCTCTATGCTATGACTATGTTTTCCTGTGTTCTGATCACTTCCAAATGAACCGCTCTTGCTATGACTACCCGTGTCACAGTTCAGAAATCCTGGCCTTAAGTAGCTACTGGGATGATGGCCTTCTGCCATCAAAATATCTTTTGGCCGAGTGGTATAGTACTATCCGAGTGTACTTTATTACAACCGGAGAGTTTATCCGGGTGTCACAGGAAACTGGTGGTCCGAAACTGCATCTTAATGTTTTGTGATTGATTGGAAATGCGGTTGACACTCAAGCTGGGTCTAAGGGAAGTACCTACATGGAAGTACACAGAAGTACATTGTTGATTGGGATCCACCTCCAAAAATGCTACTGATTTTACTGACTCGAGTGACGTAAAGTGACGCGGCAAGTCTCCGGGCTGGTCGATCAGGCTGGTCCCCTCCCCCGCCACGGCGACGGTCACTAGCGGTGTGGAGCATGGATGTGAGCAGAGCCTCCAGCAGTTATGTTGGTTCAACTGGTTGAGCTAACGAACTGGTTCAGTTGCTGGGTAGGTATGTAGATTGTAGCCTTGTAGCCTTGTAGCCTTGTAGCCTTGTAGGCAGTTCAGTTTGGTTGGTTTTTTCCAGGAGGCAGATTTTTTAGTTGGTGCGGTTTACTCTTGATTTGATTTGTATGTAACTCAAGTAGTTTAAATTGTTGAACTGTTACATTGTGTACACTGGCGGTTGGAAAGAGGACTTGGAGGGCTTGTCGGTAGTTATCCGCCAGACGGCATGGCCTCTGTCCTTTGTCCTTCGACTCCACAGTCTCGGCCGAAAACTCGCCCGATTCCAACTTCTAACTTCCAACTTCCAACTTCCAACTGTTGTCGGGGAAGGGTGTGAGATATGGAGCAGGAGAAGGTGAGGGGAAGGGAAAGGAAGAGGGAGGCGTGGAGGGGAGGCGAAGGGGGCGAGGTAAAGCCGAAGCCTCGGGTTACAACTTACAGGCATGAAGCATTCCTCCCCGGGGGTTCTCCGCACTATCTGTCTGGCTGTCGCATCTGGTCTCGGTCATGGACCCTTTTATACCCCGCACCTCGGCGCACAGACGGTTAGAGAGTGACTCTCCCCTCTCCCGTCAGCGGCGCGATAATCGACCGGCATTTCTGTCCGTTCTGATCGACTGGTTCACTCCCAAACTCGGCCCTGCGCGTCTGCACTGTATCCTCCGACGTGACCCTCCGAGCGGCCGGGACTATCATGGGGCCGGGAGTACTTACGGTACTATATATGTAACTGCCTCGCTCTAGGACTCGGGACTCAGGAGTGGCGAGGGATGAGGTTGAAGTTGAAAGTAGAATTTTTATTATAGTGCTTTGCTTTAGTTGAGCCTGGGAGATCGCGGAGGTAGACTTAGCTATCACCGTCCATACAGTCGTCTTGGTGGACTCACTCGGTCACTGGTAGTCACACGGTTGAAGTCACTGAGCTTGCGAGGTGATCAAGAGCATCGTTTTTTTCTCGTTCTAGATGTAGGATAGAAGAAGAAGAAGAAACATAGTGTAAGATATCTAAACCCAAAGAAGCAAAGATAAAGAGAAAGACCAAAGAAATCCTTGCCCCACAGTCCATCCATAGCTCCCTCCCTCCCTCCAAAAATAACCAGCAAATATCCTCCGCCAACACACAAAATATGCAATATTAACGCCAAATGCTAATGCAGAGCAAACGAATCATCCCAGGTAAATAGGCAACAACAAAAGAAATTCCCGCTGCGCCTCGCGCAGTTCTACCTGTGTTCTACCATCTCGACGTCGGATGCATCGCCGGCCAACTTCTCGTTTGCGCGCACGTTCCAGGCCTCCTGCAGACAGAACCCGGGGTGGAACACGTTCATGGACAGGACCGCAGCGATAACCATGATTCCCTCCAGGACGAAAAAGTAGGTCTCGTTGGCTGTGTTCTCAGTTAGTTATTGGACGGAAGTATATCGTGTGTAGAGAAAGGGAGAAACCAACCGACTAACGCTCCATGCCATCCCTGGCTCAACTCGATCAGACGGTAGATACTCCTGATCTGGATGCATACGGTGGCGAAAGCGATCATTCCCAAGAAGCCCTTGAAGCGCCTGGTATCACGGAGGTGGGCAAAGGTCGGGTTCAGCTGGCGGCCGCTGGTGATGACGCGGTAGGCATACTCGCCACAGAGGATCATGAACAGCGTCAGGGTGAAAACCTGGAAGGCAAGACCGGCCACCATGATGTTGGTGCCGGCTGTCGCTGAGCCGCCGTCTTGCGTACTGACACTGGCCATGCCTCCGCCGGCTCCTTGGAGAACGAGAGAGAGGAAGTCGCAGCAGATGAAGATCTGGGTGTAACGGATAGGCTGGAGGCGGGATATGTCGGCGCCGTAGATTGAGACACTGGGGGAGTGGGTTAGTTGCTTGATCGAACGAGGACTAGGGAAAGGAGGAGAAGAGCGTACATCCTAGAGAGGCAAAGGTAGATTCCAGCGGCGAAGAAGGCGGGGCCAAAAGTGAGGCAGCAGATCTGGATGAGGAAGGGATTCATACTGAAAGGATCGTTATGTGCCATTACTCGGCCCATGTACCCCAAGATCTCGCCTGAAGAAACACCGGAATATTAGCCAGTCCACCAAGATAAACAGCAGCAGCAGCAGCAGGACGTAAGGGAGCATACAGATGTTTCCAAGAACCATAGCAATGGCAAAAGTCCATGTCCGAAACCAAACTCCCTGCCCAACGAAGAGAACGAGTGACACGGCAAAAAAAGCCAGTAAAAGGGAATTGAGCGGAAGAGAAGGAAGGTAGTCGAAGTAAGATGCGTCGATGGGACAGGTCTCCTTCGTGCAGACGAAGTCGAGGGCTGTTCTGTTCGACATTGCTGCTGCTGTTGTTTGTAATAAGGCTGTAGGATGTAGGCAGCAGGCTGATGTGGGTAAACAATGCGGCTCGGAGGAACCAAGATACCGATTGGACGAAACCCTGACGGGGGAACCGTTCAAGATATAAGCAACGGGATCTCACGAAACGAAAGCGAGTAAAGTTTAGAGTCTGCGAGTGGGGCAGTAGGAATAAGCTTAAGCTGCTGAGTGGAGATGGTGGTAATGGCGATGTCTGTGTGAGATTTTTATTTTCCTGGGGAGCGAAGTACCATATGGTATATAAAGTCCGTCTCGGAGGGTTTGATTGTCCGTGTGCGTCGCTTGCAGTTGCACATACAGCATCCTCGGAGGCGCAGTTCCACCTTGCTCGCTTCGGCTTACGCGACTAGAGCTGCAGAACTGCAGAACTGCATTGCCAGTAGGAATTGTCCAGCAGTGGGGTCATAGGTAATCATGGTCACATCGCATCTTTTTTTGGAGATCATGGTGCTTGCGCCGTGCGCTGTGCGCCATTCACCTAGCTAGGCTTCCCCGCTGCGGCTCAGCAAACCGCAAGGCCCGCAGCTCCCAAAACCTCGAGTTACGGCGATTAAAAGTGAGAATCGGTGAGACTCGTCTGTTTGGAGGAGAATTCAACCAGCGAGGCCCGCCTGTTCGGCGGAGAGTTCACCCCACGGGTGTTGAAGTTCTCGCCAATTCTCCAGTAGTTTTAGCTATGGTTGGATTATTGGTTGGATTCATACGCATCGTCGGAGTCCGAAAGTCCCGGCCCGACTGCAAACTAGGGCCAATCTCCCCGCGTACGAGGGACCCTAGGCAGCGCCGAACGACTGGGTGGGCTTTTTCGTTTCGCAGTTGGCCTGCAGAGCAATGCCTGGGTGCCAAGTTGCCAACCCACAGCCCAGTGCTTATCTTATCGTTGCTGCTGTCGCCGGAGCCGGCGGCCGGGCTCGCTCCGGGCTCAATAAGTACTGGTACCTAGTCAGGGCCATGCCCGGACGGCATCATTGGCCAGTCCCGTTTGGTGCTGATGATGGTGATACGAGATGTACAGGGTGCCGGCATGTATGTACAATATACTACCTATACATCGAACGCGTGTCGTGACGCCGTCGACTCTACTCGGATCTACGTGGCTGACGATTCGCAGATGTTTTCTTTTCCGCACTTGTGGTGGGTTGTGTGTTGTGTGATGGACATACGGCTTCGATTCGTTTTCGCTCTTACTACTATGTACTCTACCTAGTACTCTGCACACCTGCGAAGTGCACGGACGATGATACCCGGCATTTCGGCGCGGACCCGCCTACTCCATCCATCGACTCAGATATATCGCTATTGAGATTTACAGTGGATGCGATCGCAGTGAATAGATGGACAATGGAACACCCAACAGCCATCGCACCGAATCCCGAATCATTGGTAAGTATAGAGCATACCCGTACTGTAGTAAGTATATTCCCTCGGTTTATTCCCAGTCTCACCGTGAGTACTCCGGTTACGTATAGATGGCTAACAGAGACATTAGATTAAAGGCGGGGGAACTTTCGCGCAGCAAAGCCTACGTCTATCCAAGTATGATATGCATACGAGAAGCGCAGTTGTGCAGAAAGGCGATCTCGTGGGAGCAGTGCCCCCCGATCGGATCGTCCGGACCATGCTCAGGCGCCACACAAGCCTACCCTGCAGCCTCACAAGGCTGAGCCGCGCCCTTGGATTTAGCCACACCCCGCCGGAATAATCCAATCGACTGCCTACATCCTACGTCGACGTTGGATGACGATTTGCAGCGGCAACATCTGAGCCACTCCTCTCGTATCGACACTTTTTGTTTCTGGAAGAGCTGTTGTTGATCACTGTATTTTGGGAAAGAAGAAAGTGCTGTTGAAGCTTTCATTCGACTCGGAGACGCCCGTTTAACTGGCGCGCGCGGCTCATGCACAGCAACAGCCACAACACACCTTTGGCTCGAACACCGCATGGCGATATCTGAAGATGATGCCAGCTCTGGACGGTAAGGTCGATTCCCCTTTAGTCTCTAACCTGGTGGCCCCTCACCTGTTGTCAGCAGCCACACTGCACGGCACATCGTGAGCCCGTGGGCGCAGTTGATGACAAGGTGATGCACACGGCGCCTTCCCCTTATGGTTCCTATCCAAGCGATGAATTGCGATACTCATGCACCATGCATTGGCCTCCGCGTACGTGTATCATCAATATCGCTTCACGTCGGCCACAAAATGCGTCGCAAGCCCGACCATTTACACATTGAAGATACTGGTTTTCACATCCACAGGCTTCAATCCAAAACGTTTGGCCGGGTATTTCGGCACATTTAACGACTGCATGGTGTAGGAGAATCTGCGCTGCTGTGGAAAGGGAGACTCGGCCCCACAGTTTTGGCACGGGATGACCCCGTCACGGAGGCTCTCCGTGAGCGAGTGAGCGAAACGCAGCTTTCCCCTGTCTCCATGAGATTTCTTTGAATACAAAATCCTCCCTCCTTCGCTAGAGATAGGTACGGGAGCAACAACTACCGCTGGCAAGCTCGAGGGGGGACGGGGGGCGGGCTAAGCCTATCCTATCAATGCGAACCATGGGTTATGTATGGTAGAGTGCTTCACTCGTATTTCCAACGAACCCTCCCCCGCGCAGACGGGACAATAGTCCTCCGGTCGGTAGCCGACTTACGCCGTCGAGTTGGACTGGAGGACTGGAGTATACAAGGGGACATAGGTATCATTGCAGCGAGCGGTTCGAATGGCTGCGAAGCGGTTCCCTAAAGACGGCGACGGTGGCACTCGAATTGTTGGCAATATCTGAGAGTCTTCCATCTTTGCTGAGACGGCCAGACAGATGTCGAACTTCAGTCTCCAGACTCACTCGCGGGCTGTGGAGCCGAAACCAAACGCCGCGGAGCAGTGGCCGTTTGGAACCCCCACGTCCACGTCTGCAACGATGCAAACAGCCCCCGCGACACTGATACGCTTCAGACGGGCAGGATTTAGGCAACGAAAGCTCGAAGGTGAGTGGTGCAGTTGGCTGGTGCCCTCTTCCTTCTCCTGCCTATGGGCCCTGGTACCCGTATGTAGCAATCTTCTGGCGGACCGCTATGGGTATTGACCTAGGAAGGTCTTTGCAGCAGTAGGTATCCAACAATCCATTCGCATTCCTTTTTTTCTCTTCGCTCCCCCCACCCCTCCTACTATATCCCGCTATATCCGTTAACCACAACGTAGAAAGAAAACACATCGGCGTTCCACCCAGCGTTTTCACCGACGATCAAGCTGCAACTACAAGGCAGATTTCGATAGTCGAGGCCACGGAGGGTACCTATCACCGGCATTCCATACGCGCTTCGAACTTAGCATCACTTGATCAAGCCGTTTGCTCGTAACTCGGCCGTTCATGCCAACAGTGCAGTGATGGCTCGTGGACCTTCCTCCAGCCAGCCAGCCAGCCAGCCAGCAAGCAAGCATTGTTGGATAGGTAGACGAGAGGACGGCTAGGTACTGGCAGATCAGTCTCGATTCCTCGACCTAGAGAAGGATAAAGTCCTCTTGACAGCTGGTTCAACACTGCAGGCTTCCCACCAGGTGTTCTCGTGGGCCGTTCTATCTCAGAGGCCGCTGGGCTCAGGTGGGAGAGCACGTAGAGTAAGTGCCTCCATTCCACTCCACTGACACATATCGACAGTCGACTTCGCAGTTGTCGAGGCTGGACACGAAGGGGAACATGCGCATCGATCAGCCTACCGACAGTCGACTCCGCAGTTGTAACTTCTTAAGACACGAAGGAGAACATGCGCATCGATGAGCCCTACCTACCGTCCATTCAAACCTCCTCGGTGTTGCCGTGAAGCCTGTTGACGGTTGCACAACTCCGCTTTCGCCGTCGAGTACGCCTTACCTACATGTCGGATTCGATCACGACGTCCGACTCGGCGTTCATACCGAACGGCAGTGCATAAGCTAGCCTTCCCTTCGCCGCCCTTTCCACGAAGATGTGATGTTTATTCCTCTACTCCTCTAGACGTGCTTCGTGCATTCAAGAAGAATGTCGTGTCCGAGGCAAGGCGTTATCTGGAATCAGGTTACATAGTTATCCCGAAGATCACAATACCGTAGTTATCGCCGTATAACGGTATGTACGGGCCGTACGGCTGAAGCCCGAGGGTCCAATAGAAACCTGCCATGTTATGTTTTGCTTTTGGCGTTTTGTTTTTCCATCGATTGCTTGCGACATATCTAGATCGTGGCAAAACATGCGCACGCCATTTCCGTGTCCGCTCTCAAACATGACCGAGGTCAAGCGGTCCAATATGGTCGTGACCTTTCCCAGAGATATGTACCTGTAGAGCGCATCAACGAAGTGAAGTTAGCAAAATAAACGTTCGCTCATCACTCCGCCTCGTCTTATGCCTCTCCATCATGAGATGTCATGATGGAGGGTGCGGAGGAACATCCGGAGTGACCTTCGTTCCTCAACCTCATCACCCTCCTCCTCCTCTCCGCCTGTCTTCCCCCCCGCTCCCACAACTCCGACTCCAACGCCTCCTAGCTGCGTCTTCCCCAGCGGCCCTGGGAATCCGCCTACCCACAGCAAGCCCACAGCAGTGGTGGCCAGAAAGGCCAAGACAGGCGAAACGCCGATACGCCGAAGGGGGCTGAGCACAATGAGCGTCGAGTGAGACGCAGTGACCCATGTAATCTCGCAGTGTGCCTTGCGTGTGATGTATGTGATGCACAAGGTCCGAGAGGAATTTCGAACACGATAGGTATCAATGGAATCCGAACCAGAACTGTGGGAAGCCTCGCAGAATCGCAGTTTTGCGCCTTGCGGAAGTTTGTGTCTCGCTATACATTTGCGAAATTAAGATTGTCGCCCTGAATTGAAGATGTTCCAATCGCTGCGAGTATTCTTGGTTGCAGAGTAGAGTAGAGAAACTGGTAGATCAAAGTATCTGGCCGCAGCACCAGTCAGTCATGATTCATGATGGTTCTTGATTCTGACGGATCGGTTGCGACGGACGTCCACGCTTCAACGTTCCTCCGACCGACGATAACGAACCCGGTACGGCACTTTCGGAACCGCTACTCTAGATATGACGGGCGCCGCAGTTCAGCCACATCATATCCTGGAGTCTAACCACCACCTTCCTCTTCGCTGGTGTATACTTACGCGTCTACTTCTAATAACCTCCCAGTTCATCTCTCTTTCTTGTCTGTACAGCCTCACTCAACTCACTTCCCCTCCACCGTCGAATAGAAACCGGCCGCCGACACGGGATCGGAATCCCCGAACCTGTGTGACACAACATATTATAGCCGTTCCGGATGTGTCAGAGGCTGAGAGCACAGCTTTCTGTTTTCTTTCTTTCTTTTTTTTTTTTGGTGCGGTGAGTCCGAGACACTGGTTAGCGGGATAGGGTTGCTCCGAGGAGGGAAATCGTCTGGAAGCTCTGCTTTCTTCCACCCTGAATCTTCCGCGAGCAGCCACGTTTCAGCTAGTTCGAGGTCTCTTCTTCCCCATTATCTTGCGATGAGCTGTGAGATGGGCTTCCAATTGAGGTTCAAATGTGTTTCTCTCTCTCTTCTTATTTTTCTTTCGTCTTTTTTCTTTCTTTTTTTCTTCCAGTCGACTCATGATGGATTGTGACTTGCGGCCGATGAGTTGAAGTTCGGATTCAATTTTGGAAGCGGATTAGTAGAGGATGTAGAGTAGAGTCGAGGCGATGAAGTCATCGCCGTTTCGTGCAACTGAATTAGCCGATTCTTTGGTGATCGGCCTTCTGCGGCTTCCTGTCGCCCGCCAGAGTCAACGCTCGCTTCAGATATCTGGGCTTTCGGGGAAAAAAGGAAACTCTTCGTTTGTGCTGTGGTGAATCCGATGTTCTCTTTTTGGAATCTGATATGTTTCGGCTCATTGACCGTCGTTCGCCGACGTTCCCCCAATCCAGACGGGCTCCGACTAGAGCAGCTGTGACTCTCGGGAGCTCCCCCAGCTTCCTTTCGCAGTACGGTACTACTAGTATATTGCCGCCAGCTACCGCGAACTGCATGCTCCGAGCCAAGATATGTATACCGGCAGGTTAGCACGGGAATCACGGAGCGGAGCTGGTGTACCAACTTTACAGACCACACGCGCTACGCCGCAGCGGCTTTCGCTAATGCCCATGCCTCTTCCCGCATGTTACTTTCGGAGCCATGGGGGAGTCCGCGCAACGGTGTCAGGCACATGTAACTAATAATGAGCAGCACCTGTCATCTCACTGTACAAGGTTAGACAGCTCTATGTATCCATAGTGGGGGGACGGGGGAAGGGCGGAGGGAGGATGGAGGAGAGAGGGGGGAGGGGGGGGGGGGGGGGGGGGAGGGAGAGAGGGATGGAGGGGGGGGGCATGGATGATGTGTATGACCTGATTGGGGCTTGTTTTACCAGCTGCCGACAGACGGATGGAGAAGCACCAACGTTTACCACCACCAGTACCATCAGTACCACCACCACCTCCTCCACCTCTACCTCCGCCCGCTATACACTTAATACTCATCAGCAACACACACGCACTTCCGTAAACGTCGACCCGCCATGACTCAATGTTATCAGATCCATCCCAGGTCTGGCTGGCGCCTGCTCACACGCTTCCCAACATTGGGGTAGTGGTCGTAGTAGTCGTCGTTGCTGGCTGGCTGTACTGCGGGGCGGTGAGTGTCGGCGTCGTACCCCGCGTAGGTGGGCTCCTCCTCCCGTATACCGATCCGCCCTGCTTGGGTCCCTCGTGGCTTGCGAGGACCTGCATACCTTTTTTTGTGAGGGACCTCATTCCTGATAAAAACCCCGGCTCCCGTCCCGATGGTTATGGGCTTCATTGACAAACATCACAACATACAGCGACATATACCACACACGCCTTCACTCACCCGTCTACCTTCAACAATCAAACAGTCCATCCTCAGCGATTGTCTTTGCCGCCTCCGGCCTCTTCTTCGTCTTCTTCTTCCTATTCATCCCCACCCTTGCGCACGTGCACGCTCCTCCTTGAGCTCCTCCTCTCTTATATATACAAACAAACCCCCTCCGAGGCTTCAGCTGTCGCCATCGCACTACCGTCAGCCGGAATACCAAAGCAGATATCGATCTGCCAGCCAGCCACCTTAAGCGCAATACCCTAATTCACGCATCGATATCGATATCAATACTTCCGCCGGCACCACCACCCCACCACACACAAACACACACGATCATGCCTGCACCCGGAAACTCCCAAGACCCCGAAGTCATCCGCCAGTGGATGTCACAGAACTTGATGAACGTCTCTTCCGGCGCGCCAGCCAACCAGAACCCATACCCTCAGCTCGACCCGCGTCTCCTTGGAGGTTCCAACGCTGCTCCCGTCGGAGGTAACCATGGTGGACACCACGGACAACACGGCAGTGGGTCCGGACGGAGATAGACGGGTCCTTGAGTCCGAGTCAGGAACGCGCGAAAAATCAGGTATGCATGCTCGATCATAAACCCATGGATGATCCGCCAGATAGGGTGCTGACAGCCCGCGTTGCAGCAGCAATGAGTCATTTCGATATTCTCCTCTCATGCCACCACAAATACATAGCTGCCTGCATCTGCATCATGATCGACGGCAGTCATGAATACACATACACCAATCACACCAATCACCACTCCGTCTCTTCTTCTTCTTTCTTTCTCTCTCTCCACTCAATAAATAGCTTTCTTCTTTGTCTGTTTGCTTTTTCATGTACACCAAAATATTCGCATTGTCCGGAGCGGGAGTGGGGGTTGCATGGGGATATATCCATTTCTATTTCAGGGTGTTCTTCTTCTTCTTTTTTTTTGTTTTCTGGGGGGCTTGTATTAGATTGTTTAGACGGCGTGCTTTGGGCGTTTCTGGATTTGCTTGTTTCTACGGTTATTACTTGTTCCGTCGCGTTTGTGCTCTTTTGGGCCGTCTTCTTCTTCCCATATATAGGTCGCATTAGATTGTATGTTGTAATACTACTGTCAACCCCCCCGCTAAGCCTTCAAAGTAGGGCTTTCGGGTAATACCTAATGAGGAAATATTCTCGCTCCCTCGCCAGAACCTCAAAATGCGATGTCTATGAAGTGTGTATGTAACTGTGTAATTGGCTGAACGTGATAACCATCATACACACAGCACACACAGGACTGAGCTAAGCCACACTGCACTGACTACATACATCAAACCCCATACAGCGCCGCAGCGCAGCGCTTAAGCTGACGACGTCGGGAACGGCATAAAGTCCATCCGAGCTCGAGCCCCATGGGCGTCGAGGACGTCGCGGGCGGGCGAGAACTGCATCTTGTTTTTTTGCACGGGGTCGCTCACGGTCGGCGGGCTACGTACCGACGAAGTACCTAAAGCAAAGCAACGAGAGAGAGAGAGAGGAGAGGGTCTGCGAACTGGAACTGGAACTGGAACTAGAACCACCTCCGGTCTCCGGCGGGTTTTCGCGAATGACGCATAGTTACTTGCTTGGGTGCTTGGGTGCTTGGTACCTTAGCTAAGCGCGGTAGGGGGTGCGGTGGAAGGGTGGAAGGGGGATGCAACCCGTTAACTAAAGTTTCTTTTGCTTTTTTTGTTTTTGTTTACGACAGTTTGGGGTACGCCATGAGACTACACGTAGTCTACCTGTGATATGATGGGGAAGTATGAAGTAGGGGAGTTTTGTATGGTGTAGTTGGTTGTGTATTGGTTGTGTTCTGGTTGTGTATAAACAATGCAAATACCGTTTCGCGACGTGCATTCAGTCTTTACCGGTACGCCTCTCTAGGGTACGGTATATTACTGGGGACGTAACCGGTGCCGGAATTGCGGTCCCTCCCTCTCTCTCACTCTCACCCTCCCACACCCCCGCCCTCCCACCTTCACACCCATGACCATCCCCGAGGCGCGGTCGCGTCCTTCCCTACACACTCTACATACTCTACATACATCTTTTCCCACGAGACGAGACGAGACGAGACGAGACAAGGCAAGGCGAGGCGAGGCATACTCTACTCTACTTACTCTACTCTGCGGATCCCATCCCATCCCATCCCATACCGTTGCTTGTCACTTGATCCACTAGGCCTCCCGGAGGACGGACATAGGAATGGGTTCGAAAGGAACCCACCCAGCCTCCCGGACTCTGACACGGAGACCAATTGCTTAGTCTAGTGATCCAGAGTTGAGGTTGACGTTGACGTGAGCCTCTCCGTAACTGGAGTATGTCGTGCCCCGCGCCTCCTCCGAACCAATACTACCCGTCCAATCGTCCAACCAGTCAACAAGCCAGCCTGCCGGCCAGGGCGTTCACACTCAGCGTCTGTACTTCCATGTGAGCATCGGTTTCGTACTCGGGTCGGACGGCCATGGGCCAGTGCCACAAACCGGTATGTACGTGTAGAGTAGTTGCAGGTACCGTAGCTATTTGCGGTACTACAGCAAGTCGAGTGATGGTTAATGCGGCACTCTTCCCTACGAACCCACGAATGTACGCATCTACGAATCTACGATAAGCCTGCGCGCGGGGGAGGGGGAAGGCGGAGGGGAGAGGGAGGGCAGGTGGTGGTACACACGCGCGTACATTATGTAGGTACTCTACGTTGCTTCAGGCTTCAGCTGTCGATGTACAATTTCGATATATGTTTTCGCGTCGAGTATCTACCTACATATTCTGGCGATGCACGCGGCACGTGTGGTAGACGCTACCGTGACCCAGCCCGCGGTGACGACTGTCTCGTATTTGCATTTGTCCATGTGTGCCCATGTGTTGCGGGGGCTGCCGTTTGTATGCATGTACTCTACCTATGTAGAATATGCAAGGCATCTATCGCTTGTCGCCGCGGGGAGCAGCCCGATATACTCTACATACTGTCGTCGTCGGCGGCGGCCTCCTCCAAGCCCGCGCCCGCGCGCGGGATCGTGCGGATGTTTCACGCGGCATGCTCAAATTTCCCGGCGCCCCTTCCGATCGCTAACTGCTGGTAGCGTACCCAGGTGGGGACGGGGGGGCCGGGGAGGGGGGCCGATATCGGGGCGCTGCCGAAGCGATGCCCTAGGGGAGATGAAGATAACGTTATTCACAAATTGGCATGATCCAACCCCTCCCTCCGCGTCCACGTTATGGAGAGTAAAGTACCTAGAGTAGAGTATGTATCGAAATGGCTAGTTCAGGAACCGGAACCGGGACCAGGACCAGGAGCGGGACCGGGACGTAGCCCGAGTGCTCCCAACAGCTGAGACGTACCTATTTCATGTGGGAGGCTGAGTTCGAGGGCCCACGAATCATACTCTACAGACCTATTGGGGGGGGGGGGGGGGGGGGGGGGGGTTGATCCTCCCGGATTGATCGGTCTCCGGGCCCGCGGCTGGCCGAGAGCTGGGCCCTGGCCCTGGCGTGACAGGCTGTGGGGTACATACCCTACATATGTACATGCCTACCTACATACAAACATACATAGCCCGAGAAAGATGAATCAAGGGCACTGGCTAATCTCGCCGTGATCGTTCCTTCGCGAAACATAGTTGCTTCCTTAGGACGTTACGTATACCTCAGAAACGGGAGATGGAGGATTGTGGCTGTGCTTTCGTCAAGTTTGGCGGGCAAGGGTTGGCTTACAAAGGACCCATGGTTTCGGGAGGGAGAGGTGGCTCGGTAGTAATAGAGTAGGGTAGAAGTAGAGTGCGGTAGAGTGCGGTAGAGTGCGGTAGAGTGCGGTAGAGTGCGGTGGAGTGCGGTGGAGGTAGGTAAGTGCTTGGGTAGCTGAGTTCCCATGCAAGCGGGTAGGTTAGATAGGTACATGCCTATGCGAAATCTGAAGGAGCGGCAGTGCAGACGATCCGCGTATGCATGCATGCATATTCACCGAGGACAGCGTGGGGTCTGGGAAATTCGAAGGCGGTGGTCCGCTAGTGTAAGCTATTCCTCTATGTAGAGTATGTACCTGCTCACTATCGCATCGAAAGGTGGTGGTGGTGGGGCGGGGAAGGGGATGAGGTGGGGGGGGATTTGGAGGGGTCATCGTATTCGCAACGTACGTACCGTACCGCCGGAGTCCCGTGCTCGGCATACATATGCGCAACGTTTGCGCACTCGCTGCTCAACAACCCAACCAACCAGCCCGCTTTGGCAAACGAGAGGAGAACTCAACGCTGCCCCAACGACACGAAAGAAACACGAAGCCTGGAGACGTAATTCGGAGGAATTCCGGAGGAATTCCCGGCGCGAGCGAGCATATGCGTGGACTGCGCGGCCAGCACTCGCAATCAATGTCGATGTCGATGTCGATGGTATCTATCCATCACCTTCTTCCTTCTTGCTTCCGTTCGTTCCATCGTTCCTTCATTCCTTCCAGGCAACAACGTTCGGCCACGGGAACAGCTTCGCGTGCGGCGAGCGGCGTACATACCCCACCTGAAACTTCCGAGTTCCAAATAGCCATGTAAAGTAGAACTATGTATGTACATATTTACCGATACCTGGCTGAAACTCCGAGCATTTGTCACCATCCTCTATTGGGACCCGACTCTTGACTCACGCCGTACACGCGCAAAGCGATTAAGTCCGAGGTTCTGACTGGGAGACCCGAAACTTGACGGGTTGGGAGCGCCCCACCCCGGATCGGCGCGTGCAGTACTCTAGAGCAGCTCGTTGCGGGTTGGTTGGTAGCGATGGAGTCATCGGTACGGTAACTGTACGGCATTTCGTTCCAAAGCGCTTTCGGGATGGCTGGCAGACTGACTGGCAGACTGACTGACTGACTGAGTGTTTGATCTTGAGAGGTGCCAGACGTCGACATGCATTGACTCCCTCGAGTTGTACATATCATACTTACTTGGGTATGTACTCTACATACATTGACTCTACGCGTTACAAAAATTGGTAAGCGAAAGCGTCTTGTGACACCACCGTCTTGCGGAGCTCCGTGTCTTGTTTCCCCAATTACCAACGGTCAGGGCTTGCGTGCGTGTTTCGGAGGTGAAGACTCACAACTCGCTTGTTTGCCTGGTTGGGGGCGGAAGCGGGTTGGTAGGTAGGTTCAAGGTTGGTTGTTTGGGGAACGGCATGCCGGCAAAATCGGGATCGGGTGGGACCGGGCTGCCATGGGTTGCCTGGGGACTTACTCAGTCAACTATCGGATCACGCGCCCACCCGAATGACTCTGAGCTCGACCGGAGCCGGGAACTCTGATGGAATAGTTACATAGGACCTCCGATGGTATCACAATTATAGAAGTACCTACTCACCTACCCCACTCTTCCTCTGCGGTGAGGCCGGACGAGAGTCGGATTCAATCCGACCGTGTTCAAATGAATTGCTAGAAAGTATGTGTGCAACGACATCCTTGCCCAGCATGCGATATCACTCATCTGTTGGGCTAGGGTTCTCTGGTGTCGGATCGGACGGTCGCCTTCTTTTGCCCGTCCGCTCCAGAACGATATTATCGCGTCGCGGGAACTATGTCCGTACACAAATCGTGCGGTCGTCATTATAGTATGTAAGCATTCGAAGGAGGTGCTGTTGAGCGGCGACCTCTGTTGTCCCTTTTGCTTCCGAGACCCCTAAGTACATGACACGATAGAGTAGCTGGGCTTCCTTGGATCTAGGTATCAACAGCGAGCCGAGTAGCCTGCGGATGCTAAAAGTCTGATCCAACAGCATATAATTACTTAGGTAAGCAGTACCTATATCAACAGCGGCCGAGTGTACGAGTTGCCAGTGGAGGTTGGCCGCTGGATAGAACCGGTACTACCTAGTAGCTAACCGGCGGCAGATCATCAAAACATCAAGATCCACGGATCTGCGAGTATCCTAAGGAAACGTGTTGGTGGGGTAGGTAGTTTCGCTACCACCACTGAAAACATAACTCTCATATATACCGACAGGCGACCGGGATATTCCAAGATCCACCACTTCATAATCACGCAACCACACTCGGCCCAGGATGGCTGGATCCAACCCAGTGAACATCAATAAACCTCCTGACCATGTGCCAGGTTACCCGTCATCCGTAAACGACAGTCCCATTCCCAGAACTACCGTAATCTCCATCCGTACTCCGGTTGAAAGAACGTCGATCCTTCTCGCGTCCATGAACAATACTCTTCGACTCCCTGCGGAGAAATATAGTAGGAGAGTGGGAGAGTAGCTCCGTCAGCAAGTCGTTCCTTTGATAGGCCGGATATAGAGCTCTACTATGTATACAACTGGTGGATAAGCATATCTCGACACGATACAAGGGCTGCAGCCAGTGGAGCTTTGGATCGACGTCCCATGCCGAAATTCAAATGAAGTCAGCTCGGCTGGCAGAAGGCGGGGATGATGGCCGCTTTGTATGTATGTACATACAGCATACTAAGAATTTGCTCGGGAAATACAGACAGTGGTACTGAAAATTAGCTTCCCGACCGGAATCCGGGTACGTTATTAGCAGCGCCGGCTCCTCCGAGTCCCGAGTTCGGATCGCCCACAAGTAGGCCTATACTGGATCTCGGGTTTGAACCAGACGGTATTGGGTTTATTGCACTCGGGTCTAATGAGGGCAATCATGGAATCGACCACAGCAGACCAGGCCCCGCTAACAAACAGCTTACGGGTCCCACCGCCAGTCTCTCGGCACTCAATCACTACCGTACCGAGCTACCTATGATCCCGCGAGATTTACAGTGCGTCTAGGTATTCGTCGTATGTAGCTACAGCCGCTCCCGTCCCCTCCCCAGGAAGCGTGGCGGGTTGGCTATCTTGGACAGTCACTCGGGCGTTGCGCACGGTATCCGCCTGCACCTTTTACCTAGTAGTCCGTGAGGGCTGGGCAGAAACCTCAGCGAGTATGCATCGATGCGCGCATCCCCGGACTCATCCGGGCTACCTCCGAGGAGGTACCATATGCACACGCCATGAATCCGGATATTCCAGTCAATCCGTGCGGTCGTTGTTTGGGGGTGTTTCCCCCAGTGCTGCTATGAGTTCGGAGATCCAATACTACCAGTGTGGCGACTGCGTTCGCCCTAGGTATTCTTTCCTTCTGTGCATCCTCCGTGGCTCCTCCATTCGAACTTCGGCCTGGCGGGGCACTTCAAGGGTGCGTGCGGGATGCCTCCCTCTGGATGGATGGAGGATTACATGGTGTCATGGTGATACCAAGAGCCTTCTCTCGCCGACGTGTCTAGAATCTAGATGGCCGTAACTCGCTCTTATACATACTACATAGCTTTAAGAATGAGGCGTGTGCGCTGAATGGTGGAAGTTTTTCCCATGTATCTCGGCCTGCCTGCAAACGGATGCCTTTCAGACCGACAGTAGGTATGGCTAACCCACCACCTCCAGCCGCACTGCTGTGTGCTGGCCTTCTCGAATCTCGATCATTGGTGGGTGCGTTGACCGCTGGCGGCCTTATGTACCAATGGCCTGGCGGCAAGAATCGCTATTCGTATTGACTAATTTGAACGCTTTGCTTTTGCTACCGTACCTTGTCCCCAGCTTGCTTCGGTGGTGTGATCCGCCTTGCTCTTGGAGTCTATCCTGCTCGTCGTTCAGCTCCCATAGGCTTTGGGGAGTTGGATTCGCCTAGGTACTTACTTGGTATGTACATGTTTTCCAGGTTCGCCTAATCATTTCTTTCTTGATAACTGGATTCTGAGTTCTGGGTTCTGGGTTCTGGGTTTTCTTGGTGACGAGTTCTGTTTTGCTAGGTCGGGTAGGCACACTGACTGAGTAGCCGTCGAGTGATGCTGTGAACAAATTACGTCCAACCATTGAAATCTCGCCACATACACATATCTGTGCGGTACACAGGTACATACTCGAACTCGATCCAGCCTTGCCAATCACCGTCGGTATCGTAAATGTATCTTGATAACGCAGGATTGGCTTCCGATGGAGCAAGAAATGCCAAGCTCGGACTGAGAGTATTGTATCAGATTACGGCGTCCGGAGCACATGAAGGATCTCTCCTCATGTCCGCTGTAAGGCGCTGGCAATGATGAAGTTTCAAGGAGAACTGTTTGAAGGAGTCAAGGATTCGTTCATGCGAACTGTATTTGGAGGAGGAGATGTGTTCTGCTGTCTGGTCTCGCCGCCGGGTCTATCTCCCAATGGCAGACATGTTCTGCATATGTATAGAAGGGCACCGGGCCCGGAGAAGAAGAAGAAGAAAGCAAAAGAGCAGTTACATCTTCCTACCAATCCCCCTATCGAACTCAGTAGATTTGATATATTGTCGCAGCCTTCGTGGTGGAAGTGAATGGGCTGATGATTTGCTGGCTGGCTGGTATGTAACTGGTGGTGATGCAGCATGCGGCCACACCGTCCTCCCGAGCATACCGTACCCTATATTAGAGATCGCCATCGCTTGAACTGCCCCTACTCCATGGGTTTCCCCGTAAACTCCCAGTTATTCGGAGAAGATCAAGAAAGCTCCTTCCAAGCGCGACAAGCCCCGACTCGGCGTTTCCCTGATTATTCCAGTCCGCCTATTGCGTTCTTGGCGCGAGTCCGCAACCACCTTTTTTAGCTCAAAATGACACCTTTTGCACTACGGGGCGAAAGGCGCACCCAATTTTCCACATCATCCATCGTGTTCGGTTATGTAGCAGACTAGAGGAGTTAACGGACCCTCGCCAAAAACGAAAACTCAAGCCTTTTCAAAAACCAGAGACGAGAGGATCCTGAATTGCCGATGACCGCTTGAAGCAAATTTTAGGTGTCTTGTGTTTCTTATGTATCATATTTTGCGGGGCGTATCAGGTAGGTACCGTACATCATACATACTCCAGATGCGTAGGATCTCCGATGGCAGGCTGGGTACTATAAGTTTCTCCAATCACATGTAAGCTGCATATATATTTGCTGCACTAATATAGCGGACGCCTCCGCGGGGCTGAGGACTCGCCTTTCACAGTTACTCCCGTCCACCGGTGGGCGAAAGGAGCGAGTCTTATGAGGTATGTACCTGCGTTGCGCGAAACCAACTGGCTGGCCACGACCGCATGCGGGACACGGCGAGAGTAGTTACCAACCTCACCCAGCCAGCAACGCCCAGTCAAGGACGCTGCTAAGTTACCCAGGACGGCTAGTTAGAACCCAGGAGAAAAGCGCTCACGGATTCCAATCGAAGCCCCATTTCTCGCGGCAGTTGGACTTTCTTCTTTCCTTCCAGGCTCGAGAATTCGCATCTGATTGACCGACGGCGATGTCCGCCACACATGGTGGCCACGAGTATTTCGTATTTTGTCTCAAATCCCCCGCCACGTCAAAGCCCGGCCACATGGTTGTTGCTTGCTCCTTCAACTGCGTTGCCGGGAACGAAGGAAGGTCGGACAGGATGCCGGAGTTGAGGGAAAAACCGTGGACTAGAGTGTTCTTCTAGGTGGAAATGGATCGGCCATGTGCTCTAACCCAGGTCGGTGTTTCGGATCCAGTCCGTGAGAGTCCAACCACCAGTCGGAGCTCTCTTCGATGGAGAGAGATCCCGGGGGGAGGTTATACTATATATACTGACGCGGAAAAATAGATGCTTTCGCCACCGTCGTTCGGACACGGAAAGCGGCTTCCCGACGGCAAAGAGTCGACATCCGAGCAATCGCCGAGGGGACCTTCCTGGGGTGAACTCGTCGGCGTCGGCGATCAGGGTGTCGCTACTAGATGAGCACTACCAGGGTACCGGCAGATACCGGTATGGAGTAGGCCCTCCATCTATCTGAAAATCCAACTATCCGAAATCTGGGCATCAGGCGGTGCGTACCGAAGAAGAAGAAGATAGAGAAAAAGAAGAAGGACAAGGAAGGATGAGATGCACTGTGCAGCACCCACCGCAGGTAAAAGGGTTTGGAGCCTGTCTGCGGTCAAGCGCCGTTTGTATGGTGGGATTGAGCATGAGGCTGCGCTGGGATGCCCACCCTCCAGACATGCTACGTATGATCGGCAATCAAGCACGGAACCTTTGGTCTCGCGCGAGCTTGCCACTAGAGTGCTCACTTTCTTTTGGATGGCAGACGGCTTTCAGTCCTCTGTTAATACCAGCCGGCCATCCCCAGAGAACGCTCTGCATCTTCACAGAGCCATCCCGCAACAGCAGCAGACGTCTGTCCCCGCCACAACACCAGCCGTACCGAATCCTCCCATGTGGCGAATACGACGATACGCCCATCCCCAAACATGACGACGACCTTCATCCCTCCTACCGGATCCTTTACGTCGGACGTGGAATCGGCGGAACGAGCGACGATGACGTCTTGGTTGACGGAGGAGAGGGTCCTGATGATGGTCAGTCCGGAGAAAAGAGCTGGGGGTTCGGGACTTCCAAGTCGGTGCTGATCGAGTCTCACACTCCCTACAGAACAATATGAGCGCTACGCTGGCTGGAATATCCGGGCTGTTCTGTTTGGTGGTGTTGGGCATCGTCGCGGTCCTCTACTCGAGACAAGAGACGCGAAAGGCATTGGATCGCCTGTCATTCAGATTGCTGGTGTACGCATTGGTTGCGGAGTGAGTGTCTTCCTTCTCAGTCTCAGTCTCCACTTCTGTCGTGTGGCGCGATGCATGGAAGGAGAAAAAAACTTCTGGAAGACAAGCTTACATCTGTGCGACTCTGCAGTGGTACGCTTTGCACCCAAGCCAATCCCCAGAAAGAACATAACGGATCAAGAATCAATCGCTCACTTTTCCCCGGCTGTCGCTACAGTGATTTATAGCATCAGTTACATTATCTGTGTCAAAGTTTCGGGCGGGTTCTGGTGCGGTTGGTCTTCCTCAATCATCGCCCGTCGCTTTCGCTGTCGCTGACACCTGAAGTACAGTTGCTGGCCCATGGTTGATCCAGTTCTGGCTCGGTGTCGCAAACTGGTTCATCCTGTGCATAGCCCTCAACCTGCAGCTCGTCCTCGTCCATTCGGTCGATGGCCTAATGCTCGAGAAATGGTTCGTGTCTTCCACCGACTAGGGCCTTCAAGATCGCTTGCTGACAAGGTTTATTCAAGGTATATCATCGTGCCAATTGCACTCAACCTCGCAATCAGCCTTCCACCATGTATGTTTCCTCCGTCCCTCCATCTTTCAACGACATTCACCGCCTAACAGGATCCGACCATAGTGATCAAGGGCAAATTCGGCTGGGATCCAGTCATTGGCGTATGCTGGTTGACCGACCACAGCGTGCACAACCGGCTGGTGTGGCAGATAGCAACACAGCTACTGTGGATCGTGCTGGCGGAGGTTATAACCATGCTATGTGCCGGCATCACAATTGCACATCTATATAAACACAAGGTATTTCCTCCGCTTCGTCCTCCGAGTGAACCATCCACTTACAACCGCTACCGGGGGTGGACAGTTTACATCCCTCAAAGTCATCAAACGAGACTCTTCGCATCAGAGCTCTCACCTATCCAACAACTCCAACGGCAAAGGCAATGCCGACTTCCACGCCAACCTGGCCCGCAGAACCGCAAATAATCTGACCACGCAACGGGGCTTCCGCAACGTCATCGTGCGAATCTGTTCGTTCCCTCCCCTCCCCACCACTCTCTCCCACTAACCACCTCCAGCCCTCTACCCAATCGTAATGACAATCGTCAATATGATCATCACGATCGGGGACATCCGGATATCGACGGCGGGAATCCACACGAGCGAGGACTACTACCTATACGCGGTATACTACGGGCTGTACGGGGCGCGGGGGATCTTCTACGCGATCATGGCCGTTCTCGACCCGAGTTTCATGCGCGCAATCCGGATCTACCGCGGCGAAACCCTCGATAGCAGCCACCACTCGCAGTCGTGCACCGACACGGGCGCAGGCATCAGCGTGCACACCGAGACAAGGTTCGAGGAGGAGTTCGCCTCGCCGTCGCGCGGCGGCATCGATGTGGAAATGCAGCCTGTGGGACTCAGGACTAATGTTGTCGGTGGCAGCGGCGCCAATAACATTAATATTAACAATAATAACAACAACAGCGACGACGCGAGACATACCCATTGGGGAGCTGAGAGCGATGTCTCCGTCGACTCGAGGATCAAGGAGTCCCCTGACGAGGAGGATACAAGCTCGATTGCGGACCTGACAAATGAGGCGCAGGGCGATAGGATACAGGAGATCCGCGGGCAGCAGAAGGAGCGCGCGAGGATGAGACATGAGGCCGAGAGAGAGTTTAAACGGCAGATTTAGCCAGCGGGTCATGACTCTTTTTTTTCTTTTTAATATTTACTTGGTACATATCTCTTTGGCTTTTGGATTTTGGATTTTGGTTTGGTGTTTTTTGGGATAGACGGTTCGGGCAGGTTGGATTTCCTATTCATGGCAAGAAGCGTTTGTGTTGTGTTGTGTGTGTGAGCGGATTTCTGGCGGCATGGAATGTAGATATCATGGCGTGTTTTGAGCGTACGGATGTAGGTATGTGGATATCATGTATGTATGAGGTAGTAATGTAGTACGGTATGGGAACAAAACTCGGAGTGTCTTCGACAAGCTGGTAGCGGGAAGAAGAAGAAGAAGAAGAAGAAGAAGAAGAAGAAGAAGAAGAAGACGATACCACAAATATCCACGAATCCAGCGGAAAGAAGGTTCAAGTGAGATCGGCAATGCGTTCCAACTTCGGCCAGTCTCCACCGAATCAATCGTGCCCAAAGATGTGCACTATCTACTGTACTTGGTGGATCTTGGAGCCAGAGTGACTACTGGCGTGTCCCAGCGACCCGGTTCCGAGAAAGCCAAAGTGCTGATTTGCGTGGCAGCCTGGCAAGGAGGCCCGAGGGAGGGTTACTATAGATGTCGATCTCGTAGGTATGCACATACCTATTCTGCACTTGGTCGTGGGTCTGCTTTGACCGTGCACTCGCATGGCCAACCCGTACCACATCACAGAATATCACTCGCTCTTATCTTTGGAGCCAGTCAAAGTCAATGGACCTGCCGAGTAGAAGCTGGCTGGAAAGGTCGGGAAGTTAGTGGTCGCCATAGTCTAGATAGGTAGGCTGCATGCGAAATAAACTGAAGATCTCTCTCTCTCCGAGTGGAAATATAGTATCAACTCATCTGGTTGAATCCCAATGACTGCGAAGAAAAAAAAGAAAGAAAAAAAAAGAACGATTCCCAGAACACCAAACAAAACACCTCCCATCCCATCAATGGACCAGCTCCCACATCAATCAACATACCTAAGTAACGTAAGTCAAGAACGAGAGTTATTACTACTAATCTCTAATCTCTCAGCTGCAGCTCCGCTCCAACATCCCATACATCCCATATACCCAAACATCTCTACCTATCTAGGTAGTTATTTAAATCTCCGAAGTATCACTAATAATAACCATTCCAGCGACCGACGCACTAGTGAGCGTTGAGATAGCGCCAGAGAGCAGAGCGGAGATGGCAACACGACTGACGTCTCCGCCACGGCCGGGGGCCACCTGCTGGAGCACTCCGATTTGCGTTCCGAGACTGCCAATGTTCGCGAAGCCGCAGAGCGCGTAGGTGGCGATCAGGCGGGAGCGCTGCGTCAGGTTCGCGTAGAGCGGGTTGCTTTGGAGCGCAATGTAGGCGACGAATTCGTTGGCTGGGGAATGTTAGTGAACTATTCTGTTGGAGGGAGGGTGATGAGGGGGAGCATACCGATGAGCTTGAGGCCGATGAGTTGGGCTACGCGGTAGATGTCGTCGCCGTGTCGGGAGACACCGAGGAGGAAGGAGACGGGGTACAGCAGGTAGCCGAGGATCATCTCGAGAGTGAGGCCGTCGGAGATGTTGAGGTAATACCCCCACCAGCTGAGAAGGGCGTCGATCAGCGCGATGAAGGCGATAATGCACATCTGCGTGCCCATGATCATGGCCGCGATCTTCAGACCTAGCCAGGTACCGTTGGCAAATGCATGCAGTCCGTTCGCAGCCTCGTCCGTGTCATCGTGGGGGACCGAGACGTGGCCAGCGGTCAACGGCTCCTCGGTCTCGGGGTAGCGCAGCTTGGAGACGGCGAGGGATGCCGGGATCGACATGACGCAGGACGAGATGAGCGCCTGGGGGTCGATTCCCATCGCGAGGTAGGCGACGAGGACGGATCCGGCGATAGTTGCGAAACCGGAGCACATGACTTGGTGGAGCTCGGCCATGGTGAGGTGAGGAACGAAAGGCTTGATCAACATGGCAGATTCTCCCTGACCAATGAAGGGAGACGCAGCAGCCACAACGGCCTCCGCCCCGGAAACCTTCATGGACCAGAAGAAGAACTTTGCGAACTTTCCGATGAACCAGTGCAGAATATGGTAGTAGTACAGCAGCTGGACCAGCGCGATGAAGAAGACGATTGCCGGCAGCACCGAGAAGAAAAAGTATCCCAGGTTGGCAATCTCCTCGTTGGTCAGGAACGCGACACCGTCCTTCGCGAAGCCGAGAAGCGAGCGGGCGAGAGTCGATACAAAGTTGAAGATGTCGTAGCCGACGCCGGTGCGCAGGACGAACAGTGCGATGATGAACTGCATCAGCATGCCGACGATGACGGTATGCCATTTGATGGCAGCCCTGTTGCGGGACGTCGCCCACAGGACGAAGATGAAGACCACCAGGCCCAGACAGGAGATGGCACGGTCAGCGCGAGTGTTCTGCTCGGTCTCCTTCGAGACGAACGATCCAACCAGATATGTCGCGACCACGATCGCTGCTGCGCCAGGGATGCGCCATTTCTCTGGGACCGCCTTCATGACTCGGACGCCGGTTTGCTTCCAGACGAATCGCAGGGGAACCATCACCAGGCGCGCCTGAACGTAGAAAGTGAGGACTCGGAGAGCCACGCAGAGCCACAGAAGAAATGGAACGACCCAATTCTTGTCATTCCTGTGCAAGACCAAACTCGCGATCCACCAGCTATGGATTTCCCCTCATGTCAGCGATTGTTTGGGCTGTAGGCATTCGCGCCGACGAGAGACCAACCCAGTAAACAAACACAGCCAGGAAGCTCTGAGAATGTGTTTCATGTGATATTTCTGGTACCACCCGTCTTTCTTCTCGACCTCGGGGACATTCCTCTGGCCTTCGATATCCCTCCCCTCCTTCAGGCTGCTTCTCAACGAGCCGTCCGCCGTTGTTTCGGTCCGCTTCTCGTCGGGATACGCAGGAGCCATTGCGGCCGTAGGAGCCGAAGCGTAGCGATCCGCCGGATGCTGGTGGTCAATGTTGTCGGTCATTCTTGGCTGGCGGATTCGCAGGTTATGCTTCGAGAAACGGCGGCGGGGAGGAAGAGGTGGAGCGGTGGAGCGGTGCGAAAGCCCAGCCTGCGAGAAAGTCTGATTGCAATAAGCAGTCGAGAACCTGCGCACGCGTACGTATGAGCACGAAAGGCAATAAGGATTGGACTGAACGGAACGCAGCTAACGAAAAGAAGAGAAAAAGATTGGCCGCGGGGGGAGACGTTCCGAGTATTATAGTCTGGTGGCCGGCCAGTGTCCGGCCACCATATTCGGGCAGTCCTGGGTATGCCCCACGATAGATAGATTGCCGCTCTTCGGAGTTTCGTGCTACCACGCTCGCGCACGCACACGACCAGCTTCCCTGGCTCTCCCCTGCCAGTTGCCACTAGCTGGGCAGGCACGGCACCGGCCGAAACCCTGGTGCGTGCGTTCGATAGGAAGGCGCGATATAGGCGCACACTCTACACACTCTTGATATCTACAGACTCCACATGGCCTTGAGGGATCAACCCCCCCACAACCCCCCGGCAGATGGCCACTCTGAATCAGCTACTTGGGCTGCCTGCCTCGATCGATACGTGAGAGTTACCGTATCTACACCCGTACCGGCGTTGGAATCTCTTCATGCGAGGGTACTGATAGTTTATCGGACAGGCGACAAGCATCCGGAGCTTTGCCTGGCGGGTGAGGCGATGACCGTCGGCTCCCGCGCGGGGAGTAAGCTTCTGCATGTTCGATCACATACACGAGGGGCCCGAGTAAGTATCCAGCATCCCCCCACTCGGGACGATGCCATCCCACTGATGCCCTGACATTCCAGCATCTCCCTATCTCACAAGCTCTGCACGGTATGGTACCATGAGTGTCTCCACATCCAACTGCCCGACGGCACTGAATCTTTGCGGCGGCGGTCCGATCGGTGCTGCAAACAGATTACTCGCCTGACTCTCCGCATATCTGATAATAAGCGGGCAGGCAGCAGGCAGGTAGGCTTCTCTATCAGTCCGGTTCAACCTGCACATTCTCTCTGGCCACTGCTCGAACCTCATCCGCTCCGAAAAGCTGGAAGTCGATATTTGCCGTCGACGGCGATTTGATTGACGGTGGACCCTACGAGCCAATTAACTAGCATTTTCACCGGTGTCTCTCTATCGCAGCTTTACCGCCTGCCGACTTCAGACAGGCGCTTCGATTGAACGGCGTCTTCACATGTCGTTCTGGCCGTTAGGCTGCAGCCACCCACCTTCCCGCTTGGGCTCGCCAACAGTTTATCTGCACTGCACAGAATCGACTGGTGGAGACACAAAACTGCTTATTTATTTGTGTCGATGGTTGCTCAAGTGCCCAGCCCGTGGCTGGTCTTCTGAGCACTCTATAACCCTTCAAATCACTCCCGTCTCAGGTCAGCGGAGATGATGATACCCTGAAGTAAGTAAGTGAGCGCCGATAGGAGGATGCCTGGAATGTGCTGGTATTTGAGCTTCCGTTTCTTTTGAGTACACAGAGAGGGGGATTCTCGATGTCTTCTCGCACGAAGTGCAGAGTCGTTCAGTCGTTCAGTCGTTCAGTACCTAGTTCCGGAGGGCGCGGCGGGGTGACGTTATCGGGCATTTCTTTTTGCTTTTTAACGTTGTTGGGAGGCGTTCATTTCGCGCTTCTTCCAACGTCCCTTTTGCTTTTTTCCCCTCGGACGACCGACCGACGAAACTTGGTTCGATTCGGAGTGCCCGCTTCCCATGGGTTCTCATGATGTCGAACGAACGTATGTGCTCTACATATGCCCAGCTTTGTCGTGCTCTCTCACAGCCCTGGGACTCGCTCTCGCACCCGCACCACATCTCTTCTCCGATACCGGTATCCAGACCACGGGTTAGTGGTAAATAGTTGGACTGTTCCTAGTTTCGCTAGCAACAAGCGTTGCAAGCCAACTTCGTGGCTCTCTCTCTAAAGTTTCTAGGCTCTTTCTCGGAACGACTCCGATCGACGGTTCTCATCCGTGTTCTCGAAGGGAAGTCGAAGAACATAATCGCCAATTCCCGTCTCTCCTCATTTTGCGGGGCCCAGTCCAGCCTGCCCTACGTTCACCGACTGCATGTCTCACCACCACCCCTTTGGCCACACTGCAACACTGCAACACTGCAACACTGCAACACTGCAACACTGCAACACTGCAACACTGCAACACTGCAACTTTGAGGTAGAGTAGGTATCCTCCCGAAGAATGGGTTTCTCGCCACCCGATTCGTTGTAGCTTTGTAACTTCGGAACGGCCTACGGGGGATGCAGTTCTCCCTTACATACATGCCGTACATGGGGGAGGGAGAGAGGGAGGTTGGACGTTTGGAGGCCTACTGCTTGGGTCTAGAATCTAAAATATTGCTCTACTATGTGCAGTAGGTAGATATTTGGCTTCACTCTTAAAGGCCTGCGGTCAACACAACAAGGGGGGATGCATTCCAGTCCCATGAACCTCCCTTGGCCAGCCCGAACGTGAATACTACTCTACCGGTATGTAGGAACCGCCCTCCTACCGTGGGTAAAGTACTTTCCTCGCATCCCATCACCCGGTGTTTCTTATTCCGAGCAGGACGATACGATATCCCACATACCGGTAGAGTACTGAGTAGAGTATTGATCGTAGCGCAGGCGAGTTCCGCCTGACAGGGAGGGGAGGAGAGGAGCCAGAAAATGGGAACCTGGCGGAGTGGAGACAGGAACCTGGATAGGAAGGAGGAGGGAGGGAGAGAGAGAGAGCAAGCAAGCAAGCAGAAGGCGGGAATGGATTTGGAGTAGAGTAGGTATGTATGTGGGAGAGTGGCTGGCTCTGGTCGGGGCGTTTTGCAACTCCGTCCTACAAAGCAGCACGGGGATTAGTATAATAGGTACCGGTAGGTAACGCTCAGCATCAGGAAGTATCGCAAGCTGATGGATTTCGATGCGTACATATGTACCAAACTTCACATCCCGATCTTCAGCTGCATGCCATGAAGATGTTTCGATGCCGTTGAAACTTCAGCCGCACTGCAAATCAGGTCCATTCCAACGTTGAACGGGTGCCACCCCCACAGCGTCACGCTCGCTTTGGCTGGTAGCCGCGTATGGACGTCGACAGTGGGCGTTGGCGCCTATAGCAGCGGATCTGAGGGGCTGAATGGCAGTGTCCTCTCACGTCGTTCTTCGCACAGTATGTACACCACATACTGCATCGGAGGAATTGGCTTCGACAACGCATCAGCCTGCCAACGTTCAGGTAAACGGACAGGTCCCAGCTTCCCAAGTACATATCAGCCTCGGACGACCAAGTCCGTCCACGTCCACACCCACGTCCACAGCTCCCCACCGCCCAAGCGGATGCGGAAGCCTTCCAATCCCCATTCTCACGATGCACTTACGTACCGACTTCACTGGCCGCTAAAAAGCCAAAGCCATGCTGTCTGCATGACACAAACGGGCCCTTGCCCCTCGATCGTGATCTCGTGCTCCCCTCCAACCAATAATGTTCCGCCTCCGGGCCTCCCCACGTCTCTGTCCGGACGAGAGCTCTCAATCCACCCTTAAACGGAAGCCTCCCCTCGCTCAATTCCCATCCAGAAAAGAAAAATGCGGGGAACCTGGTGGCCGTGGAGTAGGTAGCGTGGCCATGACTCTGTGGGTTCCCAGCGGAATTCGCCGTTTGTATAGTAGATTGCCTGCCTGCCTGCGTACTGTGCTTAGTTACGCAGGGGAAGGTGAAAGAGAAAGAAAGAAAGAAAGAAAGAAAGGAAAAAAAAAGTTCAGAGTTTAATATAGAGTATAGGTGCACCCCTCTGGGCCTTTGTTCGATTGACTCATGACGCCCGCGTTTCGTGAAGATCGTCGTTGCTGCTGCTGCTAGAGTAATCATTCCATTCGCATCGAAGGAAGAAGGAACTGGACGCGTTGAGCTGTCGAACTATTGGACGGGACTGAGTCAAAGCCACTGCGGGTGGTGCCTGGCGAGGGTTTATTAGCTCCCCCAGGGCCTCCTTTTCACTGATCTCCCCTCCATTGCTTCCCCCACCACTCACTCACTCACTCACTCACTCACTCATCCACCCCGCTCCGCATATATATACGACACATAGAGTACGATGGCAACCAACGGCATCGCCGCGAATAGCGTCCTGACGCTGCAGGAGGAAATTGCAGAGTACGAAGCTCAGCGTGCGGCTCTGGTCGAAAAGGAGAAGAGTCTGAGACATGGTACGTTCCTCCATCACTTCACCTTCTTCCCCTCCACCGCCCATCCCAGGGATGCGGAGAGCTAAGCGGGGCCATAGACTACGCCTTCCGCCAACGACTCTCCCCAACCGCGAAGAAGGCCGCGGCAATCGTCTCGAAGATCCGGAAATGGGAGGCCGAGAATGTGTGGAGAAAAGTCGAGGAGGATGAGGGAGACGTGTTCCCCGGCATGTGCTTCACGCTGGCGAAGGGGAGGATGGAGAATTCGCTGCTCTGGAAGGTGGTCAAGAGGTTTCCCAAGGGTGCTCTGCTGCATGCCCATTTGGAAGCTATGGTGGACAGTGGGTGTCCCCTTTTCCGCGCTCTTGAGGAGGTGTATGCTGACGGCGTTGAGTGAAGTGGACTGGCTCCTCGACCGTGCTCTGGAGACGGAGGGCGTTCATATCTACTCTGATATGCCATTGACGCAGGAGAACCTCTATGCTGCTATGTTCGAGTTCGAGTACTCGGCGGTTACGCAGACTAGCAGTGAGTCGATCTACAGCAGCGCCTACAAACCAGCAACGAAGATCCCCCTCGTCATCGCCGTCGACTCGTTCCCATGCGCCGCCACCACGACCCCGCGCGACGCCTTCCGCGCCTGGTTCAAGACGCGCACGACCATCACACCGGAGGAATCAATGAAGCACCACGAGGGGATCAACCTGATCTGGGCGAAGTTCCAAAGCGTATTCCGCGTGATCCACGGCATAATCTACTACGAGCCAATCTTCCGTCGATTCGTCCGCGAGATCCTCGAGAACGTGCACGCCGACGGCTGCAAGTGGGCCGACATCCGCCTCGCATTCCTGATGCAGCTGCGCGCCACGACCACGGGCGAGATCCTGCCGCGCCACGAGGTGGTCCGCATCTTCGGCGAGGTGGTCGCGGGCTACGTCGCCGAGATGAACGGCGAGTTCTGGGGCAGCCGGATTATCTGGACACAGGTGCGCGCGTTCGAGGCGGACGCGATCCTCGCCAGCATGCACGAGTGCATCGACGCCAAGAAGCGCCACCCGCACATCATCTCCGGCTTCGATCTGGTCGCGCAGGAAGACAAGGGCCGCAGCTTGCACTCGCATCTCCCGGAGCTCCTGCAGTTCCGCCGGCTGTGCGCAGACGCCGGCGTCGACATCCCGCTATACCTGCACGCGGGCGAGACCCTCGGCGACGGCACAGAGACGGACGATAACCTCTTCGACGCCGTGCTGCTGGGCGCAAAGCGCATCGGCCATGGTTACTCAATGTATAAGCACCCGCACTTGATGCGGCTCAGCAGGGAACAGGGCATCTGCCTCGAGGTCTGCCCGATCTCTAACGAGATCCTGCGGCTCACCGCGAGCATCATGCAGCATCCGCTGCCTGCGGTCATGGCCCACGGTGTGCCCGTCAGCATCAACAACGATGACCCCGGAATCCTGGGACAGCTCAAGACGGGCAGCATGACGCACGACTTCTGGCAGGTGCTGCAGGCGTACGACAATGTGGGCCTCGAGGGACTGGGAGATCTTGCGGAAACGGGCGTTAGGTTCGCGGCTTTCGATGGTGTTCCGGTCGGTGTCGAGGAGGGAATCAGGAAGCAGAGATTGCACTTGTGGAGGGACGAGTGGGAACGGTTCTGTGCGTGGGTCTGTGAGGAATTTCAAGAGTGGGCTTGATTTTGTAGGCAGTAGTGAGTTGCATAGGCAGGTTAGAGTAGAGGGATACCCGGAGCATACATAGCATATGATGAATTAGAGCCACGCGCAGTACCTAGTAATGACTACAAACGTCCCGTTCGATTTTCAATACAATACAGTGGAGCAGTATTTACCCGCAAACCAACCCAACCCAACCAACCCATCTTTTGCATTCCCCTTACGCACAAACGCACACACAAACAAACTACAACTTCGCCGCGGGCTTCCTCGCACTCTTGAGCACGACCTCGGCCTTAGTCGCCTTCATAACATCGCCCTTAACCTTCAACTTGCCGGTCATGAACATGCGCTGGGCCTGAACCTTCCCATCAACCAGCTTCTGGAAGTCCTCGTCGGCCATGCTCATGGTGACATCGCTCTTTTCGGGCACGCCCTGCGCGACTGCCCCACTCTCTTTCAGGTCGATGTTCCAGCTCGCGGTCGCCCCGGACGAATTCTTGAGCGTGAACACGAATACTCCGTTTGCTGCCTTGATCGCCGAGGCGCGCGCAGAGGGGTTGGAAAGGGCTGCGGAGATCAGGTCGAATGTACCCGAGGAGGGGAAGGCGGCTGGAAGAGGGGCGGGCGTTAGCTAGAGCTCGATTGTAGTGGATGGGAGGGGGAACGGGGAACGGGGGACAAACGGTCGGCGAGGGTCATGGTTGCTGCGGTTGTACTTTGGAGGTAGCTTGAGTAGGTGCTTCGTGTGGTTTTTGTGATTGTGCTTGAGCGTGGTGTCTATGTCGTGTATGGTTCTTGGTGCTGTGAGAGGGAGGGAGAGGGAAGGAGATGGTAGAGTGTTCTTATGTACTGGTACTAGGTATATCGATCCCGGAGCTCGGAGGTCGCGCGACCGATAGATACTATGTAGGTATGGTGCCTACTGCCGGGGGGTTTCGGTTCACATGTCAGGAGTTAGGACTGTTGGGCGTCACTCGCCGAGAAGCTATCGCCGAGAGAGAGGAAGAGGTGGAAATGGACATGTGGAGATAGGTGGATCACACATGATGAGAGAAGAACGTGTTTCTACATGCATATGCTCGGCGGTCAGATGAGACGATCCGGAGATGGAGAAAACATGACGTGATGCTACAGCTGTGCGTTCCCTGGCTCGTCATGTCGCTTACTAACCCATCTACTCTACTCGTCACTCGTGGACCTTCAACAACGTGCTGCAATTCAAAAGGTCAGACACCGCGAGAGTAAAAGCAACAAAAAAAAATTACGGTACCAGGGATTCCCGCATGGTCACCCACTGCAGTACTAACCTGGCGATACCTTGTGGAGCGCGTCAACTACTGCAAGATACTTAGAATTGGGTGTAGGACCACAGTATGTACGCCAAACTTCACAGCCGTCACCGTTGCCAGCTCCCAGTCGTTGAGCCTTGGGCCAGTGCACACTACAAGATCCGTCACCTCGATATATCAATTCATTGTATTTCACTTCCAGACCAGCTAGTCAACCCAAAACCGGCGTCCTAATCAGCTCCCTATCAGCAGCCCGTGCCTTCTCTCCCAGTAACTTCGACTCAGCCAACAACCTCAGTCTTTTCCTCAACGGGCCTGATCCCCTCGGCCGTTTGGGCGGGGGATTGATGGGAATAGTATACCGCTGCGGCCGGCAGGTGGACACTATGTACCACGTCTCGTAGGTGGCATGGTGGCGGGCGTGGTTCGGGCGGAAGTAGGTCGTCTATCTGCGTGGAGGACGGGCGGGAGCCGTAGGGGTGGGGGAGAGGGGAGGCGAGAGTGAGAGCGGGTGCATGTTTCTTAATGAATGTAAGTTTCTCGGGGTGGATCATATGGGAGGGGTGGGGCGAGAGGATATGAGGGCCGGGTGTGCGAGTTGATGGGGATTCATCTTGGGCTGGCGATTGGATTAATACCAGATTCGGGAGCTCCTCCTTCGATTCTATCACGGTGCGTACCGTACCTAGTATGTACAACGAAAGCAATACATATGCGTATAGACGTACACGGGCAACGGGATTCAAGCTGGCATCAATCGTGTCAAACAGCAATCATGCAAATCTCACGCCCCCAACCCATCCTCAACCCATCTCGGCCCAACCGAACCCAGCTGCGGTGATGCAGATACAAAAGGAAAACAATGGAGATAGAAATAGGGAGAGGGAGTCCAGGCACAGCGTCATGGCGTGGAGAAAAACAAACCGTAAAGAAAACACAAAAAGAAAAGGGTAACGGCCAATAAAAAAACACACATTGCACAAAGACTTCTAGATACTGGATGCAAACTCATCTCCATTCTTACACACTCTTCTCTCCGCTAGTAGCAGTAGTAGGAGGGACAATCGTTGGCTGCACCTCGCCAGTGTTGCCGGGGCCACCTTCGAGCGTAGGTCCCGAGTAGACACCGTCGGGTATCTTTATCGGCACCTTCTTGATCAGCTCCTTGCCAGGAAGCCTCTCGCCTCTGAGCACTTTCTGGATTTCATCGGCACTCAGCGTCTCGTATTCGATCAGAGCTTCGGCAATCATGTCCAATTCCTTGCGCTTTGACATGATGAGCTTCGTAGCGCGTCCTCGGGCATCGTTGATGAGCCTCTTCACCTCATTCTCGATCAAGGACTTGGTTTCTGACGACAATTCACGGTCATCCGAGAGGTCGACGTCTCCAAGGACTTCCGACATGCCGAGGCGTGTCACCATCATCCGTGCGATCCGAGTTGCGGCACTGAGGTCCGACGCGCAGCCTCCAGTGACGTTGTCGGGTCCGTAAACGATCTCCTCGGCGATCTTGCCACCGAGCGCAGCATCGATTTGAGCCATGCACTGCTTTTTAGTGATGCTCAACTGGTCACCTTCGGGGAGATAGTGCGTGATGCCCAAAGCCTGTCCTCTCGGCAGGATTGTAACCTTGTAGACGGGAGTATGACCTTCGGTGAAGAGACCGACCAGAGTGTGTCCACCCTCGTGATACGCAGTCATCTTTCTCTCCTTGGGCGGGATCACGGCAGAGCGCCTCTCAGCTCCCATCATGATCTTGTCCTTGGCCCAGTCGAAATGCTCCATGTTGACACCTTTAGCCTTCAATCTGCTAGCACGAACGGCGGCTTGATTGACCATATTCTCAAGGGCAGCGCCAGAAAAGCCGGGTGTTCCGCGTGCCAGAAGAGAGGGATCGACGGTATCGGAAGCCTGAATCTTCTTCATGTGGTGCTTGATGATTGCAATACGACCACGGACGTCGGGCAACGGAACAGTGACGCTCCGGTCAAATCGTCCCGGTCGAGTCAACGCCTTGTCCAACATCTGAGGGAAGTTGGTTGCGGCGAGGAAGATGACACCACTGTTCTGCGAAAATCCATCGAGGTCGACCAAAAGCTGATTGAGGGTCTGTTTGACATAGGCAGCATCCCTTTCGTTCCTCTTTCCTCCTATAGCATCCAATTCGTCGATGAACACGATAGCAGGTGCCTTTGCGCGGGCTTGAGCAAAGAGCTCACGGACACGCTTAGCACCAACGCCAACATAGACCTCGTCGAACTCACTGCCAGACATGAAAAAGAAGGGAACACCAGCCTCTCCGGCCACGGCACGGGCGAGAAGCGTCTTTCCGGTACCGGGAGGCCCAACAAGGAGAACACCTTTGGGTAGTTTGCCACCAAGAGTCGAGAATTGCTTTGGATCCTTCAGGAAATCAACGAGTTCTTGAAGCTCTTCCTTTGCTTCATCGCAACCGTGTACGTCACTGAATCGAGCAGTCTGCTGGGAAGCCGTCGCCTCGTTGTTCGCGGGACCGCGGGTACTCTTCAGGACACCAGTGAATTCGACAGCAAGGGATAGGAAGACCAGAGCGATGTAGCCCACGAGCGAAAAGTAGAAGAGGAACTTGATCCACTTGAAGATTGACCCGCCAATGGACTCGTCAACCACAACGTAGATTGGATCCTCCCTACCACCCGAGCCGCCGGTAGTCTTGCCATGGTTGATCGAAACGTTTCCGCCACGAGTGCGAGCGGCAACTGCCTGACCGATAGCTTGCGCTCGCTCGGCAGCTCCGACACCAGATCGTCCGGCAGCGTATGCAGCGGTTCCGTCCATCGTAAGTCCAGCATCTTCGGCTATTGAAAGTTTTTCTAGTGCTCGTCCGTATTTGTCATCACAACCTTTGTTTGTAGCGTATATTCCGCTTTGGTAGCGGTCAGCAACGACCTGAGGAAGACCGGCTCGAAGCAAGAGATCGTAGAAGCGTTCCTGGGCATAAGCGTTCTGTGGACTGCTGTTGGCAACCTGCTCGGCACGGTAAAGAGTAGCCTGCGAAGGAGCTCCGCCGAAAGACGTCATAGCACGAATCCGAGACTGCTGAGGGTGCCGAGGGGCGGCATTGATACGATTGAACGGGCCCGGAGCCAACGACGAGAAATTCCGGGATACGAAGCTAGTAGCTGTCTTTCGGAGGATCGACGATGACACACATTCAGCGAAGGCGGGGCTGCCGTTGCTGAGATCACGGGGAGGACGGATTAACGAAGCATGACTCGGGGTAAGTTGTCCTGGCTATGTTCCGTCAGTTCCTAGTCACCGTAGCCGCAAGGCGTATCTCCATAGGTTTTTGCATACCTTCACCGATCCGCTGGAGGCAGCAATCGAGAAACTACGTTGGGAGAAGGGTTGCTGCACCTTCTGGTGCTGCGAGGGTCGGAGGAAGACACATGGATTGGAGAGTAGATTAGCGAATGCCGGTAGGAGTTTTGAAGGTAATGTCTACGTGAGCAGATGATTGTTAGCATTGAAACACCTGTTTGCCACCTCTTGGATATCAGAGAGCTGGCGGGCGCATATACCGGAACTAAAGGCCTGGAAGCGAACAGTAATGAAGCCATTATCCGTGCAGCTGGCACTCAACGCTGCCACGGTGTAAGAAAGAAAACCAGTCAAAAGAGCGCCGTCGAGTCCTCGGCCGGTGGTAGTTGTGTCGAAAAGGCGGGGGATGGGAGCCGCCACACAGAGGTGAAGTGCGAGTACGGATGATGCAGGGAGGCAAAGAAGCGACGAGAAAGAGGCAAGGCTGTCACGGTGATGACTAACTAAAAGCGATGACGCGTCTTGGCAATGCGAGTCACTTCATGTCACTCGCAAGATCCGATTCGCTCCGATTCAGTGATGGCCCTTGAAAGTTGACGGTTCTAAACCTGGAGAACATCCGCGCAGAAAGTGGTTGATAATTATGGGGAGGCATACGAAAATTTGCGGCTTTTCTATAAAATATAACTTCAAGAATCACACTTAATCATTCCTCCGATGTCTGGAATGCAGAGACCTCTTCGAATGAGTGCACACCGCTACTCACTTTGGTTCTAGCCCGCAAATAAAGCCCCATTTATCAGGTCTCTTTCTTTACGGAAGCGTCGACTTCAGATACAGCCTCCTCTTTCCCGCGTTCCCACACCTTCATCTCCCCGGTAGCTTCATCCCACCGATACACCGGCCCAGTCCCAACATTATACCTGACCTTAATCAGCAGCGCGCCTAACTCTAAGCCCTGAGGATCTCACCTGTAATAATTCTCCGTTCCCTTCCTCGTCTTGACAAACCTGAATGTAATATTGATCCTGGGCCCGGAATGCTTCCTCTTCGGCACGGAATGCAGCCACCTTGGCTGTGTGGTACCTTTCATCAGCACCAAATCGCCCGATGCCAGCGGAAGCGACAGCTTTTGGGAAGGTTCGGTCTTATGCTTCATGACGAAATCACGGGTTGAACCGAGAGTTAACGATGCGATGGTAGGGTTCTCGCCGAGGAAAGACTCGTCGTCGGAGTGAAATCTGCCAGTTGGTAAGTTGGCGAGCTTGGAGAAATTAAATCGGTGAAAATCGGGGCATACGCTATAGAGTCGGCACCGTTCGAGTAGTAGTTGATGAGGAGGAAATTGTAACTGCTGTTGGTGCGGGCTTCTGTGTACTATCATGACGTCTCAACCCCGTCCGACTCAAGTTTTTCGGGAGAATCCGTTTTCCTCCTACCTCAAGTAAAGGAAGTAAACACTGGGGTATCGGTCGCGGATTACAGCCAGGGTAGGCGTATTTGATAGGGAGCTTCTTTTCCGCGTCGAGCAGAGTTCCAGTCTCTGGGTGGAATATACACATTGCGTCGACGCCAAATAGCGATGTACTGTGATGTGGACTTCAGCTACAAAGAAGTGCGTGCCGGAAAGGAGACAAGCCACTCACTACCGTGGCGTATTCACTACCGTATCCGTTCCGTCCCGTTTGATCGAATACGTAACTCGATAAAATGGTAGCTCGCGGCGAAGGAAGGTATATAGCTCTTGCGCTAGACTTCTGTGAAGGAAAGGCTGATAATGCAGCATGTCGAGGTCTGGCTTGCCGTTGAAAACAAGAGGAGCAATCTCGTCTGTTGCCGCAGTGTTGCTGGATGAACCGCCATCGTTGACATCCGCTCCTTGCCGCGAGCTGAAAACAAGTGCTGGCGGCAGACAGGTGATGGGATGCGGGTAGTTTGGGTGCGTTGAGGGTGGTAGTTTGGAGGTTAAATCGAAACGCTGCTTTTTGCTTGCTACGGGAGCAAAGAAGGAGGTTATTTGACGTTTGGACATGTTCGTAGAGGGCGCGTTCGTGGTGGAGAAGATGTGGCCGTTCAGATGCACGTCGCTCGGCATGTCGTAGGCGGTCTGCACTTCTTAAGCCGTCACCATGGCTGTCTCCATGGCCAACGCAAGGGTTCACTACGCCACCAGGTAATTGACGTATATAAGACGAAGGAAAGTATCTTCATGTAGCCATGTTATATTTGCTAAAAGAGGTGGCGAAACCCGATCAAGAATGACGTATCAGTAAAGTATGGCTGGGTCCGAAGTCGATGGGACGCGGTCTACTACTCGAGTAGAAACCTCCCCTGTTAGCCATATGATCCTCTCATCTCGAGCTCGTCTGCTGCTCGAGTCTGCCGCGATCACTTCGTGATATCTATAACTAAGCGATCAGCTATCAAATATGACCAAGGCACCGCGTTGCGACGGAACACGGTCCAGGGTTCGACTTGACCCAATCGGATCTGCAGGGCTTGGCAATACGGACCCCACGTTATTTACCCCTCCATCATTTTTTCTTGCCTGTTCCTCAGCTCGTCTCAATCATACAATCAACATGTCTGCCTCAATCCAATCTGCCGTTTCAACTGTTCAGACCCTCCTGCGCACTGCGTCGCAGAAGGTCCTCCTTCTCGGAAGCGGTTTCGTTGCGAAGCCTTGTTTGGATTACCTTGCGAAGGAGGGAATCCAGATTACCGTTGGTATGCTACAAGCTGAGTGTGCTCGGTGGAGAAGAATTGACCTTGCTGACTGGATTTTGTGCAGCCTGCCGTACTTTGGAGAGCGCAAAGAAACTCTCTGCGGGTGTCTCACTCGCCACCCCCATCTCTCTTGATGTCTCTGATGCGGCGGCCCTTGACGCCGAGGTCGCGAAGCACGACCTTGTCATTAGGTGCGATTCGACTGCGGTCTCAGCTGGAGGAGGACATACATTGACAATTTTGCAGTTTGATCCCCTACACCCACCACGCCACTGTTATCAAGTCGGCCATCCGCTCCAAGAAGCACGTTGTCACCACTTCATACGTGTCGCCGGCAATGGAGGAGCTAGACGCCGAGGCCAAGGCTGCTGGAATCACTGTTCTCAACGAGATCGGTCTTGACCCCGGTATTGACCACTTGTACGCTGTCAAGATGATCGACGAGGTTCACGCCAAGGGCGGAAAGTTGTTGTCTTTCCTGTCGTACTGCGGTGGTCTCCCCGCCCCTGAGAACTCCGGAAACCCTCTCGGATACAAGTTCTCGTGGTCTTCCCGTGGTGTCTTGCTCGCTCTGAGGAACTCCGCCAAGTACTGGAAGGACGGAAAGGTTTGTGCCGGGAGACCCCTTGATTAGACAGGATTGCTTACAAAGTCGTTAGATCGAGGAGATTTCCGGCCCCGAGCTCATGGCTGCCGCTAAGCCCTACTACATCTACCCCGGCTTCGCGTTCGTCGCCTACCCCAACCGTGACTCGACCATCTACAAGGAGCGCTACGGCATTCCCGAGGCCCAGACTATCGTCCGTGGAACTCTGCGTTACCAAGGCTTCCCCGAGTTCGTGCATGCTCTTGTCGACATTGGCTTCCTTTCCGATGACGCTTCGGATGACTTTAAAACCGCTCTTCCCTGGAAGACGGCACTGGCCAAGCTCCTTGGCTCGAGCTCCGAGAAGGAGGAGGACCTGGTCTGGGCCATCTCTTCCAAAACCACTTTCTCCAGCACCGAGGAGAAGGATAAGATCATCGCTGGTATGAAGTGGCTCGGCCTCTTCAGCGAGACGCTCAACACCCCCCGTGGCAACCCTCTGGACACCCTCTGTGCCACTCTTGAGGAGAAGATGCAGTACGAGGAGGGCGAGCGTGATATGGTTATGCTGCAACACAGATTTGAGATCGAGCTTGCGGATGGAACCAGGGTATGTTCAACCTGACCCCACGTCTTCAGACAAATGCTGACGGTATCCAGGAAACCCGCACTTCTACCCTGGTCGACTACGGTGTCCCTGGAGGATACACGTCGATGGCGAAGCTTGTCGGTGTTCCTTGCGCAGTGGCCACCAAACTGGTGCTTAACGGAACCATCAGCGACAAGGGTGTCATCGCTCCCATGAACGCGAAGATCAACGACCCTCTGATCGAGGAACTGAAGAAGCTCCACATCGAGTGCAAGGAGGAGCTCGTCTAAATTGTATCTTGATATCCTGGGATAAATGGGATAGAAGAATATTAACTTTTTTTTCGTGGGAGATTAGAAGAGAGTTTGGCCGTGTAGAAGACGTGACTGTGCTTCATAGATAACCTTGATTCCAACCTTGATATAGGTATCATTTCGTCTTGAACCACCATACTCAACTCGAGCCACGCCCACATCATCAAAACAGCGCCTGCTTCCCCCACCCCTCCCCAAACCCATCACCACCCATAATGGCACTCCACACCAGCCAACTTATCTGCGCCTGTCATGTATATCGCTGCGCTGCTCGCTTCTCCGGCGCAAGGGTATGCCTCCCAAAGAAGGGATCATCCTACGGTGTCAACACTTTATCCACCGCGAGTGCTGCTTGAAATGGGCAGGCGCAATCAAGGTATCAAAGGAGATCGGACTTCCGTGTGGATGTGTGGGGGACTACGATTATTTTGAGCGGCAGCTGCTGGCGAGGGAGATGAGGATGCGGTTTGAGAAGAGTTACGATGAGTGGGCGGAGATCGAGAGAGGAATGAAGATAGTGAGAAGCAGAATGAAAAGTGAGAGGTGACGGATAGGCTCTGTGTGGTTGTTTTGGTTGCGGGTTTTGTTTAGGTATATAGGATATGTAGACCACATTAATTAAGCGCCTGTATGCGCGTGACCTCCACACGAGATCTCAATCGCGTCCTTCCAGTGTGCCCGCACGTGGAAGCAGTACGCCTTCTCGATAAAGACCACGAAATTGGCGTGTCTATGTGACTTCTGATAGCGGGTTTTCAGCCCTTCTTCCACAGCCCATCGGAGGATATGTCTTTTGAAGTTTTGGAAAGTCGGGAATTGCTGTCCCAGTCACAGCAGCAGATGTTGGTTGTTCTGGTGGCGGCAATGCTGCACTAAGTTGGCTCTTGACGGTAGAGAGTCTGGCCGTGTAGAAGACGGGACTGTGCTTCATGAACAATCTTCACTCCCACCTTGATATAAGTACCTATTATTCGTCTTGAACCATAACCTTCAGCTCGAGCCACGCCCACATCATTAAAACAGCGCCTTCTTCCCCCATCCCTCCCCACAACCCACCACCCACAATGTTACTCCCCACCACACGCCACACCTGCGCCTGTACACTATCGCGCCGCTGCAAGCTTCTCCGGCGCAAGGGTACGCCTCCCACAGAAGGCATCGTCCTAAAGTGTCGACACTACATCCACGCCAAGTGCTGCGTGAAGTGGGCACGGCATGTCCGGGAATCAAATGATATCGGACTTCCGTGCGAATGTGTCGGACAGTACGACTATCACGAGCGGGAGCTGCTGGCGTGGGAGGTGACGCGGCAGTTTGATATAGGTGAGGATGCGTCGTAGGTGATGAGGAAGGGTTGAAAAGAGTACATAGGAAGCGGCGGGAGATGCATGGGCAGTAGGCTCAGTGTGATTTAGCCGCGTCCGAGATCTGTTGCGGTTCTCGCTCGATAAGTCACATCGTGAAGCCACATCTTCACTCGTCGAAGCTTTTGCACATTGGTCATGTGATGTCGGTAATGTTTGCACGCCTCGAGAATCCTGTTTATTTTCATACTTGCTTCTGCTCCTGTTCGGTATGTCTGGATGGTCATCCGCTGTGTTTTGCGAATCAAATCGAAGACATAAGCTCAGAGAGAGAGAGAGATCTTCCTTTTTATTTCGGATGCAGCCCATCTAGACTATGGCGAACCAACGCACTCCTTCTCCTGCCTGCCCTGGCCAGTCGAGGTGAAAGTCCCGGTACCGACCAGTCCGATGCGACGCCCCACTTCCCCTGCCCATCCGCCTCGGGCTGACACAAGCAAAAAGTAGATTGACAGTTAAGACCGGTATGGGCCTACATGCTCGCTCCCCCTGCTGCCCCCTCGCCTTTCTCCCGTCTTCCGCCTTTCCGCTCCAAGAAAATATTACCGCATATCCTCATCTCCTACTTCCTCGCACCGGCCGCAGACACAGTACCCTACTGGGCACTCTTGCTCTCCCCCGATGCGATGCTTGCCTCCTCCTCATCCTCCTCCTCCAGGTCTGGTGGAGCTTTCGTCCCAACATCCGTCGTTCCTAGAAACTCTAGGATTGCCTCGCTGCATCACTGCATCGCTCGTCGGCGAACAGCTCCGCTATCGATCACCTCTCTTTCCTTCTGTTCGTCTCCTTCCCCACCTTTGTCCACAAGGCTTTCTGCTAGCTTTCCACCGTGAAGACATAAGCTCACAAATATTACTCGTACTTCAGGGTTGAAGACATGCAGTGAGAAATCATGAACCAACCACAACCCCCGCGATAAAACACTCGCTCTGTAGCATGCTTCTAGAATGCAAATCAAGATGTGGACTTTCGCGAGCTTCACGTTCCTACATGCAGAACTACCGAATCCTCTTTTGACAGAAATCATTTAGTCAACAGGATCAATCGTATCTACAATTGTCGCTACTTTAGGTGCATTCGGTAAATATGTAGAGTATCTATCAGAGGCGAGAGGGAGATCTGCCGCCCTCCCGCCGGTGGGGGGTAGGTTGGTGAAGATCCGAAACGCGCGTTAGAATGTACCAGGGCTGTGTGTGAAACGGGAGCAACGACCTCTAACGGCAAGGCGCACCCTTCCGACCTTCTCCTTACATATACATCTCAATTCTCGCGACGAGATGGAAGTTCTACATGACGAACTTGACTTGGGAGGGGATACAAAACCTTCGACGGGGTCCCGAGAACGGGATTGAAAGAGAAAATAGAAACTACATACTTTAGTCTGCATAAGCGGTCACTCGCGTGGCATCACAAAGTACTACCGTGAGATTCCAAAGCCGGCTTTTAATGCCACGGGACGGAGAAAACAGCACAACTCGCCTTTGAAAACAACGAGCGGTTCCCCTTCTTCTTCTACCACCTGCTCATCCATCCTCCCCACCTTCCCTCACAATAACCTCCCTCAACCACCTGCTCATCACCCTCCACACCTTCCCTCACACCTTCCCTCACACCTTCCCTCCCTCAACCACCTGCTCATCACCCCCCACACCTTCCCTCCCTCAACCACCTGCTCATCACCCCCCACACCTTCCCTCACAACAAACTTCTTGACTAATAACCACCTTCAATCAACAACTATTCCAACATAAACAACACCCCAACACAAGCTATGCTCGCTCACCACGATTTCCACGGCGACGGCGACATTCCCATGACCTTCGCCACGTCGGCCTTCGTCCCGATTCTCGCGGCTACCAGTGCTGGAGGCATCCCCGCCTCGGCCTCTGTCGTCCCTCACACCGGTCACCATGACCACAGCGCTCACAGCGGCCACGGTCCCCACAGCGCAAACGGTGACGTCCATGGCAGCGGCATGGCCCACGGCCACGGCATGGCGATGACGTTCACGACCAAATATACGACTCCCCTGCTGTTTTCGCGCTTGGTTCCCACGACTCCCTCGCAGGCGGTCGGCTTCGGCATCACGATCTTCGTCCTGGCGTTCACGTACCGCGCCCTGGTGTTCCTCCGCGCCTATCTCGAAGCCGTCTACTGGTCCCCCAAGCCTGCCTCGCCCGCTCCCACTTTCGGCGATGACGTTGGTGGTGAAAAGAGTCTGCGCCAGCGCGGCGTCGCTCAGGACTTCGACTGGATGAGGGAGACTGGAAGGATGCTGCTCACCGCCCTCACCAGCATGATTGGTTACGTCATCATGTTGATCGTCATGAGCTTGGTCGTGGTAAATTCCCCTAGACCCCAGATTGACGAGTGATATATGCTGACGGTGGTTGGTGGCGGGGATAGCCCTGGTTTTTCGCCGTTATTGCCGGTTTGGCAGTCGGTGAATTTTTCTTTTCCCGCCTGACGTCCGGAAGGAACGGTGGTGGTACTCATTAAACATATTCTTGCTGGCAGCCCGCACGGATCTCGAGCGTAAATGGGATACCTAAATTGTGGTGATAATGGGCAGCTGGATGTCGATTTCGTGAATTTTCGTACCTTTCCTTGCTGGCAGTGCGTTGAGAGGGCTGGCTTTCTTGTTTGACGGCTTTGTGTACGGCCGTATTTGTGTACAATAATTTGTCTTCTTTGATGATTGATGGTAGTCTTGTGGTCCATAAATGTAAAGTATTTTAGCGGCCATACATTGAACCCTCGGTGCCGAGTCCGCGGTGCCGAGTCCGCATGAGTGACCGTGAATTGTACCGATGGCTCGCGGACAAGAGGTCACTAATACAAGCATGAAGCGGCTTCATGGTATGTAGTCGGTTATCACATGTGTCTAACACACATAAGGTCCCCGGATCGAGCCTGGGTAAAGTCAGTTGTTCATTGCCCTCCAACATCAGCTAGGTGGGTAGTCAATAATCTTTTTATGATGATTGTTCGGGATCTTGAACTTGGAGATGTAATTCAACGCCTAGAGACGGTATGCTACGCTATGGTATGAAGTAAGAGACCGACCTAGCCAGAACCAGAAGAGACCAAGTAAAGTAGAAAAGAGCAACCGGCTAGACGAGGATCCTGTCAGCCCTCTCGTACAGCAGTTCCCACCAGCGCTTCCCCTCCGGCGTCCGTTCCAACAGAGGATTTGCGGTCTGCCGCAACTCGAACAACGTATCCATGAAGTTGACGTGCCAGCTTCCCGGTCCCCTGGTGTCCTTCCTCTCCGCGGCAACCCTGGCAGCAGCGTTGTAAGCGCACACCGCAGCCACGACGGCAGTGAGTTTCCGCTCCTTGTTCACCACCATGCAAGCGGCAATGATGCTTCCGAGGGAGCAGCCGGTACCCGTTACTCGCGCCTGGTAGTGGCTGCCATCGGAGAGCTTAAAGATGCTGACACCATCGGTGACGATATCGACGACACCGGTCATGACGACGATGTTGCGTTCCCTGAGCGCGAGCGCCTTCGCGATCCGGATTCTATCCAGCGGATCGGCGGCCTCGTTGTGGGCGCTGTCCACGCCGCGCTGCTGCACCGAGCTGTCGCCGTACACCGCGCGGATCTCGGATTCGTTGCCCTTGATCACGTCGCAGAAGCCCGAGGACACAATGAGGTGCGAGAACTGCAGGCGGGCGGGCGTGGCGCCCGCGCCAACCGGGTCGAAGACAACGGGGTTGCCACGCGCGTTGGCCGCCCTCATCGCGGCGAGGAAGAGCGGCTGCGCGTCTTTGCCCGCCGTGCCCATGTTGAGCACCAGCGCGCCACCGTGGTTCGCAAGATCGCCAACTTCCGATATCTCCTCCGACATGATGGGGGAAGCGCCGATCGCGAGCGTGACGTTGGCGGAGAAGTTTTTGACCACGTTGTTGGTGATGTGATGGACCATCGGACGGGCAGTGACGACCTTGGCAAGGACAGAGATAAAGTTCTCGCTGAAGTCGACGCCCGTGATGAACTGGCCGTGCTGGCGCTCGGCGAACGGCGGAACCTCGTCGACGAGCTTCCGGAGGACCTTGCTACTCTCGCACGCGTCGCTGGCGGCCATGATGGCCGAGACTACCGCGACGCCGGCTAGATGTTTTCGCGCTGGTGACGCCGGCGACACGCTCTGGTGCATCACGTAGTAGATGTTGTTCAAATTGATGCCGCCAATGGCGACCGCAGGAACGTCGCGGCCCCAATTGCCGCTGGGGCCAGGAAGCGTGCAGATGTGCTCGAGCAGGGCGCGGGCGCCCGTGGTGCCGAGCGGGGGGTTGTGATCAGGCTTCGTGCCCGTGGCGTATATGGGACCGACGCCGATGTAGTCGCAGCCGGTCTCAGCAGCCAGGTTCGCCTGTTCGACGTTGGACACGGAAACACCGATGATTTTGCCAGTGCCCAACATCCGACGGGCGTCGGCATACGCTGTCACCAGAACTTTAGCAAATGGTGCCATCTACAACAAGATGGACGGGATCGTACTGCAGTCGCTCCAGCCGATGTGTACTCCCTCGCAGCCGATGGCCAGCGCAACATCAACGCGGTCATTGATCAACAGTGGGATCCCAGCTGCCTTCGTGACCGTGTGAACCTTCCGGCCCAGCTCGATGAACGCGCGCGTGTTGAGCTTCTTCTCGCGCAACTGCACTATAGTCACCCCTCCGCGGATGGCATCCTTGACGTGCTCGACGAAGTCCTTTCCTTCCGGGACCAGGCCAGAATCGGTGACCAAGTAGAGGGCTAGGTCGGGCCTCAGATGTTTTGTCGGCATGATGCGAAAGTTGTGGTTGGATGATCCCAGGAGGAGGGGGGCGGAAGATCGGCGGAGACGGGGGTGGGGGCGGGGAACGAGGGGCTAAGGCTGTGGTTGGAGAGGGTGGTGGGGAGCGGTGACGGTGGATGTAGTGTTCGCGATTTTTGACTGGTGTTCGCCTCGTTCGTCATCTCGGCAACTTGCCGCCTCAGGCGGGGAACGTCGAGATCGCGATGGTGGGGTGCCATGCATGACGTCCTCGACGTAGAACGTGAGACTGACGGAACTTGCCGGGTCACTTTCCTTCTCCCCTGCATCTTCTTCTCGGGACTTCGGGAACCAGAGCGACCAAAAATTGCACTCGGGCAAACACCTCAGGCTGTGGTTCATCTTTCTCCCTTTGATATACATTGAAGTATTACCTACAAAAGCGGACCTTGTATCGCTTGTCTTGTCTGCAATCCTCGTTCCTTCCATCTCCAACCAAAGCACAATGTCTGCAGCCAAACCACCCACGGTGCTCACGATAGCTGGCAGTGATCCCTCTGGTGGAGCGGGCATCGAAGGTTCTTGACCCCGCATGGAAATATTCCGAACCCGCCAAGCTAAAAATTGGATGCGTGCATATATAGCCGACCTCAAGGTCATTACTGCGCACGGTTGTTATGGCATGACCACGATCACCGGCTTGACAGCGCAGAATACTCTCGGGGTTCGAGATATCTTCGTCATTCCGGCCGAGTTTGTCAAGAAATCTCTCGATGCGGTGTTTGAAGACATGCCGGTCGACGTCGTCAAGACGGGCATGTTGACGTCGGCAGCCACTATCGAGGTTGTGGCCGACGCTATGAAGCAGTGGAAAGTGGAGAAGTTGGTCCTTGATCCAGTGAGTGCCAATACATGGAGTGAAGCTGGTTTTGTCCTTGCTGAGTGTAACCCCATTTCGCAGGTCCTGATATCAACATCTGGCGCCCATTTGGTTCCGAGCGACGCTCTGGAAATGCTGAGAGAGGTTTTGCTACCGATGGCATTCATCGTGACTCCGAACCTGGCAGAGGCGCAGGTCCTGGCAGGAATTACTGAGTTTCGGGAGGTTGTCACTGTCGCGGATCTCAAGTCACTTGCCTCGCTCATCGGAACGCTGGGGCCGAAATACGTGCTGGTTAAGGGCGGCCATTCTCCGCTGATGAAGGATGGAACGCTTCCGCCACCGGGGAAGACGCCAGAGATTGTCGTCGACGTCCTGTTCGATCCGAAGACACACAAGTTTGAGATATTCGAGAAGCCGTACGTAGATAGTACGAGCACTCACGGCACCGGATGTTCGCTGGCTGCGGCTATTGCGAGCAACCTGGCGAAGGGCCAAGGGATTTCCGATGCTATCAGAGAGGCGGGGCAGTATATCTCGTGGGCGATCGAAACTGCTCCAGGCTTTGGCAGCGGAAAGGGGCCGCTGAACCACCTGCACAGCAACTACATGGTTCCTTTCGCACCGTCAGTATTGTCCAGTACGAGTGGAGAAAAATCGGCGTACTGACTTTGATAGTGGTCATTTTCTGGATTACCTCAAGGGCCACCCCAAAGTCCAAAAGGTCTGGGAGGGATACACCAGGCATGAGTTCATCAAGCGACTGGGTGCTGGAACCTTGACTGAAGATCAGTTTGCCTACTACCTGAGACAAGACTATCTCTTTCTGGTAGGGGTTGAATCCGTTGTTGTCGTTGAAGTTATTTGAGCTCCTGCTAAATCCGCAGACCCAATTTGCCCGCGCCCATTCTCTCGCCGGCTCCAAGGCGAACCGCATGGAAGACACCCTCGCGGCGGCCAAGATCGTGCAACACATTTACGAAGAGTCGCGTCTGCACATCAACTACTGCGAGGGCTTCGGCATCAGCAAGGAAGACATCGAGGCGACCGAAGAGGACATCGCGTGCACCGCCTACACGCGTTACGTGTGAGTACACACCTCCTCCCGGTATGCATCGAGCGGTGCTGAGCAGAACATACCGCGCAGTCTCGACATCGGCAACTCGCACGACGTACTCGCCCTACACGTCGCATTGGCGCCGTGCCTATTCGGCTACCACGAGATCGGCGCATGGCTCCTCGCGGACGCCAACACGAAGCATCACGACAATCCGTACTACAAGTGGATCCTGGTCTATGGCCAGTCCGAGTCGTATCTCAACGCCGTGCGGGAGGGCAGAGCGTTCTTGGAGAGGAAGGCGCGCGCCGCCGGCCCAGATCGCCTCGAGGAGTTGGTCGATATCTTTGCCCATGCGACGAAGATGGAGAAGGGCTTCTGGACTATGGGGTTGGAGGGCCCGGCGAGAAGGTTGGGCACCTCCGAGTGAATTTGCGTGAGCTGGACGTTCTTATGCGCAAAACTTGGATGTCAATCCGTTCGCCTCATCCGTACATACATAGAGGAACCAAAGAATCGGTTGCGATCTTACATAGAACTGGACGGGTGTGGATACATAGAACACCATTGATTTGTGCCGCTCCATCCAGAATCGGTGAAAGCCGTGGACCCCGTACTCTAGTCGGCCTTTCCCGATATGTAGAGTATGTAGACGGTGCTGGAACACTGGTCTCCGTCGGACTACAAGGGACGCCGTCGGAAATAATCATCGGCACTCCACTCACTCGGTCTCAACCGACGCACTTCCATCGTCCACCCATCCCACCATCCATTCATGCATCGTCATCACCGGCGGACGTCCAGTCCCGTCCCCGGTAATATCATAGTTGGTCGGAGGCGACAAGGACCAGCCACGAAGATCTCTTGCCACAGTAGTCTCCGCATGCGCATGCATGCTTGCATTCAGTCTTTCCCCTCGATCCCGCCATCCCATCATCCCAGCTCAACCAGCCAACCATGAGGTAAGTACCCAGCATACCTATTACCGGTACATATGATTACTATGTAGAATACCGTAGTTAAGGCTGTCCGGTGTTCGATATCCGCTACATACCTAAGACCTTTTTTGGTGCGGCGATCCGCGGACCGCAGACCGCCTCCTTCCTGTATCCCACGAAGCCGGAAAACCGGCGGGCCCGGGGCACATTGTTCGCGATTGAGTTTGTGTTTGCTTTTATGTTTGCTTTTGATGGATTGGTGGGGGTTTGGTTTGCCGTACATACCGGACATACCGCCGCTTCCTGCCCGCCGCCGCCGCATGCGGCATGCAAGGCTTGGACTGTGGAGACCGGACGGCGGAAACTACGGTACTATCATGACAGTAACGAGAAAGCCGGTGCCTAGATAGGTACTCAAAATACCAAGCTTTGAATGCTGGGGATTTACAGATCATGCGAAGGCGTACCTACCGTACTCCGGTACTCGTAAAGTATGTAGAGTATTGTAGAGCAGAGTAGGTAACCGGGTGCCAGGTGGTAGTTACCGAAACCCCCATGACCGTGGGGTAACTTCATACCGGCATGGGCCGAGGCTGACGCTTCCAGCTCAAGCACAAGCACGAGCTCGAGCTCGAGCTCAAGCTTTTTTCTCTTTCATTTCGGTAGTTAGATGAGCTTGAAGCTTCACCCCCATATCCAAAAAATTCCTCGATATAAAACTTATAAAACTGAGGCGTACTGGCGGCGCCGCGGGGCACTGGATGCGCTCCCGTGGAGGCCGTGGCGTATGTACCTTATGTATGCGTATATAGTACCCGAAGTAGGTATCCCGTCGACTTTAGGCAGCCGATGATCCCTATGATCCATCATTACCGGTTCTTCCATGCCCCGCCTCGCCCTGATCTGGCCTGCCCTGACGATTCGGGCGACGTTGCATCTTGGCATGGGGCTTTGGAGTACTCTACTACTCGGTACAAAGTACCTATGCGGCCCGTAATAGATACGTACTCGGCAGACATGCATTCGTATTTCGCAGCGCTGGGATAGCCTGGAGAGTTGATATGCTGGTCAAGTGATTTTTATGTGCCTGGATGTACTCTAGATCTTGGGTGAAGAAAAGAAGGCTTGCAGTACGAAACCAGAAAGAAAAACCTACACTGACCCGGGCCGAATGCGCCGGATCATCGGGGCTCGGAACCACTGGTGTGCTTCCTCCGATTGGGTGTTGACATAACCAGCCGAGGGGAATCGGGTGCCGAGCTGGCGGACCGGCAGATGTAGAGTAGGTACAGCAGGTACGGTATCTCGACCTGTACCACCCAGTCCGCCGGTTAGTTTGGTGATGCGTGGTGGTAGTTGGTTCTGACCGTTTGGAAGCGAGTAATGGCTGGCAGAGGTTATACTGGGTGGTCCGTGCAGGACCACGGAAGCGGGTATCACAATTATCTCGCCCAGCTGCGGCAGGCGATCGATTACCCATCACACTGGGAGAAGGGCCCTTGAATGCTGTGATCCTGAGCGGGTATAGGTGGCCGAATTCGCGGAGAACCGGGGAACCGTAGATTTCCATGTGGCGTTGGTCGATGGGGGGAGGAAGATGAAGTCCAGTAGTTATGCAGCAGTGCCGGCACTCTAGCTCGCCAGTGGTTTGCCATCCCACCGTTCGGATGCTACGATCCACTGAAGTTCACTATCGTGACGTTCAAATTCTCTTGAACACTCGCATGCTGTCCATGGGAACATCACTCGGGACTTCCGTTTCTGGCAGTCCAGCTTCGGGGGCCGCCGAGGCGCTAGTTAACGGTCGAAGTGGCCAATGGCCGCCTCGCAAGACGGAGCCCATCGGGATCCTCGCTTTGGTTCCACATGCGACCGCTGGGCGTGCCAGCATTCGCGCCAGCTCGTCTTGTGGCGTCACCAAAGGTGGTGGTGTTTCGAGAGTGAATGGAGAGCTAGGGAATCGCCAAGGTCTCGGTGGAGCCGGCGTTGCGATTTCCTTGGAGTCGATGGTCCGTTTAGATACCCATAGTAGGTAGGTAGGGTAAGTATCTAAATACCGGTATAGGTACCTGGTGCATACCGACGCTCCGGCAGTGCGAACACACGAATTACTACGGTACCAGTCCACGAAGCCGCCGCCCATCTCACCTCTAGTTACCGGCGGGCCAAATCTCGTTAGAGAACACAAAGCCCGTCCCTGAGAAAGGCGGTCGTATTTCCTGTTCGGCGAACGTTTCTCGAGTACCTATTTTCCTCACCCACGTACCTACCGCCTACGTAGCTTTGCGAGCCGGGATGTGAAGTCGCCCGGCCAATCAGAGTCTCCGCCCTGCATCCTCAGTTTAGGGCTGTGGTTACACGACACGCCTCGAACCCCTCACCCATGCAGCTTGCATGATGTGATGTCGCCCGCCCTAATTCTGGTACCCGAGCTTTACCTGCCTACCACACTCACCCCCCCCCCCCAAACCATGGCCGTGCGCCGATGAGACTCCTTTAAGAGCCCTCTCTTTCGTTTGGCTTCTTCTTTGAACACCCTCCCACCGTATTTGCTCGCTCTCTCGAAATAAAATAAAAATATCTCCTGGTCTATGCATCTCATTGATCCCCTACCATTATTGTCACCGAAGACCACTCGTCCCTCTTCAACTCTACTCCTCCGGCCCACCGTCGACACCATCACCGACGATAAGCTCACTGTAAATGCCTTCCCCCCCTACCTTTTGTCGCCATAACCTCACATAGACCCCGTTGAAAGACACAACTTTCTGCTTCTCACAGAGAATCCGCTTGCACAATGTCCGCAATGGCAAACAAGTCGCGACCGATCCCCCGGCCTTCCACTCCGCGGCCGTCGACTCCACGACAGAAACATCGCGTTATGAAGCCTGCAACCGTGCAGAAGAGTCTGCCCACTCCGCGGCCCTCGCAGTCTCCTTCCCCGCACGTCTCGCGGCCATCGACGCCGGCAAACACGGTCGCCCAGAACCGCCGTCGCACCGCACCCAAGAACGTAACGTATACAAGCACTTGCGCTTCCAACGGCCCTCAACAGCAGTCTACGGTTAACTGGGACTGCGTCTCGTATGTTGTCTCGGACCAGAAGATCCATTCCGCATACGAGAAGCCGACCATGGAGCCCGGTACAAACACCGTCACATCCTATGGTCGCATCGTCACCACTACAACCACCACAACCGTCACCACCACCATCGCCACCACTGAGATCCTACATCCGGGTGAGACTGGGTACGAGGAGTCGTTGGCGCGACAACAGGCTTTGACACTGGCTGCGCCCGAAGAGCGCCAGATGCTCGAAAAGCGATTCCAGGAGAGCAGGTCTTGGTCGGCGGGTACGAATAAGGCCGGTCACGAGATGCTGCATCAGGATCACCACCGCAGTGCAGAGCCCACCAAGGCTATTTACGACAGCATAGATGCATGATTCATGCACTCACTTCCTTGCCATCTGATTTTTTGTTTTGGACCACGAACATGTGGACTCCTCCCCCTTACCCCCCTCCCCTTCTCCCCCCACCCGGGGCGGGACACATGGCTTTCGAGGACTTGCAGGAGCCAGGTCAGTTTCTTTTTTTTTTGCCTTGTGTGATACCTACACCTGCCGTGTGTTCCCGCCCCGCTACATCCTCCCGGAATATTGGACCAATACAACCTGGACCCTGGAACGTGCCTGCCCGCTTGGATTTAAGTCGAGCCATTGGAATCTCCCTGGATGAGCGATCCGCCCTCAAATGCCTGGATTGGACTGGATTGTAATGAAGAAAGAAAAAAAAGGTTGGCCGGACCTGCCATCTGTGACCGGCCCGGTCAAGGAAACAGTAAACACACCCATGTGCCTCCCGCCCATTTGGAAAGCCTGGAATTGGAACCTCCCCCTCATTGGATTGGATGGCCACTGGAAGTCGCTGCCCCTGGACGTCGCTACCCTTGGACTGCCGGATCAGGATCTGCTGGAGGACGACGAGGACTTTGCGATGCGGGAAGGTTACATAACGGCCACAGAGCGAGGCGCTTGGTGTTGTGGTGTTGTTGGACTTGTGCTTGGGGCTTTATCCGGGGTTCTGTCTTCTTTTTATCCCTTTTTTCTACTCTTTTTCTATTGACCGTTGTTTTCGTTCCTTTCTGTTTGGACTGTACCACTTGGAGGGTTTATGGAGCGGGAGTTTTGTTTTTACCACCTTTTTCCTGTTTTTGTTTTTACTTTCTGTTGTTCTCGTTGGGGGTTTACTTTCTTATCTTTTGGATTCGTGCATTCGTGGGGGAGCTAATTCAGTGTGATATGACCGGCGGCGGGTTTCAAAGAGGAATAATTGAAGTGGAATGGGGTCGGGATTGGATTGGAGTGTTTCTCATTTCGCTTGACTTACGAATGTCTACTGAAGTACTACTCTTACCGCCGGTGGTTTCCTTCAGCTGTTGGTTCTGGTGCTTGTTCTACCGATGGACTCGCATGGTTCTGCTTGCTCTCTCTCTCTGCTCTCTCTGCTCTTTCTAGTCTACTCTACTCTACTCTGATCTTTACCAGTATGATACCTACTACCTACGGATCATGCAATGACATAACATGACGAAGTTCTGATTCTCCAGGTTCGTGGATAAACAAAATAGTCTTCACGATGAAATACTACTAGGTAATGGAGACACTTATTCTCGGATGTACCACCCGCATGTGACTTGTGATTAGATTACCGGTAGGCTCACCGGTAGGCTCAGGAAAGTGAGACCGGCGAGGCGAGTCGCCGTCATACCTAAGCGTGATCATCCAAGATCCAGCTGATACCGTAGGGAGCGCAAGAACCCGCACCGCACAGCACCGCACTGCAATACTGGTATCTACTGTGCATACATGCCTGCGACTTACGAATAGGGAAAAAGTTCGTGAGAACTCTACTGGTCAGTACTGTTGGATACTGTTGAGTACTGTTGAGTATTGTTGAAGGGCGGTGTGGAAGTAGCTGGCGTGTCCGTGTCCGTGTCCGTGTCTGCGGAGCAGCCAGCCCCGCTGCCCCGGCCCTGTCGGTGGCGATGCGCATGCACCGGACAGGGAACCGAAGTATGGAGTGCCTCCCTTTGGCCAGGGCCGGCCGGCTGGCTCGATTCGATCCAGCGAGCGCACACCCCCTAGCATCCAAGCTTATCCGCCAGGCTATCATCTACACACCACCTGTAAGTACTGTATACCACCTACCCGAATAGCCATATGTTTCATTCCTATAGTGGCGCAGGGCAGTCGGTCCATCGGTCAGTCAGAGTTGGCCCGATCGGCGCCGCGCGAACTCTTGGGGCTGATTGGTGCGGCTAGGTTTCGGAACGTGCACAGCCAGCCATATACACATACGTGAGTGGACTGTAACTAACGGGGAGGTCCCAGAGATAAAGCCTAAGGGCTTGGGGTTGCACCAACGGGCGTCTTGTAGGTACCTACAAGTGTCTGACTGGACAATGGCAGAGGCACAAGGTATCACTCGCTCGGGATAGATATCGAGCCGAAGGGATGGGATGGGGTTAAAAGAAGGTTTCGCTTCATTGCCATGATCTACCCACCTAGGTCGTATGGAATCAATTATCCAAGCGGATAAATAAAGAATCTTCCACTCCAGCGCCCACCAGGCGAATGCGATATCTAATAAAACTCTGGGTCGTGGCTCGTGAGGTTTAACTTCTGCCTTAGGTACCCAGATTATCGTTCAATCGTCTGGATGAGTTCCCAGATATCTCGTTCCTTCCGTCGGGTCTATGGCTCGGACTCTCGGCAGGAGGATTATTGTCCAGACGGGGTTAAGGTTTGGTAGGTGCCTGAAGACTGAAATAGTGTCGGTCTCAATGTAGCCCGTATGTGTACCTTAACTTAACTTTCGGCACTTTAGTTCCATGGCCGTGGCTATTTTGTGGTGGCTTTGGCTGGAAGTCTGGGAAGCTTAGGGTGCAGATTCGGTACATAAGTCTAAGATGGACCGATCTCCCTTGGTACCATTGTAATTTCTATGAATTATGAGAGCGCACGTGCCGGAATGTCCAGAAGTAGGTGGGAATTGTCTGGTCGGTTGAGAGTGAGGTTGGGAACGGCTCGGTACAGGCAGGAGAGTGCTCCATAGGATGCAACGGGTTCGCCCGGCCATCCGTGGCATGATGGATCTGTAAGTAGGCTTTCTTATTCGGAAGATAATGGTATTTCTTATATCGTGACTTCGGATCCCATCGAAAGAGCACGGAGTCTGGCCAACCTCCACTCAGGGAATGAACGTCCCACTAATTTTGATCCACCGGCCATACCATGGTCCATATGTAGCATTCAACCATCCGGCAATATCTTAAACCTCTGGATATAGATACCTCAACGCCCCCTCTCTCTCTCACGGCCAGTACGTTAGAGGCCTCCTTTCCCGACTCCACCGGAACATGCCGCCTTATGATTGCTCATTCAGTCACCTCTTTGTGGTGATACGTACAAGTGCCTAGCAGTATCACGTTCATCTTCATCGAAACCCACTCGGCCGCACGTGCTTGATCTTCATCGGAACCCGCTCGGCCACACGAGTGACAGCTGCAGCATGCTACGACCTGAAAGCAAGATGAATGAAATCCTCTGGCGAGAGGCGGATAAGCCTGAACAGAAGAAGGTCCGACGAAATACTCGAATTTGCTGTCTTGAGCTGCATTTTGTACCATATTGTACTATATGGTTGAGCTGTGTGCGCTTCGACACGAGTTGGAACAGCTGCAGCTCGCCCGGAGTAGTAAACAAACTGTTCCCTTCCCTTCTCACCAACTCACCTCTCTTTCTTTCTCTTTCCACTACAATTACCACTCCCTCGCTCCCCCTCTTCGATTTGAAAATCTCGCCGATATCACCGCCATCCAACCCGTCAATCTGTTGTTTGATTTCGCCCGACAGATATGTGCCTGACTGCCCCCGCTGACGAGCTGCAAGACCACAATATGTCTGCTTTGGCATCGCCGCACGACGAGTCGCCGGCTCATACGCCGCTTCCAGTTTCAGCATCCCCGCATGCCGACTCGCCCGCTCATACGAAGTACCCTGCGAGGACATCTTCGCGCACTGAATCGCACGCTCATACGGTGCATGCTGTTGCAGCATACTCGCCCGCTGAGTCGCCCGCTGAGTCGTCCTCTGAGTCGTCCTCTGAGTCGCCTGCTGAGTCGCCCGCTCATACTCCGCTCCCCAATCCAGCATCCCCGCTCGCTGAGTCGTCTGCTCATACGGCGCATCCTGTCTCGGCACACTCGCACGCTGAGTCGCCCTCTCATAAGCCCCACCCTACTTCGACATCGCCGCTCGCTAAGTCGCCTGGCCTTACCCCACTCCCCGCCTCGACACCAAACAAGTCGGCTGAACGACCATTCTCTACTCTTCCTCTTCCTGTCACAGTTGGCCCCTTTCATCCACCCCTTCTGCGTCGTCCCTCCACTACAACTTCGCTCACTCCCCTCACTACTCCATCTCTCTCCCACCCCGTGGTTACACATTCGAATACTCATCACCACAGTCGCACTCAGTCGCTCAGCTTTGCAAACGTCGCCGACTTTGTTTCGCAAAAGAAAAAGAGACTATCACTCAGCATGACTAAGATGAGCAACAAGCAGAAAAAGAAGAAGGAGGAGGACCCCAAGGCCGATACACCGGCGTTCACGATGCACCCGGGAACACCTGTTCGCTACGATCAGACGAAAGACAATGAAGATTCCCTCCTTGAGCAGGATCCGAGGCTAAAGTCGATGACACCGTTTCAGAGATTGGCCGCCGGCGTTCTCCCAAAAGGATCTCCCGGCAGACCGGTGACTCCGCCAGACCCATTCGCTCCTTCCGCGAGTACCTCACCTCCCTCCTGCCCCACGAGACCTCCTCCTCCCCCTCCTGTTACGCCCACCAGAGCTCTGAGGAACATGCCGCACGCTCCGACTGCGCCGTTCCGTCCGACTCCCGCCCCGAGGGTTGAACAAGAGAGTGAAGGTTCCAAAGGTACCGATGAATTGCCTCAGCAGAAGAGAGACCTGGCCGCCCAGCGCGGACCTATAGGCACTGGACATCGTCGGGCTCGAGCCCAGACAATCAACGAGTATCCGAGTACCGCTAGCCAGGTTGCTCCGAGAAGTAATTCGACCAACCATATCGAGAATGCGACGAGTTCCCCCATGAAGATGCTTGGAAGAGTGTTTGGTGGACGCTCCACCACCCCCGCTGCACCTGCTCGCCCTCCGAAGCCGGAGACTCCAGACAGACCTCCCGTCAAGATTATCAGGTCCCCGATGAATGATGACTCGAGACGGGTGGCGCATTTCGGATATGCGGATATGATGGCGGCTGGTGGAGATGTTAGCAGCATCGCGGCGATCCCCAAGTTCCAGGAATCCAGCGGCCAACAGGCAAATGCCCGATATACGAAGATGATGGACGGCCTCAAGTCCGATAGCGAGAGGAAGGCTGAAGAGCTCGAGATTTTGAAGGCGGCATTCGCTAAGATTGCTACCGATCTCAAAGCGGATGCGGAGAGGAAGGACCAGGAGATCACGGCATTGAAGGCTGCTGTTGCCGCTTTGAGTGTCGGAAAGGTAATAACAGTCACCCGATGGTCTTATGGCAATCTATTAACTCAAAATCTAGGTCACCACAGTCGCGAAATCGACCTGGGAGATGCTCGAATCCAAAGGTCTGCTGAAGAACATCCTCGGAAGGGTGAGGATTTCTCTCTCGAAAGCTGCTATGGTGCACAACTAATACATGAGAGCAGCTGGCAAAGAAGGACCTGTGTAGCCTGACTAGGGTCTCGAAGTACATGAAGAGTGTGGCAGAGCCTGTCCTCTACAAGGAGCTCGACTTTTCGCCGAAGCTCCCCCACGAATTTTCGTATGCGTACCTCACGTTTAGACTCACGAAGCTTCTACGTGCTGGAAATGGCCCCAAGCTGGCGAAGTACACCACGTACTTCAGAGTCGGATCCGGTTGGCAGGAGAACGCCATAATTTACTTGGACTCATCCAATCCCAAAGAGCCGGCGCGGCCACTAACCAGCCCGAAGAATATCAAAGACGGAGAGCTTGAATGGTCCATGGAGAGACTCAAGGCGCTTTTGGACAATGAAGGAGTCCAGGGAGGAGATGGCGGGGCCAAAGAAGCCAAGGCTTACATGAATGCAGTTCTTAACTTTACGGAGGAAGTTGAGACTTTGATCTGGGACTCGCCGATCCCATTGAAGATCAACAACAATGGTATTCCGTTCAAGCTGGTGGAACTGAAGACCTTGAAGATGAACCTCGGAACTCCCACTACGTTGCCTTCCAGGGAGCCAGGCAAGGAGGCGCCGAAGCTGTACTCGTACCGACCGAACATCAGTTTCCTGAGATTCTGCTGTTTGGTTACGTTGAATCTCTACAACATTGCGACCAGAGATAGTTGTTGGTGGTCGCACATCTACCTTTTCGTCAGCCGTATGGCTTCAAGCCTACGCCACCTCACGTTGGAGATGTGTCCGATAGAGGACATTACGGCGGTGCGTTTCCCTCAACTGTTCGTTCCAGGGCAAGACCTCGATGGTTTGAGGAACCCAGTCCACATTGGATGGGATAACCGGTTCAGCGTTGCTGGTGGAAAGGGTCTTCGCATTGAGACCCTTCAACTCCGTGGCTTCATCGTCAGTGAAGACACATTCGACGATGTTCTGGATCCGGAGGTGCTGCGTACCGTCAAGTTGTTTGGCTGTATGCGAATGAAGGAGTGGGAGATGAGCAATGCTCATGCTCGCCACATCAAGAATTTCGAGACTGATGGTTGGGGATTTCTCGGCTCCGCCCTGCGTATCGCCAAGCACGATCCCAAAGAGATCGTTTTCACGCCGACGGAGACCAGGCCCATGGAAGAAGCCCTGGGAGAACTCGTCAAGCGCAGCATGACGATCAGCAAGCTCAAGCTTTCCGCTGTCTGCTTCGTGGAGACCGATGCGATCAAGGTCTTCGTGGGTTCCGGAAACGGTGTTAGGCATCTCGAGATCGCCCTCAAGAGGGAGCAGTGGGACCACTTCGTCTGGAACCTGCACAACCTTCGCCACATCGTTCATGTGACGGTGTTTGTGGACGAGGGTGGCAAGAAGCCGACGAAGGGGCACCGCAAGCGCTACCCCGCCGACGATGCCGAGGAGATGGTCACTACAATGGGCCCCAAGACCTTGCGCGAGGTGGGAGTCGGAGGTCACGTCTGGGCCATCAAGTGGGTCAACAAGGAGAAGTTCAAGCTGGTGAAGATCCAGTCTGTCCCGGCCAACCTCTCCCGCCAGGACTTGGCCGGCGCTACAAAGTTCCTAAATAGTGGAGCCAAGCTGGTTGACGTCCGGAGAAAGGTGAAGACCACCAAGTAAACGGTCCTTTAGACCCGAGGTGTGGGTTGCGTAGTTAAAATTTCCTGAGGCAATCTAATTTTGAGATTGCCAACTTTTGTTTTTTCTTCTTCAGTTTTTCAGTTTTTCATTTTTTCATTTTTTTGTTGTTCATGATACCATTTAGTAGAAGACAGCGGTGTAGGGAAATATGTGTGCTCTTGTGGAAATAATGCGTGGCAGGTGGCAGCTTAGATTCAGGTATAGATGTTCTTCTGGAATCTGATGTCGTTTTACCCTAGGGAGGATGCCACAGACGGGGATTGATCTGGATATTAGAGTCCATGCATTCAATTCATACTGCTGAAAGACGTCCTTTTCTACAGAACAAAACTGTGCTACTTCTTCATATGCACAATTGATCAGTGGACCATAGGTCGATCAAAACAAGCCCTCCCTCCCCCATGGTAGGTGCACTCAAACGGCCCACCGCATGTTACGCCCCTCTCCACCACCCCTTCGCATCCCTTCCCAGCTCCACCGTACCGAACCCCAGCCTGGTACACACCCCGCCGCCTCACCACCTCACCTCCCTATCGACCCAATGATAGCCACTCGGCGCCCACTTATCGTTCTCGTTCTCGTTCTCCCCACGGCGGGCATCTTCGTTCCTCTTCAGCGCACGCAGAGCCCAGTACCCCACCATCTCCTTCTCGGCGACCATCTGCTCGGCGTGCCGCCCGAGTTGGACTTCGGCGGGATGGGGAGGCTGAAGAGCATCGTTAGGTTCGAGAGCGGGTGCGGTGTGGTGGGGTGGGAGTGGGGGGAATTGAGGGATTGGGGAAAATTCGGGAAGGACGACGATGGCGATGCCGGTGGGTACGGCCCCAAGGACTCGCGCGAGGAGGGAGGGTGTGTAGGAAGAGAGGCCAATACGAGCGGAAGAGAAGAAGAAGAAGACGGAAGATATGCAAGATTTGCCCCCAGCAGTGGAAAGGCGTGTTCTGAACTACATACGTGGCCGAATGCTGTTGATACGACAAGACAGCAAAGTTTGGGTTTGTGAATGACGAAGGCGGGAGAGTTTGGATCCTCACGAAGAATGTATGCACGTCAAGTGCTTTAAGACTGACGGCGGGTCATAGAGCTAAACACGCCGTACTAACAATTTCATTCATGCTGAGCCGAAGCTGTTAACGTGGCGGTATGGTATATCAAGAATCGGGTCGTACATAGAGCTCTTGGAAGATTACCGTACGAGGCTTTACTCTATATGATCAGAATCCTCGCTCATAATCTTTTGTCCCAGCGGAAGTGACAAAACGTCCGTCGATTCATCGCAGCTTGAGAACGGATGCTAGGTTATTTTGGTGGGACGGCTAGATACTGTATGGACTAAAACTTTAAACCATCCATCGACCTAGTGTGACCAAAAAAAAAACGACGAGTGACTTCACCCAGGCTCGATCTGGGGACCTTGTGTGTGTTAGACACATGTGATAACCAACTACACCATGAAGCCATTGCGTGTCAGAGTTGGCTAGAACCAGATATGAAGACCACTCAATGTCTACAAGATACTCGAAATGGATATTGCTCTCGCAGCACTGCGCGACATTGCGCGAGTGACACGTTGTGGATACGAGCACCCATCTGTTGTTGGGAACAGCAGCAAAGCAGCATAGTAAAAACTTCGTTTCCTCGCACAGCATCCAGGGAGATGATGTTTTTATTATAGAGGAAAACCCGAAGGTAAAAAACCTCTCCACGTAAGGGGCGGTATGTCAGTTCGCTCTGCTCTTGCCACGCTGTTGTGCTTGCTCTTGACTCTTAAATCTTGAATTTTGAAGGATTAAAAGCGGAGGTGGGGGGGTATAAAAGCGGAGGGAGGGAGGTATAAAATAGGAGGGAGGGAAGGAGAAGGAGTGGCTAAGGTAGGAGGGAAATCAGAGAGGAAGGACGGAGGAGGGGTATTTATCTGTGCGGGCTTGGAGGCTTGGAAGTTGATTTTCACTACTTGGTAGCAGATAGAATTTAGTTGGTCGAAGTTGAAGCACAAAGTGTAAGCTTGAAATGAGTGTGACTGTAAAACCCAATTACGTCTCAAGCCCGACGACCCCAGCAAAGATTCCCAGCTTCCCGGCACTGAAATTTGATCCTTCCGACATCACGACCGCCGTTACATACAACATGGCGTGAAGATGCGCCGAGTCCCTCGGGGAGTGAAGCTGGTACCGACTCCCTCGCTCGCAATAACATCCCGTGGGTTAGCAACCTCGGCAGGCTCGGCGGGATCGAGTGTTTTACCAACCTTGATCTTCGTCGGTCGTACGATATTGCCATTGACGATATCTCACCATTAGCAAGCCCTAAAAGCAATTTTCCAAGTCCTGGACTAGAGAATATACCATGTCGAGCCGTGTACTAAAGTCAAAAGCATTATGGCAGCCATCTATGAGGGCGCTTTTAACACGACACTCTTGACGAAAAAATACTAATATTAGTATTTTTCCCCCAAAATTCTCGTCGTAAAATAAGGCTTAGTCAGGGTTTTCAAATTCCCGCTCTTTTTGTTGAATATGGCTTCCACAATCCTGAGTGCAGTGAAAATCAGTCCCGACTCGTAAGCCTTCTGCAACGCCTACTGGCCGGCCCGCCTTAGAATCTCATAAAGGTTCCATATGGGCTCTGTAGGGAATTTTGAAAAACAAGGATTAGTAAGGCTTATACGCTCATAAGTATTCCCTAATGACTTCTTCTGACAAGTCTCATCGCTTGCAATGCTTATCACTTATCGATGCTCTTCATTTCAAGATGACTATCACTTGTTCCGTACCCTTATACACTTAAACTACTCTTCTTCCCCGCTTCCCAGTCCCCGGCCACCATTCCCATACCGTCTCCCGCTCACTATAGTACTGTGTTCCCGTACCTCTCCTCGTCGTGGATAACTTGCTGGTATCGAGGGGAGGAAGTAGGAGAAGTGATGCAGGAGCTGTCAGCGAGACGATGAAGTGATGGAGGGCCTAGGAGGACATGTCAGCGAGAGGAGGAAGTGATAGGGGAGCTGTGGGCAAGAGGAGGAGCTGTCAGCGAGGCCATGAAGTTATGGAGGACCTATCTGGGACTGGACGGACGATTCCCAGGCCTGGTGATGGGGGAGCTGTGGGCGAGAGGAGGAGTTTGTTAGAAAGATGAAGAGGACGGGCCGTGGGCTCGAGAGTTTTAAACTGAAAAATAAGCTTCATCATATCTGTCTTCAGAAAACTCTGCGCCTAACCATACGCCGAGCGTGTGGCGCTCTAAGGATTTTCTGTCTCGAACTAATATATGCCATAATGCTTCAAAAAGCCTGCCAGTTTCACAGTCATTATTGTACGGCAGTGCTGTGTATTTCAACAATAACAATATACGCCTGACGAAAGCTATGAGGCTTACAAAAGTGAGAAGGCCGATTTATGCGATGGTAGTTTTCGCTGCATAGGCATTATGTAGGAGTTACGACAATTTTAGGGAAATTGGAACATCAGCCTTATTTTGACATAGCCCTTACGGAGGCCTCACGAGTTCAACGTGCTTATAGCTGGCTTATACGAGGACTGTTTTATTTCGTAAGCCTATTCAAGCCCTACATAAGGCTAACGACATTAGTACACGGCTCAATATGGTATGTATCTATTATGCTGCCCAAGGAGTTTCGGTAGGTTTTTGATCTGTAGCGAGGTATGGGCAGAAGCCTTGTCGGTGTTTGGTTGGCATGACTGCGGATTGGTGGGGTGAATCGATTCGCCGGAGTCTTGTTGTCTTGTTGCAGATCCGGGCTCATAACCTGTAGTTTGGGCGGTGCGGAAGTTCAGATCGTATGGACGGAAGGTTTGGTAGAGAGATAGAGGCGGAGAACAAGTGATTGAATTGACTGTTTTGCTTGGTAGAGATAGGAAAACGGCGGAAAACATGGGCGGTTTATATACAACAAAATGACAAGAGGTACAGTGCTATACAGAACGACACCTGTCTTCCAATCCTCGAGCTTTCTCTTCCCACATTGCGTATGCCCATTGCGAATAGCCATTGCGTGTCATATCTTCTCCCACATTACGCGTCCTAGATTTTGAGTTTGCCAGGCTGTGGTGACGCACTTTTCTTCAGCAGTTTCGCAGCGGTCGGGCTGTCTGAGCGCCATGCGCGATAACCACAGTCTGGTCTACTATCACCGCCGCACCGCCCATCGTGTGGAGTACCTAAGTAGGCATCGGTGTGTCTCGGGCAGGTTTCCACAGCGCGTATGCATAGCTCAGTGGAGATGAGTGCAATGTTCGACATAGTCCGGTCCGGGCTGAAGTCCGGACTGGACGGGCCGCCAAGATCTGGTCCCGTCCGGCCATTTGTACGGACTGCTCAAAGGTAGTCCGTCCAGTCCAGTCCATAAATCTCGTGGACTGCAGTCGACTACAGTCCGATTTGCACTTGGTTCCACTTAAAAAAAAACACTTTTGGGTGCTGAAAATTGCCTATCACATGACATTCCAGCGCGTTCTTCTTCCATCGTGCCTTACTTTGGCGTGATTTTGCCAGTGCTAGAAGAAAAAAACTTGCTTCATCTCTTGGTTTTAGACTGCAGTTCGTCCTGGCCTCGATTTGTTTTGGACTAGGCAGTCCGTCCGAACACCGCTCCCGGACGGACTACCAAGATACAGTCCAGTCCCGTCCGAGGCTTAGGACGGACGGACTGGACTATGTCGAACACGGGATGAGTGTTGATCGGACGGGGCGGTCGGTGGAAGGGAAGTCCAAATGCAGATGTTTCTGGCTTGTGCGTACATACCTCGTAGATACGTAGATTTCGGAATGGCATCCACTGTCAGATCACTACGGTACATATCTCGAGCTGTTCGACTTTGACAAGCGGCGAGAATCGAGGATATCTATTTAAAGTAGCATTGACTATTGGACTATTAAATCCAATCGGATGGGCCGGGCGACGGGCGTTCGTGCCGGTGTTGGTGTTAGATTTCGATGCGGCGACCGACAGCGCGGCTCGGGGCAAAGCCGGGGAATCGCTGGCTACAGAGAGAGACAGTGGTGATTAGCGACCGGATCCACCTGGGGGAAGGAAGAGCTATCCCCGGTCCATGGCGAGGGCGCGAAGGAAGAGGCGGCTTGGCGTCATCGGTAAGCACCGGGGAGAGGAGACCTTGTTGAGACCTGGTGGGTCCGATGTGTTATGCAGGTGGGACCCGATGCAGCCCGATGCGGTCGTTTGGACGTTGAATCCTTTCTGTTGTCACTATTCCTGTTCTTCCTGTTCTTCGGTTGGTCTCTTATCCTCATCGCCCTGTACATCATCATAATCATCATCAACGACCGAGAATTCTGCTTCAATTGATCACGCTTTTGTCCCTCACCTGCCATGGCCGGCTGACTGATCAAGCCTCCTCTTCCGAACGCGTCCGGTAACTACCGTACCTGCTCTACGCACTGCTGTTGTTTGAGGCACTCTGCAACTTCTCATGGCCGTCCTGGTCCGCAACGCAAACATCCTTTCGTTGTTTCCGTGTTCCACTCACCTCTAGACTCTACTATGATACCTAGTGCCCCTTTTTCTCCATGGAGTGCCAAGACGTGCATGTTGTCCCGTTCGAATGACTGATTCACTTTTCCAGAGCCAGCCGAAGGATTGTCGGTGGGGCGGATAAATTGATCGATTGACCATTCGAAACAGAAGAAGCTAACGACCCTATTAGTGCGGCGCATGAAGTCCAACGGAGTCAGCATGGAGTCTGGACACCATCCGTATCATGTGTAACCACTCCACACACCACCCGGCGACATCTGTTGTTCTACATACATGCCCCCTTCCCCCACCGCTCGTCATTGCGTGGGCCCCCACTCGGAACAGGATAGGGATGAAGGGTGGAAGTGGAACATTGCACATTACACATTACAGCAGACAACTAACTAACTACACCGAGTCTCAGACATGTCATATCCTGTCCGGAATAGTCCCGTCTGGAAGGCTTGATTGGCCGGAACGCTTCGTCAAATACTTGGGCTGTCCCTGTGATCCTTCAGCATGAGCAGACGTTCGGAAGATCCCTCTTCTTACCTGAAATGCATGGCTGTTGACTGTTGGAGGATTTGGCATTCGCACCATTCTCGGACTCGACCCGTCTCCTGCCCATGGGGTGGCTGGACGTACATGGATACTGGTGGGGTCGGCCTCCCTTCGGTTCGGTTAAACTACTCGTTTCTCTTTACGATGTTTTTTTTTCTCCGACGCACTATCCGCGCTCGTTCCAGTACAGCTTTGGATGTTCTCGAAGTGTCTCCCATCCATCGGTCAGGACTGCAAGCCCCCCAGAAATGCGCAGGATGATCGAGCAGCCTTTCCTTTCCGCCGCGGCTTGCCTGCGAGAGGGTGCAGGTAACTGCGTGGTGCCGTGTACGGGTCGGCGAGTCATTTTGGCCGGCAACAGCAAAAAAATACGGTACAGCGGGACACCACGATTGAGCAATGAGAACTCGGTGACCCGTCTGCGCTAGGACCTCAGTGTCTCAACCGAACTGAACGCGCTCAACTCCGAGAAAGCCAGATTTGGCGATCCCCATCACTGCTCGTAACGAATACGAATCGGCCGGAGCATCGAAACACTCGACTCCTCCATCCACGGCGGACTGAGGGAAAGTGCAACTTGCATGCTCTGGACCAGTGAAACCGTTGCTTCCCCAGATCTTGGCGGCGTCGATCCTGCCGACGCTATTCGACCGCATTCATCGGAGCGAGGGTGGGGGTGCCAACCTGCGAACCCTGGAATGCATATTTACATGCTTACTTGGTTACTAAGTAGCGTACATTAGTATCCTTCCCAGCCAACTGTCTCGGAGACGACACCGAGCTGATGTAGGGATTGCGCGGTAATCGTGTTAACAATTAGCGTCCTCTTTCTTCTTTTTCTTCCGCCGTGTACAGCAAACTCGTTCACGCCATTGTCTCGCTGCAGTACCTACCCCGTATCGATCCTGGTCTTTGATTCTCCTCCCATCCGGGGCCCCCGTGAGAATTGGGATCCATAACGAGCCCTTGTCCAATCCCCGCAACGACAAGTCAGATCCGCCAAGCGTCCGGGTTAGAGCGCTTTACTGGCAGGCTCGCTGGGGAGACCTATTACAATCGACTTTCTGTACTGGTCAAGTGTTTGCTCCTTTTTATGCCGCCGCACCTTTAAATACTGTCTTTCCACACCAGGCCCTGGGTGGCGTCAGGGAAATCCCCCGACTGGGAACTACCTAGATTCCATTCGGTACGGTACTCTACTCTACCCAAGTACATACTTGGAAACTGGAATAGGAGACATCTGACACTCGGCGTCACCTAGGTAACTGCTCTACATATCTACATGGTATTTTCTCTAGTCGGGATATTGCGTTCACGGCTCGCGGTCTTTCTTAGTTACTAGTTATAACTAGTATGTACTACCAGTACATACCTAGTGGACGTTGGCCGTCAGCACGTCACGGGAATTGGCGGACGGGTGAAACCACGGAGGGTTCGCCTTCTAGGGAGGCGAAAGACGCTAAAAGTCGGCAGTCGGCAGAGCGTACGGGTCCGTAGTGGAGATTCACCTGCTCGTCATGCGTAGATCGGAAAAGTTCAGGCGCCGAGCAGACATATACGAGGGGCCCGTGCCGAAAATTGGGGAAGGGGGAGGGAAGGGGGACGATGGTGATTAGCAGTTGGCAGTTGGTCGACAGCGGGATGCCCTGGTATTTACAATCCATACCCCAACATTTCGCCCGTCTCGAACTTGCTGGTTTTCTCGAGGATTTCTCCGCTGCTCCATCTTGGTAGAGCACATGCGATGCAAGCTCCTTGAGTGGCGTCTGCAGATATTTGTGGCCAAGACATCGGATATCCAGTCCTTTCTCGGCAGTTTCCTTTTCACTCCTAAAGGGCTACATACGAAATGAAAAATCCTCTGCGCTCGTCGAAAAGGGAGGGCCATAGGCAAAACCACGACTGCATATGCGGGGCACAGACGACGGGGCTTACTCGGTAGACATAAACACTGTCACTGCTATGTACCCAAGTACCTACTTCATCCAACGCTGTTTCCACGTCCTTTAGCTACCGAGTGCACGACGACCGACGGTTGAATGCACTCAAGCTGGGGGCCGATATCAGAGATATGTACATGCCTGGGTTTCTGGGGCTGGACGGGTTCCGCAAAACCTTATCAGGACTTCATTTCGGGACCAACTAACTTCGGCCTGTGTCCGGCCGGCAGTCACCAGTGGCTTCTGGCCTCGGTGTGCACTCCTTTTGGGGCCGGTCGTGCTAGTTGCGGCGTGGTTGCGCGGACTGGAACTAACTAGCTGTCCCAAAGAGGTTTCCGTACCGATGATCTATGCGCTTTTGGGGTGTCCATCCCGATGTAAGTGTGATATCGGTACTCTTAGTAAGTACTTACCTAGATACATACCAAAGGATGCTCATTGATGATTACCTAGATATGACACTTACTTTGCCATAGGGCGGGTTATGCCGAGCGGACTTGCCTATTCCTTCCCTCGTCAAAAATATTTCACGGCAACGAGGGGCGAGTGGGGGAGACTGGAGGTAGTCCGAATTTGGTTACCAGCAAGTAACAGCCCATCAGCCGGCTGAAGAAGGCTGGCTTATGGTGCGGGCATAGGTGGTGCGGCGGCGGCAAAGGATCCCTTAGTCGGCCGCACAGTCGCCTCACCATACCACTTGACATCAGCCCGACATCATAACCTACACACTAGTCGCCTCCACCCACCAATCTCCCCACCGCTGGTGTCGTAGCTCGGGGCCGTAGAAACAACTAAAGGGATGGGTGAACAGCGTAAACGAGTAGTCGAGCCACCTACTCTACATACCACTTAACGGTTGGACGCTGGAAAGAGATGGGGTATGTACTCTACAACATACGGTACCTTCCCAGGCCTCCCCAGCTGGCGGAACTTCGAAGTACTTTACATCACCACGACGTCCAAACACTGCTGAGCTGAGCGGAATGTCCCAAGCGAAGGTGGGAACCCGAAACCGAAGACATTAGCGTTTCTTCCGATCCACCAACCGAATCACCAAGAAACCTTCCATCTGATCCTGATCCCCACTCTCCTGTATGCACTGACAGGCCTTGGGCTAGCTGCAGCCTGCAGCCTGCAGCCCATGGTTCCTGGGTTGTATCGGAGCCCATACCCCCCATCCCCTCCCCCCAGTCGGTGGTGATCACCCAGGGAAGGACGAGAAATTTCATGGGATCCCCGATCGCTGGCTCGATTTATGTACGGAGGGCTGTACCTTTTGGGCAGGATGAATAAATCTCGGAGCCTGCCCTCGCCCGTCAACCGATTTCCATAGCTACATACTCGAGCTTCTACCCATACACACGCACATACATACCTACATACAACTACCGCAACCACCTTCACGACCAGTCATCCAGCCCTCCCCCCGAACGAATACGTCATGTCATTAAGTACGGAGAAAAGCGAATTCTTCCTTCAAAATACCCTCATACTCTACGCCATCGGAGCCGTGGCTGCGATCCTTCGAATCATCATTCGATGGCGTCTGATGCACCGACTCGGCGTCGAGGAATGGATCATGATATTCGGTCTCCTCTGCTGGACCGGCGACACGGCGTTAATCACAGTCACCGTGAACAAGGGAACGAATCAAGTACCGAGCGACCATAGGTTGACAATGTCGCCACACCAGGTGCACGAGAGGGAAATCGGCTCCAAGTCCTTCATCACCGCATGGTTCCTCTACGTCACAGCGATCTGGGCGTGCAAGGCTGCCATCCTGATGTTCTACAAGCGCCTCACCGAGCGTGTCATGGAGCCAAAAATCAACATCGCCGCTGCAGGTACACTGGGATCCACCTATCTGGCCTGCATGCTCTCGCTTTGCTTCGTCTGTCGGCCGTTCTCTGGCAATTGGACCATATTCCCAGATCCCGGACGTGAGTTGAACCTGCATTCAATCCCCCCACCACCACCCTGCTCGGTCAGTTTTTGATGCGGATTCTTTCCCCTCCATTAGCGGCTTGCACGGAAGGATTACACTATGTGTGGATTGTCGGTGTCCTCAATATCATTACCGATCTGATGCTCCTCTGTATCCCGATCCCGCTCCTCATCCACCTTCAGGTGACTCTCACACGCAAGATCCTTCTGGGTGCTCTCTTCGGTCTCGGAATCTTTGTCGTTGTCGCCACTATTCTCCGCATCTATTTCACCGTGGTTGGTGGCAGCATCTCCAATATGACTTTCTGGTCCATGATCGGTATGTAACCCCTCCCCACTGGCACCTGAGCCGATCACGCATGACTGTATGCGCATAATTGTATAAATGTATTGTACTGACTTGGTTTTCTCCTCGTCCTCTAGAAACCTCGACCCTATTCGTCGTTAGTAACGCCCCCGGAATCAAATCATTCTTCACCAGCAAGAAGAAGCATAGCTCGAGCAACGGTAACTCGGGCAGCGGACTCTCCCGCTCGCACGAGATGAACAGCAGCATCGCGCACACACACTCCACCAATAACCACAACAAATCGCGAGTCCGCAATAGCATCACGGGCAACAACGGCAAGAGCACAAGCGATTCACAAGAATGGATTGTCGATCCCCAGAATCCCATGGTGATCCACCAGAGCACACGCATCGACGTTACCGTCGAAGGTGCCAGCTCCGATTCCACCAAAGATGACAAGGCCCCGAGCTATCAGGTCTCGGCAGAGGCAAGAAGTCATAATAGTAATTAATGGTTCGTTCATGTCATGTGTATCATACTCTGCCATCGTATTGCTTTTCTTTCCTTTTTCTCTTTCGGTCCGTGTGTAAATCCTTCTTATTGTGGCCTGGGGTGTTTTGTTTCGGTTCTTCTGGTTCGGTCGGGTCGGTTAAGCGTCGGGTTTAAATTTTGGATCTGTGTTTGATTCTTCCTTTTGTTTTTATTTCCTTTATTTCCTCTTTCCCTTCTCCTGACTGAATGAATTTATCACAGCGGTGGTGGAAAGGGGGGCTGGGCGGTGGGTGGCGTAACGGTGTTCGTATCATGACTTTCCGTTTTTCTTTCTTCTCCCTTTTTCTTTTTCTTTTCCTTACAGGTCAACCATTCACGGCCATAAATACAGATCCAGAGGCACATGGCAAATTTATTTCGTATATAATGAAATAGTTAATGCTGAGCATCGGGAGTTTCAGTTTTAGTTAGAGTGCCCACTGCCATTTCCCGATGTCGGCGTATCAGGCGAATTCGCATGTACAATACATATGAATACCATGTATATAGATGGGATATTTTCGGGACCGCACCGGGACCACGAACACGACTGCGACTGCGACCGGGACCGCGACCGACCGGGACCGGGACCGGGACTGGGAGGGAAGGGTGTGTCTGTACGTATGTCTGTATGTACTCGTACGTAACAGCGGGTGTTGTCCCGTATGAAAACGTATAAACGTACGATGAGTCCATGACCGAGCGACTCTGCGTCTATAGTACCAGGCGGTCCCGACTCCCTCAAGGTCTCGTGGGTGGTTTTGTTTTTGTTTTTGTTTTTTTTGTTTCTCCTCTCCGTCCCCCTCCGTCCATCAGTCCATCAGTCCATCAGTTCGCTAGGTAGTCCGCCAGTCCGTCCGTAAGTCCGTCCGCCAATGTGTCCGCCCAGTCTGTCAGTCCATCCGTCCGTCAGTCCGTCGATACCTATCCGAACGTTTTGGGGCACGGCCGGCACAAAGGACTCAATTCAAGCCACCGCACCTGGCCGAAGCGCGGAAAAGACGAGCTAACTACCGTACCTTAGCATGATGTTATGTATGTAGTTTAGGTAAATCCTGATCCTCCGCTATGATACAAAGATACATACCCGAAGAAATAAACCATGCTATGCTACTTGAACTCGCGAAAGTGCAGATCTTACATACGGGGTAGGTATTATACTACGCATCTACCACGTACCTACATGAGTGTGTACCTGCTTAAGTTACTTGCTTATGGCTTATGTATGGATGGATGGATCCCCCTCTCCCCGCCCAGACCAGCCGGCCCTACCCAGTGCCCAGGCCCCAGACGAGACTCCAGGAGCCGACCCTGCTGATCGATGCTCCAACTCTCCGACTTCTCCGAATTGGTAGGCATGAGGTATGTAATACGAAAGAACGAGGCGGACTAGCGTCCTGCGCCGCAACTACTCTAGGTATATACCGTACCGTACTCGCTCTCTTCACGGAAACTGCCCACTGTCCACTGGTGATGTCTCACAGCAGTACCTACCTAGCCCGACAAAACAACGCGTTACGCGTCTGCTACATTCTCCATGAGTACATACCGACAGCGGCCAGCGGCCTGCCAAGCTAAATGCTCGGATAATAGCGGGAGACCTCTGTACCTACATACCTGGCTGAGCTGAGTTTGGAGACTTGTCACTTGGCAGATTGGCGATACCATGTTTTTCCTTTTTCATCGTGATTTACGTGACTGTGTGCGACACATTTAGACTTTTTGGAGTGCTCTAGATGCCACTTTTTCCTGTCTGAGAAAGTGAACAGAGTTGTTCCAGCGCTCCCCTGCGGGCCTTACGGCCCTCAACCGCTAGTTAGATGATGGGAGGGAGAGACATGCCAAAACTAACAGTGCGAGAAGTGCTCGCCTCGTACTCTCGGTCCGCGCCGATAGGTCCGCTCCGAGAGATACGTGCCGGTAGGTGCCGGTAGGTGCCGGTACATACCGGTACTTACCCGTGAGTGCTGTGGGCGAATCTGTGCCCCTCAGCTCCGCTTTAATACTCGTCCCTCTTCGTACAGACTCGTACCTGTGGGGGGTCTCGCTGGCTGACCCCATCTCGTTGGCTCCCTGTGGCCCGACTTCCATGGCCCGAAGGAAGCTCGCTATAAATTGCGTCTCTCGCCCGCACGGCGCAGAGAGCGGACTGAGCCGGGTCGGGCCGATTCCTTGCTACTACCGGGTACTACACATCCCGAGTCCGTCTTGACTGCCGTCCACAAAGCTTTTTACTGGTCCGTAGTTAAGTACTAGTAGTTATAGATAGATAAGCCGCGCAGTTTGTAAACAGGTGACAGCGGACTAACCGCACCTCCAGAAGTCGTGAAAAGCCCACCGGTACCAGGTATGTAGTACAGGCGTATTCTGCATCAGTTCTCGTATGCATATCGTATGCATACGCTTAAGCTTTGAGGCATTGACTGGTTGGCAGGTTGCGCACATCTCCGGCCCTGAGCTACTATGTAGGTAGTAACTACTGCCGTGTGCTTCTCGGGTCCGAGCCGAAGCTTGAACGGACCAGAAAAAAGACCTTAGCTTTGCTTAGATACTGGCAATACTATGGTAATTATAATTGTCCCCATTGTCAAATGGGTTGATGCTAACCATCAGGGCGCCGGGCCGGTTCCTTTTCAAGATTTGACGCTTCAGGTAGCGAGTGGTAGCTCTGTGTGTTCTGTCTGCTGATCTTGGTGGTGTGCCGGTACGGTGATCTCGCTATTATGTAAACTCCTTGTGAGTCGGCAGTTAACTGTTGGGTTTGCTCCACTCGTGTGGTATCTCGCTATCTGTTACTGGGTAGGTATATGGCAATACCATTATGGATGGAGAACCTGCGAATTCCCATCATGACACACGCCGGGTTTACGTCCTGTACCAAAGAGGTTGGTAAAATTGACACCGTATTAATCCAGCAGACTCGTAAACACGGTAACCCAGTGGTGTTGGTCAGGTTTAATACAGGGTATTATGATCAAATCCAAGGGTTGCTACGGTATCAAGTTTCCCCGATTGTTTGCTACCGGTTATGTATCTCCCAGCGCTGGCCAGATGTCGTTGACTCGTCGGGTCTGTAGTGCATACGGTAGATGTTCCCGGGGGCCTGGCTCGTCACTCGTCACTCATCGTTCTGCTTGCCGGTCTATACGCAGTAGCTAGCCATCACAGTTTATCCGTAAAGACGGTGAGCTGGTAAGTCGGTGGCAGTCCAGACTCCAGAGGGAGTATCGCTTAGCCGGGCCCGTGACACATCCACCCCCGAAGCGTGAATGGCATCTCGCGTCTAGCCCAGCCCGCCGAGCCCGTGTTTGGAAGTATGCACTCACGTGGCACAGCCGACATCCGCAGCCGACCTCTGCAGCCGACCTCCAGAGTGATATCCGGTGCGGCACTAAACAGCCACTAACTAGGCCCATCGCAAAACCCTGCACGGCATCACCAGCCCCACTCAATCACCCCACCCCCGCCCCCACCCCACACCGCACCCTGTAGATACCGCACCAGCCCCACCCACACGCAATCACCCCACCCCACAGGCCACAGGTCACAGCGCACCCTACCACTCGTACCACTCGTACCACCCGACCGCACGCCCACCCGAGCCCAAGACCGCCCATGCTTCTCCCCCGACTCCCCCGACTCCTCTTCCGCCGCACACTCGCGACCGCAACGATGTCGACCACGCCGCTCGAAGACGCGATCCGCAGCAAGCTCACGGCCTCCCTGGCGCCGCGCACGTTAGAGATCTGGAACGACTCGCACAAGCACGCGCACCACAGCGCGATGCGGGGGGTGGCGGATAAGAAGGAGACGCATTTCCGGTTCGTTTCTGCGGTTGAAAAGGCGGATGGGGATGGTGGGGGGAGAGGGTTATGGGGGAGAGGGCTGATTGAATTCGCGCGCTAGGGTCGTCGTCTCCTCCGCACAGTTCAAGGGACAGCCGCAGATCGCCCGGCATAGGGCTGTTAACGCGCTGCTGAAGGAGGAGCTCGAGAGGGAGGGCGGGATTCATGCGCTACAGATGAGGACGCTTACACTCGAGGAGGAGGATCGGTTGCTCGAGAAGGCGAGGGAGATGGAAAAGGCCGAGGCCGAGGCCGAGGGGAATTGTGCGGGTGCTTGTGCCAAGGGTGGGGAGAAGGCGTAAATAACGGATTGCTACATGGGTCTCTACAAGCGGAATTGGAGGGAAGCGGGGTGCATGGTTGAGTGTTTGATATTGCAGCGATTCATCATGATGATTAGATGCACAGGTAGCGCTTCACGATATTGATTGATGATTCAATGGGATGCACTGATATCATTCACATCATTCACGCAGCGACAAAACCTCCCACAAAATAGATCATCGAGAATCTTCAGGAGCTGGTCATTCATCACATCCCTAATTTATTCCCAGGAAGAAAAAAAAGAACAAAGGCCATAAGAAATCAAACTCCAGAAACGACACCCTTTTGCACACCCTAGTTGCGCTCCTTACGCCTAAGCTCGTCCGAGAACTCGTCGAGAGGGCTGCGGATGAGCATGGTCTCCTTCCACAGGTTGGGGGTGAGGAAAGCGTAGGTGTTGGAAACGGCAGAGAAGGTAGCCTTGAGGGTGTTCTCGAGGGTCTTGGTAGAACCGGACGACTGGGTGTAGGCATCCTGGATACCGGCAAGCTGCATAAGACGCTTGACGGCGGGGGAGGCGACAAGTCCAGTACCGCGGGGAGCGGGGATCAACTGCAATCATCGTCAATCTTCCTGTGCGCACCAATCAAGTGGAAAGAATATTCATACCCGAACAGTGACGGAACCGCACTTTCCAGACTCCTTGGCAGCCAGGGAGTGGGGCTCTCCGAGGGAGGTGCCCCAGTATCCACGACGGATGGGAAGAACGGACAGCTTGGCGATGATGATGGCAGCACGGATGGCAGTCGCGACCTCCTTGGAGGTCTTGATGCCGAGACCGACGTGACCCTCGGAGTCACCGATGACAACGATGGCCTTGAAACGGGTACGCTGACCGGCACGGGTCTGCTTCTGGACGGGCTTGATCTGTAGGTGGATATACGAATGAGAAAATGATCACAATTTCGCAGCTCTTCTCGAGTGAGGGCTAGGGCCAATTGCTTCGCCAGAGGCTACACTGTCCCTGGAGCAGATGGAATTCATTCGCTGCTCACCTTCATGACCTCATCCTTGAGCTTGGGCAAAAAGTGGTCGACGATCTGGAACTCCTTGATAGGCAGGGAGTGCAGGTAGATCTCCTCCATCGACTTGATCTTGCCGGCCTTGACGAGACGACCGAGCTTGGTGACGGGCTGCCACTCCTTCTCCTCGCTCTTTCCAGCGCCACGACGACCACGGCCGCGGCCACGACCACCACGTCCACGGTCACCACGTCCACCACGGTCACCACCAGCGGCTCCTCCGCGCGCTCCGAATCCTCCGCGTCCAGCTGCGTCGGCCATGTTTTGATTTTTGTTGTTGGTGGTTGGGTGATTTTAGGACCGAAGGGCGGCGACGACGAACGGGTGCTGTTTTTTTTCGATTGTCGATACTGATCTAGTCGTGATAGATTTGGTCTGTGTGAATAGCAATTGTGGATTTCAGTGTGGGTCTTGGCACTCTCGAGTTGGTGGGGCATTCGGCTAATTAGGGCAAGATGGAAGTCACAGAGTAGAGAGGTGGCTGGTCATGATCAGATAAGGGCTGAAGTGCTCTTGATGACTAATAATGACTTACGTAATCCATCGGCAACTCAATTGAAGTAAATTCACAGAGGCATGCGGGGTGCTTTTGCTACGGGCATCAAAATGTCTGTTGCCTTACACTCCACATTTTTTGGGGATCTTTGAAAGATGCGGCTCTGCACCGGTGAAGCAGTTACATACTCCATGCAGCGACGCGTCATACCATCTCGGGATAACAGTGCCGCGGTGTTGGTACCTTGTAATAAAAGTTTAGTCCATGCCGCCGATAGCTATATCTTTTACGGAGAATACGTAGCCATTCCAATCCTAGAAGCGAGAACGTCTACAACAATTTACACAATCACTTCAGTCAGTATTCAACGACTTGATTCCCCATACGCCAAAATCCGACCGCGTTGCATCCCGCTCCCGATAATACCCCGCATTCCTCCCATACGATCCCCCACGAAGCTTCCACGATGAGCTTGAAGTTCGATCCGAGCCCACAGGGCCTTACGTCGCTTCTCGATACCGACCTTTATAAGTTAACGATGCAATGCGCCGTCCTCCGTTCCTACCCTAATGCTGGTTGGTTCAGTTTCCTATGTTGCAGTGGCGCGCTCGAACTGACCACACTCTGGAGAAAGATTGTACCTATGCCTTTACGAATCGCACGCCAGATCTGAAGCTCACGCGGGAGAGCTTCAACTGGCTGCAAGAGCGCGTCGCAGGTTTGGCTCACACGGCGTAACGACGACCTTCAGTGTTAGCTAATGGCTTAAAGACTTGTCAAACCTCCGCCTCACTACCGACGAAGCCGAATTCCTCAAGTCGAAGTGTCCCTACCTACCGGAAGCCTACATCGCCTATCTCTCTGTCTTCCAATTCCGGCCACAAGAACAGTTGGTGTTGACGTTCACCCCGCTGGATGAGGCTGCCCAGCATACTCAATGGGAGCAGCGGGGAGCGTCAGACGACACGGAGTTTGTGGGTTATCTGCTTACCAGCGATGGGTCACTGCTAACGGATACAGGGCGATCTCGAAATCCAGGTTCGAGGTAAATGGGTGGAAACCATTCTCTACGAGATCCCACTGCTGGTGCTGGTGAGCGAATGCTACTTCCGATTTTCAGAAACAGACTGGGATTACGACGGGCAAGAGGAGAATGCGTAATTAGACCATCCTCAATCCATTGTCATTGATGTCTAACAGATAGTCTACAGCTTCAACAAGGGAGTGCAGCTCCTCGATAATGGCTGTCTCTTCTCCGAATTCGGCACACGCCGACGACGAAGCTACCGTCTGTGCTCCCTCTTTGCTCCCATATACAGCTCACTGACACGCCGTAGATACGCAAGAGCTCGTCCTTCGCGGTCTCCTCCGCGCCCAAGAGACCCACAAGTCGCAGACCCCCTCGGGCCCAGGTGCGGTCACTGGCACATCCAACGTCCACTTTGCGCATCGCTTCAACATCACCCCAATCGGTACTGTCGCACATGAGTGGATGATGGGTATCGCCGCTCACACCGGCTCCTATACGAACGCAAATGAGACGGCCCTTAAAGAATGGGTGGCTTGTTTCGGCGTCGGCAATCTCTCAATCGCGCTCACCGACACGTTCGGCACTCCGCAGTTCCTACAGTGTTTCCGGAAGCCGTGCACTCTTTCAGATCCGCCGAAGACATACGCCGAGATCTTTTCCGGCGTGCGACAGGACTCAGGAGATCCGGCCGAGTTCGTACATATCATGCGGCGCTTCTACGATTCCCAGGGAATCAAGGACAAAAAGACAATCGTTTTCTCGGATTCTCTCGACGTCGAGAAGTGTTTGGAGTACAAACAGGTGGCGGATTCCCAAGGCTTCATCACAAGCTTCGGTGTTGGAACTTTCTTGACCAACGACTTTGTCCACCGCAAGGAGCACATCAAGGGGAAGAAGAGTGTGCCGTTGAACATCGTCATCAAGATCTCCAGTGTGAACGGAAGGCCGGCGGTCAAGATTAGCGATAATGCTGGCAAGAATACTGGTGATAAGGATGAGGTCAAGAGGGTCAAGGAGGAGATAGGATACCAGGAAAAGACCTGGGAAGCGGGCAATGAGGAGAATAGATGGGGTGGGGAGAAGGTTTAGAGATGACACTGCTGCCGGTTGGCGTTGATAGTGGAAACTCATGGGTGCATCGGATGGAATAAACAGACCGAAATTTTCGTGATTGATTCTTAGTCCTCAATTTGGTGGTGGATGTCCGGTCTGATGGGATACCTAGTGAGGCCCATAAGATGGATATAACTTGCCCAAAGACTCAATAATAAGGCAACCCGGTCAGCTCGGGATGAAGTATATCTCCTCGGCCTACATAAGCCCGGAAGCGTTACATGAATGCCTACCATGACTTTACGATGACGCCCATAGCTATCAATCCGCTTTGTCCTGTTATTAAGGGGAATAGAACTCGTGTAACCCATGCTGTCAACCATGGATGGTGTTAGTGCCAAAGAGGGGATACAAAGCTGTCCAGGCGGTTATCGTCGGTTTGAAGTCGGCTGCGCTATCCATCACGGAAATATCCGAGCGGCAGCTGCACATCTTTCTACACCGCACCTCCAGATCTTCCTCGGCCCCCCACCTGCAGCGCGATAGAGTAGAGCACATCCACTCCACACGTTTGACTGCCCAACCGAATTGATAGACGCACATGGGCCACATTACCGATACAGGGACCGACAGACAATAGATAATCCTACCCACCCCCACCAGCATGAAGCTCCTTCGACCCGGACCTGGGTTCTTCCCACGAATACGTCCTTGTCCACTGCAAGCCTCGAAGTCGGCGGCTTTCTTGATCTTGTCCGCACGCAGAACTATGACGACCGCAACGAAGATCACGCTACCACGGACGCCGTTGTTCGAGGCTATCTCGAAACACCCGCAGGATAAGACTGCGATCGTTCATTCCGCGTCGGGGAAGAAGTTCTCGTATGGTTCGCTACTGGGAGATATCGCCGCGATGAGGGCGAGGATATTGGTATCCGTTGACGGGAAAGACGGGGTTAAAAGCGGGGACCTGCGGGAAAAGAGAGTTGCATTGCTCGTGGAGAATGGATATGAATATGTGGGTGCGCACTTCCTAGGCGTCAAAGTTTCTGCGGAAGCAGAGGGCTGATGCTTTTGGGCAGTGGGGCTTCTCGCCGTGATTGCATCTGGCGGCATAGCCGTGCCTTTGTGTACCGCTCATCCCGCGAAAGAAATGCGATACGTCCTCGGTGACTCTACGCCCTCGGCGCTGATTGCTACGCCCAAGTTTCGGGCGCGGGCGGAGGAGATTTTGGACTCCGACACCTCCCGCCTGCTACAACTCGAAGAGCTCGCGCCAGAACGAGAACAAGAAGTGGATGTGGAGCTACGGGCCAACGATTGGAAGGAGACGAAGCGTGGGGCGCTGATCATTTACACGAGCGGAACGACGAACCTCCCGAAGGGCGTGGTTTCAACCCATACCTCACTGTCGGCACAGGCGTCGTCGCTGATTACTGCTTGGGAAATGTCGCCCAGTGATCACCTACTCCATGTGCTCCCGCTCCACCATGTGCATGGAATTGTGAATGCTACATTCGCGCCCCTCATGTCCGGCGGGGTAATCGAGTACTTATTCCCGTTCTCACCCTCAACGGTATGGTCCCGTCTCATCGCGGGCGTCGCCCAACCGGACGATCCCACAAAACGCGATCCGATTACACTCTTCATGGCCGTACCCACAATCTACAACCGCTTAATCTCCAGCCTCCCCTCCCAGCCCCCTGAAATCCAAAACTCGGCAGCAACAGCAATCCAATCCCTCCGGCTAGCTATCTCCGGCTCCGCCGCCCTACCATCCAGCATCCGCGAAAACTGGCGGAATCTTGCCGGAACCTTCACAGGTGGCGGTAGCATGCTCGAGCGCTACGGCATGACCGAAATCGGGATGGCATTATCCAACCGTCTCGAGAAGCGCGTGAACAACGCCGTCGGCTGGCCACTCCCCGGTGTCGAAGCGCGCCTTGTCGATATAGAAACCGGCGACCCCATCACGCAGCCCAACGTTTCCGGCGAGATTCAAATCCGTGGGCCGACCGTCTTCCGTGAGTACTGGAACAAGCCTGAGGCCACCGCGAAGGAGTTTGTCGAAGGCGACTGGTTCAAGACGGGGGATGTGGCAACGATGGATGCCGACGGCTGCTATTTCATCCATGGTCGGCGAAGCGTCGATATCATCAAGTCGGGTGGCGAGAAGATCTCGGCGCTGGAGGTTGAGCGGGAGATTCTGGAGCTGCCACAGGTGAAGGAGGCGGCTGTTGTGGCGATTCCTGATCCCGACTGGGGGCAAAGGGTTGCGGCTGTGGTTGTTCTCAGTGAGCAGGCGGTAAAGGAGGGGTGGCAGTTGGAGCAGATGAGGACTGAGATGAAGAAGCGCATTGCCGGCTACAAGGTTCCGACTATTATGAGGATTGTGGACGAGATTGAGAGGAATCAGATGGGAAAGAGTGAGTACACCGTTCGAACTCCGGATTTTCGAAGTGTAGTACTGACTTGGAGGTTAACAGTCAATAAAAAGACTTTGATCAAGAGCGTATTTGCGGATATTCTCTGAGGAGTGGCTAAGTTACAGCGTTATGGTATAAGATAGAATACAGGAGGTTACTCTCTGCTATTATTTTATATACATGAACTGGTTGCTCGAACTGGCAAGTGCAATGTCGGAGCATGCTCCCCACGCATCTCTATCCGTGGCAATTGTGGACAGGTCATTCCAGCAAAACATCGATGTCCGCAGTGCCAAAAGAAGATATCAATGATTTCACCCAGGCTCGATCTGGGGACCTTGTGTGTGTTAGACACATGTGATAACCAACTACACCATGAAACCATGTTGATGTTATGCTGTCCCGTCACTACAACTTATTCTCATTATAGTAGGATTGGACTCGGTATGTACCCGTACGGGACAAAGTCCTGAACACCGATAAAGTTGTGTTTTGCGATGCTGACGAACAACGGGAGGCTTTCACCGGTAGGAACAGGTGGCGGAGTGGACTTTGTCTGTCGGCACGTGAAGCCGGCAGCTGATCCTCAAACGCGCCGCCGTTGTGAATCGGGACGAGACGGGCTCCAGCCTCTGCCCTTCGGAAACAAACACAATGACAAACATCATGGGAGTTGCTGGCTCTAATTTGTGTGGAATCTTTGGATACTAGGTATGATACGATGTGGTTAGGTAATTCACTACTAGCTGGGGAAGTCCCAATTATTTTCTTCAGTGGTCCATGACACATGATTGGCTACGGCCAGCATGGATACCAAAGTTTCCCTAGCCTTTTTTCCTCAAGTTCGGTGACATCCGCACTGACAATATCAAGGGTTTCATGGTGTAGTTGGTTATCACATGTGTCTAACACACACAAGGTCCCCAGATCGAGCCTGGGTGAAATCACTGATATCTTCTTTTGCCTCTCAAAGTGTACTGTACAAGCACGATCTTGACCGGCGTTTTTTTTTATTCCCACACAAACTCACTGAGCAATCTGCTTGCTTGTCCATTGCGTAGCGTCTGTTGTTGGTGATGGGGCCGAGACTGATCTTGGTCTGGTACATACCTCCTACTATAGTAGTAGGTGTTTGTGTGTCTGCCTTTTGTTTGTTCGGGCTGTTATCCGCCCGTGCCGTTCGCGTGAATCCTTTTGTAGCTCTTTGGTCTCAGTGAGAACTCAAGATTGCGGGCTGCGCTTCTACATAGTAGAGCATCATTTGACAAGGTGGGACTGGGTACCTAGAGGTACCTAGAAGTGGTACCGCGGCTGCCCTAGGTATCCGGTGGCCTGGCCTGGCCTTGAATACTGCTCGCTCGTCTCCTCCATTCGATGATACCTCACCTTCGGATACTCTGTTAACAGTCATGGGCACATTGACTATGGTTGGGTGAATATGTTGGACGAGTGATATTCTGTGTAAAAAGCTCGGCCTGTCGGAAACAAATAGCCGGATGGGTTGTTTGGGAAGGACGTCACAATATTGCTTCCAGCTTATATATGCATAGAAACCGGAGGAGGGACGTAATTGGGCGTGTCCGTATGTGAGCCTTACCATCCTTGCCCTTGCCCTTGCCTTCGGCCGGAGTTTCGCCTGGCTTTGGAGTCATGTCGATTCCTCACAGCCGCCATCTTCTCAAGCTCCCAGTGTACTCCGAAGGCTGGTCTAGTCTCAGTACCGAGGACTGGAGTGTAGCTATCTTTGCGATCAGTGATATGTATCCGAAGAGTGCACGTATGTACTAGTATGTACTTACACATCATCAGATTATTTTCGCTGATCACCGCCTCCCGCCGCAAGGGAAGGAACATTCAACAAAGAGCCAAGCGGCATCTTCCGGATGACTTCATGGTTCCCTGCGGTACTAGTCGCTAATATATTGACTTCTGACTTCAGATCCCAACTGGCCACTGCAAGGATGATGTCGAAATTTGAGGCGGGCGTGCCACCCGACAGTCCCAGCTCTGTGTGTAGGTATTTGGGAGCTTAGCATGTGTATATATCTCACGCCGTTATGGAAACAATGTCCAGGTCGAAGTTGCAGTACGCGTGATTTTTGATTGATTGTGAGCGGTCGGTCCCTGGGAATTTGTGGGTTCAGTTCGGAAGGAATCCGAACGGATATTTGTACATACGTACCTACACCCGATGCCGAATGGCCAACAGCACGATAATCCTCGGGGTACATCGCCTATAGCAGGTTTCTTCCGTTGCCGTGGGATGCTGAATACCTAGGTTATGCAGTAGGGCTGTTGAGGGAGTTGGTGAAAACTTTGTGGGGCCAAGTGGAAACGGACAGGCCCATGCCTACCAGTAGTTACTTGGCTGCTGGGCTAGTTAATGGCTTTGTTTCGAATACTCCGTCAAACGCCTCCAGAGGATCGTCATGGTATGCATCCTTCTCATTCATCTTCATCGGCCAATTGAGTTGTCCTTCAACACTGCATTTTAGCCATCCAACACAGTGCGCAACTGACGGTCCCCACCTACTGAATAAATGCATGTTGAAAGTCCCCCACATCGGCAGGTGATAAAACGTTGAAACAAGCTTATCTTGGGCAGTTCTTTTTGCCTCCAATCGCTCATCCGGAAGGTAAGCGATGGAACCATGCACTCTCCATCTTTATGCAAGGAATTCACACCTGGAGATGCCCCCTCTCACTACCGTTCAACCAGTCAGAACCGTCCAATTTCAACAGTTGATAGGCTAGTTTCCCACCTATATGGATCGACCCTTTAGGCTCGCGGAGATCTGGCGCGACAGCTTACGCGGCCTTTGAAATTGGAGTACGGGTAAATCGATTGCAGAGGAAAAACCCTTGCCGCCGAGGTACCGATGTATGTACCTCTGGTATCGGGAACCGTGGTGACCGGGTGAATGGCTCCATGAAGACCGTCGACCAGGAACCGTAATAAGAATATGACGGCGTCGATATGTATCACATGGAGCGAAACGGCGATCGCGTAGCTGGGAGTCGAGGTAGTTCCCGAGTGGGGAGGGCAAATTCTTACACCCGCGCACCAATCTCCAATGCATAGCCGATAACCAAGCACGTATGAGCCATATCAAATCCCCCATTGCTCGAGGGCGCTTGTCGGAAAAAATCCGAGTGCCCAGACTTTGTTCGACGACGGACAGCCTTTATGGGAGGCATGATCGCGGCGCTGGTCAGCGTATCTTTAATATGCGGTTCCGCATATATTGTTTGGCCCTCATGAAGCATACGTGGCCGGCCAGCCAGTGGAAGCTTCCGAACACCCGTAGATTACTCGGTTCGGCGGTATCCCAGACAGCTCGCCATGTGTCGTCACTCGCTTGTGTCGACGGGGGAGGGGAGAGGGAGGATGGTTTTGTGTATACCATGCTTCACCATAACGGCAGGAAAAAATTCCGAGGAATCAGGGAGAAAGAAAATTGCATAAAGGTGTATCCATCCCGCCATCCCATATCTGCCTGCATCCCATCCACCAGCACCAACCACAAGGCAGCCTTCCACACAATGGCCATTCTATCCACTCTTTTCACCGCGCTGCTTGCGGCCACCGTCGCCATTGTGCCTATCGCCGCACACGATCACTCATCGGAAGGGATGGCAAAGCGAGCAGTTCACTCCCTCAAGGCTCGCAACTCCCTAGCTAAATGCTCGGAGAAGCTGAAGTCTCGCGACTTTGTCGAGCACCGGATGGCACGTCGTGCCGAACTCATCGAGAGCCATTTTGAGAAGAGGACATTGGAGACGAGGCAGTGGCAAAACAGGCCGCCGCCGCAGGCTCCTGGAAACACCTCCGAGCCTTGCATCCTGACTCCGGAGGTGACGGTCGGACCTTACTGTGAGCTCGGGCCTTGAATAAATCTACCTTCATGGTTACTAATAGGATCGATGTAGACGTCAGCGATGAACTCATCCGACCAGACATCAGCGAGGGCCAGGACGGAATTGACCTCCTCCTCGATTTCCAGTTGATCGATGTCAACACCTGCTTGCCCGTTCCGAGGGCTATGATCGACGTGTGGCATTGCAACGTAGACACCCGTCTTCTACATAGATATCACCCAGAAGAAGGCTGACCTGTGCTCTAGACCACCGGTAGCTACTCGGGTTTCGCCCAGGAAAATACTGCTGTATGTTTATTTCCTCGCATGATGTACACGAATAAGGATGAATATATTAACGTTTTTGCCAGGAGTTATCTTTCAACCGTGGTCTGCAGCCCACCGACCGCAATGGAATCATGCACATGAAGACCAGCTTTCCTGGATGGTACCAAGGGCGTGCAACCCACATCCATGTAGGTCAAATCCTCTCCGTACCAACTCGAGCAACCTCACTGACACATTCCAGATCGCCGCCCATATCAACGGCAAAGTCAACCGCGAGACGCACACCTACGAAGGCGGCATAACCAACCACGTCGGACAAGTCTTCTTCCCTGAAGACACCCTAACAGCAGTCGAGACCGTCGCTCCGTACAACACCAACGAAGTGATCCGTCTCCGCAACGCGGAGGACGGAATCTTTGTTGAGGAAAACACAGGCTACAACGCCGTCTCCGGTATGTCCCCACCTACACTCCTCGTTTCAACCGCCGCGCCTAACACATCGTCGCAGAGATCCAATTCCTCGGCAGGTCGATCGAGGATGGAGTTCTGGCCTTCATCTCGATCGGTATCGACATCTCGGCGAACCACACCGATGCGCTGCTCGGTGGCGCTGGAGGTCCGGGTGGGCCTGGTGGACCGCCCAATGGAACTTTCCCTAGCAATGGGACGTTCCCTGGCGGAAACGGAACGACGCTGCCGGTGTAGGTGTGGGATGATGGGATGACGGGAGGACTTGATTTCGCTGGATGAAATTGGAAAATTAGTGTACAAATGGAGTTTTTGCTGGCCATCAATACCTTCGCTGTTGCTTTGTGTGATTTTGAACATCTTACATACCGCCTACCTCCTACCATACCTGAATCGTGAATCGGGATGCGGGGACTAGTCATCTTAGTCGTATGCAAAATCGGGACATTACAAAAACTCGAAAAGATAGTCATCAAGAGGAGAAAACGGAGAAGAGATTCATCTGGTTAGTTGCGGGATGGCTAGCCTACCTACTATAGTATTAAAGTGACGGTTAGGATTGGAAATTCGGAATTTCAATGATGTAGGTATATCGGCCGAAAACGAGCTACGATCCGGGAGATAAGCAGAGGCCATACAACATTTGGGAGGCCGGAGAGGAAGGGGCGAGCGAGTGATCCGATATGGAGAACTAGGTGGCGATGGCGCGGGAGGTTTATAAGGGTAAACACAAATCTTCACTCACGGAAAAAACCCCGCGTGGCCTTGTCCGCTGGCCATAACCCCGGAGTAGAGAGTCCTCGGTTCAGCTCCCTGGAGAAGAGGGGTTTCCAAGCTACCCACCGGGGGTGGTGAAGGTTTTTGGTTTTTTTTGCCGCATTTTTTTTTGGCCTGTGGCATATATGAGATGTCACTCGGTAATCGAGTGCGATAACATGAATGGAACCTAAAGTAGCGCCACCAAGCCTAAGCCTATGGCTGGGACTGACAGGAAGACATGAAAAGACAATCCTGTGCGAAGACTCACCTCTAGTCGCCGCCACAGTGATTGCAGACCGGGAGGCAGTGAAGAACGAAGCCCAAACCCCTCGGCTCGGGTTGACCATGTGGACAGACGGATTGCGGTTGCAGCGCGATGGAGCATGCGGATATTCAGTGGCATGGAGAAGAGGCCTGACCAGCTGGCGAGGATGCAAAACCCATATGAGCTACAACCAAGAGGCCTACGGCGCAGAGTGCGCTGCCATAGTAAGGGCACTGGAAACGGCAGCAGGGCTTCATGCTAGACGTCTGCTGAGATTTTTTCTGCAATGGAAATGATAATATGCAAAGAAAACGATCAAATCTTCCTAAATTCGGAGCGTAGAAGCGTAATGGCTAGTACCTAACTGCTTATATCCTGTTAGGATACTTATTGGGCAAATGTTAGTGGATTTGCCTCGTTGATCTCGGCGGTGGCCCTGGTGAGGAATTGGGCTCTTCGCTCGGCGCCGCAGATAGCACAGAACGCACTTAGTCACTCATGGGAACTACGAAATACAAGGCTAGAAACCGTGGGAAGCACAGCTCAGCACAACAGACTACTTTTGTGGTAATGGACATAAAACTCGTTTTATAGACGCGAAAGAATGACTGGAGATTTTGCGGTATCTAGAGACTAAACCCCTCACTGCGTGCCACCAGAAAACCGCTTGACGTAACCTTGAGCAGCTCCGACGTAACCTTGAGTAGCTCTGTAGGACTTCATCCACCAAGTCTTCTCCCTGGCAGCAAGCTTGGCCTTCTTAGCCTTGAAGCGGGGAAGATCACCACCGATACCAACGAAGACATTCGGAAGAGGGCAAGGCGGGCCTCTGATTCTCAGCTGTTCCTCTCTCGCCTTCTTTTCGCGGGCCAATTTCGCAAGTGTCGAAGGCCTGCGGTCCGGAAGTGTCCAGTCGACATTACCAGGGTCTCTGACGCACTGCGTGAAGATGTGCCAGCTGTAATGAAGGATGAAGCCTATGACAAGGCTGGCAACGACTATAGCCATCGCAAAAAAGAGGCGCGCGGAAATCTTAGCGCGATCTGCCATTGCCTGTTCGCACGCGCAGGGGATGAAGTAGTTCTTGCGGTGGAGGCAGTGGCATCCGGCGATGTTGATCTCCTTATCGGTCTCCTTGGTCTCTATGAGAGAGTTGTCAGGAATGTTCGGAGATGACACGACGACACCCTCAGTGTGGTTGTGGTGAAGCCGGTGCTGCTCTCCGGTGAGGTGCTCCCATGTATAATTCCCGCAGACTCTTGTAAGATTGGCGATTGGAAACCGGGCTTTCGAGAAGTGAAACCAGAAATAGGCAGAGAACTTGGTGGGATTATCAATGAGCTTCGGCGGCTCCCTCGTGGCGTCGTCGGCATGAAACTCCTGGGCGTGGGAATGGTGGGACTCAGCATCGTGGTCGTGAGAATGATGGGCCTCAGTATTGTGACCGTAGTCGTGGTCCAGATCGTGACCGAGATCCTGATTCTGGGATTTGCGTTAGCTTCTTTCATGTGGACACGGGCTAAGTGAGTCTGTTGACCTGTTTATTGTCCTGTTTTGGGACTTTCTCGAGCTGCTTGGTATGGCCGCTTGAGGGCACGATAAACGTAGCCTTGATGGATATCTTGCGATCAGCGGTCTGGGCTTTGTTGAAAAACTCCACCGAAGCCGTGACTTCAGTGGAAGTCTCGGTGGAGCCGTCCGTAGCCTGTCGGATCCTGTTAGCATGACCCACCATGATATCAAGGAACCATACCTCGGGAAATGGCACGCGAGAGATCAATGCCGCAGTAGAGTTGAGAGGGTGAATAGAAGCGATGTCGCGCATGACCTTTGGATGCTACGACACATATTAGCGCCAGCTCCGTCTCAGCGTGACGATATTCCGAAAAGAACAAGATGTTACAAATCAGGAGCATTGTAATAAACATACCACATTGATTTCAGTGTGCTGCGCGTAGTAGTCATTGACCTTGTTAACGCTCTTCTTCTCCATGATGACCCGACCATTAACCAGGTTCGCCAGAAGGAGAAGAATCGCCAGAAGCGATCCAAAGATGGTATGCATTTTCAGCTTGGGAGGGGAAATGTTGAGGTGGCCAGATGGTTGGTGCTGGGTTGTCGTTGATGTTCGGAGGTTGTTGGTGAAGAGCTATTGAAGACGGTAGGGCTGTTTTCTACTATCAATATGTGAGTAAGGACTTCTTAGGGCTTATTATGTTTAACCCCAACTAGCGTTTCAGTTCGAAGAGAGAGGTGGACCAATGGGCGGTTGTGGTTGTGTATAGGATGAAACTAGTACATGTAATTCGAAAAACCAGTAAGCTTACCTAGAATCATTGATAAGTTTGTTCGCAGGAAAACCCATAGACCGTCTTTGTTTTTGTTTAATCATGATTCCATACGATCTACCTAGGTAGATCATGGCAGTATCCGCCCATATACACACTCTTCTTCCACTCCTCACTCCACCTCCCCCTGCCTCTTCATCAGGAGATGCCATGAAGGCGGGTGTGGGGAGGAACAGCGGAAGTGACCTCGGTTCCTCAACCTCACTACATTCCTTCTCCTATACGCTCATTAAGGAGAGGAAGTCTATAATATCCTATCTGCACCGCTCGTCTGCAAAGAGGTCTCGGATCTTGAAGCGATCGAAAACCCATGGACTGGCGGTGACTAATGCGAGTCATATATCGTGGAGCAGGTGATAAGTTGTGCAGAGTGTCCAAAAGAAGCATTAGCGCTTCTTGGCGCCCTGCTCCCCACTACCGAAATTCTTCTGACTGACTTTCTCGTCGCGCACCAACTTCACGGCGGCACCTTATCTTTCCACAACCCGTCCTACACCACCATGAATCGCAACAAAGTACGTCTCTCGATCTTCCCACTTCTACCCACGCGGAAGCAGCATATAACTTACCATTACTACGAACCCCCCACAGAAGAAGGGCGGTAACGGCGATCGTAACAAGTTCGGCAACCGCAAGCGCGAACGCGGTACCGGACCTGCCAAGGGCGAGCGCGGGAACTACACTTCAATTACCACGGAGAACGCGCTTTTCGAACGTTTCTACAAGGAGAGCAATGTTGTACCCGAGGACGAGTGGGAGGACTTCTGGGGAGCTCTGAAAAGGACTCTCCCGACTACCTTTAGGTTTACCGGATCCAGAGGGTTCGTTGGCACATTCTGGCGGGGGTAGCGGGTGGCGTACGGTGGGGGGATGTGTTTCTGTGGGGCTGACATGCGCTTGGTAGCCATGCGTTGACTACTCTGAAGGCGCTCCAGGATATCTATATCCCGCACCTGAAGGGCATTGAGTGGGACGGACAGCTAGTTGACCCTCCCAGGCCGTTGGCTTTCTATCCTGACAATCTTGGTATCTCTCTCTGGTCGGGGCGAGGTGCGCATCTGGCGATGCCATTGCTAATAGAGTATGTATAGCTTGGGGAATGACCACCGGAAAGTCTGTTATCCGCCGATGCCCGCCTTTCAAGAAGTTCCAGAACTACCTTGTCGCCGAGACTACCATTGGAAATATCTCTCGCCAGGAAGCTGTCTCGATGATTCCCCCGTTGCTCATGAATATCGAGCCCCACCACGTGGTACTCGACATGTGCGCCGCCCCCGGGTCAAAAACTGCGCAGCTTGTAGAGATGATACACAATGGAGAAGAGGCCGCTGTCAGCGCTTCTTCGACGGGCACCGGCTCGGCGGAGATGACCAAGGAAGGCGAGATGGGCGGAAGAGCGACGGGTATCGTCATCGCCAACGATGCCGACTACAAGCGCAGTCACATGTTGATCCACCAGACTAAACGTCTCAATTCTCCCAACCTGATCGTCACGAACCACGATGCCACCATGTACCCAAGCTTGCTCATCTCCAACCCCAAAGATGAAGTGAAGCAGTACCTCAAGTACGATCGCATTCTCGCTGATGTACCTTGTTCGGGAGACGGAACAGCCCGCAAGAACTACAACGTCTGGAAGGATTGGAACCCTCACGGTGCATTCAACCTCCATGCGATTCAAGTCAGAATCCTGGTGCGCGGGCTTCAGATGCTCAAGGTTGGCGGAAGACTAGTGTACTCGACCTGTTCCATGAACCCCATCGAGAACGAGGCCGTTATCCAAACCGCTATCCGCCGCTGCGGTGGCATGAGCAAGGTGGAGATCGTAGATGTGAGCGACCAGCTTCCGAACCTCAAGCGCAAGTCAGGCCTCAAGGGTGGCTGGAGGGTTATGGACAAGGACCAGCAGTGGTACTCCACGTACAACGATATCCTCACAGATGACGAAGGCAAAGAGACCCGGGTTGGTCGGATTACGAAAAGCATGTTCCCTAGCGAAGATGGCAAGGCGGAAGATGACCCCTCCAGAATTCCCCTTGAGCGGTGTGTTCGCGTCTACCCACACCTTCAGGACACTGGTGGTTTCTTCATCACTGTCCTGAGGAAGAAGGAGGAGATTCGTGCCATCGAGCCCGAGATTACTAAGCAGCAAAGGCTTGCCGAGCTCCAGCAATCAACAGGTACCAGCACTCCCGTTGAGGTCTCCACACCAGTTGAGGCATCAGAAATTACCCTCAAGACCGAAATCATTCCTGTTCTCCAGCAAGAACGGAACACCACCCCCTCTCCTCCTCCCTCACCCGGCAAGCGCAAGCTGGACTCACCAGCGCCTGCTCCAACTGTCAAGAAGCTTAAGGCGGAAGTCGACGAGACCAGTGCCGTTCCGGAAACCGAAGATGCCTCGATTATCATTTTGCCGCCGGCGCCGGAAGTCTCTACTGAAGCTCCCAGGGCCTTCAACCCCCGCACCTCCACTGGCAAGAAGGGACCCCCACCAGAGGAACCTTTCAAGTTCCTTCCCTTCGACCATGAGGTTTTACAGCGTATCTACGCTTTTTATGGCCTCTCTGACCGCTTCCCGAGAACATGTTTCATGGTCCGAAACGCTGAGGCCCTCCCCGTCCGTGCGATCTACTTCACCTCACATCTGGCGAAGAAGATCCTGCAGTCCAACGAGGGACGTGGTGTCAAGTTCGTTCACTGTGGTGTCAAGGCTTTCATGAAGCAGGATGTCCAGTCTCCGGAGGTGTGCCCGTGGAGGATCCAGAGTGAGGGCCTTAACATCGTGGCCCCATGGATTGGCTCGGAACGCTTGGTGCACGCCACCAAGAGGGAAACCGTGCACACCCTGCTTCGTGAGCTCTTTCCCAAGGTCGGAGGGCAAGAGAAGGCGGCCAAAGAGAATGAGTCTAAGGGAGAAGACACCGACGAGGTCAAGGAGGGGGAGGCGAAGGATGTGGCCGTACCTGAAGCAGACGTCACTGCGGAGGTAGAGGATATGACAGTTGCTAAGGGCTCCTTCATGACTATCGGTGAAATCGACGAGCAGGTCAGCAACCTTGGCATGGGCTGCTGTATCCTCAAAGTAGCCAAATCTCCTGGCGAGTTCGACGACGATATGATCCTACCGCTGTGGAAGAGCCGATTCAGCTGCAACTTGATGCTGCCCAAAGACGACCGGAAGTGAGTATCTCTGTGGCAGCTCTGACGCGATGGGTACTAACTTCTCTGTGCTTAGGGCTATGCTACTGCGGTTGTTCGATGACACTTCCGACATCAAGGACTCGACAAACAAGAATCACCACTCCCACCGGGATGCAAATGTAGCGGCTAAGCTAGCAAAGGCTGAGGAGGCTGAGGGGGCGGAGGAGAAGTCAGAGGAGGTAGACACCGAGATGGCTGATGAGGAAGCCAAAGATGAAGAGATGGTCGAGGCGTAGTTATAGATGTGTAAGCTCTTACATATGGATTACTGGGTAATAAAAGTTGATGTGCTTGCTTGAGACAATGTTGCTAAGAAGAGAATCCCGAAGACATTGCCACAAATGGATGAGCTACAACTTGAATAAACGAATGAAACTCCAATGCTATGCTCCCTCCAACTAACTCCAACAAGCAAATGCAGCTGAAAGAAACACCGCCATCAACTCCCGCTACATCAAGAAATGGATCCAAATCCCCCCCACATTGATCGGCGCTCTCGCCAACCCCACCCTCCCATCCGTGCCCACCCTCAAGGCAACCTCAACTATCCCTGCACCCCTCTCGGCGATCATCTTTATCTCGGCCTCGAGCGTCGGCTCCTCCACAAATACCCACGGCTTAACCAGCCCAGGCACGGCCACCGGCGCATCAAGGGGCAACCTCGTGGTCCCAAACGCCCTGACGGGCTGGGTATCCATAATGGACGAGTACAACTCGATGTACCTCTCCATCTTCGCCTTCGGGGCCAACACGGTCAACTGCGCAATGCCCAGCACGCCGCTCGGATGCGTGGTCCCCTCCATATCGACCCTCAGCTTCCGCTCTGTCACATCATGACACCAAAACGGGATTTCTCCGCGGCGGTTCGGCGGCGGCGACCACGGCGGCGGCTTGACGGTGCTCTGGTTCACCGGCACAGTCACCTTCCACCGCACCTCCTTCCCGTCCTCGTCGCGGTGCCGCCCGCCGTCCTGCGGGAACGCATAGTCGATGCCCAGGCGGCCACTGCGCTTATTGATGCGGCCGCGCAAGCCGGTGTAGTCGAAGTCCCGCGGGGACGTGAGTGCGAAGTCGACGAAGCCGTAGTGCTTGGAGCCCCATGGGTGCCCGCGCCGGTGCGAGGGCGAGTCGTTGATGAACGCGATCAGCTCGAGGTACGTGCCGTCTTGGAACACGATCAGCTTGTTTTCCGTGCGCCCGTCCGTGTGCCGCCCGCCAGGCGTGATGGTGAAGTTGTCGGTTATCCATGAGGGCGGCGCTTGCAGGTCTTTATACGGCAGCAGGATCACCACGTGGTCGATTTGCGCGGGAGCCATGCGTGCGGATGCTGAGGATGTGGTCGGGTGCTCGGATGTTTCGTTTCGATGATGTGTGAGGGGCGGTGGTGGCGTCCGGACAAACTGATTGGGCAGAGTTGAAGAGTGTGTGGGCCAGAACAGGTTCTTCTTACTATTCAGTCTGGCTGTTCAGGTTCCTGCTTTGCTTTTCTCACAAGATCTGTTTCCGTCTCTTCCAGTGTCCGTCCGCACGGCGCTACATAAAGTCGGTCCCCCCACCTCCCCGAGACGCAATATTCCTCGCCGCTGATGCCATTGGAAGATGCAACTTCCGCCGTGGATGACGACATGATGGGGATTCTCTCCCTACTTAAATGGCGCTCGATGGCTGGCTGGCTGATGGAGATTGGATGCAGCTTTCCTTCCATCTGGCGCTCCATCGCACTCCATCGTCCATAGTTACGCCGGTTGTTCGCTCGTCTTCCCGCCTCCGCCGCCGCCGGCAGATGGAACAGAGTACACGTAGTAGAAGAAGCGCGGTAGATCATCCCGCACCGCTCCATGCTGCCCCGTTTTACGGCTAATAGCACAGGAAATATCATCGTCCCATCGTATACGGCGGCGTCTCAATGGCTGCTCGCTCGGGGGATATATCTGCTGTGCTGACCCGGCACGTGGTTTTCCGTCTAGGCGGTGCGGCGGTGCAGCGGTGGTTGTGGTCGTGGTGTTGTTGTTGTTGTTGTTGTTGTTGTGTGTGTGATGACGCCTTCTCCCCGGCTCCTTGCGCAACCGCAGGACCGCAGGTCCGCAGCCAGCCAACATGACCCACAGCCACCAACGCGGGTGTGTTGTCTGTCCACGTCCACGTCCATGTCCATGCCATGCCATGCCCCCAACGTCGATATAGGTGCGATTTCAAATCACCTGTCCCCCGCCTAGAATAATGTCAGCATCTGGAGGCCAGATTCCGTGCTTTTGGCTTTTGCAAACGAGCGAGCCCCGCATGAAGTTTATAATGCAGGTTATATACTCTACTCGAGGCGAGAGACGGGGCGTCGGTTAGCTGGGGGCTCCCTCGATATCGATGTCATCGCCCTTCACGCCAGAACACATCACGAGCAGGAGCAGGAGGTGACACGCAACATCGCCCGCTCTACTCTACTCTATTCTAAGCTGCAGCTTCTGCTCGCGAGAACTGGGTGCCCGGAAATCTGGTATGGCGCCAACGACAGACGGCATTCAGTAATCGCTGACGATATATACGCTGACCAATGCCGGGTGAATGAGATGATTCCTCTCGAGGTCGACGTCTGGATTACTTTTCACGCACTTGTGCCGCGGCGCAAGGTTATGCGATATACTGAGCTCGAAGAAGGACTCAATGGAGAGGCGGTGGAGTGCCCGCTGGTGTATGCGGATGTCAAGGAATTGCGATGTCGCACTTGGAGCGGGAATCATGGCGGGACTTTGAATGTGCGGATCTATGTGTAGGACTGCTGTAACATGCACTTGGAACCAGTGGAATGATATCCTGGTTGTCAGAGCTCATGGCGATCGGACGGTATGCTGAAGTGGGCTGGGTTGTGGAAACCGGATGAATCTTGAACATCCGCCGAAGGCAGTGTGCTGCTGGAAGGGCAAGATCTTCGTTCGGGCGTTAGATGAAATATCAATCATAGCTTTTGCTATGTTTCTACTACTCGGTCATAATGTCGATATATCCGCGGCGGCGCTGGTCGTACGAATGAGCGGCGATGATGTGAGAGTGACGAGCACGTGATAGTTAGTTGCACAGCTGGCACGGGAGTTGCCGAACAAGGGTTCACATGTCCCTGAGCTTCGACCGTCTACCGTAACTAACCCCATCCCGCCCCGCAAAGGGCACCGTCACAACAATGCTCCCATCCGCCAACCCGTACTATGCGCGCCAGCAGCTTCTCGTCGAATTGTCTTCCCCCTCTCCCCTCTTCTCTGCTGGTATCATCCTACTAACCCCAGCAGTGCGAGTCTCCAGCAGACAGCTCCGCGCGGGATGCACATAACGCTCTCGCCCTCAGCGCCGACCAAGACCTGGCACGGCGTATTCTTCCCACGGTGCGGCTCCTACTTCGGTGCGATCATCCGGTTCACGATCAGCTTCGACTCGCCCTCGCTCGTGCCCGAGGTACACCTGCAGACACGCGTCTTCCATCCGCTCGTCGACCGCACCACGGGGCGGGTATCGCTCTCGGGCGACGGCACAGTGATCTCCGTGCTCCTGGAGGAGCTTAAGGCCGCGTTCGAGAACGACGAGGTGCTGGACCGCCTGAGTGTCGCTGGCGTCGCGGATCGCGACGCGTGGAAGAGCTGGAATGGGCGTCGTGAGGGAACGGGAGGGTGGTCCGAGAGGGTCGCGAAGTATGTCAAGGCGAGTCAGGATGAGGATAAGCCTAATAAGGCGGATGAGGTCGTGCTACTCAGAGGGAACCTGGGTGATGTCGAGCAGGGCGCTGTTGGTAGGGTTAGAAGCTCGATGGGTGAGCGGTTGAGGGAGAGGGGGATCAAGGTGCGGGAATATTAGCTGTAGACTCGGGCGTGAGTAGGCGACGAGTATTTAATGTGATCAGAGAGCAGCGAGACGGGATTATTGTTTCGGGCGTTTTTTTTTGGATGTGCGGTTTTGTGTTGGTGCCTTGTCTCTGCAAGCCTGTATTGATTTCAAGAGCGATATATCGATGCGTTCATTTAGGTTGTTTGTGCAGAGTACAAAGCTCTTAACTCTGCCAGGCGTAGTTACTTGTGGTCGTCGTACACGACCGAAGTGCTGCTTGCTCCCTCCCGGTGTGTTTAGTTTAACCTCAATTGCTGCTCCCACTCTCATCACCTCCCTCGGCCAGCTGCTATACAACCTCAAATCATCCTCAAAGTTTTGGAAACCTAATTCCTTTCCACTTTCTTGATTCTCCTACATTGACTCTTTTTGAATTGACTCTGTACTCTACTGTAGCTGTAGCTCCCTGACTCGAGAGCCTCTTGCCAGTCCTTCGATCTCCAGTCAATGAGCACTCTCCAGGCCCTCACCGCCAGTGCACAATCACTTCTCTCAGGCATCAAGTACCACCTCTACCACTCGACCATCTACCGTTGGCTCCTCCGCAGCCTCTGCCGTCTCCTCGACTGCTTCACCTCCCGGCCCTCGCAGTGGCTGACGGACACGGAGCTCGACGGCCCCGACCTGGACTTGGAGTTCAACGATTTCTCTTCGGAGTTCTCGGCTTCAGTCAAGTCACTGGTCTAAAGATGGCTGCTGCGACGCACCACCACTATCCGGAGAACTTCACGGGGGGCCCAGCCCCAGCCCCGGCCCCAGCCCAAGTGCAAGGCACCAAGGTAATCACGCCCTCACTCGGCTCCGTGTCGAAACGATACACAGTCCCGTTCCGCTCGGCAACGGTGAGGACCAGGACGGCCGACTACGGCGATGCGAGGCACGATCCGGCACTCATCGCGGAGCTGGGGGATATCCGCCCGGAAACGCCGCAGATGGATACGAGGCCGTTAAACTTCCGCTCCCCTCCAGTGCAGCAGCAGCAACAACAGCAGCGTTACGGAAACATGGCACCGCCGGAGTCGGCATTCAGCCCGCCGATCTCGGAGTTCGGCAGCACGCGGAGCAGGTATGGGAGGGCACCACAGGCCCCTAGGAGAGTCAGTTCTACACGGCAGAAATTGCAACGGAGAAATACTATAGACGGTCGCAGGACGGATGGTGGAAGCAATGATGATAGCGCTGGCGGGGGCATTCCAAACCTGGACGGCACAAGCGACATGCCTGAGAGGAAGAAGAGCTCTGCCGGGAACCGCGGAATGAGTTGGTTGCAGAGGCCAGAGAGGAAGGACTCCAAGCACAAAGTGCCAGCGCCAGCTCCCGAGCCGAAGACAAAGAAGGATAAAGTTGTGGTGCGGGATCGCTCCTCCACGGATCCGGGAAGGCTCGTGACCGCCGATGCTACAGCACGCGGAAACTTCGACGTCAAGCGAACGGTCTCTTCCGGCAGCCGGTTCAGAAAGGCGTTTTCCAAGGGTGCGGATAATAATATCGAAGAGGAGTCCACCACCACCGACCATGGCGATGCGGTAGATAAGGTGAAGAAATGGAAGAAACGAGTATTTTCGAAGGACTTTTTCAAGAATGATGCGAAAGGTCAGAAGTTGGCGGATCGTAGGAGCAGTTTGTCCACCCCTACCGAGGTCACCGAACCTTCTTCAAATTCGGCTCCCAGTGTTATGTCGGATCACTCGAATAAGACGGTCATCACGAGGCATTCGGCGAAATCAGTGAAATCGGTGAAATCCCGGAGTTCTTCGGACACGGCCGCAAGCCAGGCCGCATCGACAATCGATGACTTTCAGGTTGATGGGATAAGTTCCGTACCGATGGATGGGAATGCCACGGAGAAGGTTTTTAACGACAGTGTTATTGGGATGATCGACGGGAAAGTTGGTGTTAAACCTAGGCTCAGATGCGGGCAACAATGGAAGCCACCGATGATCACCCTGGATCTGCAAGTGATCTCGCCCGTCGACCGGGTGCCCGTCGTGGTTGGCTCAGGCAACGAGATCTGGGTCGCTGTGGTTTTGCAAGGTTTGGTGGTCGGGGAGATTGATAGGCCTGGTGTTGCTGGCAATACCAGTGGAATTGGGTTGGATGTTGGCGTATTGTTGGATATTTCGTGAGTTTCTCTCAGATCTTGGCTATGCTGGCACTAATGTTTTCAGATCGTACACTTCGCCAGAGTGCTTCGAAGAGATGAAGCGTGAAGCGAAACGTCTGGTCGAAGCGATGGAGACGTCGCGAGATCGAATCGCGGTTATGACCTTCTCCCCACCAACCTTTGCGAAACGAACGTCTTCACGAGGACACGCCGGCCTCAGGATACTGAATTCTTCGGGAAGCGTTGCGAAGAAGCAGTTGATCGAAGACGTTTCGAGTCTGCAACCAGGCCTCAGCGCGGACCCATCTGGACGAGACGTCGCCGCAGCAGTGAGAGCAGCCGTCAAAACACTGCAGAACATGCCGTCGGATACCAGTAAGTACGGTTCGAAGAGGTCCGGACACCTGTTCTTGATCACCACTAAGCTCGATATTGGGGTTATCGAGGGAAACTTCGGGGGAATCAAGATCCACATTATCGGCGTCGGCCCAATATTTAATCCCACTAGTGCAATGGGGGGAGAAGGATGGTGTGCGGCAATGTCATCTCCACTCGAGATGCTGTACGGTCCAAGGCTCAGGAAAGTTGTTGCGGACGGTATCGATATACCCGTCAGCAAGCCTCCCGGTACAAATGACATAAAGACCATTATCAATCTCCTCCGGATGGGGATCGATGTGGGATCTATTTCAGGAGGCGACTTGTTCTTCTATCCAGGTGAAGGATGCAGACTCAAGGGCGTCCTCGGAGACATGTCGTTTACTAGGTTGCTTCCAGGTGAGCGCAGGTGCTTGATGGTGAAGCTGGAAATCGGGGACTTTCCAGGCTGGGACTGTGAGAATCTGGACATCGATGGAGCGGAGCGACAATTACAGGCTACTCTTGGGGAGCTTTCCAGCAACATCCTTACGGTGGAAGCTATCTATCGGCACTCGCACTTCAGCGCGCCGGATGTGAAGATCACTTCCAAGCACGTCGTGGAGGTCGCGAGGTACGAAGAGGGCTGCGTTTGGAGTCAGTCAAAGCTGGATCTGAACCACGGCGTGCCGACACAACACCTATTCGCCGCCGACGAAGGTAGGAGCCTGTCGGATAGGGCACGTGTGAACTCTGTGCTAGTGCAGGTCCTTGCCGACCGGCATTCCTCCGCTCGCGCAGCTCGACAGGCAGTGGAGCAGCTCCGAGACCATGTCGATGCGCCTGCGATTCTTCGGGAACTGGGTTATCAGGTTTATCTAGAGAACCGTTTTGGATTTAAACGCCCCAAGATTGATGAGTCTCCCGACATGGAAGCGTATTCTGGCCGGATGATGGAGTTCTTTGAACGCAGCCTCTCGCCTGATGACTCTAAGACAGTGGTGAACAAGCCGAGGCCCATTCCGCGGGAGTACGATGCTGCTGGCTCGGATCTCTCGATGGACGGCGGAGGTGACGGTGAGGTCGTTTCCCACAGCGATTCGGAGCTGTACAATACGTCTCCTCGCCGCACGCAGAGCCAGGTCCAACCATATCGATGCCGGAGCCCGGACGAGGCGAAGAAATTGTGGATGCGACTCGGAAGCGGCTTCGACGACGACCTTGGTGCGTTGTGTATGGATGAGGATTTCGACGTGGATGATGGTAACACACTTTATTCTCCGGCGGACATGGTCGAGAGACGCAATAGTGTTGGTCGCAATAGTGTTGGTCAACAGACGCTCATCACGTTGAGGAACGTGAGGGAGACGGATTTTTCGCCGTGGGTTTTGTGAGGTATTGCTCAGTTTTGCCGCGGGTGTTATGGTGTTGCCTTTTATGCTGATCGGTTTTGCGTCTGATTCTAAACCTGCTTGTGTTTTATTACGGTTTATGGTGTATTTCTAGGTGCCGCGGGTACTTGTAGCTGTCACGTTTAGTTCTCTTGGTTTCATGTTTGCCTCACAAAGGCTTTGGGGGTCGGTCTCGGATTGAGGATGCGGTGTTGATCGTGGCGGTTTCGATAGATTATGTGTTATCGGCGGTTGCAGTACTTGAGGATTTTCATGACTGCTCCCGCTGCAGTGGTTCTGTGTTGGCGGCCAGGTATCCAGAACGATTTGTTAGACCTAAAAGACGAATCCCCATTACGCGTGAGCCCCCCGTTGTGATTAGAGGATAACCAAAGCGATCCCTGAAGCAAACGCCATGCATTTGTCGATCATATTTCTCCGACACGACATCCCAATCGGGTCCGTTTACCGACCGTCAAGCCGACTGCGCCTCAACAGCTTACGAGTCGCATGTCCCACCTTAGCAGCTAAGCTCGCCGCTTAAAACCACTTCCATCGTTCGCTCTCCTTCAGTCATCAATTCACATCACACCTTCCTCGCTCACCACCACCACTCAATCCCTCACTCTCAATCCGCCCGCTTGACGATCTTCCTTGCCTGGCAATAACACCGATCCTCCTCCTCGCAGTCAACCATAAATAAAAAAGAAACGACTATCACAATGGCCGAAGACCACAAAGCTCCTCCTCCCGGCGTAAGCATTCCCGGAACATCCGCTCCCTTCTTCCAACCTACTAACTCAGTGCCACAGTACGGAGCGCCTCCTCCGCAGTACCCACCACAAGCTGCCCACTACGGCCCACCCGGCGGCCCACCGCCACAAGGCCCACCAGGCAACAGCGGCTACTACGGCGGCGGCGACCCCTCGCAACAGCCGAAACAATACTACGGACCGCCGCCTCAACAGCAGCCACAGGGCGACTACTACGGGCAGCAACCGCAACAGCAATATCAGCAGGGCGGCGGCAACTACGGTCCCCCGCCGCAACAGATGCAGTACCAGCAGATGCCGCCGCCGATACATGACGACCGGAGGAATAGCGGCATGGGCGCGGGTGGCGGCATGTGTGCGGGTCTCTGTGCCGCCCTCATGTGCTGCTGCTGTTTGGACTGTCTCTTCTAGGGGGGGGCGGCGCTGCGTGACGGTTGGGTGTGGGCGGTTGATTTGATTTTACGGGTTAATTCTTTGCTTGGGCGTGCGGACGCGCGGCTGGTTTGGTTTTCTGATTGTGTTTGGCTAGGGGATTCTGGGCGGGCTGGGCGGGGCTGGGCGGGGAGGGGGAGGGGGGAATGCTTCATGCGGTGGCCGGGGCGCGATACACTACACTACCTTCTCCTACTACTTCTACTACCTTTTGTATTGTACACACGATGTTTTTTTTAAACTGTTAATGGCTTGATTGATTGGGAGGCTCTGGTGGCTACCGTTCTCTAAGCACCTAGAAGTACGCAACTACGAATTTTTTCTGTAAAAGAGTATCTTCAAATTCTTGTGCTGACCGAAGCTGTCATACTCATCCCCGACCGGACCGCATCCTTGAACTACCAAGGTACCCAGGTACCCAAGTCGGTGCCTAGATAGATTTCTTCTAGTTAGCGCCAGACGTGAGCGAATCGCCCGAAAACTACCGATCGGCGACCGCCGCGACATCCGTGTTGGAGACTTGGAGGCTTGGAGGCTTGGTGCAATTTTGTGTTTGTGCTGGGGTGTGGTGGCAGCGGATTGTCATGCCATGTGGATGATCCATCTCATCCCATCCCGGCAGGTCAAGGATGTGAGTGCACGAGTGATACACTGTGCTGCTGCTCGTGAGGAGTCTAGATTTGACGGATGGCGAGTAGAATATGGAAAGCACATCCAAAAAATCGTCTCTAACTACCACGGTATACGTAACTGGGTAATGGAAACCATTTCCAATGAATCGTCTCTACCACGGTGTACCACGGTAGGTAGGTATACGTAATGAGACAGTATGTGTGGGAAAGGGCAAAGGGCGGTTCGCCACGTGGCGGAGTCACTCAGCCACCACCGCCTACTACTGTACCTACTACTGTCAGACTGTCAGGCACGACGAATCGACATACGTATTGCAGAGCCACCACCGAGAAGCGCGCGGAGGTCAGCATAAGACATAAGCTGTCATTCCTCACACCTCACGGCACTCGCGAATTCCGTACCTACCTAACCATGTGATCGGGCGTCCGTCGTGGGTATCATACGCTTCCGGAACTAGATAACCTTCTCCGAAACGTTGCGGACTTGAAGAACGAATCCTCTCTTTAACTCGTACCTTTATGTCAGCGGAGTCGACGGCTACTCTACTATCGCCCCTGCTAGGAATTGGAATACCTAACGGCGGAAAAAAGAGCCTCGCCGACGGAAAGTTGACATCTCGTGAAATTTCTTGCTGGGTATCACTCGACTAATATCGTCAAGTCAAGTCAAAATCAAAATCAGTGCTGCAATTGGTGATGGGCAGGTATCATTCGCAGAGTTGTGCGAGCCTGTTCAACACCCACGTTAATACGAAAGTCATGGGTTTGCCCTGGAGAGAAGTTCACCAGCGAATTCTACTACCGGGGAGTTGGTCGTCCATCTACCCACTTCCTCTCCTAATCCCTTCTATATAAAGCCCCCCAAGAAGACATCTTCAACCACACCCCCCGGATAGGCCCTATAGCTCATGATTATGGAATGCTCCTGACGAGTTTTGTTTTGTAGCTGATGGATGATAGATCCAAGAACGGAGGGAAGAAGGAGCATATGGATTATGGATTTGGGACTCGGCACCGTTGGTGGTTAAGGTTATGAGAGATGAGGATTGAGAATTCATGCCTGCGAATGAGTTTGACGAGCCGCGGCACCTTTATGCTTACTGTGTACAGCCTGGCTACCGGCTCCAAAGCACCTGACCTCCGCGCTACCGAGTGCCCTCGCATGACTCGGTCTAGTTTAGCGCTCACCATGACGTAACAATCACGATGCCCATCCCAGCTCCCATTTAATACTGCGAGTCTGCGTGTTTGAGCACACCGTTGCATCACAAAATTTCCATTCACGCTCAGCAACTCCACAAAATGCTACGAACAACCGCATCACGAAGCTTGCGCCCATTGCGCCCTCTCGCATACCAGTACTCCTACAGTACAAGGCCCACAACTACCACAGCCAACGCCAACGCCGACCGTCTCAACCCAAAGTCCGCCGCCGCCGCTCCCAGCACCCGTGCAGAGGACGTTAGCGTATGTACCCACCTGCTTACCTATGTCCCACCTTTCGTTCCGTCGTCGTCACTCGTGACTTTGTTCTTTCCTAGGGCTGACGTGGGGAATTCATCTACATATGTAGACCTCGCAAGTCTCGGCGCACCTGGGGCGTGCACAGTCGCAGTCGCACACGTCGCAGCCCGTGACACAGTCGGAACGTGACGATGCGGTGCTGATGGCAAAGCTCGAGGAGATGGTTGCCGGAGATGGAGGCGCCAGCGGCGTCGAGTATGAAGACGGCAATCCGGCGGATATGAAGCGGGCGGTTAGGAGTAATATGTTCAGAGTTATCTGATGAATGAAGGTGAATGAAGGGGACGAGAGTGTATGTACATATGATGGTATTTTGAGTGGGGTTTTCCATGTGGTATCTCGCTTAGCGGGTCACGCTGCTGCTGCTGCTTTCACATGCAAAGAATGCCGAGGGAAGCCGCCCCCAGACATCTCATTCTCGGCCCAGGTGAAAGCTCGGTATTTTCACACGCGAAATCCAGCGCTGCCCCCCCACCGCCAGGCCGCCAGCCAAACAAACACGCGGAATTTCAGAAGCAGAGGGGGATCATCGATCACAAGGGATAATAAGCAAGGGAAAAGGTCTCGGCAACGTGTTACTGGCACATGATGGCCATATTTATATCTCCGTCTTCCCCGCAAAATTATTATCCCGCTCGTTCATTCATTCCCACGCGCCCTCCTTGACCTCTTCTCCTCGCCCTCATCGTTATCACCGCCGCGTTAGACTACCTACAGCAATGGAGCCTCTCCCCATCCCCGAAAAGACCTACACCCTCGAAGAGGTATGTCCCCAGCTGTCCTCCGCCAGTTAGCTCGTCTCTAACCTCCTCCGCAGGTCGCAAAGAACAACACCGAAGACTCGCTCTGGGTGATCATCGACAGTCTAATCTACGATGTAACCGACTTCGCGCTCGGGCACCCAGGCGGAGCGCACGTCCTGCTGCAAGTGGCTGGCACAGACGCCACACGCGACTTCTACTCGATGCACCGGCACGAAGTTCTCAGCAAGTACCGCAGCATGATTATCGGGCGGGTGCACAACAAGACTCCGCAGATCGTGTCGCGCGGAATCGGCGAGCTCTCGACGGTCCCCTATGCAGAGCCCACGTGGCTCATCCCCGCCTTCAAGAGCCCGTACTATACCGACTCCCACAGGAAGCTGCAGAAGGAGATACGGGTCTTTGTCGATACCATCTTAAGGCCGGAGGCGCTGAGGATCGAGGAGGCGGGACTGTACCCGAGCCAGGAGTTTTTCTTGAAGACGGCGGAGTTGGGGATCACGCCGATGCGGCTGGGCCCCGGAAAGCATCTGCTGGGGCGGAAGTTGTTTGGCGGCGTGAAACCCGAGGAGATGGATTACTTCCATGAGTTGGTTCTGAACCAGGAGATGGCACTGACGCACGGCCGCGCGTGTAATGACGGCTTTGGCGGTGGTATGGTGATTGGTCTGCCGCCGGTCATGAACTTCTGCTCGAATAAAAAGCTGCAGCAGGAGGTTATGGATGAGGTGCTCAGTGGGCGGAAGATGATTGCGCTGGCTATCACTGAGGCGTTTGGAGGCAGTGATGTCATCAATGGACTCCGGACGACGGCGGTGAAGAGTGCGGACGGAACTCACTACGTCGTCAACGGTACCAAGAAGTAAGTTCATCTCCTTCCCGCTGTCGTGATTGGTCCAGAGTTAATCGCTTTTCTTTTTTCTAGGTGGATCACCAACGGCTGCTTCGCCGAGTACTTCACCACCGCCGTCAAGACAGACAAGGGTCTGAGTGTTCTGCTCATCCCTCGGGGCGAGGGCGTCGAGACCACGCAAATCAAGACCAGCTACTCCAGCGCTGCGGGAACAGCCTTCGTCACATTCGACAACGTCAAAGTCCCGGTCGAGAACCTTCTCGGCAAGGAGAACCAAGGGATCAAAGTGATCCTTTCTAACTTCAACCACGAGCGCTGGGTGATGACATGCGCCGTCGTGCGCGTAACCCGTCTGATTATCGAGGAATGTCTGAAATGGACCAACCAGCGCCAAGTCTTTGGCCGTCCGCTCATCTCGCAGCCTGTCATCCGCGCAAAGCTGGCGCGCATGATCGCCCTCAACGAGAGTTGTCAGGCGTGGCTCGAGAACGTCACACACCAGATGTGTCACATGACGTACGCGCAGCAGAGCACGCTTCTGGCCGGACCTATCGCCCTGCTGAAGACTTTTGTCACTCGTGCCGCCCATGATGTGGCCGACGATGCGGTGCAGATCTGGGGAGGGCGTGGATTGACTAAGGGAGGGATGGGGAGGGTTATCGAGGTTCGTCGTTTTCTTTCCCCCCTCAACTGTTCGACGCAATGGCTAATACATATACACAACAGAGTTTCCAACGAGGCTATAAATTCGATGCTATCCTGGGTGGCAGCGAGGAGATCCTTGCGGATTTGGCCGTCAGAATGGCGGTTAAGGGCGGTATTAAGTCGGTGCTGTAGATGCGATGGTGGATAAGTGATACCTGTATTATACTATACACTAGATATTGGCTTTCTTTCTTTCTTTCTTTCTGTACTAGTACCCAAGTATTGTATATATTGATGCATCGTTTCGTTTGGGAATTTGATAGTTATGGAACTAGATTGTCTCTTGTGCCGTGTATCATGATGGGTGCAGTGGGTCGTCTGCTGGAATAGTCTTTTGTCCATGCCAGTGTAGAACATACTCTCGTCCTCGCCAGCGTGAAAGCACCAAGTCTAAAATTCGAGCAGACTGGCACACTCTTCTGCATAACTCAGCCCTGAATCGAACGATGTTCTGTCTTCGGTCCTCATGATGCCGAACTGAAAGTCTGAAAGTCTGAAACTCCGAAAAGCCGAAACGGCCCGTATTCTGCTTCCGGTTAGCACAGGGCCGTGTGAGACAACACGAAACCAAACGAACTGACTCGGAGCCGGACGCGGAGCCGGACACGCCGAGCCGAGCTGTTCCGTGCCGCGCCGTGCAGATTGTTTCGCGGAAATGGAGGGGGACGATGGAGGAGGAGGATGGAGGAGGAGGAGGAGGAGGATGGAGGAGGAGGATGGTATGGGCACATATCTAGGGGCCGGGCTGATGTTTTGCGCGGTAGGTACCTATGGAGGACGGAGTTGATCGGGGCAACTGCCAGTTGCACTCGGAGGGGTTTGAGTCATCCATCGAACTGTATGTACTCAGTACATAAAAAATCCAAAGCGGCTTGCATACCGTACCGTAGTTGTTCGCAAAGCACAGCCCTCTCCTCTTCCCTACTCTGGGGTCTGGGGGAGAAAGAGCGCTCGGTAGCACTCGCGCACCGGCGAACCCCGGATCGCCAGCGGCCGCCGGAGAATACCTACGGTATCCAGCAGACGGGTAGGGTTTGATATTTACGATGTGGGTGGTCTGAACTTTCGGTCGGCCTGCAGCTGTGACGAACGAATGCAGGGGGTGCCCGTAGCGGCGGGGAGGGGGTGAGGGGTACATGTGTTATACCGCGGCGGAAATCTGATATCTGTTAGCATCGTGGGAGAGGCCCATAACTCCAGGTTCTGATATGTACTCTACATACATGCTAAGTGTAACATTTTCCGGTGGAAGGAGATGGATATAGGTACCCAAGGGAAAGTCGACGCGGTAACTCTGTTGTATGTAGTGATCTTGTCCGCTTCGGAGCGCTGATCAGGATGCATCTCATTCATACACAGTAACTCGGGAGCATATTCGGAGGGGATTGTGGATACCTTCAATCTGATACACGGGAGGAAGTATGCTTACTTTCTGCTTGATACCTCCCTCCCCTCTCGTTCCTGAAGATCTCTCTTTAAGCCACAATGAACCCACACGGCGTCCGGGGTAGAGTGTGATGTGATGCGATGGATGGCATGATGGAGATGCAAAGACAATGTGCCTATGTCCCGACAGTGGTGGTGACATGGACTCCCAAGTTCATTCCTTGAATATCCTCCGTAATTCTTTGGTCATTCCATCTGACCGGAGCATGGGACAAGATGGATACATAAGCATGTACTTGCGAGTAGATTTCATGGCAATATCCACACCCGAAGCACTGTCCCACGGAATGTTCCCAGCCAAAGCCCAGTTTTTCAACTGATGGGAATGTCATCCGACCCCAGAGTGTGCATATGGATTCCCGATCTGAAAGGTCTTTTTTTCTTGGGAACTGCAGCGAGTGGCACCGCAGGAATCCCGAAAACCAAGCGGGCCATACATACCATACATTAGTTAAAACACCGAGTGCATCAACGGCCCTCCAGAATGAACTTGGTGCTCGTCGTAGTCACACAGTTCATGCACAGGCCGCGCGGGGGAGATATTGATTATCTCCAATCTACGAGCCTCTATCCGTGACATCGAGGAGTCTGCCTGATCGGCTGGCTTTGATGATTCTATTCTTGAGAGGCACCGAAGGAAACTATACGCAAATCCCGAGGCTCCCACACAGACGAGCGCTATGCACTTATGCATCATCCCCTGTTGATCCCCAGGTAAGTCCGGTACCTGCATACCTTATTGTTAATAGGTAACATCGACATCAAGGTCGGCGGTTACATAATACATCGCGGTGCATTCCCGCCCCCAAGGGCGCATGCATCGGTACCCCCGGTGTCGGGCCCGCGAAGATTAACCTTCAAAGGTCTCCGGTGGCGGAGATGTCTGCATGCCTCGGTCGTGGCCGCTCGCTTACGGACGTCATATGAAAGTCGCGCCTCTAGCGTTTCCGATTGATGGTAGCCGCCTTCGTGTTGGTCAGTGGTGATCATCTTCGCGGAGCCTTGTATGAGTTTTAGCTTACGGTGAAGACTCTAAATCAGAGTGCACACCATGAATCCGGGTTTGCAAGCAGGGACTGGGGATTGAACCTGGAAATGAGCTTTATCGACAATACCATCATTTGCAAACTCCGCTCAAACTCCCCGAAGCGCGGCACATGTGAGATCGAAGTCCGCCAGTAGAACTGAGGGTATCGAGGAGATATAAAGCTCACTTCCATTCCCCTATCATATTGCCCTCTATTCACCGGTTTAAACCAGCCTCGAAGGCAGAACAACTCACCAGCATACATTCTTTCCCCAGCTTTGACAGCCACAACACATTCATTCATTCGTTCACCATGCGGATCTCCGCCGTCCTCCTCCTTTCGTTCTTGTCGATCGTCTCGGCCGCCCCCATCGCCGAGCCGGAAGCCGAGCCGTGCACATCCGCCGGTGCGGCCCATGTACATGGCCTTGCCGTGCCGTCCATTGCTGCTGGATCTCCGGTAGTTGCCCTTCCGAGCGGTGCTTCGAAGCCTCCGGCTTCGCCGTTCACTCCCAGTGCGACAGATACTCCAACCACTGGCACTCCCACCATCCCTGATTTGAGTGGACTTACTGGAGGCACTACTACTGGCGTCGCCGGTGGTCTTAGTGGGCTGAGTGGTCTCGGTGGACTCGGTGGAACGACTGGTACTGGTACTAGTACTACTGGTGGTCTCGGGGGTCTCAGTGAACTCCTAAGTGGTCTCGGCGGAGGTACTGGTACTGGTACTGGTTCTGGTGGGCTCAGTGAACTCATAAGTGGTCTCGGCGGAGGTACTGGTGGAAGTACCAGTGGTCTCGGGGGTCTCAGTGGCCTTGCAGGCCTCGGTAGCGGCACAGCACTTCCCACCGGTTTAGCCGCGGCCAGCGGCTCCACTGTGGCCCCCTCAGCCGACGGCTGCCCTCCTCTCGAGCTCATCTTCGCCCGCGGTACGACCGAGCCGCAGGGCCTCGGAACTGTCGGTTCCCCGCTCGCCAAGAATCTCGCCTCCCTCCTCCCCGGCGCAACCTCGTACGCCGTCGTGTACCCAGCCAGTGCAGACTTCCTGGGGTCAGCTGGTAAGGGATCCACCGACGCCACCGCGCGTATCACCGCTCGCGCAAAGGAGTGTCCCAGCATGAAATTCGCCATCGGCGGTTATTCCCAGGGTAAATTTCCCCTTCCCTTGCACCTAAAATTACCAGATCACCACTGACAAGTGCGCAGGAGCAATGGTCGTGCACGGCATGAAGCTCAGCGACGACCTCAAGGCGCGAGTCGCTGCGATCGCCGTTTTCGGTGATCCATACACCAGCATGAGCGGCAGTGGCATGGCAGCATGGCCTATCACAGATGCCACGAACGTATACAAGAACTGCAAGTCGGGCGACCCGGTGTGCGGTGGTGGCGCCAACTTCATGGCGCATCTGGGTTATGGGCCGGATATTCCTACTGCGGCCAAGTTCATTGTCGAAAGGGCGGCTTAAACGGAGGCTGTGCGGGAGGGAATTGAAGAGTTGTTGATGTTGGAGGCCGGAACTTGGTGTCTGCGCGGGATTGTAAAATAGTTGTAACGATGGGGTCCCTCGAGGGCGACGTGCATGAATGTACAATACTCCCGTAATGAGGTCTTTGAATCATATTTGCAATAGCTGGATAATTTTGTATCTATCTCCGCCGTGGTGTAGTGGTTAGCATTGGTCGCTTTCATTGACAGAAACTTCTTCTAAAATCAAGTGCCGACTAGACCCGGGTTCAATTCCCGGCGGCGGAAATCCTTTTTGTTCCTCCCTTCCCTGGCAAAGTTAAATGAGTGAATGAGTAATCCAAGGCGAGACTACCGTCAACACTGCGAAGACCATCGGGGACGCAAAAGTAATAATAGAGATTCGATACCGTTATTCGACAAGAAGGATTGGAATGTGTCCTTTTTTATGTAACCACCATGTCCAACGAAGCGATAAAACGCCGCGCAGACCCCACATTGAACCACCTCGGTGAATGGTGGGGTATTATTGCGTAGGAAGTTTCACAGCCGGTAAGTTGGGCCGGGAGCTGAAGAGCGCACTGCGCATGCAGTTCTAGACAATACCGTATGTAAGTGCGGAAGGCTTCGAAGCTATGTACCTTCATGCAACGAGAAAACTCGCTCGCTACACCTGTAGAAGCCGATTCAGGGTCGCCTGCTTCTCTGGGACATCAGCCAGCTAGAAGCGCAAGCAGAAACGGATAGTGAGAGGAAGGCGAATTATAAAGGTACTTCTAAACGATCCACGCATGGCTGGCCGGCTCATGGATATATGATGTTCTTCCGTGGTGAATGCTAGTGCAGGCAATTGGGCTTGCGATTGGTTTTGGCGCTCCTCCGGACCCAGTCTTTTTTTCCGGCGTGTATGAAGCTATATATCCGATGAGCTTCTTCTTCCCCGCCATCGGAATAGCTCTGCGGGGCGGCACAGGCACCGGCATGCGCAATTAATCCGGTCGCTTGAGCTATTTGGTTACCCATTACTTACTCAATAAAAGAACGGCGTTGTAAAGCATTCTCAGGTCTCCTCTATCGATTGGTGAGCTCGCCAAAAGGTTTAGCCGATTTACCAATCTGCCCCACTTTAACCCCGCATTTCAGCCCCACCATTGCCGGAATCTGACTGGTGGATTAACATGTCGGCTCTCCCAACCGTGGCTGGAGCTTTCCGTAGCGGATTTATGGCAAGTTCCCGTCTTTCGGCCCTGCCATTGCTGGTTCTTCCTCGGCCTACAGTACAAGCATGTTGTCAGCGATTCCTCCTCAAAACCTCAGCGCCGTCGCAGAAATTGAGCTCCCTTCCTTCCTCCTCCTTCTCCACTAGTTACCAGACGCCTAGCACTCAACACTACTCTCCCAATTTCGACACTCTCTACAACACGATGGAGCCCTTCACATACACGCAGAACCCATCACGGGTTATCTTCGGCAGCGGCACACTCAAGCAGCTTCCTACGGAGCTCACCCGACAGAACCTCAGCAAGCCGCTGCTCCTGACGACGCCCGAGCAGGTGTCCCAGGGAGAGATGGTCCAGTCGCTGCTGACCGACTTCACCGTGGCCGGTATCTTCTCGCAGGCAACGATGCACACACCCACCGAGGTCACCGACAAGGCCCTCGAGTACATGAAGTCGACCGCCGCCGACTGCCTCATCTCCATCGGCGGAGGCTCCACCATCGGCCTGGGCAAGGCCATGAGCATCCGCACCGGCCTCCCTCACATCTGCATTCCCACCACATACGCCGGGTCCGAGATGACACCGATCCTCGGCGAGACCGCCGCCGGCGTCAAGAAGACCCGCAGCGACCCCAAGATCCTCCCCGGCACCGTCGTGTACGACGTCGACCTGACGATGACGCTCCCCGTCGGCATGAGCAGCACATCGGGCGTCAACGCGATCGCGCACGCCGTCGAGGCGCTGTACGCAACCAACGCCAACCCCGTCACCTCGCTCCTCGCGCTCGAAGGCATCCGGGCGCTCGCCATCGCCCTCCCACAGATCGTCGCGTCGCCGCAGTCCCCCGAGGCGCGCCAGCTGGCGCTCTACGGCGCATGGCTGTGCGGCTCCTGTCTCGGCTCCGTCGGCATGTCGCTGCACCACAAGCTCTGCCACACCCTCGGCGGAACCTTCAACCTCCCCCACGCACAGACACATACCATCGTGCTGCCACACGCCCTCGCTTACAACTTGCCCGGCCTGGCGCCGGAGGTGCAGAAGCGGCTCGGCGATGCGTTCCCGGAGAGCAATGGCGACCCCATCCGCGGCCTGAATGTGCTGCTGGAGAAGCTCGGTGTCGAGAAGGCGCTCAAGGCGTACGGCATGAAGGAGGAGGATGTTGATAAGGCGGCGGACCTGGCCGTGGCAAACCCCTACGCCAACCCGAGAAAGGTGGAGAGAGACGGTGTCCGGGAGGTTATTCGACGAGCGTGGGCGGGTGAGCCGGCGAAGCAGGACTTGTAAGGCTGAAGTAGTAGCATTCTGTAAAGTAGTTTGTGGTTTCTGGTTCGGTTTGAACAAAAGAAATGTAAAGGTTATTCAATGATTGTGTTTTTATATCACCTCGCAATGAAAACTTCCGTGAGCGATAATAGGTAGTCGAGAGGAGATGATGGACAATTCTTCGCCGAGGGCTCGACGTCACCGGCAGAAAGCAACTCCTAGTCACAATTATAGCACTATATTAATTCATATAGCGTTATGCATTCACATCAGCATCAATGGTTTCATGGTGTAGTTGGTTATCACATGTGTCTAACACACACAAGGTCCCCAGATCGAGCCTGGGTGAAATCAATTGATCTTTTTACCTTCCTCATCACTCGCAGCGTGGTAGCTGCAGTTCATGTCGCAGATAATTCTTTTGTTTCGTGAAAATCTCGTGAAAACAGAATCATCAGTCATTTCCGAGACTCGCACCCAGCTCCTCAGATATCCTTCCTATTCTCTTCACCCAGCACCTCCCCCTCCGAAAAATCAATCGTGGCATCCTTCCACCACACTCCGAGACGAACCGGCTGCACCTTCGGAAACGCTACACCATCCGCCCACTCACCATCCCCCAGGGCACCTTTCGCCCACGCCCCACCCCCAGTGCCCCTAACATACGGATTGACACCATACCACTTATCACTCGCGGTCCTCTCGACCTCCGCGCCCCTCGGTAGGGGAGGATGAACGACCGCCAAGTCGATAGGACTGAACGCGGTACTCAGCGGCATGGTGACGCCCCACACGGCAGGCTTCAAATCCACAGCGAAAAACGGCTTCGCATCATCGCCGTCTCCCGCCTCGCGCAGCTCGACGCGCGAGCACATCCCGCCGTCCTCGTCGCCCACGAACCGGAACCTCGCTACCTTCTTGGCGATCCCCCAGTTCCGCCGGCCGTTGTATGTGCTTGCCGCAGAGGATACGTAGATACGTGTTATTCGCAGCTTGGATCCACCGCCGACCGACGGGGGCAGAGAGAAATAGCCGGGGATGAAAAATAGCTCGTCGTATGGGCCTGTGCAGCGCGGGGTGGGGGTTAGTGCCGACGTACTTACTGATGGGATGTGCGGCGAGGTGGAAAGAGGGGACTTACCGACGGGGGAGTCCTTATACCGCAGAATGGTGACGGAGCCGAAGCCGCCCGTGAACGTCCCTGTCTCAGCCGAGGCGAACGGCGAGTCTGCCTCGAGCGGGTCGTAGGAGCCGGGGGGCAGCGGAGTGCTGGCGGAGCTGTGGGTGAGGAAGAGGTAGCCCGTGGCTTTCATACCATTCCATGGAGGTGGCGCGAGCGGGAATGGATGCGATTCCGGTTCCGAGGATGATGATGATGCCATTGTGTTGCGTGATGAGTGTCGGAACTGGCTGTGGGACAGGTGGGTTTTATACAGAGCGGGTTATATACACAGCTCGTGGGGCTCGCTTAGAACACTGTTGACAGTTGCGGCGTGCGCGGGAGCGGCGTGCTGCAGATCCGGTGGTGTGCACTATATATCTATGCTTGTGCTACTTTCCCTGCATAGCAGCTCGTCATGTGGCGATGTATCATAGGAAGGAGGGCAGGCGAGAGCGCATGGTGTCAACGATTCTCGGCGTATGCCTGGCGCATGTGCCAACTTGGTGCGTGGTTCACAGAATATCACTCGAGCGGGTTTCTCCGTGTGGAGAATTACAGATGAATCTCCCACGATTTTTTTGTTTATGCTGAAATACATAAATTTACATAAATCTACCATCTCCGTCTTAAACCCCATACGGCCATAGTTATGCCGACCGGAATTTAACCCGACCAGACGGTAGGGCCAGGAATGGTGTAGGTCTGTCGTGTTGTCAGTTTCGCGTACCGCGCACAAGCTCGGAGAAAAACTTACACCAGTGCCCTGGTAAATATCGAAAATAACACCCGCGCTGGTTCCACCGTACGCACCGGGGAATGCGACCTTCGAGCTGGGGCCAGTAGCGCTTCCACTGCCGGAAACCGTGATCTGGAAGCAACTTGGGTACACCTGGATACCGGGGTATGTCCACGCAGAGTGGAGCGAGATCAACTCGTGGCGGACAATGTATTGTCCTGCTGCTAGCGACGAGGGGACGGTGAAGGTGTAGGCCTTGCCCGTGATGAAGTCATCGGACGCCCAGGTGCCATCGGAGCGTTTCTGTGAACTGTCAGTACTAGGAGTGAGAAGAGGGGACGGGAATACTTACGCCTTCCTCCTTGATCTTGAACCACACGGCGGCGGTGCCGGGGGAGTAGGCCGAGCAGGCGCCGGGACACTTGGCAAGGTACGTAACGACCGGGCCCTTGTGGGAGTCGGGCCAAGTAGTCCAGTGCAGACTGATGCTCGATCCAGCCGTAACCGGGGCGGTCAGGGGGGCCGGAGCCGAGCCGGAGTTCAGGTAACCGCCGCACTGCATATCGACGGAAGTGAGGTCCTCGACCGGGCCGTTTCCGGCGATCTTGCGGAAGATCCTCTCCGGAGGCACACTGTAGTAGGGGTCCGAGTAGGGCTGGTAGCCGGTATATGTGACGCCTCCGATGGTTGCATCGTTGACGTATCCGTGCGCCGAGACGCTGAGAGCGTTCAGGAGGACGCTGAGGCCGGTGAGGGAAAGGAGTGAGGTGTACATGATTGTAATGGCAGGCGATCTGGTGGCTGAAGACTCGGATGGCTGTACTGTAGAAAGTCGAGAGGAAACCGGAGATTATATAGCGATGGACCAGTCGGTGCGTATTGGGCGTATACTCGCATTCATTACGTTCACATCCATACTCACGGTAACTATTGCCATGAATCCCGTCGTATCGGTTTGTCGATAGTAGATTTTATAGAGCCAAGCATTCAGGATCATGAGAAATCTCACGTCGAGTGCATGTGTAGGCGAGACGGACTGGGGTGTGGGGAACAACGCCTGTCTATTCCGAACAGCGACCCCCAGTCGAATATCGTTCCTGTTTCCGAATCATGCACCGTTAGCGGCACGTGTCGTCGCTGCGCGGATGTGGGGAGTGTATTCTCCGGCTGGGTCTGGGGTAACCACATGGGAGCTCCGCCAGACGTCATCTCGCCTTCCCCTTTGCGGAATCCGGGGCCGCGGGTGAAGTGTAGGCGCTTATTTTATTGCACGACAATTCCACAGTCGTGGAAGGGTGTCACTGGGTGTTGCTGGGCTGCTGGGGTAAAGTAGGAGCTGCTATGGGGGCAACCAACTAGCTGGATACTATATTCCGCCTAGACGGTTAAACGAAAGCTGTCGTAAGACGAGACGAGATGCCGGACCGACGGAGCGGGGCGGAGGGGAATCGCGAGGAGTGCCGTTAATATTAAATTCCACCCGGCTGTAGCGTCGTGGGTGATGCAGAGACTGCTCGGTTCAATTGTTTCCGGCGTGGGGAATTTGACAGGATCGTGGTCGTGGGTGTCTATCTGTTTCTAGGCGGGTAAAGGAGATGAAGGTACTGCCGACTGGCAGGCCGGCCCTGAGAGTGTCATGGGTTCACCTTCGGCGTGAACAGGAGTGGTCTGGGCCAGGGGGCACGCTGTAAGCAGTCGATGGAGTATCACTCGGGGTCGGATTGTATGGAACATTTCCGCACGGATCAGCAGTGAGGACTGTACGGCCGCCGGAGCGACGAAAACACAACTTGCTTCTGTGGTTTGGCTGGGGCTGGACGTTTGCCAGTACCTCGTTAGTAACTGCTCGTGGAGGTTCCCGACCTAGCCGGAGCGAGCGAGTCAAACGTTGAAGTACATGGTTCCAAACCGAGAAATATTAAACGATTCATAACAAAGACTCCATAGTGCCATGCCCTGCCATCGACTTCTCCCTGTACACAAGCACTCATCCCCATGCCACTCTTCCCATGTTCCACTGCACACCTACGTCTCTCATGCTACCTCATACCGCACATAATCTTCGGGCAACTCCCCCGGCGGCTGCATTGGAGTGTGGCGAGGGTCAACATCCTTCATTTGCTGCGATTGCGCGAGATACATCGGGGGCTCCTGATACTGCTGTTGCCGTGGAAAAGTCTGCGGATGCTGCATATAGGGCTGAACATGGCCGGTACCACCAGGAGTCGGTGCGGCGGTCGCGGCAGCAGCGGCAGTAGCACTCTTCGTTTTGCTACGTCGAATACAAAACCATGCGGCCAGCCCTAGCAGCAGAAGGCCTCCCACCATGCCCACAACGATGCCGACAATTGTCACCGTATTCGACCCTGGCTCACTTGCGCTGGTGCTAGTGCTGGCGGTGGTCAGGCCGGTGAATGGAGCAGTAGGCGCGCCGAAATGGGCTGTAACGTTGACCTGCAATACGGAGCCATCGATCAACATCATGTCCTTGTCCTCTCAGAAGCAAGAAGGCTTATCAAAGTCGCCAGCAAACTGCTGTCCACATCCAACGGTGGAGACTCACATGCCTCCCTCCCCGGCACAGCGTCGAGCGTGAGAAACCCGACCTTTCCCTTATCGCAACAGAAATACTGGGTGCCATCGAGGGCGCTTTCTCACTTGAAGAGGTGGTAGTCAGGATGGGTACAGGATGGTTGTACCTCCACGAGACGGAACAGTCGACATCTATCACACCATCAACGACAATGAACAAAGAAGATGATGGCGGGCTGATTTACCTGTAGGAAAACATGACGGTGTCCCATTACCTACACAATGTGAAGTTGATGGACAGCACCATTTCATGCCCGAACTCTCGACTCCGCAGTCTAGCAGGTCGTTGGGACAGGACAGTGCTCGTAACGCTGCGGTGCCGAGGAAGTCTGCACGACCGTGTAGGTAGCTGGAAGAGATGGGATATGCCCTATAGGCCTCTACGGCCGTCGCCATCGCGGAGAAGAAGAAGGAGACCGCAAGTTTGCTAGTGGAAACCATGAAGGCGGGAGACACGAGTGAGGGTTCGTGGAAGGATAGGTAGGCGCATCAACCGATGTGGGCCTCTCATGATTTTGAACGATTCCTCCTCAGCTTCTTCAAGCCACAACGCCGTCCTCCAGCCGGAAATGGAGGGTTGTACCAGGCGGCCATTGGACAAAAGGCTTCTCTTGGCAATCATTGGAACCCCTCGATCTTCGAGTGGTCACTGGTAAACCTGTTCTCCCTTGCGTTTGCGGCTGAACCTGCTGCCAAGAGAAAGGTTGATCGCCTCCCTACATACCGAGCTCAAGTGCAACGGTAGGGCTGCATCCACTGAATGAGAGTGCCAAGTGGTGCCTAACTTACAGCTACACATGTAGATATCCATCTCAAAGGTGCGTGTGCAGCTGAAGAAAAAAAAGAAACATAATTTTACACAGGGCTGAATATGAAACAGAAACCAACAATCGACTGTTAGCGGGAAAGCTCGTGCAGACGCCGTGGAGACTCGACATGTGGACCGGACCGACACCTTAAACCCCCTCCCCAGCAAAAAAGCCTATCCAGTTCTGGCTATCCCCGTCGATTCTCGGCATCACATAAGTGTCTATTCCCGGCAAGAATTTGGAACGCAGTAAGAGAATACGCCGTCAAAGTGGCGGTGGCGTAGTGCAACTTTGATGTGACTGGCTACTGCTGAACGGGCTTGTTAAGGTCAGGGTCAGATGAGGTGTCGGTTCTCTCATTAGTGTTTGTACGGCTCCAGGGAGTTTCACTTCACAAGGCGAAGCTTGAGGATCTTGGTGTATAATCTTCAGGATCTTGACTACTCAAATGGGACAAAAAGGATCATTGTTCGGGGTGTCGCGAACATCAATTCCAATCCCATCCCCAACCGTCACAATTCCTCTCGCGATGGAGAAACAATACTGTATAGGTACACCGCAGATGCGGCCAATCATGTGTACTCATGCCGCCGAGATCTAAGTATTCTGTAGCGCGGTATAAATGTTGATAAGACACGAGTGATTCGGCTCCTGTGCTAGCTGGAAGTGTATAAAAGAAGTGTGCACATTTAATCTTCCAAGTTAATACTTTATACCTCATTCTTCAACCCGGTACCGAAAGCTGGTACTTACACTTTTGACTGGCATCAACCCTTATCTTATCAATCCAGACCACAACAAAACAGATCTCGGCGACATGAGTTCCTACAGCCACGGGCGGCGGGCCCTGGCTTCATGGCGGCTTTAATTTGTTAACACCAATGACTATGAGTGATGCCTGTTCATTTACCTTCGGGTGCGGTGTGTGTATGTACGTCATTTTATTAGGGTTTAAGGTTTGTAGCTAAGTATGCACTCTCTATCACTCGCCTCCACGATGTCGCTTCGAGCGATGTGCCTTAAGCTCGACAAAGCAAACTTCTGATTGGAGAAACGTACAGCTCTCTCCTCCTCCTCTCAACCCACTAACAAAACACAGCCGGGGAAGTGTTTCTCAACCTAGAACACCATAAGAACCTTCTCACCACGAACAATCCTCTCCACCTCAATCTCAGCCAAAACCATTGTCCTAGCCATGTCTGAACCCATCATGAAATCGAATGCCCCGCTGTATGTGTTGATCCCGCCTGCATTAACTGTACTGCTTGTCTCAGCGATCGCACTGTGCTTCTTTCTCATTCGCCTGCTCTTTGTCATTTCAACCTCATCGGAAATGGCGACTGATTCTTTAGATTCTGCACCACTACCACAAGCCTCGAAGCCGAGCCACCCACGCCCCCTCAGGTCCCTAAGAACTGCAGGATTCTTTGGAGCGAGCAGAATCAAGAGATAGCACATCGCGTCCTCAAAGAGTACACGTACGGTACTCTCCGACTAAATGAACATGCCGCAAGTCGTATCTGCAGTTGCGCTTTCCCAGGGGCCCCGACGTCCAGCCTTTCGTTTGAACAGCAGGTCTTTAATATAGAAAAGGATACCAACGGGGTTTTCGTTGGCTTCAGCGTTTACGAAGCAGTCACCGTTCTCAACAACCTCGACAAATTGTACGATTTGAAGGGTGAAGAACGCAAGTTCTTTATGAACTACCTTCTCGATGTCGATTGTGTGATGGACGAGGGAGGGGTCCAAGGTGCTGGTGGCGGATGGGATTTGACCGAAGAACCCCCCAAGATGCTCAGTGAATCCGATTGGAAGAAACTCCTCGACCTCTACCACTACAGTATCCTCGAAGCCGAGACCAACTTGATGCTGGCTACACAAACCCTCCACCAGATGCATCAGGTCGGCTTCCCGGTTCCTTTTGCGCACAGCACTGCGCTGCAGACCCATGGAGACGCCGTCACCGGGACGTCCATTACCGGTGAGACACAGGTTCGCCGCACCCTCAAACCGGGTGGGGAGACTCATTCCGACAGGTTCGGAAACATGGTATGGCGCCTCGTGTGGAGCCACGAGCTTCATCGCGAGATGCACTGCCGTGAGTGTACCCCTCCCATGAGCGAATGGAATTTCGACGAACCCCCTGTCCAAGAGACCCGGATACGCCACGGCGAAGAGTCCGTCGTCAGGTTTTATTTCCAGCCGAACGAGGAAACCGATGGAACCCTCTACGTCGGAATCAACCGTCAGAATGCAACCGCAATCGTCGAATTCGAGGAGAGCCCATACGAGGCGACCCCCGATCCTAGAGAGTGGGCCGAGCATCGCGTAGCTGAAACCGAGGCTCTTGCTGTTGCCATGGGATGTGATCCGCTCCCTAAGTACCAGCCGAAGCTCCCGAAGCCGGAGACGACCCCCACGTGGAAATACTGCAACGACATCCAGAAGCGCGCTGAAAAGCTCCACAGTGAGTTGATCGCTTACAGTAAGGCTCGCGAGGAAGTTGTTAAAGGTGCAGAACATGCAGCTACCGAGAGTGATCCTGGTAATGTTACAGGCGGGTAGTTGGATCACGGGACTTGGAGAAAGAAGATATTTGTTGAGAACCAAATGGGCGGGAGAAGGGTCAAAATGGCGGTGGTTTTTTTCTCGATGTTACAGATTCTACTATGCTAGTATTTCGTTGCAATTGCTAAGAGAAATGTGAACTATCCTCTTACCAGTGATTATCCATCGTATGTATCATACATCCCATGAGATCGTCGGAAACAATAATGGATGCTCAGTCTGAACCCTCTGCTGGGGAAATACTGTACGGGAGACGAAAAGATATGATAGTAATTCAATGTAGTCTAAGGGAGTCAATGGAATATTAAGAAAAAAAATCAACACCCTCCACCACCACCGCCACCACCTCCACCTCCCCCACCCCCTCCTCCACTGTCACCTCCCCCACCCCCACCCCCTCCTCCTCTCCCTACCCCTCCCCCTCCTCCACTATCACCTCCACTGTCACCTCCACCACCGTCACCTCCACCTCCACCACTATTTCTACCACCCCCTCCTCCACCACCTCCTACTCCACCAATATCTTTACCTCCAGTCCTACCGGCGTCATTCCTGCTATTCAATCCTATCCCGTCAAAAACACTTGTATCCGAAGCCATAACCGCCAGACCACTGATGAGGACCCTAAGAACCCAATCCTCATCGCCACCAAAGACTTCCAGCACATCCCTGTCGCTATCCTGACACCACAGGGCCAACAGCCTGCCACTCGCCTCCTCCACCAACTTCCAATTGCCCAGGGCGCCCTCCCCCTCGCCATTCGGCGTCGTCTCCCAGATGTACTTCTGATCCAGCCGGAACTTCGGCAGCTCTTTCTGGAGAATGGGGGTTCTGCGTCCACTGGCGGGGACGATCCCGAGAACATAGCCGGACCATTTGCTGCCAAGAATGGCGTCTGCAACCAGTGGACCCGTGGCGCTGTCGCGCTTGACAATTAGGTTGTGGCTGGCGGCGCAGCGGAAACCGCGCGAGTGCAGCGAGGCGAAGTATAGTGGGTCCGCCTTCGAGGAGGCCGCCGCAGAGTTGGTGATTAGGAAGTCGTTCTTTCTTGGCCGTGGGGATGAGGCATCGCGAGTTATGTAAAGGATCAGGGTGGGCGTGGGTGTCATGGTGTTTTGAACCGTTCGAGACATCATGGTAGTGAGTTCGTTGGTATGTATTCGAGTCGTTGAATTGTTCGTCGGTTCGAAGGAATTGGCCTGGCGGACGATCAGGTTTATATCCTTCGTACATTCTTCAAATGCAGCCCCATAATCTTCAACTTAGTAAGGTTGATCTCCATGCCGTATTTACGGCGGTATGTAGATCGATACGCCTAAGATGATCGCCGTGCCACCAAATTACACGCGCAGCACCGCCCCGCAGAATCGCTGGGTATAAGCGCAGTCGCCCAAAACACAGTAAAATTCCGCAAGGATGAACTGATGATTAATCATCCGACGTAAATCTCACAATAGTAACAAATTGATTGCGAAAACTTGCAAGGGGGTGGAACTTGGTCCTGAGCAGTGAGCATGGGATACTCTAGTTACAGCCGGGGCCCGGTGATTCGGCCATCATAAGAATCAAGCCTGGGCTATGGTACCCACTGTAGGCGTTCCTCCCCAGCCACAGCAAGCCGATCTGGACTACACACCCCTCTTCGTCGCCGGTGGAGGTTAGAACTTCCGTATCTACTGCTCCTATCGGCCTGCGATCTCGTACGACCTTTGCGATCATCTGTAGCGGTAAAGGGCTGTGTGAATACGATGTTCACCGGCAAGGCTGAACCATGGCATGCGCATTGCGCATTGGGAGGTAACTAACTTGAGCCTTTGGATCTATCTAGTGAATAATCTGTTTCTAGGGGTTCTATGGATAGCCGGTACCGTATGAGGATTTTATGGAACCTCTTCCATGAAATCCGCTGGGGAGATTAAGCGGAAGTGGAAATATTGAAGGATGTACTAGGTAAATGTGCGGTGGATATGTGTCAAACTTTAGTCGCCCGGAGACGTCGGCATGAATAAGGTTTCGCGGTGGAAGGTCGAGACTTAATCTCGACGGCTGCGACGGACTGTCGACCAGTATATGGTTACGCGACGGCGGCTAACTTTGATCGGTGGCCAACCTTGGGCGGCAGCTAAAATTCAGTTCTGTGGGATATACAAGTGGGTGCGATGCCACTGCGATGATTACGTTTCCACATGTACGCGGTTAAGTGGTATAAAACTTCCGTACAGTGAGCGACATCTAATGCTCTCTAGCGTCTATAGACCATTTATTTCCCCGACCTTCCACGTCTCGATCCCCACACCAACAACCACCACCGCATTTACACCATCATCAGTATCGACTGTCACCGCCCCGCCCAGATCAGCCACCATACTACTCACTCCGCCCAGGGCCTCCAACCGCCTATTCCAAATCTTAACCCTCTGGTCCACACCCGCCGTAATCACTCCCCCGGCCACAGGTAGGATTGCTGTAACAGCACTTGTGTGCGCGCGATCCACAAGGGTACACGCCAGTGATTTCCACTGGTTATGGGAGTACTCCATAGCGATCGAAGCGATGGCGCAATCGTCGCCGCCTGTGAAGAATGTGATTTTCCCTGAGTCCAGAGAGTAGTCGACCGAAAGCGCCTTGATCCCGCTCTGGTGCACCCGTTGCCTCCACACTTGCCGCATCGCCAGCTCACCAACGTCGTAAATAGCCAGATGTCCATCCGTCGCTGCAACCAGCAGCGCTATTTTCCCGTCATCCCCGCCCAGAGGAAGGAACTTGGCATGTAGGAGACAGCAGCTGCCGTACGCCGCCATCCCCTTTAGCGTCCATACGTTCCCATTGTACGTCCAGACTCTAACGAACCCATCACTCATACCTGCCGCGACGTAGTGCACTCTATCACGCTGCAGCACGTCCAGTCCGCAGATCCTCGTTTCGGCCTCTTGCTTTGGCACAGGCAGGAAGCTCTCCTCCACGATGCCGATGCACCCCATGTTATCCACCCGCACACGGAAAACCAGAAGTTCCTCCACGCCACCAGAGGAGAAGAGACGTTTTCCGTCTGCGCTCCATTCCAGATGCAGCACACCCGTAGTGTGGCGCTTGACCGTCACCGCCCCCGGCTCGCGGACGGTACCGTCTGCGGCGACGAAGGAAATGCGAATTGTCGTGTCTTCTGCCCCGGTGGCAAGGAGGCGGGTGGTGGGAGAGTATGCGACGGTTTTGATCTCGCGGCCGTGTGAGCCGTATTTGAGGACTGCGTGCCGAGGCCGAATGGACCGGTTTAGTTGGAGACGCGTGGCTTGTGTCCAGATGAACCAGGGGGTGAGGGCGGAAGGAGAGAAGGTCCAGGCCCGGTGCCCACCGCCGCACTCAATGCTAAGTGTGTCTGAGGACGTCACCGTGTTGTAGACTACAAAACGGGTGCCCCGGAAGCCGTAGAGGTGGAGGGAGCCGGCCGTGAAGAAGAGACCGACGATGTTGGTTATGTTGCCCGGTCGAGTGATATGCGTAGCCTCCAAGCTCGGGAGGGTGTGGATTGTGTAGACGCCTGTGAATGAAGTGGTGTAGAGGGTTGTAGGGGAGGTGGGGGACAGGGTGATACAGGTTATTGCGTCGGTGCTGTACAGTTCTGAGTGGTAGGACGTGGGCTGTAGCTCCAATCCTGCCGATTCTGGAGCAGGCAGGGCATATACCGCGAGATCACCTGTTCTCGACCCAAGGAATACCTGTCTCGTTCGCTGCGAAACGAGTGCCGAAGTGACAATAAACCTCTGTGGTGCCGGGGACAGTAAGACGACAGAGTGCCGTATCGGTTCCCCATCCTCTCGCAACATGAACGAGTGCAATGTGAATGCGGCAGCGCCCACAGACGTGGTGATGACTTGAAAGTAATCTATCATTTTGCTCAATTACATGCCGACAGTGGTGATTCTCTAAGCAAGTATAAGGAAACGCACCTCCATCCTTACCACTCACGAAGACATCCGCCACCTTTCCTCTGCCGCCGCCTTCCCACCACCATGATCGGTCATTGTCGATATCGAAGATACCGAGTTTCCCTTCATTATCTCCGACTGCCAGTACCGCGTTTCCCTCCCACACTCGGATAGCAGACCATTTCACCAATGCATCCCAACTTCCGAGGGATTTCCATGTGTTGTTCCGCATGTTGTGAAGCATAACCTGGCCATAAACAGTAGTAGCGATGAAGCGTTCGCTGTCCACCACAGCATAGTTCTTGAATCCATCCATCGGCTTGTTCTTCTTTTTCTTTTTCTTGACCACCTTCTTCTCTTTCTTTTCCTCTTCATGTTTCTCTGGCGTAGGCTCCACTTCCTCAACAGGCGTTGGGGGTGTAGGTGGTGGCGTAATCACATCCTCGAATAGCCAGTCTTGGTGCACCTCCGCATCATCCGAATAGTCCACCAGTCCCACACGCCCGTCATTCCCACCGCTAGCCATCAGCTCTCTTTCGGTATCAATCGCAAATGCCCAAATACTCTTCCCCTGATGCAGCAACCATGACTTCGTGATCTCCATCGTGGCCGTCTCCTCGGGTTTCGGCGCAAACCCCCAGAATTTTGCCGTCAGGTCTTCCGAGATAGAAACAAGCCTGACTTGTCCTGCCTCTGCGGGCAAGAACCGGACTCCCCATGGCCGTGCCTGGTGACCCCAGCCCATTCCCACACACCCACGACCGCCCTTCGCCTCGCCAACAACCTCGCCAAAGCCTGTAGTTTCCCTCCCCCCATCCCCGTCTCCTTCCCGAGCCATCAAGTCCCACACTCTGACCGTCCGGTCATCGCTACAGCTCGCCAGCCACCTCATCTCATCATCGAACTTAACGGCAAAAACGCTCCCCTCATGCCCTCTTAGCCTCCTCGTCACCCGTCCCAGACTCTCGCCATTCCAGCTCCACACAATAATCTCACCAAACACCGTTCCAGCCGCAACCGTCACGCCGCCATCGGAGCCGACGAATATATCGGCCGAGTAGAGCATCGTTCTCTCCGCGTCGCAAGGAACAACCTCCCACTCCCCTTTCTCCCCGTAGACCATCAATTCATTGTGTGCGCTCACGGCGACCACACGCTTGCCGATAAGTGCGGCGGTGAGAACCCAATCTGGCGCTCTAATCTCGTCCCCGACCTCCTCGGTAGCTTTGTCCAACACATCATCGCCAGTCGTCACAGATATGCTCCTCCCTCCCCAAAATAGCACGTTCTTCCCGTCGAGACTCGGAAGTATTCCGTGGATTCGATCGCGCGCAAAGACTCGTTTCTTGCGCGGTGGGGAGGAGGATAACGGTGCAAGCAAGAAGATGTTGATGCATGTTGCTTCGCCGGCGAGAAGCTGGGTACGCAGAAAGGCGATTGAGGTTATAGGTGCAGTTAGGGAAACCGACGTAAGAGGTGCGGGTGGCATTGTGGTGGCGCACGGCTGTCGTTGAAGGAGTTTTTTTGGTGGTTGGTGGGGTCGGCTCGGTTGGTGGGGTGGAGCAGACCTAACCCTGGATGCAGCCTTATTTTGACGGACCGGCATATCATGCATAATTCCGAGCGTACATACAAGAGGATTATGTAGGCAGAGTAGATCTGCCGAAAGAATATTGACCATCTAAAGAAAAAAATACATGACATATTTAATACACTGCCCTCATTTCGCCTTTGTCTTCTTGCCTCTCTTTGCAGGTTTCCGTTTCGGCGCTGCCTTCCTGCCCTTCTTCGGTTTCTCTACTTCTTGCGCCTTCTCCTTCGTCTCTCCCGCCGCGTCGTCCCCCTCCGCAAAATCTTGCGCGAATCTCTCCCTCATCGACATCGGCTTCTTCTTCGGAGGCTCCTCCTCAGCAATATCTTCTCCATCCCCCTTCCTCTTCAGCAGTTCCATAGCCTTCTCAATCCTTGAGCTCTTCCCCGCAGGCCTAACCCTTGGCGCAAACGCACCTGTTCCGGTCGGACCTCCGAAGAAATGCGTGATATTCACCTGACCGCCCTCGACTGTCTTCTGGTTCATATCTTTGATGACCGGCACAAGGATCTGATCTGTCCTCTCCTTGCTCCAGCCGAGGGTATTGATCAGGAATGTTCGCAGCCCCTCTAGATCTGGCACCCCCCACTCAAATGTGCTGGGATCTGAATCGACCTCGGGGTGGAGGTAGGCGTTGACAACTCTGGCATTCGGGAATGATGGTGGGAGAAAGATCTTTGCCGTGTTGGCGCGTTTGAATTTCCTACGGAAACGGGAGGATGACTCCTCAGGGGTGTCTGCACCTTGCTGAACCTTGGTCCACCACTCTTTGAAGCCTGCCAGACCCTCATCTGCAAACTCGGCGAGGAGCTCGATGGCCGTGACAGGGCCGACATTCGGGATGCCCTCGGTGTAATCTGAGCCCAGTAATAGAGCAGCGGCGATGAGTCGGTTCTGGTCAAGCGAAAACTCCTTCTCGAGATCTGACGTAAGGTAGCATTGTACAACCTGCTTATCGTTAAACATGTATCGATATACCCTCGTCCCACCGAACAGAAAGACGTCGGAGTCATCGGTGACGATTCCATCCACCAGCCCGAGCTTCACAAGCTCGGCGCATTGAGCTTCAGCCTCCATAGGCGCGGTGATGTAGGGCAGACCGAAGAGTGTAAGCAGTTGTTGACATTCCTGTATCATAACCTGAGTGACCTCGTCTGCATCCCGGCGGTCCTTCTTCTGTTGTGTGCGTAGTGATTTTAGCTCCTGTTCGTAGTCGAGGGCATTTTGCGCACGATTACCGCCGTGAGTGATTTCTGCTGCGAATCGAGCGTGTTCTGCTTGTTCGCGTTCCATTTGCAGTATGAGCTCGTTCTCGTCGGCATCTTCCAGCGCAAGCTCTTGAGGTGGAGTTGGCTCGCGATCGAAACTGATCTCGAAGTCATCCGGCTCCTCGATCTCATCAGGGGGTGGGGAAGGAAGGCGTATATTGGGTGGAGGTCCCATGCCGACGTCATCTAGTTGCGAGGCTGTAGTTGGAGGGAACTTTCCCTTGGATTCCAACAGTAAACTCTTGCCTTCGGTATCTGCAACTGCTGCGGTCGCGGCAGTTTGCGGGGCGGGTACGGTTTGCTCATCCTCGCTGTCGCTCCATTCAATCTCTTCATCGCTGTCTCCCGCAACTGGGAGTGCAGGCTGAACAGGTTCAGATTGAGGTGCTGATTCCGCCTTGTGACTATCAGGAGGAATCGCTCTCAAACGCTCTGCGAGTTCGTCGGTGTTGATTGGCTCAGGCTTGGCCTTTCTCTGGCTAGCACTCGGGGCGACATCCAAGAACTCAACATCAGAGTCATCATCAGAAGAAAGCGATATTGGAGATCCCTCCCGTGGCTGTGGTGCTTCCAGTTCAGCGAACTGCTCCTTGGTGGTCTGCTTTGCCTTCTCGACTTCTGCAAGAATATCTCGTATACCGCCGCCACTAAACCATGGAGGCAAACGGACGGGTTCCTCCTCCTCCTCCGCTTTACTGGCTACTGCTGATTTAAGCTTGGGGTTGAGTGATAATGGCTTTTTATTCTTCCCAAAAAGAAAACTCCTGCTGTTACTCAGGTCTAATTTTCCAGGCAGTTTTCGCGCGGACATGCTCGAGGATGGTGTTCCACTGTTATTGTCGGTGTCGGTGGCAGTACTTCGATTTCTGGGCTGTGGCTTCAAGGACTCGGCAACTACCTGCTGGTAGGCGATGTCATTGGTACCCTCCTCCCCCTGATCATCCTGGAATGAACTCTCCGTCGTTTCCACAGCCTTGCCCTTGCCTTTACCGTCGCCACCGTCTGTGTTCCCCAGAGATGATGCGATAGCACGTTGCAAATCCTCGTCATCGTTCTCCACTTGGAATCCCCGATCTCTGAGCGACATGGCGATGGCATTGCGTAGATCCTCGTCGGCTTCTAATTCTTCATCCTCAATCTCAAACAAGACATCATCAATATCGCTTCCTAGAAAGAGCGCGTCATTCGCAGCGCCTGTATCCTTTGCCGACGACTTTCTCTTACTGCCCGTCTGTTCCATCCTCGAATCGTACAATGCTTGCCGCATTCTGATGGCCTCACCGCCTCGCAGTCTCGCCAGCTCTGGCGGTAACCTTCGCGGTCCTTTAGGCAAGCGATTCAGCCCTTCAACTGGAACGTCCTCAAACTCTACATCTTCGTCACTATCCTCAACTTTCAAATCTTCCTCTCCTAACTTCTCCACGTCGATCGGTTTGCTCTGTGCGCCCTCAAGCTCGCCTTTATTGCCGACGAATGTCATCGCCCAGCCAGTATCCTTCTCGTTCCTCACCATGACATACTCTTTGTCCCTCTCACCCGCCACCCGGCCAATCATGAGATCCGCATCACGGCCCTGTAGGTTCATGAGTCGCTGCGAGAGTTCATTCCGCCGTACCACTCGCTCAATCTGGAACTTCGAAAACGCCATGCGATTGGGGAACATCGCATCCAACTGCTCCATAGAATATCCCATCCTCAGTCTCGATCGTAACCGCGCTTGATTTATGATGCGATATCGATCCGCGTCCGGTAAGGCGGCAAAGAATGGCGAAGAGAAGTCGATGTCCGAGTAATCCGCCAAGTTCGTATCCTCCATCCCCTCGAACTGTCTCGCATACTCCTGAAGTTCATCGGCAGAGAGCATCCGGACATCATTCGATGCGCCGAACTGACTAAAGTCGTATTCCATCTCCGGCAATTGGTATTGATCGGTTTTCTTGAATCTGGTCTTCCTACGCTGTTCCTCCATTGCCTTTCTCTGCTCGTCGGTCTGCTCGATTTCATCCACGTAAACCATCTTCTCGGGCAGTGTCTCCCAGTCTCCTTCGTCGCCAGTAATTGGCCTTGTCTGTCAGCGTCTCGCAACTACCGGGATGGAACAAAGCTGTAGCGCATACCCCTTCGAAATCTGCGCCTGCTCCTCGGCCCGCTTCTTAATCTGCAGCGCTAAAAGCTTCCTCGCCGTCTGTGCCGCATCTTCGCGTTTCCCCTCGCGGCGCTGTTTCCTTCCAGCAATTGTCTGCCGCTTCAACGCTGGCGCACCGCCATCGAACACGAACACCGGGCGAATCCCATGGAATAAGAGCTTACAGATTCTTCTGAAGAATCCAACAATGTGCGAGTTGTGCAGGGCGTTTCCATCCGCGTCGCGTACGGCTTTGAGGAACTGGTAGATCCAGATCGAGGCGTCGACCGCGAGGCGTTTACGAGCTAGGGTCTCAAGCTTGACGGGGCGGTGCGCAGGTTCGAGAATCTTCCAAAGGCCGTGGACACCCATCGCCGCGTGTAGTGGTTGTCGTGGTTGTGAATGTTGCGGGGTAGCATCGAGGAATGAATCATACAAGTAGGTAAGCTGTGGGTACCTTGTTCAAGGCAATGACTGTAATCAAGACAGCTGTGTGACGTAACATCGCCAAGAAACGCGTAACCAGAGGATAGATCACCTGACGAGACGGGAGCGCTGATTCACACTGAATGAAGTTTCGTGTCGTACCACACTAACCCCCTGCCACGGGATGTTCCAAGCGCGTCGAAACTACACCATCATCTTCCCCCACCAAATAACAACATCACGAATTCTCGAGTCCACATCCGCTCCACCAGCTCAATCCGACTGCGGTGAGCTATCTTAATCCCGCTATGGTTCGTGCCTCTGTCCTGCAATTAGACCTTCGTCGTCGCGCCCGCTTTGCTCTGTGTGAGGCTAACTTTGTGCAGCGTTTCAACCGACAACATCCCCATCGACGAGTCTAATCAACACCCCCATCCGCCATTATTTTTCTTACCACCGCGAATAGCTCACCCAGCTGCCATCACTAATACCTCCGACAAACGTACTGTCAGAAAAAACCACCTGCTCGTCATCCCCCTCGCCCCACGACTAATTAACGAGACCCCGCCCTCCACTTGTCACCTATCCGCCTACAGCTACAATGGCAGCCCGATCGAGAGAAAAGCGTTCCGCGTCGGCCTCCAGAATGTCTACAGCCGTCGGCACGACCAACAAAGCGAAACTTCGATCGAAGGCAGCCCAAGCTTCACTTGACGTTCGGTCGGTGGAAATCAGGGAAATTCTCCAACGCTACCTTACTGATATGAAGAAAGACCATGTATGCCTGGTCAAGAACGTTCTAGCTGAAGCCCGGGCAGATCTTGACTCTAGATCTGTGTATGGGAGTGATGGAAAGGGCGGTCACCCAAATATCATATACGATGACGTGTCACCGTTCAGTGAGATGAAGAGCATACAAAAACCGCTGCGCGATACCGATATTTCAAAAAAGGACGGACTCTCATTCAAAATCAGACACTTCACGAAGCCTGGCCACGCATCAACTGTGAATGAAATATTTGTGCCAACTGTCCCGTGCAAGGTGACTCCAGGGACTCCGTTACCTCGAAAGTGCCGGGCCTACACAACCCTACGGAGCAACATCATCGCAGACAATCAAGAGGAAATGCGTTACCTGCCATACTTCGGGGAGGATGACAGCGAAAAGAATCCTCTGACCGACTTGCATCTCGGCGAGCTTTTTGTTGACAAGACCGCGAGCAATCGGGATGCTATGGATATGGAATGTAAGCGTTGACTTCGGATTTCATTGTTCATGGCTTGTTATAACATAGCTAGATGCTGCCATTTTTGCCAGCTTTATGGACGACTTTCTTGCAGAAGTCAATGTGTCCGTTAACGCAATGACACATTACTTGATTGGCGATATCCGGCAGCTTGATGGGGACCCCGTATTGCTCCATGAGCGTCGTGAACATGCACTTCCGGATCATTTCGAGCTTCAAGATTCTAAGATTCTGACTGCGCGGACAAGGTTGGTGCAACCCGTCAGCGCCGACGAGCTCAAAGTGGCAGAAGCAGTGTGTTATGTGTTCAAGCAGACAACCAATGTGTCAGCCTGGGAAGTTATCAGGAAAGTCAGTCAGCCTGTGAAGAACAGTATGTCTCCTACCAAGCACACCGCTAGTGGGACGAGCGCTTCGGCAAACGAGAAATGCGATCAGGAGGTAGCACTGCTCACCGGAGGCAATCCATGGCCGTATAGCTTGGACAGCTACGCTCATCTATATTGCTTGGTTTGTTTCATGTGAGTATTCCCGAAAATTACCAGAAGCTGTTCCGCTGACTTGACCACCAGGCATGAGTGTCCATTACATAGTGAGCACCACCTTTCCAATTATTTAGTCCTGAATACGGGCTTAAATTTCCACACCAAATCCAACCTGATTCCACAATCTACCTTTGCTCGCATCTCTTGACATCCTCTTCCTTTACACTTGAGAGCGTGTCCTGTAATCGCTGTCATCTACAAGTACAAGTGGGATAGTTATTCTAACAGTAATCTAAGCGGTGGGCTCTGGTATTAGGGATCGCCTAGGAGCCTCGCAAGAAGAAAAAGGCACAGGTAGTGATCAGGCGGAACCCAAAGAATACAAACTTTCCATGCATCTTCCCCAGTGGTCATACTCGAGCAAGCAGGCTAGCAAAGATGCGTTTGCAGAAGGGGAGAATTGCTCGGCGGAATGTTTCACTATAGTGATTATTTGATTCCCCCCTCAAATGGTTTTATCCCTGCTGATAGTTGCCTTAAAGGATGGTAGGTTGAAATCAGCCGTACTTGGCCGTTGGTCGAAAGCGCAGATGGAGCTCTTACGTACAACAGCTGGGGTTCTCAGGAACAATCCCCGCTGTGCTTGCTTGTGCGCAGTCACCATCAACAAACCGTGTGCTGAGGTAAAATTTAACATCCCAAACGGCGTATAAATATGGAGATTGATCATTCCCCAGATTTACCTCCAGTTGAAGGCTGAAGATCTGTTGCCCGTTGATCTATCTGATGCTCTGCTAGGGGCCGCCAATCCTGCTGGCGACCAAGAAGCCGTCAAAGTTCTGAAGAGGAAGAAGACGCCTGTCGGCTACTTTCCCGGCTATCCCGCCGACATCGACAGGACTCATCTGCACGAAAGGCGAATGGAGGTGCGGCCGTGCCGTCACGAAGGCCCATGCGACAGTTCTTGCGAATGTGTCCGCTCTCGAGTTGCCTGCGAGAAAACCTGCGCATGTTCACCAAAATGTCCACGGAAATGGCGCGGCTGTTCGTGCAAGCGTGCCGGCCGACCCTGTTCGGCGGAGAGTAAGTGCATCTGCCAGAGAGCCAACCGCGAATGCGATCCGGACTTGTGTGGTACCTGTGGCTCTTACGAGCTGTTGGATCCTTGCAACCGGAACAATGATTCCCTCGTCAGCGAAATGTGCCAGAACGTCCATCTGTTGCGGGAAGTCGGTAAGAAAACGATTCTGGGCCATTCGGTACTCGCGGGGATGGGCCTTTTCATGGGCGAAGACGTTGGCAAGAGCGAGTTTATCGGCGAATACAAGGGTGAGGTTGTTACGCAGGATGAGGCCGAGCGCCGTGGGAAGTTGTACGATAAGCGTGGTATCAGCTTTCTGTTCGACATCAACAAGTCACAGGCAATCGACGCGACTCGTATGGGCAACAAGCTGCGATTCATCAACCACGCCAGGGAGCGCACGAACTGCGTCGCCAAGATTCGCATGGTAAACTGCGTATACAGAATTGGGTTCTGGGCCACAAAAAAAATCAAAGCCGGCGAAGAACTGTTCTTCGACTATGGGTAAGTCACCCACCTTCTCCGCTCTTGGAAATTGTGTTAACATCCCGCAGCTACGGGCGAGGGCACGCAGTGAAATTCGTCCAAATGGAGCCACCCTACATCCCGTGGAGCGACTCGGAAGGCGAAAATGAATCCGCCGCTGCTGTTGCTATGAAAGCCGAGGTCAAGCAGGTTAAAAGACGAGGGCCTCGCCGGCTTGAGTACCTCAAGGGAGGCAGGGGCACCACCGAGCGTACGAGAAAATCCGCATTGCAGAAAACGGCAAGAAAAACGGCCCCTAAGGAGTCCTCTGGGGAGTCGTCAAATGACGACATGCCGCTGATGATTATGTCGACAAGAAAGAAAGCCCCCGCCATGCATATCCCACAGTCACCGCAGGAGGATGATGATGATGATGACGATGAGGATGACAATGACAATGATGGTGATGACGATGACGATGACGATGACGATGACGATGAGGATGAGGGCGATGGTGAGGATACGGACGAGGATGAGGATGAGAGTGAAGATGAGGATGAGGGTGATCAAGTTGAGGGAAAAGCCTACCACGAAGCGGGAGCGGCGAGCGACCCCTCTTTGACCGAAGAAGAGGACGAGGAAGAAGACGAGGGCGCTATCTCAGCTCCACCTCTGAAGAAACTCCGGTGGTCGGGTGGCGGAGGTCCTTGGGGAAGTCGCCAATTCAATGTTGGAAGCAGGATTGGTCGTAATAAGTGTGCTAAAAAGAACGCATATTGACAGCTTTCAGGTTGGGCGCAATATGGTTCGTTTGGCTTCGCTTTGTTGTATTAAGTACTGTTTCTCATTGCTGTTTCCCATTCATAATACCCAAATTATCATCAGATGTTTCTGCTTTCTGTCTCTACCGTGTTCTTTGTCTATGACTTATGTAATCAAACCTTCGCAGTTGAGTCTGGCCTATCATCCCGAGGTGTTGCCGTCGAACGTCGGCATTTTGCGCCCGTCAGTCGTCGGCACGCACTGCAAAATGAAAATTGGCAAAAGATCAATTTAGCGACCACGATGCGACTCGAACGCACAATCTTTGGCGAACTTCTATTCCTGAGAACCGAAAACCAACGCCTTAGCCATTAGGCCACGCGGCCGATTGATAAACATCATGTTCTTCCTTTCTCATGACCAGATAGTCATGACCTTTCTGTAATGCTCACCAACTCACATTACAGAGCACCGAGCAGCCCATGGCCACATTTCGGTAATGCTCACCAAATCACATTACAGAGCACCATCCTGCTCCCTCTCCCCCTCCCTCTCCCTTCCACTCTCCTGGCTTCACAAGCCCCACCTCCACGATTTCCAGCCTATACCCCCCCTCCTGCTTCTCATCCCCAAAGAAGCTACGCACCATGAAACTCAGCCTCTCGACCTTCCCCAAATCCAAGCGCGGCGCATCCGGGCCCTCCATCTCCCTTCCGCGGTAAAAAGGCTTGAACTCGGCGAAATTCGCCGCTACCGTAGAGGAGGGAGCGGGCGTGAAGTTGTATTCAAAGGATACGGTCGAAGTCTCCATACCCTCGGGTCGGCGCCCGTTGGGTCCGCGGGGCGCGGGGTCAACGGGAGGGAGGACGTTCTTGAGGACTAGAGTGTAGGTTTTCTCCTCCTTGGTGGCTATATATGTAATTACGCGCCGTCAGCGAGCGCGCCCAAACAAAGCTCACGAACGCGCGTGTGGATAACTACGCACCTCCGATTTTCACCGCGAGCCCCTCGTACCCACGCCAATCCCAGTTCTGCTCGCCAACGGTACGCACACTCGCGAACCCCGCGCCGCCAAGCGTCTTTGAGTCCAGGGTCCCGGCGAAGATTGCGGTGCCGGTCGGTGAGACCGTCAGTGAACTCGTCGAGGATCCGCCGCGGAGACTGTCGTTCTGTGGCGTCCAGGCGGCCGCCAGCCAGGGGGGGAAGAGTAAGTGGGGTCTCATTTTGGTAACTGTATGTAGTGGAGGCGAGGTTCCTGCGGAATGACGTGAATATGTACATGTAAGTGGTGGGGTGTTATCTAGTGGTGCCAAGGAAGCCTTTATCGGCCACGCGGGGACTGGGATGCTGCGGTCACGAATCTCACTCGTCTGTGGCCAGTCTAGATAGAACAACTCTCAATCCAGCGGTACTCGACACTGCTCCGAAGCAGTGCTAGAATACCCGAGGAGGATGGACGTGTGCCACAAGGTCCCCGTGGAAGACGCCGCTGAAGAAGGGAGTCAAGCTTCCGGAGCCGAACTGGCGTGTCCGAAGGGGTTCTGTGTATGCCGACTGTGTGCTGAGGGGACAAGGAAGCCGTGGCCACGGTCATTTTTTTCATTTTCTCTTTGATTCCGAATGCAGCGGCGCAGCAGCGGACCGTACGGCAACAGAGCTTCCTCTCTGTCCTCCGCACTGCGCAGAGCTGGCAGCAAAGGACGGGTAAGAGGTTCGCCATAGTCTAGACAGGCCGTATATATGCGACAATAAGTTGCTGCTCTCTCTCTTGGTGTTCGACGCAAACCATGAACGTACGCGAACGAAACTGAAAATAGAATAAAATAGACCATAGGAAGAAAGCCAACTTGCTCGTATAGAAAAGAAAAAATAGAAACAAAATAGAATAGAATTATCCTTCAGGACCAACAAACAATTTACCCATTCTCCAGGTCACTCGCACGTCACATCAGCCCAGAACTGCGGAAATCTATAGAAACGGAACAAAAAGAAAACTCAAGAATAAAGACCAACCGATCCTCGGGTTCCCAGCAAGGACAAGGTCGGCTAACGCCAGTTCCTCTTCCTCGATTCAATCATTCGTTGCCTGTGGACGCCAGAGTGCGCAGGGCGCCCTGTAGCCAGTTGGCGCCAGTCGATTAGGTTGCAATAGGTGCCTGGACCGTGGTTCTGAAGACAAGTCTTCAATCGCAACTATTTTTAACAATGGGTGCGGAGAAAGTACGGACGGGATTGACTGACCCAAAAATTCAAACACTTTACCCAACAACCACAGACCGGGCAAAATGGATTGGGAATCTTCATCTGTTTAAAGAATGGTTCATCTAGCATTCCTGGGATAGGCTGCACTTCAATACGGTCTCCAGGCAGTTCAGGCGCTGCAAGCGGTCCTGGTAGAACTACTGGTGGGATTTGGTTGGCATCCTTCTTTTTTTTTTTAATCGGCTCCTCATCCGACCCCTTCTCCTCCGAGATATAGGCACCCTTCCTCCTTTTCTTTTTTATCGGCTCCTCATCCGACTCCGAAATATAGGCACCCTTCTTCTTCTTTTTTATCGGCTCCTCATCCGACTCCTCCACCTCCTCCTGCGATTCCCTCTCCTCCTCCTCCTTCTCATACCCATTCTCCGGCTCCGGTGATGGCCCCTTCTTCCTCCTCGAGGGAGCGCCAGCCCTAGAGGGAGTGGTTGGTTTCATCGTAGTTGTGGATTGTGGTTTTGCTGTAGGTATATAAAAAAAATAGGAAAAATAGAAAAAATAGGAAAGGTATGGATCAGACCAGCTAATGTGGGATTATGTATCGACCGACGGATGGATGGATGCTTGTGAAAGAAGGAGATTTTTGGGTATCCGGAAGGCCCACCGGTGAGATCCGGTAGTTATATAATGGGGATCACTCGAGTTGGGTAGGACTCGACGGGTGAGTGCGAGTATGGCGAGCGAGCGTTCGTGCACCACCGCCACCAAACGAGGTCAAGTTGCTTTTTTTTTGGATAAAGCTTGTATGCCGTACATACTTGGGACAGGTTTCGCAGTTTCGAACAAAGGATTTCAACTCGGCCTGGTGTATCTTTCCGTTGCACGGCTTTGTTCTGCTGGCTTCCAGGCCGGTGGTCCGAGAACAAAGAGCTTCGAGATTCGAACCAGCAGTCAAGTCTCCCTCTCGGATTTGGCTGGTGCTGGCCAGCGGCGGGCCATTCACTGCATGGTCCACCGTATTCGAGATATTCTCCCGGAAACAACCATATGTAGTCCTCCCGATACGAGTATCCAGGTCCCGAGCAAGGACGTCGGTTTTCTGTGCAGCCGCTTTCACAGTCAGTGGATCCCCAAACAACATACTACCAAACGAAGACTTCCTACCTAGAATACCTAACTGTGAGCACTCACCAGTAGCCCCGTCTCCTGTCTCCCGTCCGGCCAGCACTTCGGTGCCAGCGTCAGCGTCAACGGCAGCGGAGTGCCACAGCCCGTCAACTCGAAGACTGGCTGGCGGCCGCTGACATCAATCGAGCACGGATGGGTAACGAGCGTCTCATCCCAAGTCTGAAACGATCACTAATTCGAGCTGAGCAGCATTTCAAAGACGGACAGAAAGTACACCACGACTACCGGACTCCAGGCTGGCTGTCAAGTTGCGACAATTGATAAGATTGCTTGCGAGTTGAAAGTTGCGAGTTGTAAGTTGCGAGCTGACCCCCTGGTGTTGCGAAGGGGAATCTCGGCTTGAATCTTGGAATAGAGCAGTGTAGCTGGCTTCTTTCGAGTGATTCTGATGCCACATAGGTGATTCGAAACCAAACCTTTCGTCAAAGAGCCGGACAGTGGTAGTGGTATCGAGTCGATGGTACGCATCTAGTTGAAAAGAGCGTGGCCCGGGCGACTTGACTCGCTGGATAGAAGCGTGTTGATCGTTGGTGAGAGATGAGGGTTGATGCAACCACAAGTAATGTAGGAAGTGCGTGGGAAGTGTGTAGGAAGGATGTGCTAATACACAAGCAAAAGGAACCGCGTGTCCAACCAGACAGCAGAGAAAAAGTAAAAATATAATCGACCACGATGCGACTCGAACGCACAATCTTTGGCGAACTTCTATTCCTGAGAACCGAAAACCAACGCCTTAGCCATTAGGCCACGCGGCCCGATTATGCTGTTCTATCTTTCTGTACTATAATGAGCTAATTTTTGGCAGGATATCTCACATGCCCCACCATGCCCACCAACGTTGATGCCACTACCAAACACATATCATTCGTTTACTCCCGCCGACAGCACTTGCTTCACTCCCTCATCTCGCCGACAGCTCCTCCGTCACAACAGTGTGCAATCTGCGGCGAGGCAGACCTGATACTGTAGGAATGCATATGTAGGAAGGCATCTGTAGGAAGGCATATGTAGGAAGACATCTGTAGGAAGGCATATGTTGGAAGGCATAGGAGAATAAGCTGTACTGGCTGTAGGAAGACCAGGTGCGAAAGGTTTACTAATCTGACTTGACTCCTTTGTTCCGCACTGGCTCCCCATCCTCATCAAATTGCGCCCACTCAAAGAAGCCGCAACCTTTGCCATCACCCGTGTCTGCACGGTACGGCGCCGCACAGTTCCAGAAGTAGCGGCGGGGAGCGTCCGCATCTGTAGGGTCGGGCGAAAACACTGCGCGTAGGGTCATCGGAAGATTACATTTACCTATGATCGCCACGGTATCAGCTAAATATGTAACCTGCCAGCAGAGTGGGGAATAGGGAGGCAAACATCTTGGCGTCAACTCGGGTTTTAAGCTCCGCCGATAGCATCGATACGTGATATTGATCCTGACATCCGCCGAGACCGGATGTAGATCTATCGCCCTCACGGGATGCACACAATGCTTCCACGCCTCCTGCATACCCGCATGCATGATAACGAGACTATTATGCGGCAGATGAACCGCATATGCGCCCTCACCCGGATCTTCTTCGTCATCTTTCGAAGCCCTCCGAACGCGGAACTCCCGCTCCACACCCAAACTCAGCCCAGCTATCACCGCCATGGGACCGAGATACGTGACCTCGTCTGTGTGCCATCCAACCGCTTGTTTCGCGCCCTGGTAGCGGTTCACCAGTGCCGCGTTGGTGCTCCACGGAATGGGACTGAGACCCCACGGCTTCTTCTGGCCCTCGTAGCGCGCCGTGATTGCTGCGTTCACCGCATCCTCAACTAGTTTGGTGGCGGTGCGCATGGACGGTGTGTACGCTCTTGCCATGAGCGGCCGAGATTGGTAGGAATGGTACTGCTCTGTGTCTTCGGCGGGATTGCGAAGGAAGAAACCGCTGGTGTGCGGGCTGGTGACTTCGCGGTCGAAGAGCCGGAAGGATAATGGCGGTGGGAAGGTGTTGGATTCTTCAAGGAGCTCGCGGAGGAGAGAAATTGCCAGGGATGGTGGGAGGAACGATTGGATGAGTTCGACAGGACATGGCGCGTAGGCAATGGACGCGGGAGTATATAGATGCAGTGTCTCGCCTTTCTTGGGCGGGCGGACGGGTTTGGGTGCTACGTTACTGGTAGGCTGGCGGAGAAAACATGAGAGAGAGGATTGCTGGCGGGCTTGTTTGGTGGGTCGCCTGGGAGGCGAATCGGAAAGAAGCAACGATGCGGTATGGACGGAGCCATTGCTGGCGAGGAGTGTCTCCAACAGTGTGGTTAGCGAGACGGTGGGGTGGAGGGATAATAGGAGAGCGAGTTTGGTATCGGTGCTTTCTTCACTGTCTTCAGCATCGGCAGGCAGAAGTGGGGATGAGAGCCGCCGTTTCTTCGTGGGCGGTGGTGATGGATCTGCCATTATGATTGTTGGTGGGTGGTGTTGCGGGGATTCCGGGGACTCGGGGAGACGTGTAAAGTAATATATACTGGCACGCGTAAATTAGGAGCAAGATTGGCTTGGCTTAGCTAACATGTGATGCCAAGAACCCCCGCAATACTCAGGGACCAGTTTCGTCCGAAGTTTTAGTCCATCCAAAGAGAAAGGACCGTCTCTTCGACTGGACGACCATTAGCAAGACTGACCAACCCGAGTCGAGCTGAGTCGGTCCGAAATATCTCTATGACCGAATATTCGATTCAAAAGATCATGGCACACATCCTTACTGCCTTTTCGTACGTCTGCCCTGCATCGTTAAAAGCCAATCCGCGAGCGCCCATCCGCTGAAACCAAATGTCCGGATATATTCTTTCTGCCTGAAAAACAACAGATAAACGCCACTAAAACGCCGCACCCACAAAGAATCTACCGCCAGTTACCGACTCCCGATCGTCCCGCCCACGTCCCACACCCATACGGTCTCATCCCATCCGGTACTCGCAGCCCAACCCTCCCCACCAAAGAGACACCAATCCACGCCGGCCACAAACTCGGTATGCCGATCCATCACCCCCATCATCTTCCCAGCACCAGTTGGCGCCGCCATTCCGCCGACCCCACCGTCCGCCGACCCATCCGACCAAACGCGGACACTCATATCATAGCTGCCACTGAGCAGGACATCCTGCCAATGCGGGCTCCACGCCACTCTCCTGACAGCATACTCATGGCCCGCCAGCTGCGTCTGCACCTGCCCGGGCATCTTCAGATCCCAGATGCGGATGGTGCGGTCCACGCCCGCAGTGGCCAGGACGGACGGGCGGTACTTGTTCCAATCCTGCGTGAGCACCTCGCCCGGCGACACCCGCGTCTTTGCGATTTCCGCGGAGGGCTCGGGCGCGCGCAGGTCAAACACGCGCATGAAACCGTCGCTCGAGACCGCGCTCAGCACTGTCGGCGAGCTCGGCTGGAAGGCAACGCTGTATGTGCAGCTGCCGATGTAGATTGTTCGCAGACTCGTCGGCGCCATGGGGTTCCAGATCTTGATGTTGCCATCCCAGCTGCTGGACGCGAAGGTGTTCTTGTCCACGAGGTTCCACGAGAGTGAGAAGACTTCGCGCGTGTGTTCGCGCCATTGCTGCACGGGGAAGTCGTTTAGAGTCGCGTCGTAGAGCTTTATGCTGCCGTCGCCTGAGGCTACGGCGAGCTGGTTGCTGTTGGATTCGCTGAAGGCGACGTCGAAGAGGGAGTCTTGCGTGTCATACCTTTCATCATCGCGAGGCTTTTAGCATGGAAGCTCGGAAGGTGGAGTACGAACGCGGGGGAGAGGGCAAACCATTTTTCAGCAACGATTCCTTGTGGCGTGAGTGCAAGGATGTAGAGACGGCCGTTCCCCACAAGTCCAAAGTTCGCCGACGCGGCGCAGGCGATGCGAGAGTCGAAGAAGGGCGAGTACTTGACGGCGTAGCCGTTGTAGCCCGTGGTGCGGAAGCTGAGCATCGAGAGGACGGCGAGCGGGATTTCGGATTAGAGGTTCGGTGTAAGGAGCATCGCTGCTAGGGGTGCTGCACGTTCGGTGGTGGTGGTGATGGTACCTCACATGGGTTGCCGAGGCCGAGGGTATGCGTCCTCCCCCGCAATGTCGCACAGTGCTTGCCGCTATACAGTTACGGGTGGCGATGATGCATGTGCCGACGACGCTAAATTAACGGTCTGTAAATCACTCGTGCCCATTCGATGTAAACAAGATATTCTCATCCTCTCGCGCAGGAGTTCTTAGGCAATATCGACTTCGGCATGTATCACATATGCCCAGGAGAGAGACCATTACCTTTCAAAGTAAAGGAAGGAATCCCTCGTATGCCCAACTTGCCGGATTCTGGGCGGAGAGGTGGAATGAAGTTAGGAAAGAAAGCGTACATAGCACCTGCTACCGATGAATGGAAAAGGTGGTTACAGTTATTGTGGGCTGAATAGAGGGTTAGAGGGGATTTTTTGGGAGATAATCTACGGGTCATATTGCCCGACCAATCGCCATTCATGGGAAATCACTGGCTCAATGTGGCCGACCAACCAACGATCAGGCTGAATGAATCCTTCTTCACCGAGGGGAAGATGGTTCCAAGCATGCCGACGAAAGAGCCAATGAGCATGCGCAAGCACCACCCGTACGGACCACGGAAGAAACTGCGAGCAGATCCAACGCCGGCGATAGAAGTTAGCAAAGCGGTGGCCTCGCGCACGCCATCTTCATCACGAACTGACAAGGCCTAAACCGTGAAATCAACTACAATTCAAGTGATCTCCTCCCAACCACGCCTCCACTCTCCACTCACAGAAGATATCCGCAGACGGTCAAAGCAAATCGACAAGCGCCCCAATGCAATCCCAACAAAGTGAATGACAAAAGGAGAAAAGGAAGAAAAAAAAAGAAATCTCAAGTGACCAGACGCCATGCCATGCACCCTCTAGATATCATTCAGTTCCCAGCCTTCTGGTCCTCGTCCGCCTTTTCGTCCTCCTCGTCCATCGGTTCGGGTATGTAAAGTATCACAGCGCAAATCATCAAATAGGGTGGCCACCCAAGAAAAAAACATTGCTTGTATCCTCCTCCATTAGTCGCCTCCGTCGAACTTGGCTATCTATGTATGTACTAATAGCATGAGAACTGCCACTCTTCTATGCCATATCTAGAATTCCGGACTAGTCGAGGGTGACTTTTTGATCGGTTTAAAGCAATCTTCGACGCCCCATTCCAATTTTCCGGTAGTGTATCCCTTCTCCTCGAACCGCGTGTACGCGGTATAGGCATCCTTGATGGACAGAAACTCGAGCTTGACGTCTCGGACCATGGAACCAGGGCGGTCGGCACCGGGACGCTCCAGGCTCTCTTCGATCCAGCAGACTGGGGCCTTCCTCGCCGCGCTGCATGCGTCAACGATGGTCAGGGACGTCAGTTCCACATTCACTTCTCGTAGCAGGAGAACACGTGTCCATGATTCGTGCTGGATTCCCTTCACGATATATAGCTCTAGTGGTTTGATTTTTATGTCGGCCCATTCGAACTGGACAGTACATCGGCGGTACGAATCGGTCGGATCCACAAATGAGCGTTTTCCGTTGAGGTTTTTGTAGGCGTACGCCATGAAGTTATGGGCATCCGACGGGTACACAAAATCGACGTTGGCAAACCGGGTGGGGTTGTCCACCATTCTGAACATCTCGACTGGCCCGCCTTGAATGATCGAAAGGAACAAATGGGGCTGGGGCATAAAGTTGCCGATGAAGCGGCAAAAGAGAGATCTAGGTTCGGTCCGTGAAAGCTTCAGGAGACGTTCGATCCGACTCTCGATCATCTTCATGTGTTCCGCAGGCGATTGAGCGGACGTCTGCACTGGGCTTGCCTTCCCGAACAGTGCGCGTTTTGGAAGGTCAGGTCGCCTTCCATCCGGGAACGTCACTCGCTCAAACAAAGATCGTGGTGACTGTGAATATTCTTCACGGGGAGGCATAGGCGGGCGCACCATCGCATCAACCGTAGCACCTAGGGCGAGTGGCGTATAGCTCATCTTCAGCTGTTGAGAAGTCGGTTTCTCTTGTCCCTCAGCGGCGAGGTATTTACAGTCCATGATACCGTGGTGCGTCAGCCTCTCGTCGTGGCAAATCAGACAAGTCGTGCCTGAACCGGCAATGAGGGTTGCATACACGCCGTTCGTGACCTGGATGTGCTTCCTAAACTCCCTGGGAGCCTCGGCAAATTTAACCACATATTGCTCGGAGCCATTTGGCGCTGTCTTGAACACTCTACGCAATTCTTGAACTTTCGTTCCCAGCGAGGCAAGGGCGGCAGCGAGTGCCGAAACATTGACAAGAACGGGCATCTCAACCACATAAACCGCGCCCTTCCGCTTGAACGGTGCCACTAGAGGCGTGCCGTCGAGCTTTTGGCGTTTCTCGGTCTTAATGTCGGGGGTAGTGGGCCGTTGAGAGTGTTTGGAGTCGTCCCACCGTTCGCGGAGCTCAAGTGTTTCTGTTGCCTTTCTCTTGGTTCGTTCTCTGGATTGCTCGGTTCGTTCTCTGTATTGCTCCGTGTTCGGAGACACCGTATCGAAGCTATGTGTGCTCATTGCAGCATCGGGTGTCCTTGCCATGGAACGAGGTTTACGATCGCCGGTCGCAGCCTCGCGGGCATTACAGGGTTGCGCATGTTTGAGCCTAGTCTGAAGAACTTGCACATCTCCCTGTAGCTTCGTGCATCTCTTGCTCGCCTCGTCGTATCTCCAGCTCACGGTTTCGTAATTCCTGGTCATATCTGAGAGGTCTCGGCCCGCAACGTCGATCTTTACGCGCAGCTTGTCGTTCTCGGCCAATAAGTTGCGCTTGTGTTCCGTCAATCTTCGATTATCCTGGATCAAATCTGCTTTGTCGTCCTGAAGCTCTCTCTTCTGCCTTCGGATGTCGATCAGTATGTCTTGTCGAACCTGTAGTTCATCGTCCTGTCTCTTGATATCATCCTGCAGCGCATCGATCTTCTTTAGCAGTGCGTCGATTCGGTTCTTGAGGTACTTTTCGCTGTCACTGAATGGGCCTTTCTTCGACTCCTGCAGAGCTTTGATTTCCGCCTCAAGAGCAGTCTTGTTTTCGAGTAAACCGTTTTTCGTGATTTCGAGAGAGACCTTCTCCTTTTCAAGTCGATATTCCTTTTTCTCCAACATCGAATTTGCATCTGCAATCACGTGGTATTTGTTGATGAGATCTTTGTTCTCGGCTGCGCTGCGCTCAAGACGGTCTGTCAGCTCTTGATTGGCCTTCTCCAGCTCGGTTGTCCTCGAAAGTTGCTGTCGATTCGTTCCGAAGAGCTGCGTGTTCTGCTCCGTGAGTCGCGAAAGCGAATCTTTTTGCTGCTGTTTCGCCTTGGTATTGGCGTCGTTCTCTACTCGCAAGGTATTGTTGTCGGTGACAAGTCGCTCATTCGCCTCACTCAGTTTATTATACCGGGTATTAAGCTCGGCCATCTGGGTGTCGATTTCATGCAGGGCAGCAAGCTCCTTATCCGACTCATCCAGCTGCGACTTCAATCGTGAGAGATCTGCCTGCAGTCTTCCATTTTCCCCTTGGAGCTTAATCTTCTCCTTCTGCCAGACATCCTCCGCCGCCGTCGTCACGAAGGATTTTCGACCGATCGTAGGACTAGCCAGAGGTTGCTTCTGCAGTTTGCCGACCTCGCACTGGAGTGTTTTGGTCTTGACTTCCAATCCCTCGACAGTCCGGGTCAAGTTGAAATTCTCCTGTTCAAGGGCAGTGTATTCTCGTTCGAGATTGGCGACCTTCGTGCGTTGAGTCTCGGCATCGATTTTCGCTAGTAACCCCGACTGTTCTTGCCCGTCGGGGAGTGGTGTGCTCGATAAGGTTCGCTGCTGTTGGTGTTGCAGTTGTTGCTCAAAGAGTTGATTCTGTTTTTCGGCGAGTTGAATCTGTAGGCTCGTGACCTGGGCAAGCAGCGTGTCATGCTGGGCACGCGGCACAAACACTAGTGACTGGAAAGAAGTGTCGAGTATGTCGGCGGGAGTCGCATCGAGGAAGCTTCGCAGCGATCGGGGAGTCGCCTGTTGTCGTGTAAGCTAAGCACGTTTCGTCGAGAATATCCGTAAAGTCGCTGTGGAGATATTACCATTGTTGCAATCGTTGTCGTTGAAATGGGAAGGCGCGTCTGTGTCTATGTTGAGCAGCAATCTGAACCCCCACTAGGTATCACCTACCTGCAGAAGATGTGATGGAAAGACAAAAGAAGATGTAGGGGATTATGGAGGAGGATATTAGAACGACAATTGACCCACGGCCATTGCGTAGTCGGAGATGAAGAAAATTGAAGCAGGGTGAACAGTGTTGAGGATGAGGAGGAGGAGGAGAAGGAGAAGGAGGAGGAGGAGGAGCGGGGGAGAGGAGTTACCGTATGGCACGAGAGGAACTACCCTAGTAACTATTACGCGCTAGCGCCAAGTTTTGTGGGCAGGGATGTGATCCGGTAATATAGAAAGCCGTTGTGCGAACCCTACGGCAACTACCCTACGTGAGTCGTGACTAGACATGTAGAGAAATCAGCCGGCCGTAGATACTACGTAGGGGAACCCGAATGACATGTGTGGAAGCGCAGTCAGAAACTACTCGAACACTATAACTCTCTGTATCCTCGGATTTTGGTGGAGCCGGACAATCCCCAGCTAAAACTGAGATCAAACATTCTCGGCTGCGAGGGGACTATCTTCTGGTATGTACATGTCCATCTACGCATAGCATACGTAAAGCTAGCTGACAATGACTTGGACATCGCTACTTTAAACTCAATTCAGATCGAGAGTGCAGGAAGTCGCATGGCATGTGCACTAATTATCACTCGCAACACGGGGGATGCCGCTTTCACATGCTTGCGATATTTCCGTCCTGCAGGGGAAACTCTGTCTGACATGAGATAACGCCGCCTGCATTTTTTGCGTTTAGATATAGGGCTCGACGCCCCTCTGCTCTGCTTGAGCTTAAATTCAAATCCTCCAGCAGAACCACCGGTCTGCCATTGGTCATTCGACTCTGCTTCCTGCACTTCTCTGTCGTCAGCCCATCTCGCAATAGCACTTCAGTAGTCATGGCTGTCACAGTTCTCGATGCATCGCGCTCCCGGCCTGCTACTCTCGTCTCCCGCCTATCCGCCTCGACTCTTGCGGCCACCGCTCTCCAGCAAATCCCCAGCAACTACCTCTCCCTCGCCAAAAGCCTCCTGGCCATCGCAGCGAATAACATACCGCTTCTCTCCGCCCCCACTCCCTTACCCGAAGCAGAAGAAGTCTTCACCTTAGACGCCCCCGATTACTTCAAGAGCCGACAGGCGCCGCAGGAAAACGACCTCAGCAGCAACACACTTCCACCACCCAGCTACGCCACCTCCCCACCAACACCCACACAACCGACGGAACCAACGTCCCCCTCGCAGACCGTCCACTTCTCGCACCCATCCTCACTCTCGCAGGTGGTATCGCAGGCATCCAGCAGCAGTACCGGCCGCTGTCCCTCCTGCTCCCAGCTGCAGCTCCAGCTGCACCTGCTCACGCTGCAGAACGAAGCCTATCTCGCACAGCGGGACTACCTGCTGCAGCACCAGCAATCACCCGGCTGCACTGCCGCCTCCCCCGGGTCGCAAGGGCTGCTGGCGCTGGTCATCGCCAACGCGATCCGCGCGCTGTTCCTTGTGGCGTTTCTGCTGTGGCCGTATGTGGTCCGGCTGTCGTGGAAGGCTCGCGAGTGGGAGAACGAGTGGGAGATTGGGGGGCGCGTGAGGACCTGGGGTTGGAGGTGTGTGGGCATGGCTTGGACGGTTGTTGCCAGTGCCGGCAAGGAGCGGCATATTGGCGTTGGAAGGAGGGCACAGGCCGAGTGGGAGGTGTGGGCTATGAGAGGGATGGAGGAGGTGGTCAGTGGTGTCGGGCAAGGTGTTCGGGAAGGACTCGGCCTTTGGGGCGTAAGAGTCGAGGGGACGATGTAACGATGGCGCCTAGCGAATGATGAGAGACGGCGTCAACGACAACCGAGATTTATGATTACCACACGGCACGACACGACATACGGATTGGAGAAACACATGGACAGAGCATAGATTTCTTATTTGCATATTTGTTTATAGAGCAAGTCGTCTTCAAGCAACATTCTATATGGAAAAATCCGCATACTGCCTGTTGATATTATGCTATTGCCTGTTCCGGTGTCACTGGTACTTTTCTATGTCCTTTTGCATCGTCGCATACAGCCCTCATTTCCTTCGTGGCTTCTTAGAATTGTCCCTGACTTCTCACCAGAATCAGCCTCCTTACGCCTTCAGGTCCCTAGCCCAAATCCGACACAATTCTCAACAGCCACGAAGGAAATGAGAGTAAAAGGACAGTGGAAAGCAGTAGTGACAGCGTAACAGGCAACAAGACGCATTGTGTCAACACTGCCCGTGGTCGCCATACCGAGTGACCTCCCATGTACGTCGTGGCTAAAATCGACGCCTCAACAAAAACAAAAGCAGTTAACTTAACCCAAGAAATGGCAAAAAGGTGAATGACCCCGACGTGATTTGAACACGCAGCCTTCAGGTCTGGAATCTGACGCGCTACCGTTGCGCCACGGAGTCTTGAATGACATAAAGCCGGCGGCCGTCTCTGTAATCGGTGCACACTGAGTGCTGGTGTGGTAATATTAAGCATCGAAACTTGAAAGCTGTCGGGCTTTATTCGCAGACGGTAAACAAGATACCTGGAGTGAGTGTGCCTGTCGTTGGAGCCGATATATAGGCACATCTATCTGGCTGCAAGATCAAAACAGGCCCGTTAAAGATTACGAAACGAACAACAAAACCTATTGACGGCGCAGTCGGGACTTGAAATATTCCGATAACGACGACAACGACGGGCGTGTCGTGGAATTCGGGTTTCATGCGACATCACTCGGGTATCCGGGTATACCGAGCCCGATGGTTGGACCCCACACCCCACACCCCACATCCCGCACCCCGCACTGGGAACATGGGAAGCAGTACAAGAGCATGCATATGTAGAGTATATAGGGTTGATTATTGCGCTTCTGCGAGCCGTATACCTATGACAAACGTTAATCACCTCTGCGACGCTCGCTCGTCGCATGTGTGTCCCTCTGTTTGCTACATACCGGTCATACACCCGCACATGGGTGGTGCGGCCAACGCTCCGTCCGGCCGTAAGGAGAAACCGACTTCAATTCCCGAGGGGAGCGGGGCACGTGTTGCGTCGTCGAAGCGGGGAGGGAGGAAGGGAGGGGCGAAAGGCGGGGCTAGGGAACCCACATATCTAGCACAGATGAGTTCGGTACCGCCGGCGGTGACGGGACTACTGGTAGCGGGCATGCCCTCATCTACATAGAGCATCCGCGCAGTACAAGCTCTAGTGGGCTGGAACTTGGCAACTTCTTCAGTGGAGTCTGGACGAGGCTTCTAGTCGTCGTGGACTCCGAGTCTGTACCTACCTCACACCGGTACTTAGGTAAGTGCATAAATGTCCAGGACTAGGATGAGCGCACCCTCCGTTGCTCCTCACCCCTCTCACCCCCCTCACCACCACACGGATCAGCCCCAATGATCGGACCCAGCAGTGACAGGTTTGTGGTTAAGCATAACACGACTTTCGGATAGGCACCAATGTGGGAGGTCCGGGGGCAGAACCCGTCGATATGTATCCACAAGCAGCGGCCGGACTACCCGATACATACGAGCGGCAAACATCGGACATCCGGTGCGCGTGTAGTTATCCAGGAATCGAGGTCAACTATCGAATTATGTAGTGCTTGAGCAACTAGTGCAAAATCTATGCAGGTCTGGTTACAGAACTGCCCAAGTCGAGTAACAATCGTTACCCGACAAATTAGCGGCCTAGATACATACGCCAAGCGGAATGGGAGGGAGGGGGAGTAAATCAAGGGCTAACCCACGGGCTAACTCAAGGCAGATATATACCAACAGGCTACATACGAGTCGCACTGCCCTGTCCTGGACAAAATTGTGCGTAACAGATAGAGTCTAGACAGCCGGTATTTTTCTTCTCAAACCCGGGTCGGTACGCATAGAAGCTGGCACTGACATGTGTCGGTGTTTCTGGGCGGCCCGGGGGGGGGAATATGCACTAGTAGTAGTACCCATCCGGTGTCAGGTAGACAGGATACGGTACGGTACCGTATCCATCCGTACGTACAGACAGTGGTAGTTACGGATAGGATTGCACCATGGGCGTTTTCATCGTTGCCGAAGAGGGGGGCCCGGCCAACCGGAATGCAGGTTTAATGTAGGTAATCGACCATGAGCTAGAGTAGCAGGAGTCCTGGGCTATGCTACCCAAGAGGTAGGTACCTGCCGTATGTAAGCTCTCAGCTGTCGCGATCTGTACCAAAAACTCGGGCGGTTTGCCTATTCGGGCATATAGTACTAGTTAGTAGAGTAAGCAGGTCAAGCACGCAAATAAAGACTGGGCCCATGTTTAACAGCTATGTAGCTCACACATCGTGTCACTCGGGACTTTATGATCCCGACAAGGACAAGCAAAGTGAGCAGTGGTCCCGCTCGTTCTCACTTGTGTGTGTCCCCCTAGCTGCTGCTTGATTACTTATCTACTTTCCCTTCGGTTCTAGCTGAGAAGCAAAGTACCGAGACCAATATTGCGCACACGACGAGACTCCAAGACAAAAGACATGCCTCGCTGACCCCCACTCCCCATTCCCCACCCCCCACATCGGAGAGGAGCGGGGGGCTAGTTAACCGCCACTGTCAGATCCAGGTACTGAGCACGCTCTTCAGCCGCCCGTTCCTGCATACATAAAAACTTTAAACATGCGCGTATGTACATCGGTAGGCGGTATGTGGGCCGTACCTAGAAATTAGATTCTATGTAGATATGTTGCCGTACATAGGATGAGGATCCTATCTGGTCCGAAGAAGTGGTCTAATGGGCAGTGCTAATGGGGGATGACGGAATTCACCTCATGAAATGCCTGCTTATCTTTTATTTTTTATTGTAGAGCTCGGTTATAGGACGGTGGGAGATGGGAGATGGGATGATTTCCGGGCCCGTTTCGAACCGAGTTGTCTAGATTCCGATGGCGATTTTTTTTTGGTTCGATCCCATGCGTGACCAGCCTTGCAGTGAGTACTAGGTAGTACTCCAAGTAGAGAAACACGGCGATTGAGATTATGAGATAAGAGAACGAAAACGAGGCAACCCCGAGGCCGCCCGATCACCAGAGAGTTAGCCACTGCCATTCTAGGGAATGGCCAGCGTGGGGTGCCGAATGGCCATTGTGCTCGGACGATGGGCTTTGCACTTTGCCACCACATGCACCCCTCGTAAATAAAGCCCCGAACGACGGCGGTGATGTCGTTTCCTCTCTCAGCCTCAATGGTAGGTACTGTAGATATTTCTGCTGCAGATGTCGACCGGTGGGGTGGACTTTCGTCGTTGTGGAAAAAAGCTCGTGATGCACTGATGCTTCTTTCCCAGGGGCATCGGGACCCGAGCCACGGTTCGGAGCCCCCTCGGACCCCGAGACCGAAGAGCCAACCTAGACGGTCTCATGGATTGGTGGGACCATGTGCCCCCATTCCCACGTACGATCACTCGCCCATGGTACATATGACGCGCATGGGGGGCAGCTGCCGACGGCCGTGCCCAACCCGCCCGCACAGGAGATATCATATCATACCATACCAAGCTGTTTGTTTTCCAGCGACATTCCAGAAGCAGAAGCGAAATGCTCGGTAGAAAGTAGGAAGCTTCTAGCTCCTTTCTGTCTGATCTTCTTCCCCGCATCACACACCTTCGCAGATCCCTTCCGCATAGTTAGTTGCTAACCACCGGCCCACCCCACCACCACCATCATCATCATATGTATGTAAACCCCCCCCCCCCCCCCCCCCCCCCCCCCCCACCCCCCCACGGATTCAAATCACCATCTCGATTCTCGTTCCGTCCAGACTGGTCACTGATCTGTGTTTTGCTGACTGGGGTTCATATTGAAGTGCATATGTACTGTACATATAGTATGTATAGTACCTATGGCGGCTTGGGGAAGGAAGATTGAGAGAAAAAAATGGGACGGAAGGATGGTTGACCGTGGCTACCCATGGTTACAATCGGCTGGATATTTGCATGCATGCTCTCCAGTCTCCGGTGTGTATGCATGTAGGTATGTGTATTTGTTGTGCAGTGTAGGTGCGGGGATGTCTCGTCCGTAATTTCTCTGTCTCGATACCCTCTCCTCCTCCTCTCCACTCCCTCTTCTCCTCCAATCCGTCCCTCTTCCCCTCCAAATCGCACCAAAAGCTACAGCTGCAGTATGTATCGGCGCTTCAGAGTGACCGCCGCTCCAAACGGTTGCCAATGCCGATCTAGCCCCGCCCTCGAGCTCGTTGGAACTTGGCGTCCGAAGCACACCTACCTGTATCCTACTTACCTACATAGCAATGCGCGAATAGTCTACTATAGACGGCTCGAAAGATGCGAGATGCAAGATGAACTGCCACCACGATCCAGGATACTAGGTACGGTAGAAGGTATACCCGGAAGCTTTTCGGACCGGCGACGAAAGAGCAGCAGGAGGGAAAGAGCAGAAGGAGAGGAAGAGATAGGGATCGTCCGTCCGTTGCGGTAGATCTATTATCGTACATATCATACATATCGTACATATCAACACGGCCATGTGGTCGGTGTCGGTGTTGGAACTTGGTGAATCCGGACGGGATGATGGATCGATCCATGCCATCACTACTACCTAATACTTCGACCATCTACCGCCGCCCCCATGGACTGCCGCCGCAGCAGCCAGCCAGCCAAGGACGAGATGTTCGGACTTCCCACCTTCCCAGATATACCCATGTAAAGAGGGTCATGCCCGGACATATCGTACACTGGCTGGGCGCGCACAGAATTCATGCCCCACCCCTCCATCCATCCAGCCAGCGAAAGGTTAAATAAACTCCTTCTGCATGTACGGTGAGGTGCATGAGGGTACGTAAAAACATCGACTTCCCCCCTGGGCGCTGCAGACTGCAGTAGGTGGATCTCAGAAACTAACTTGGTATATACCCCCTCTTCTGGCCATGTCCTGGGGGCTCGGTTACCCCATCACCTTGTCCGTAACAGAATACCGGTTCGTGTGATCTCAGTATGTATGGTAAGTAAGCCGAAGAGCTCCCTCAAGGCTCAAGCTCGGAAAGCACCGATCAAGAATTGCTTATTCGTTCAACCACTAGTTACTCTACTGTACCTGACGGAAAGCAGGAGTCGATTAGCCAACCGGTCCGATGCCTATGTACATATGATATGATACATCATCTTCACGGCACGGCCGAGACAGACGCCGTGGGAATGTCTCGTATGTATCCCGGATGACGGGCGACTCGGATTGCTGTGGGCAGTGGGCGCGAGCACTTGTTATGTACCTCTAGGTACATAGTCCGTCATCGAGCCGGGAAAGAGATGACGGGAGAGCGCGCGGGGGGGGGGGGGGGGGGGGGGGCGGAAGTGGGTACATACCTCATACCGTACATACATGGCGCTTCAGACTCTCTCGCATGAGCGAATAACCGCAAAGCAACATCCCTTGTGTGTGGCAGCTCGTTACCATGTTTTCCGTATCGTCTAGATGCATGGTAGAACGAGTAGGCAGGCGGACAGGCTGGCAGGCTGGTAACACGGACAGGACAGGCCAGACCAGGCCAGGCGTGAGTGTATGATTCGGGCTTTGGGGGACTCCGACTCGACTTCCGACTCCAGGAAGCGCTTAATGCCTACTCTCTACCTGTTTAGTCTGCTATGTACGATGCATGCGGGTCTCTCGATCAATATCAATCTCGTCTGCGAGTGTCGAGCGACATAGGTACGGTAGGGCTCAGACGAGCTGGCGGTGAGTATCATATAACATAGTATAGCATAGTATCTAGAGTATCTCCCTACATACGGTACATGTCCACTCTATCGCATCTCTCGTGGTGGTGGGGCGGGTAGGCACCACCGATGTGCTGATGATACTCCACCTATGTACTCCAGATACGGTACTAGTAGCTTGTTTTTCTTTCTTTCTTTCCTTTCCAGAACGAAGAGGAAGCTCACTGAGTACTATCACAGAGTATGTAAGTCGGATAATTCTAGACATGATTCTCTCTGTTCGTCTCAGTTCGTTCCTGGGTACGATGTCATGAAATCCGCGAGATATGGAGAGTGCGGTGAGCTGCTAGATCGGGACGTATCTGCAGTACCCTGCAATTAAGCTGTAGTCGCCGTTGAAAGAACGTTGGAACAATCTGCCAATCATATCGGTTGCGGGTCAGCTACCGGGATCATGGGCAGATTGTAGAGTATCATAATATCTGTCGGACAATTGTGGTGGAGCTAGAATAAACACCCTCGTTCCTATGCATACCGGTACCTCCCTCGAACGCTGTGGTGTGTACGGTGTACCTGGAAATCCAGAGAGGGAGCGGCAAGGCTTCTCTCGGGCATACTCGCCTTCTTCTTCTTCTTCTTCTTCTTCTTCTTCTTCTTCTTCATCTTCTCGGCCAGATTGGGCTTTCTCTCTCTGGCACACTTTCCTTCTTCTTGGCCCCATCGCAGCTTCACGACACCGACATACAGTACATACATGACGACAGGATTGGCCCCCATCTCGTCCCCTCTCTCCGCCGGAGAACGTCACATGGCTTCTGTCTGTACTTAATGCACATCCATCCCAATTCCAATCCCAAGAGCGGGGAAGCCAAGTATGTATGTCATCCTGTTGGATTCTCCCAAGAGAAGCCTTTTACGGTAACGCTCCTCCGCTGCTGCTGATGCCATGTACGGCGCTGCACTGCACTGCGCGGATATATATGTACCCTGGGTCAATCAAAAACTGACCTACCTAACTCGTGTGTCGTTTCGCGCAGGTATGTATGTAGGTCGGATAGGCACCTACGATATGCTGGCTGGATGGATGGCTGGATGGCTGGATGGATGGCTGGATGGCTGGATGGCTGGATGGATGGCTGGATGGCTGGATGGCTGGCGGTAGGCGTGTCGGCGGTACAGAGGTGTCTACTCTAGAGTTCAGAGGTCGACCGGGAGTGCAGCCTTCTCGGAACTTCACATGCTTCCGTCGGAGAACCATCGGTACGGTTGGCTACCGTACTGTACACTAGTGAAGACCGGGATTCCCGGCTAAAACCAAAAGAGAAAAGAAAAGGAAAAGAAAGAAAAAAGACGGCGCAGCGCCTTTGCGGGGCAGGCAGGCGGCAGGCCAGCGATGTCTGGCGGTGGACTGGAACGACGCTGCGACGACAAGCGCGAAATTGGAATTGGACGGACATCAGCTGCAAACCTGCGATCCCCTTTCGAGGCATTCTCTCCGGCCTAGATGAGGCTGTAAGCATCGCCTGTAACTAACTTGGAGTCGATGCAGCTCCCGACACATGCGTGGGCGCGTTAGAACTTCGAACTCCAACCCCCTCCCCCACTCAACCCAGCCCAACCCAATTGCGACGGGCTGGGACACTGGAAGCTTTGGCTGTTTGGCAAGAAGACCCTGGATCACGGTAGTTATAGGCTGGTACCTATGGCAGTCCGTGGCCAGGCACAGACGACAGGTAAGAAGTCCGGACTTCGAGAGGTTTGATGGTGGCGGTTTCGGCGGATAGACAGCTGAGTGCCGGGTGAAGAGCAGGTAACCAAGTGTATGTAGGAACTCCAGCATCGTTGAGCCGATGACGGTGTCGTGTGCTACGGTACCAACTCGAGTCCCCCCAGCTGCAGACTGCAGTGGCGTCAACCGCGGTATGTATTCATGTACTCTACATGCCATATATGTGTAGGCGGTTCGCTGCGGACGTTTCTCCGCAAAAATCTACGAAGTTACGAAACTCCATCATCAGCCATAAGCCATAAGCCATAAGCCATCCGCCGAATTCGAATTCGGTGTCAGCGCACCCAGCCCTCCCACGGAGCTGTCACTGAACTCCACTGCAGCCTGTGGGGTGCAAGGGAATGAATTGAATAAGGCTGCCACGATGGCCGTTGGCCGTTGTTCGTCCGGAAGGTTTACCATGTACATACGTGCTCTAGGTATTCGGTAGGGGAGTGGAAAAGGCACATGATGGCTGATATCCTCGTGTCACACCGGCGTGCCTATTGACAGACTTGCTACGGAATTGAGGCCTACGTAACCACAGGATTGGGCTGGGCCGAGTATAATACCGGTACCTGTCTCCGGATGGGAGGGGGGGTTTGTGTGGCTGATATAATAGTTGAAACAGTTCGAGGGGTGACGATCCGCGCACATCCAATCGAAGTTCCCGTATAGGTAATAGGTAAGACAAGAGATACTTGCAAGCGCCAGCTGGGTCTCTGGGTGGGGAAAGTGGAGGGAGTGACACGGTGACAGGAGGGGCCGATGGAATCACGGAACTTCGGGGTGACGATCTCTTGGGAAGCTGGGGGAGTCTTCGATGCATAGGTACCCAAATACATACCTGGGTATTCCGTATGTATCGTAAGGAGCCAGTAATCCGATCCTCAAACCTCCCTCGAGCCTCCCTGGCCATGTCGACCATCCGCCGTCGGGTCACGGCAGATATCTCGATATAGATACATACTGCAAAGGTCCATGCATCCATCCGCTCAATCGGCGGCCACTGGTCAGCCTGCATACCTGCATCCAGCGTCCGATGGAAGGGTGATCCGTGGTTGGTATACTTGGGTACTTCTGGAGTAAAGTAGTAGTGCCCCGGGATCTCAAGATCCCAGGTCCTGAAGGGGCGAGAATAGCGTAGAGTAGAGTACCGTTACGGTAAACACGGGGGGTTCATCAGCATGTGGGGGTACCTACACTGTACCGGTCGTCCAGGTCGACGGTAATGGCGTATGTGCCTATTATTGCCCGTGTGCCTTCGAGGTTAGAACAGATACCGGTACAAGTTGCTACATACCAGCCTACCAGTTACCTACTCTAGAGTACCTACGGAGAAGCCCACCTGCTCAATCGGGGGCTTCTTATCAATTCCTAGATGCTCGTCAGCTACTTTTACCTACATCAAGGGGATCGGGAAGCAGCGCGGAACACGAAAGCGATGGCAAGAGAGAGCGCGGTTTCCTTTCCTTTCTTTTTTTGTTTTTTTTTTAATGTAGCGCTTCATCGCTGCGTGCCTTGGATCGTCAAGTGAGTGCGCCGAGTGCTGGACACCTGCCAGTCGAGTAGAGTATATCCTCTGGCTTCCCCGTCGTGATGGTTACTCGGCCCAGAAATCGAACCGAATAAATCTCCAAGTACGTATTTTATACACTCCACGGAAAACGCCAGCCCCATCATTGGCCACGATAAAGAAACACAGAGAGATCCTTTGTCCTGTCCTGTTTTTACCCACCACCTCACACAGCACACGGTACACAGAACACCTGCCATACAGACCGACATCCGAGCTTTACTTCGGCACAGAAACCACGGCCAGACTGCAATAACAACGATTTCAGGTGCTGCTGCTGCTTGCTGGCCGCCCTCGAGCTTTCCGTTCACAGCCGCCGCCCGCAGTCGTCGCCGCCGCTCCGCCGCCGCCCTCGCCGCCGCCACTGCCGGATATATAAGCAAGCCGACAGACGCCGTGAGATCGATCGCAATCCTAGCCACCTCGATATCTGCTGCATGCTGTTTCTTCCGGACTTCCCTACCTCGCCGAACATCATCCTGCAGGACGCAGCGCCACTGGCTGGTCATCCATTGACCGAACTACTGCTACTACCGCCGCTGCTGCCCCACTGCAATTATTTCTTCCCCCCAAGAACCCAGCACAATCAGAAATCAGATCTCGCTGTGTCTCTGATTCCGTAACCATCAGAGTACTGGAGCCCTGCTACTGCTACATACTACGTACATATAGGCACTCCGCCAGAAGCTTGCATTTTTGAGTTTTTCGTGGGATATTTCCCCCCACTCACTCATCGCAGCAAACCAACCCCCCCAACGCCAAAATACACTCCTTCACCCATTCCCCGCCGGGCCCAGTTACTCTACCCCATTTCACGGGTAGCGGTATTAGCGGCTTTGGTGAATCTCCGTACTCGCACTCGCTCCCTCCGCACTATCTCCACCCACACGAACTCGCGCCGCAACAGCGGCTGGCGTGCCGAGGCGCCTTGCTCTTGAATGTGCCTACATCCCCGGCCGACGGCACAAGTAGCAGCAGCAGCGTCTTCATCTCTTCACCTCCGCCTCCGTACATGCCGCTACCGCCGAACATGATCTCCAAATCGACGTCGCCGTCCTCCATCGGCACCCAAGGAGCGCCCAAACGCCGAAGAAAGACGACCACCGACGAAAGCTCGCTTCCCCGGTTAGCGATCGACTCTTCGCTCGGCGGGAATGCTTCTCCTACGGCGGCGGCGGCAGTAGCGACGCCGCAGAGCGCGGGTGGAGCGAGCGCGGGTCCCGGAACTGGCAGCAGCAGCGGTGGCAGTGGTGCTTCTTCGTCGTTCAGAAATGTCTCAGCATGTAACCGATGTCGCCTGCGTAAGAATCGCTGCGACCAGCGATTGCCAGCCTGTATGAGTTGCGAGAAGGCGGTATGTAGGCTTTTTTTCTTCTCTTGAGATCTTCTACCTCCCCTCGACTTTCCTGTCTATCGTGGCTGCTGCCTGCGCGCAAACGACTTGAGCCTCACCGATCTATTCTTCCCTTTTCTCTCTCTCTCTCTCTCTCCCTCTCGTGTATTCTGCCAGCGCTGAACAATTTTCTCTCAAGGGTGTGCGATGTGTAGGTGTGTAGCCCTTCACGGTTCCCTGTCTGCAATATCTCTGCGTTTCCCCCGCCCGTTCGTTATCACGCTTGCTGCACTGCTATCTATACATCGCAATCGCGGGGATGAGGCTCGGCACTTGTGTGCTCCGGGAGTGTCCAGCGGCTGAGATTGTGGTTGACTGACATGTCGTCCCGCAATAGGTTACGACCCTATAACGAAGAGAGAGATCCCGAGGAGGTCAGTGCCGTCATTTCTTTTGCGACCCCTCCATGTCCCGATCCTGCGGTTCGGCTGGGCCGGGTGCTGGCGAATATTCGATCTTCGGGTCGGGATGTCGCAACCCAATCCAACCCCCCACTTGACTCCCTGGTATCTGTCGCGTTGGATGTGACCCGTCGATTCTGACATCTCCACAGCTATGTGCATTACCTGGAAACCCGAGTCGCGTACCTCGAATCGCTATGCACGACCAATAACGTCGCCTTTCCGCCGGCGGATGACTTCCCCGATCTGCCCCCTATTCAAACGTCCTCCGCCATGTCCGCACCGCCGACCGCGACGGCCCTCCATGCTCCCCCGCTACCTGGCGCGTCGTCGCCAACGGGCACACCCATCGACCCTGCCCTGAACGAAAGCGGGCGTCCATCACCGAGAATCAAGCGTGAGTCGTCGGAAGGCTTGGAAGGGAAGAAGCTCGACAGCTTGGTGTCGGATATTGGACTCGTGTCTTTTGCCGGCGCAAGCGACCCCCGCTACCTCGGTTCCGTATCGGGCATCTCGTTCGCGCGGGTGGTTTTCGCGGCGGTCAAGAGCAGCGCGCCCGGCTCGGGCAGCTCCAACGAACAGAACGGCAGCGAGCCGCAGAAGGGCCGTGGTAAGCGGATCAGGTCCAACAGTCGCGTTCGCGGTTCGAGAGGCCTGGGAATGGGCGGTGCGGCAACGAAGGAGAACCCCGAAGTTGAGGTTGACGCCGATACGCAAATGAGGGATTCGTTCTTCGGACTCCACACCAAGCCTACGATCTTACCGGCCCCGTTCCCGACTCGTCCTGTCGCCGAGCGTTTGGTGCGTCTCTACTTCGAGCATGCGAACCCGCAGATCCCGTCGCTTCATCGTGGGGAGTTCAACAGTGTTCTGGAGGCCATCTATGGCCCAATCGAGGCCACAATGAATGGAGTTTCGGACTACGGTGTACAAGGCGAAGGTCTCGGTGGATCGGCGCGAGAGCGCTATCTTCTCAACATCGTGTGTGCTATCGGCGCCGGAATCTTCCTTACCGGCCCCGAGGAATCGCCCGAATCCGATGACGAGGAAGAAGGTGAAGATGGACCGAGAAAAAAGCAAAAGGTAGACTCGAAAAATCGCAAAGAAAAGAAGAAGCAAAGCGAGCCAGAATCTTACCACGCGTCGGCGATGCTTCACCTCGAAGCATTCCTCAGCCAGAGCAAGGGAGGGCTTGATGAGCTCCAGGCTGTTTTGCTGCTAGCCGGCTACGCACTTCTCCGGCCGGTGTCTCCGGGCCTCTGGTACATCGTGGGAGTCGCAGTGCGGCTGGCGGTGGACTTGGGCTTGCACTACGAGGACGCAGATATGGAGACCAAGAAGCCTGTGAAACAAGAACCCAAGACGGAAAAGGAGGGGAGGAAAGAGTGGGTTCGGGATATGCGGAGACGGCTCTGGTGGTGCGTATACAATCTGGATAGGCTGGTCAGCACCTGTGTTGGAAGGCCATTCGGAATTGCCGATGAAGTCATCAGCACCCAGGTACAGTGGACGATCCGACATCACAACTGCTTACTTTACCGTTCTGACTTTTTCATCATTAGTTTCCTTCCATGCTGGATGACGAGTACATTCACCCGACCAAAGGGCTGATGCAACCCCCTCCCGGAGAGAATCCGCCAACATATAAAGCCATATCTCATCATTATACTCGCCTTCGCCTGCTACAATCCGAAATACTTCAGGTCCTACAGCAACAATCGCATGCATTCTCATTCGCCTCAGCATCCTCGGAAACCGCCTTCAAGAAGGACATTTACAAGGGCAAACAAAATTATCCTCACCACCACCCATATCATCTCCAGACGCCATATCTGAGCGGCCATAACTCGCTGCAAGCCTGGCACCGGGACGTTGATCGGAGATTGAAGGAATGGATAGATACTGCGCCCAAGTCGATTGCCGAGACCGGTGTCGAGTTCTCCCCCGAATTCCTCGAGTTGAACTACTGGCAGGCAAAGATCATGCTCTATCGACCTTGTTTGTCGGTTCCGGTGCTCTTGGCCGGCGAATTGGGTGCTAGCAGTGGCAACGCACGTTCGCGGGCTGCCGAGAGAGGCCTGGGAGAAGGTGCTGCGGTGTTGCACGGGCGACGAGAAGACGAAGAGCGGGTTTACATGATCGTCGCTGAAGCGGGAAGCAAGGTTCTTCGGATTTATAGGCAGCTGCATCGCGTGCATCAGGTCAACTACACTTTCCTGGCCACGCATCATCTGTTTATGGCTGGTAAGTGCTCCCACCGGATATCTGATTTGGAGTTTTCGTCTGATCTTTCTTTTTTTTTAGGGATTTCTTTCCTTTACGCCATCTGGCACTCTCCGTTGGTTCGCTCGCGTCTAACCATGGACGAGGTGGACTTCACCATTCTTGCAGCCACATCCGTCTTGGGTGACCTCGTCGATGTGTGTCCCCCGGCAGCGGCTTGTCGTGATGCATTCGAGCGCATGTCTAGGGCTACAGTCCAGATGTGTCTCGGCAGTAAGCGAGGCCCAACGTCGGCAATAATGCCGAGTGGAATCTACCAAAACTCAGCGGCCGCCGAGCAAGTAGACCGGTCTGTCGTCGATGAAAACAACGCCATGCTAGTCCAGCAACAGTACCGCCCTGTCTATCATACAACGCAATCCTCCCAGTCTCTCCCCACCATTTCTCCCACGCAGAATCAGTTGATGCAACGTCCGTTGAGTCGTTCCAGCAGCACCGATTCTTACACCCATCAATCCCATTCGCAAAGCCAAGCGGAAGCCCGAAGGCGACAACCTGTTCACTTCGATGATGGCTTCCGGGAGTTGTTCACCTCGCCCCGCCAACCCCACATCTCGCCACCAGCATCATATCCACCGCAGCAGCACAATGCATATGTGCAATCACCAACGACGCCAACCGAAGGAATGCAATACAACCCCTCGGTCTACGCGCACACCCAGCATCCGCATCAGCAAAACATGTATCAGGGACAGGGACATGGCGACATGATGATCGATCCGGCCCTTCAGCACCGCGGATACCCGGCACCCGCGCCGAACACCCCCGGTGACTGGGCTCACATGGATATGGCGCAACTGGGAATCCCCGAAGTCGAGATGTGGGAGCACGATAGCTGGAGCGACGAGGGCAATTCGGGCCAGGTCGATTTGTTTGATGGGTTCTTCTTCGGCAATAGTGGTTAGGTGGGAGTCGTCTGGCTCGCCAATCCGTTGCTGTTGCTATTGCTGTTGCTGTTGCTGGTTTTTTCTTTTTCCCCTTTATTCTCGTGGGTTTTTAGCTGGAGTCCGGGTGCGGTTTGTAGATTCCATGTTCTGTTTGGTCTCGTTTATTTTTTTTCTGCTTACGGGGCGGGGCGTGTGGGGGTCTTCTTTGTTTGCTTCTTGTGGTGATCTTTGTCTTATCTTTTTCATCCCTTCTTCTCCTCTCGCGATCTGGCGTTTTTTGCTTTCCGCTTGTACTTGTGTGTATTTTCAGTGTCCTTTCCTTCTTCTTTTTCATTCATCAAAATTGGGATTCGTTCGGTGGGCCGGTGGGGGGGGGGGGGGGGGGGGGGGGGGGGGGGGGGAGTGTGCGTGGGATGGGCAAAAGTTTTTTTCGTTTGTTCGGTCGGTCGTTCGGTCTCAAAAAGGGCAACGGAAAAGGATAACGGAAAAGGATAACGGAAAAGGATAACGGAAAAGGATAACGGAAAAGGATAACGGAAAAGTTGTGTGTACGAGCTAAGCTGACTTTGGTGGGTGGTGGAAAAGGTTCGATGGCGATGAGCTGGCGGTGGAGGCTGGCGATGAGATGGCTGTATCTTGCTTGCTTGCGTGTATGTAGCTGTAGCTGTAGTTAGTTGTGGTTGTGGGCGGGGTTGGAACGAGAAGAGATGAATAGGATGAATAGGATGAATAGAATGAATAGGATGAATTATGGACAGACTCCGAGTGGACTCGTGCCGGTGGAGTATGGACAGTGAACTGTGGCTCTAGGAAGGAGGGGCATTGAGCCCGAGACAACCGGGTGTGCGAGTGACTGCACATTGCATATGTGCACGGATGGTCGGAGACAGCTCAGACAGGTGCTCGATATCGAGATGGCTGCTAACTGTGGTGAGCGAGGACGCCGTGCCATGCGGTATCTGTATAACATGGCGACGTGCTATTTACTCTCCGTCCTGTGGGAACGAGTGTGTTCTTTCTGTGAGTAGTCCACTGGCCGTTCGGACGACCGGTGGTGGGTGCTTGGAACATTCGGTGCGGTAGCGGGTCCAAGTTCTGTTTACTTTCTCTCTCTATTTCTCTCTCTCTTGTACCTGTAGCTCCTAGACATGAACATACCACTTCTCTCTATCTCGATCGTTCCAGTAATCACCTCGACGAGTCCTTCTAACACGTCCGTGGCGTACTCAGGTGTCAATCACACAAATTCACTAGCTTATCCTAGGTACATCATAGGATGAAAATTGTAGGTGCCAGTGTCACAAATAATCACTCGCGCTCTGATGATCCGATGGAAGATGGAATGGGCATAAAACGTGCTTCACATTCATTCATGCATAAGTAACGATTATGTTGGCATCTCCATACCCCATCCATTCTGTCCGTCCGCCAGTTCTCCAAGCAAAGAAGATAGGTAACAATAGAACATAATCCAACACGTCTATCCACCGATCCCATGGATGTTGAAGCCAAACCTTTACATGCGGACACGGCGTCTGCGGCGAGCGGCCGGAGCAGCAGCAGCAGCAGCAGCAGCAGCGCCAGAGCCAGCGACCGGTGCAGGGGCAGCAGCGCCCGCAGCTCCGACCATCTGCACCGGAACGCAGCCGCCGAATGGACCAGCAATCGCCGTGTTCTGGCAGCGGACGATGCACACGCCCGTCATGGCACCAGAGGTACCTGTGCACTGCATACCCGCGGGCATAGTTGCGATGAGGGGCTAGCATTACCACAAATCAGTCGCCATGCATCATCGGATGACCGATGGAAGGAAGGAAGGAAGGGAGCACAAACAAAGTCCGTCGCGCCATTTCCAAAGCTAAGTCCCGCACGGCCAGGGACATTAGTATCGACCTGCATGGGCACAAAGTCTTGCGCGGTGCCGTCGGCATTGACCATGCACGCGTACGGCCCCGCGCCGTCCGCATTGACCTGGTGCAGCGTCATGCTGACCTGGCCTCCCTCGGTGACCTGCGGGAGCCCGCCGTTCTGGCTGACTACGTCCGCCATGGCGGACGGAACGTCGATGGCGCCGCTTTGGGCCGTGCGGCCGCACCCCGAGGCGCTGGCGGCCCCGCCCCGCTGTTGGCGCCCGAAGACGGTCGTGTCCTGCTGGAAGGGCGTGCGCCGCGTGCCGTCGCGGGGAGTGGCCGCGTCGATGCCGAGCGCTGTGCCTTGCCCGCCGGCGTCGCCGGTGGCGGAGACGATGGCGCCGTGGGCGGTGACGACTGGGAGGGTGGCGGTGAGAAGGAGGAGGAGGGTGGTGGAGGGAGTAGGCAGGCTGAGGGTGAAAAGCATGGTGATGATATAGGTGTTATTCTGTTTAGCTGTTTATGCAAATGTCAGAAAGCCTTGCACGGCCAGAGATCAAGAGGTGGACGCCCACAGTTAGGTAGTTGGTTTAGATATGATTAGAACGGTCAACGTTTCTAGCAGGATCAAATGATGATTTTGCAAGGCAGAAATAAAATAGGGAGCTATCCAGTAGCTGTGAAGATAAAATGCGAGGAAGAAGAGAGGAGAGAGGAGATGGGAACCGGGATGCTACGATTTAGTGGGAGATGCTATTGTCGATGATTTCTTCCAGAATGGGGTCGCATCACAGGCCCTTTATACAGCAGCAGCTCACGATGTCCACAACTATTGCCGTAGTCCGTCACCGTTCCCGTAGCCCAGCACAGCCCAAAGCCCCGCTCGACAAAACATCTCCAAGTGCACGAGGTCTAGATTCGCGTCTGAACGATCTCAGCACCACGCAGGAATCACATGGGTTGTTCCTCGGTTCAACTTGTAGGAGTCACACGCCGAATCCGCTTAAGACCTCCGTCTCACTCGTCGAAGAACACCAGAGAGCCCATGATGACATATCAACGTGAAGTATGTAGTATCCGCTTTACACAGCCACAGCCCATTCCCGGTTGTGCACGACGTAGTAGCCGGTGCTGGGAACAGTTTCGCTGTCTCGGATCACCTGAAATTCCATCTACCTGCCGTTTTTTCCAGAGAGTATGTACCTGTTGGTCGAGACTCCATCCGGAGCGTTCGTGCTTGGAGGCTTTTGGAACAGGAAGCTGGTTTCCAAACCGGGGCCCGGAGCAGAGTGGAGATACCGGTACTCAGCGTAGGGCGGAGACCGGTGCAGATACGATGTAACCGACATCGCTAAATCGCGGGGTTGATGCTGGGCCTGGGGGAACTCCGTGTACCACTGGGCGATCGGGGTGTAATGGTGGAGTTTGGGATCTACCGGGATAGCACGGACCACGCGCGCTTGTTCGTATCCCACCACAGCTGTTGCGGCGATTGTGTTCCTGGTAAAGACATGTCAGCAAACATTGGGAGCCTAAGGGATGTATGAGGGAGGGACGGAAGAAGGTTCTTCTCGACGTCGCACGTAGAATGGGTTCCAGGGGGAATGACCGTTATCCTTCCCATGGGCAATATATGCAAAGCAGCTGCAGGAACAGCGGCTTCCTGGGTGACATATGTACGTGGTTCGTGAAACAGAACGGAGGATTGTCGCGAAATTCGATTCGAGAGGGAGTGGTTTGGATGGCTGAGACTCGATTTCCGTTGGCGGGGGTGGATTGAGTGTGGTGCAAGACTTGATCTTCCAGAGTGCCGGCTCCGTGGCTCTGGGACTTTCCCTGGATCCGCAGACTGTGGGCGACACGCTGCGTCGGATAGAGAGGCAGAACAAGAGTCACCTGCCCGCAACTCCGGAGTCCGGTCCACGAGGGTTTCTCTCCACGAACTTGTCGTGATGTCGACAGGGCCCGCGCAGGGGCCGCGGGGCGCTTGGGTGTTGTCCTCGCAATGCGATTACCAGTTGCCATTGTTTCATAGCTAGAACGTTCAAGCCCCCCAACTTCCAAGTCCAAGTCCAAGACTCCAAGTCCAAGCCGTTTCTTCGCTCTTGATTCCGTTCTGTGTTGGTTCCCACGATGTTCCAAATACTTCACGAGTTGTGTTCACTCTCAAACACCATACTCCCGCGCTATTTTAGGGACATCCATTGTCATTCTTCCTCACGCATGCACCCCATGTTCTGCAGGTGCATCATGATCGCCTTTATCCGGAACGACCCTTAGACTCGACTTTGTGTAGCAGCTCCCGACAACTCTATCGTTCCCCTGGGATCCGCGACCGGCACACAGTATCCGAGCTCAGCCAACCGTCAAACTCCCAAATGCCGACTCGATCCTCCTCGGGTATTTACGTGCATTACAGCATTGTGAGATTTCACGATCGAAGCTCCGCATGTACACTAAAGTAACCCGAAACAAAACGGCTCGACGGAGTAGACTCTAGATTCGCCATTGGCGGCGCTTGAATTGGCTCTTCCGACCATTACCGACACCGGCCTTCCTTTCTGGATTTTGTGTCGGCTTGTGGCGGTGCCACTCTTTGCGGGACGCGGTGTTATGTAAGAGGTCTGTCACCAGTGAGTATCGATCTCACCTCCGCCGCCTGGGTACTTCGCGCTTGTTGGGGTGTATAAGAAGACGACCAGGCCGATTACCAAGACCATCCATCGGCAGCTTTGCTTGCCCCAGAGTTCCATGGGTGGAAGACTTTGTTTCGTGGTTTCTCGAGAACAGACGGTATCGTCTCACAGACCATCACTCGCACAGTCATCGAATCATGTGAAAATGGTGAGCTTATTTCTTCGATTGGATTTCAAAATACAGCGAATGACTAGCAAGATATACCAGAAAAAATAAGAAACAGGTATGAAAATAAACAGGATTCTTGAGGCGTGCAAATATTACCAATATGACCAATGTGTAACTTCTTGGATGTGGCTTAATGAGTGACTTGTCGAGTGAGAATCGCAACATCATGACTTTTCCAACGTACATGCAAACTCAAAACTAAAAATCAAATGACCTCCAAAAGACTGACTAAGTAAACACTCCCTCCTCTCTCTCCTCCACTTCCGCCGGCCTCGCTCAACCAACAGTAACCACCAACCCCCCACTCGGAAGCTTCCAAAACACCGCATCATTATCGCCGGTGGGCACGGCCTCAAAGTAGAGGGTGGTGCCGCCCTTAGGACATAGGAAAGACCTAGCGGTGCTGTCGCTCCAAGACGCAGTGCCCGGAAGACTTGCCTTGAACGTTCCGACGTGCTGATTCCTGAACGGACGCTCGTTCCAGGTCTCGCCGCCGGTGACGGGGCCGCCGACAGTAAACAGCTGGATTCCCCGCGTGCCGTTCACGTAGTATGGGTCCTGGAAGTTGAGCGTGCACGTCTGCCCCGCGAAGCCGTCGCGGATCGTGATGGCTATGAGCGTGTTCGTGTTGGAGCCGCCGTTGACCTGGGATTGTTAGTATGGGCGGGGAGGGGTGGGATGGGACGGGGCCGGGTGGGGCGGGGGGGGTGGGGGGGGGACTAACCCGCTCGACGCTGCCGGATTGCAGACAGCCGGAGTATTCGTTTGGGTAGAGCTCCGTGATCTCCGCGTGGCACGTGTTGTAGCTGGCGACGGTTGCACGCTTCTCGACCGGTGAGGCGAGGGCGAGGGTGGTAAGGAAGGGAAGGAGGATGGCGGTGAACTTCATCTTTGCTTTGTTTGCCTTAGCTGGCTGGCTGTGTGGATGTTTGGCTGGATGTGTGGATGTTTGGCTGGCTTGTTCTGTTTGGATAATAGTGAGGGAAACCGCTGGTATTTATACACAATTCTCCACACAAGAAACCAGTCTTCACGTAGGCAAGCTGAATCACGAAGATGGCGAGAACTACGGCATCATGGGACATGGCTTGGTCACATCCGTGAAGATCCGCAGAGGCGGAGATGGAACTTCGTTGTAGAAGCCTATGTTAGTGACACAAGGGACCTTACAAAGTCACGCGAGTGACACGAACCTCGTATTTTCCGTGCGTGGCTGTACGACGCTCAGCCCTGTGAAGTGCACAACATCCGATCGGCCCGTGCTATCTATCTCGATAATGCGGGGGAGAGACATATTTTCAGATCAGATGCTCGCACGGTACCTATATATGGCTCTTCCGACAGATTTCTTCTCCACGCGGCTCCCGTTTAGGGCCAAGTGGGTAACTGGTGATGGGGGGTTGTTTTTGTCTGATATTGTAGACAGGACAGGTACGATGTCGGCTTCCATTCCCATTTCAAATCACTCGCCGCACGAGTCCACAGGTACTTCTACCGAGCAGCCAGATCGATGTGCCAAATATATCTGCCCGGAAGGGCTGAGTTAAGAGGCGCCTGATGATTGATCGACTCTTGGAACCCGTTCAGGGCCCAGGCCTCAGCCTGGCCTCAGCCTGCAAAGGGGCAAGTTCTTTCAGAATACTAGACCATCTGACTATGCAGGTATGTAAGCCAAAAGCTGAAAACCAAGCGAAGTGTCAAAAGCCTAACTGCGCCAGGGAGATCATAAATGTCTTACAACATCGCATCACGTGAAAGCACTCCTCCAGCTCGGTAAAATGTGTGGATTACCTTGGGGAGCTCTCAAGGTTAGAGATCTTTTTGATTGAAGTTCGGCATACCCTCGAGGTCGAAGGCCTTTTGTATGGTGTTATCAAAAGTCCGGTGCGAACCACCACCACCACCACCACCACCACCACCACCACCGTTGGGTCATTGCAACTTGCAAGTAAGTATCATAGGAAGTAGCCATGAGAGGTTATTTGCTTCCATGTAGATGAGTCTGCCTGTGCGAGCTGATTATTCGAACAGGAAGCCTGTTTTCCTGACATACACGAAAGTGCAATGTAATGGTAGATGTGGAGAAAGCACCGCCCGATTGCTCAGCACAAGTAAAGGGTGTTGAACACAACTAAAAGGACCAGGCCCGGGAATCGTCCGTCCAGTTGGTTCTGGGCTATGCCCCGGCGGACGGGACCGAATTTGTCGGGCCCGGAATATCAAGGACTGTAGGAATCGGATGGAAAATATTCACCGAACTAAAGGATGAAATTTCGGGTTTCCGGTTAGCCGATACCGCACCAAAAAAACTCCGGACCCTACGGGGCCCCAGTCGGGCGCCGAGCATTTTGGACTTCGGACTGCACCGGACTATAGTAGTCCGGCAAATCCTCGCCCCGGATCGGACCGCGTCGCCAGGCCCTAATAGTCTTCCGTCCGGACGGACTATTCCCAGGCCTGAAAAGGACCGCCAAAGAACCCATCATGATCAAAAAGTATTGCCACCGAGAAGCTGAAACTAACACACCAATGACCGACTCTCCGAAAACAAAACGCAACAGAAATACAATGCCAGCGGGTCGCGGGCTGTCAATCACTCCGTATTCTTCATCAATATAAGCTGACCATCGACGATGCCAGCAATACACCTTCGCATTTGGTCCAAACTGAAGACGTTGCACATCTCGATTTCGATGTGCTTGAGCATCCAGGCGAACCTTGTGAAATTCTTCACACTTATCATTCGGACAGGAATAGAGCAGCTGGGCGTGCCAACTTGACTCCTTGGGGTGGATCTTGAGCTAGGCTAAGCTGTGAAACTTCCGGTTGCAGAGGCAGCACTCGAAGCCGAAGCCGTTCCAACTTCCAAGATTCTTCGGTAGCAAAGATTTCGTCCACCGTGTCTAAGTTGTAATAGTTAGGCAAATGATTCGTGAAGACTCCCTCCGCATCCTTGTTGTGGACAAAGCGGCAAAATGTATCGCAGTTGATACCATCGACACAGTCGCCACTCTCGAGCTGGCTGGCAAAGTGGCTAGCCAGCATGAATTTCTCGTGGCACCAGGGTCCAGGGACATGCCATGAACTTGCCGAGGTAGCCTCGGGAGACCAGAGGTGCTGGAAACACCGCTCTTGTCAGCGATGGAGCCGTCTCTAAAAGCGGAAAGCTGGACATGAGACGAAGTGGTATGTGGAGTTACAGTCGAAAGTCTTGTTACATGGCTTGCAGAAGTTATCCGGGCCGAAATGGCCAATGGCGGCCATGTGCGACTGACATCCCGCTTCGGTCGTGAGGGTGCGGTCGCAGGTATCACATCGGAAGGACGCTATGGGACTGGCCTTCAGATAACTGACAGCTTCTATGTGCGCCTTGCATGCTTCTAAGGTCGGGAAGAGCCGGATGTTAGAGGGTCCTTCTCCAGGGGGTTGGTGAGCCTGGTTGCCGTTGAAGTGATCCATGAGTCTATCCGCATTGGCGAAGCGGCGATCGCAGGGCCCACAGAAAACCGTTACCATGGCGATCGTGATTGCTGGTTGGGTGTGGGATGATGGTTGGACGGTTGAGTGATCGGGATGGAACCCGCTATTCTTTTCTGAAGCGCCAGCCCAGCGCTTAATGTACCTAGACCATCCTAGATAACAAGAAAAAAGTGGATCGTTCTAGAAATTATGAGTCGAAAAGTGGTCTATCCTAGATAGATCCCGATTCATAAAATAATCACTTGGTGACTCCCGCTCAGCCAGGAGAGTTGAACGGGGAGCAATATGGAACCGGTAGCGAGCTCGCGGCCAGCGGTCGGTGACAGCCGGGTGGAAAAAGATACTTCTGCCATTATCTCCTGGATACATTGATGAAATTTTTTAAAAACGAAACAAAAACAAAAAACACCTGCTCAATTCCCCCGAAAGATTCCACCAGCCACCGCTCAATTCCCTCCGGCGGTATGAACCAGCGTATCGCCATCACTATCCGGCTACCTTGGTCTTATGCCGCTTTTCAAATGACAAAACAATCAAAACACCAACCACAAAGAGGACCAGGCCCACTCCTATACACCAAGAAAAGGCAACACAAGCGTTAATTTTCTTCACTTCCACAAAGCGCACAACTGCGTAATAGGAGGGAGGATTGCCTCCAGGAGTGTACGGAGGTGGTAGAGCTGGGTTGGGCGGCGGAGTTGGCGGTGACGGCTCTAGTTCATTTGTTGAAACGGTTCGAATTGGTGTCTGAACGGCTGTGGGTGGTGGAGGGCGGGGAAGACCCATCTCCAGGTCGATCAGAGCGTTCTCGTGCGGCATTGCTGTTAAACCTGTGTAATCAATCGATAGTGGTGAGATCTTGATAGTTAGATGTTTGGTGGTGAAATATTTTGTGGGAGTGTCTTTTGCAGGCAGTAGTGAGGAAAGATGACTGAGAAGTTCAGCCAATATATATACTTACTTTCATGCTTCAATGGTAATCATGGTTGTGGGGTTTCAATATTGTGACGATGGTGATGGACGGTATGCCGCCCATAGACCCACTAATCAAACATTCATGGCTTATACCGAAGAGAAAGATCACGAACAACGTCAACTAGAAAGCTGAGAAAATATTGTAACATATGGTATATCTCGATTTTCCCCATGCGCATGAAAAATCCCATAGACACACCCGTCCACACCTCGACACAAAAAAACGATGCGTAAATTCCTCCCCGCAATGACTCCGCAGACCGCATTAACCGAAATCCATTCTATACCTTAGAAAATAAATACCAAAGAACTACCTATCTTCCAGATGACGCACCGAAAACTCCCATGTCCGACACAGCCGTGGCAGCTTTACGACCTCTCCCCACCGCCCGCATTTTGTTTCGCCTGATGCAAGTCTTAATTAGTATCGAGAACATGAACGTATGGCAGGGGTCCGTCATACCTGAAGTTTCTGCAGAGTGAGCAGAGACGTATGGTGGTTGTCTTTGAGCCTCTGATTTTCCTTCTCGAGCCTCTCCGCCCTCGTTTGCGCCTCCTTCCGCTCCGCCTTCTCCTCTAGTAACAGCTTCTCCAGCGTCTCGTAGCAGCTCCGGGGCACAAAATCTCGATAGAATTGGTATTGTGATTCCGAGGGCGGAGCGAACACACCCATACCGTCGTTGCTGATGGTTGGGGTCGGGGGAGGGCCCCTTTGCCTGATCGTGGAAACAGGTGCCTCGATGCCCATGCTTGACCGACCCGCCGGCGTGTCGCTGCCCAAGCCAAAAGGATCCATAACCGAGTAACTACGGGGGGCCTGTTGGGCTGCAGAGGGCGTTGGAGCGGGACCTTGAGCGATCTTCCGAACGCCGGCGTCGTGGTCGCTCTGCATATCGTTGCCGGCGTCGACTGTCATTTGCTGTCCGTGCGAGTCGCCAACCCGATAGCCGGTGGGCATAGCGTCCGGGGAGAAAAGGGGTTCGCGAGCGGGAGTGGTAGCGATACCGACGGCATTCGGTCGCGTCGAATTGACCGAAACCATCCTCCGTGTCGGATGTAAAGCGCTGCGTGCAGACATGGGTTCTTCCCTGTCACATAAGACGACAATATGCATCTCCTCGATAGCTCTCTGGAGCTCGTAGGCACGGATAATGTTCGGCGGACATGTTGGGTCGGTGGCTGGGTCGCAGAAACTGAGAAGATTGGCGAAGTGTTTCCGCAGGAATTTGAAATCACGGTGCTTTCTTCCCGCGCACGCCTCGTCGCATCGCCGGTTGTACGCAACCTCGACCTAAAAATGATGCAAGCGCGTCAGTGATATTTTTACTGAATGCCGGGGGATGACCGTACTGTCCGCCAGATGTCACCCATGTGATGGCCGCTCGTAACCGTTTCCCCGACGGAATTTAGCATCCGAAGCTCATCGGTCTCGGTAAACTTCTGTGCTCCTTTCGGCTTGCCTCCGCGCTTCTTCTTCGGCATTGGGGGAGCATTCTCGGGCTGAGACGGATAGAGACCGTTGTGGTCGTGGCCATCAGCGGTAGAAGCATCGTCAAGAGTTGACTAATTTTGCTCGAAAAAAGGTTGTCAGTTCGGTTTACCTCGACGAGAGTGCACGGTGGAGAGCTAACTGAGGCGTACCATAGCTTCTTCCTGACTTTTGCGCTTGGTGCCGCTGGACCGAGTTACTGTCGTGACGGCCATACGGAGCTGCCCGGAAGGCAGAAGTGGTGTGGAAGTGAGTTTCGATTGAGGTGGGAGAGTGCTTTCTTCTCGTGCCTAGCCTCGCGTCCGTTTGTCGTGGTGAGAGTTCGCGACTGGACAGAAATATTCGCTGGCTTTTACGCGGCGGCTGGGCGCTCGAGAAAGGAACGGTGGTGAACGACTAGTCTATTGCCCTTGGCTACACAGAGGCTAAAGGTCAGGTTAGAACCGCGACCCACGCAATGTCGAGAACCGGCTTCTATGGCGCGTTCTATGTTTTTTTCGACGCGAAGACGCTTTGCTTATGCATGCCTTTTCCGAACGAGCACGCGTGCCACTTTCGCAGGCGGCTTGGCTGTGGTCGAGATAAAGTTGGCTTGGCCGGGATTAGTGCTGTTGTTCTTCTAGGGCGATCGGCTTACATGGCTTGTCTGAGGAATTCCAATCAAGCGATACTTGAGGATAGTTGAATGTGTGTCAACGAGAGTTCTAAGGCTGAAATGGCAGAGCACGACGGCGGCCTGGACACATCATATCAAGGTAGTTGCAATTGCTCATAATATATATATACATACCGGCATATACCTACACCAGGCGTACATACGTTGACTCACCACAGGTCAGTAATTCGTATGCGTTGTGGTTGTGAGCATTGGTCCAGTTATCGAGGATCTGATAGACCGTATGCGGACACGTCAGCGTGGACGATGATTTGTGTAACCCATTAGTTTCGTGCCCTTTCGGAGGCCGCGACCTGATCCTCCAAGTGGAAGTGGCCCTGTGGCAAACGACCAGGCCTTAGACACTTCTCCAGAAGCTAAACCTCGCCTACTTGCTAAAATTCTCTCCGTAGTAAAATGTAAAAGCGCATATGACTCTAATGAGGCTGAGCGGTTAAACGATCCTCCTACCACGAGTGGCGTGTTTACATGGTGAGAAAGCGGAATATACGCTGGTCCAGACCTCTAGCCGTTATATCTCGAGGCACAACCGAGTCATTTCGACTTTTTCCCAGTTAGTATGTAGCCGGCAGGAAATCCCGATTGGTAGCAAGAGAGATAGTCTCATGAGTGTCATTGGAAGAAGACCTTGGCAGCGTCATCCCCGAAATTCCAAGACTTCAACTTGCAGAACTGGCACCTGGGTGCTGTGTCTTCGCATGAAAATTCTCAACCGTTATACGGTAGTCCTGCTCTAGTCGGCCCCATTTCAAGCAAGTCATCTCGGGATCCGTTCATTCGCTCGTGGGTAGCATGGAAAATTTAATGTCGACAAATTACCGATCAATGTGGCGATCAAGACGACCTCAGGTTTGAGTTACGCAGATAATTATCCTTCCATTTATTTACAAGCCAAACCACACGCACTACCTACCGGTAGGAATACCCTCTTACTAGCTACCAAGCGCGACTATGCGGTATGAGAGCGGAAATTATCGTCAACTGGGAATTCTGCACCATGCGCCAGGTAGGTATAGGTCTTCTTTTCAATCGCTCCTGACTATGGGGATCCGCCACTGCACATCTCCATGTTGACATCAAAACCCAGCTTCTCATGATTTCTCATGTTGATTATCACGCGTTTATTTCACTGTTTGTCACTCGATCGTTTCGCTGATTTTCTGTGTTTGTTTCACTGTCATGTTTTACTGTGGTTGGTAGGCACCGGCGCAGCAACGGGCCGTGGCGGTAGAGCTTTCTCTCTACCCCACGGAGCTGGTAGGAAAGGTCGAGAAGTTGGTGGTCGCCATTGTCTAGCAAGGCCGCATAAGAATAAATTGATGTTCTCTCTCTCTCTTATGTTCTACTGTAAAAAATATTGTGTCTAGGCGGTATGTATCTTGGTGCCTATAAAAGTACTCTCCTTTCGTACCAAGCCATCTCTCTATCTCTTACATAGTAATTATTAGAATACATTCTTACTTTCTTCACCGATGTTTCTAACATCTCACTTGAAGCGCGAGCGAGTGACTGCGGGGTGGCATTATCCTTCCAAGACTCTTCAAATGTAGCCGAACAGCTGCTGTCGCTTGAACCTGTTCTTTCACGGCGGCTTGCACCATACTATCGGCCAGGCATGAGAGCTGCTAGCCAGCTGACGTTGAAAATATGCCGCCGCAGGCAACATTTAGAAGCGCGGAGCGTACACAAACCCCTTCTATTACCTTCACAGTTGGAGAACCTCCGGGCCCGAGAAGTCAGTACTGCGCCCTTGAAGGGTCGTGACCTTTCGCATCCTTCTATAGAGTGAGATCGAAGCATAAGTAGGGCGTGCGGGTCCCACATCCCCCCTCCCTCCCTCATTCCAGCAAGCAAAGAATCCAGGGATCCTAACGAGAAAAAGAACTGAATACAAACTTCAACCTTCCATTGACCAGCAATACGAACGACCTCACCTTAATATCAATCAGAAATACGAACAACTTCACCGAAACACACTACCTATCACAATGTCTCAAGCACCTACCGGTTCCTCCGCGAATCCCGCGGAACTCCCGAACGGTATTCCAGACCACCGGGCAATGCCACCACCAGCACCTCAAGTAGAACAAGTTGCGGACAAAGGTGCGCCGGCTACGGGCGACCAGCCAAACCTCGACCAGCCCAACATCGACCAGATCATGCAAGACCTCACCTCGGCTCCGGATGGCGACCCTCTGCCGCTCGAGCAGATACAAGCCTGGTTTCAGCAGCAGATCGACATGGCAGAAGCCTATAATCAAGCGGCAGAGCAGGCGGAGCACGCGGCCGAAGTCGAGCGTCTACAGCGCGAGGTCAATCGGCTCCAACACGAGGCCAACCCAGAGCAAGCGGCCGAGCTCGAGCGTCTACGGCGCGAGGTCAATCGGCTCCAGCAAGAAGTCAATCGTCTCACCGAAGACAATACCCGCTTGCATTTTCAGCAAGGGGTACTTCTTATGCCGCCGATCAACCAGGGAATCCAGATCCCTATGCTGGAGCAGCAATTGCAGGTGGTGGCACAACAGCGAGACGTGTATCGCGCGAGATTTGAGGCATCGGTGGTCCGGATCAGGAATTTTGAACAAGAATATCGGATGAGTAGGGCCATGCGTGAACGCATGGTCCAAATCATTCGAAATTTACTGAGGCAGTTGGGGGAGGGAGATGATCTCCGTGGGCGTGGTGGGATTGGTATGGATTACTACTTTCGGAGGCACCTGTAAGTTTTTTCGGATAGAGCAATTTTTACTTGTGGAGATTTGTCAATGCCTTGGTAGCTGAAATCACTGTCCTGTTGTTGTTATGAGGGAGTGGAAGTATTCTTAACAAGAAGATCGATTCATCTGAGTGATAGGTAACTAAACACGCCAACCATTCCCAAACTTGCATCCTAATTCCAAGCAGGCTTCTAGCTGATCTTACCAGCCACATTTAAAGTTGTCACAAAAAAAATGGTATTTTCATAGAACCTCAACACCTACGGAGGGGAAGCAAAAAAGAGATCGACCATGATGCGACTCGAACGCACAATCTTTGGTGAATTTCGTTAACCGAAAACCAACGCCTTAGCCATTAGGCCACACGGCCTCTTATTTACAAATTTCCAGAAGTACAGACTTTGAGCAGAATTCTTCTGGCTGCAAACCTACACAACGATGGAGGAATTGATGTTCCGCTAGCTCACCTTCTACTCGCCGACCTCTCTAGCATAAGAAGGTATGCACGCATTCTTATATCCAGCTCACAGGTCTAGATTGGACAAATCTCGAAGTCTTGGTCGTGGCTAAGTTACTCTACCGTGGGTGAAACGTTGTCCTGAAACTTCACGGTTCAAAGTTTACAGTCTACCATTAATAAGTTTAGCACATTCATGATGATTCTAACTTAGGTGTTCAATATATGCCCAATTCTATCCGCCCCGGTCAACTTGTAAATTTCAATTCGCACCACTGAAACTTTTCTCGAGTGAGCACATAAACCCCCCACAACCCGTAACTTCACCGTGTCCCTAGCTCTTCCGCACCATTCACCATCCACCATTCACCACCTTCCTCCACCTCCAATTCTACCATCACCTCCACCAACAACCAAACATATCACAATGCGTCCCAAAGGCACATACAAAGCGGCGCACTCGCTCGCGGCGCGCGCTACCGAGGCCGCGCAACACCGGGCGCGCTACACACCACCGCGGGTTCCGGTGATGCTCGAGCACGCGCGGAGCACGCAGAGGCATCGGCTGGAGCTAGTCAGCTCGGTGTTTCTCTGCCCGCCGGACCTGCGGCTGTCCGAGTTCATGTACAATGTCCGACGCAAGACGAAGATGCCCGCGAATATCGCCGTGTTCTTGATGGCTGATGGACTGCTGGTTTCCCTGGCGACGACGATGGGAGAGCTGTATCAGCAGGCCAGAGATGATGATGGGTGGTTGTATATCGTCTGGACTGAGGAGAGTACTTTCGGCTGCGCTTAGGGGAGGAAAGTGGCTTTCTGGAGTTTGTTGTTGAGCGAGGGAGAGGAAACTTCGGTATATGATGAAGGGGGGGGTTTTTTTATTGGGTTGTTAGTCGATTTCCAGCGAAATTTGTAGGTATTCTACTTATGCATACAGGCCTTTTGTATCTACTATGGCGGGCTCCAGGATGGTGACCAAGTCTGAATGGCAATGCCGATGAACAAGCCGCAAGTGTCTAAGCATCGGTGAGACGGCGTGCATGTTCTATCTAACTCTGCATCAAGAAGTTTAACTTTTGCATTTAAAACTCTGATACCGCCGGAAACATCGTTGACTTACCAGAGACAGAGTCTAGAACTTGCAAACGCAACACACGCCGGTGAATAGAGTGCACCCGTTCTTCGTATCATCACTGTGAAACGGGTGTCCCTGCCGATATGCCCGTATTCTCAGTACCGTCCATCTCGAGGTCTCCTTCGAGTGCCAATGACCGACGATTGACTGGGCGTGTTCTTGGACGGAGCTCGTTGCGTTTTTCTACATCTCAACATATCCGAGCTGGTACCGTGTGCCATATCGCACTTACCGGCCCGTCCTTCCCCAGCAATCATCTCGAAATCTTCCCAATCCAGCCCGCTCAGGATCTGCACATGTGACATGTCCGTAGAACTGCCGCCGGATTTCGATTTGTTGGTCGGGCTCGGTGCTTTGTTTCGTGATGTGGTGGAAAGAAGATGCATGTGAGACGGAAATCTTGACGAGACGGGAATCTTGTCGAGATGCAGTCAAGTAGTACAGGTGAGAACCAGAATCCTGTGAATGGTAGTTAGCCGCCGATTGGTCGCCAGCCCACGCCAGACTCGCAGCCCGTCCTGCATACAACCTTATCGGGCCGCATGTAGAGTCTGCAACCCTGCCATCCTGCTGACTCGACGCGACCCTGCATGAGCATAAAGACAAAATGGGAATGGCTACACCTGCCAACTTCATGTAAGGCTCAATTGGAATACATGTTGCCAAGGGCAAGTAGCTGCTACCGATCTAAAAAGGACGGCGGAAATCCTCAGCCTGGCCAGCCTGGGAGGACCCCAAGATATGGGGAAAATCGATCATAGCCGGGTGTCAACGAGTGATAAAATATGGATGAGTATGCAACCCGATTGCCCGACCAGGCTAGGAGTCTCCAAACCAAACTTTTGCAATGCAAGATGAAATTGAGCTACAGCAAATCATGCAGTTCCTAGTAATAAAATCAACCGAACAGTTGCTTTTACCACCTGCAAACCTGCCAAGAGCCACTCACTCCCGCTTTTCCAAAACCCACCATCTCTGAATCTCGCCATCCACAACCTCGCTAACCCTCAATCCCGCCTCCTCAATCTCCGCTCTCCACCTCTCATCATCCCACCTGGCCAAAATACTCCACTGACATTCCCCCCTCCACTGCCGCTCGCCACCCACCCACCTCTCAACCACAAACCGATCTGTCCTCACATCGCCCGCCCACGTCGCCGTCGTCGGCGTCTTCTTATAGACGATTCTATCCTCGCTCTGCAAGGCGAGCACCTCTGCCTGCGCTCCATCCCCCTCCCCATTCCCCTCTTCCTCGTCACGGAGCACACTAACAACCGCCACCCCACCCTGTCTCAACACCCTCGCCAACCCCTTCAAAAACGCCTTCCTCTCCTCCCTATCAACGAGATGCCCGACCCCGCCCGCTGCAGACACCGCAAGGTCCACCTCCACCTCCGGCAGACTCGCAGCACTAGCACACACCCAGTGTACCTCCCGCTGCGTAGTCTCCCTCGCGCGCGCCAGCATAGCCTCGGAATGATCGACCGCCCAGATTTCCGCCCCATTGGCGGCAGCGGGCAAGGCGCGGATCACGGCGCCAGTGCCAGTGCCGATGTCGAGGATCTTGGGGGAGGGAGTGTGAGGGAATAGTCGGCAGAGCAGAGGCGAGATGGCGTCCGCTCCAGTGCCGAATAGTGACGTTACCCAGAGGTCGTAGAATAGGGGGAAGTACGCGTGCGTGTATGCGTATGTGGTGGGGTGCGTGCGGAGTTGCGAGTCCATTTTGTTCTCGTGTGCAGTGATGCGGGGCGGGGATGGGAGGGCGGGAAGGCGGTTTATGTACACAGTGCACACTGAGCGGAGTGTTGCACGATGCGGGATTCGGAAAATCATACCCTCCGACGGCTGAGGTTGGCCCACAAAAAGCAATTATCACAGCTCAATCCGGCGGGCGGAATTGCATGATTTGTTTTTCTTGTGCAGTCAGATCACGGTCGAGCGATCTAGATTATGATAGGATAACTGCGCACTGTTTTGTCTGTTGCTGTTGCATCGCACGTGCGCCGTCAAAAAAAAGAAAACTAGGGAAGAACCGAGTGATAGCTGTATTGTGCATCCAACGCGATGAGTTAACGATACATGTACGTATAAGAGGTATGAATATATCCAACAAATTACGCCCAAGACAAGAAAACTATGGAGTAGGTATATGGATAGACAATTCCAGCCTTGCGAATCAACTCCGTAAAAAAACCAGGCTTCTAGGTAGCCAACCATTATACCCTCCCCCCGCCTTGACAGCGGGCATTTCCCCCTCCTCCATGGCAGTAATGCTCATCGCAATCCTTTTCGCCATCTCCGCCTGTTCCTCAAGGGGGATCGGATTCTTAATATCCTTGTAGCCCCTCTTCCTACCATACGCCCACTCTCCGCAGCCATCGTCATCATCATCAAGCAAGCCGGAGTCTTCCGTCGTCCACCACGGATTGCCGACCTGGCCCTCGGGTTTCGAGGCTTTGGGCTTCCAGTAGTAGTCGTCGCGGTAAACCATCCACCGCAGGTGCGCTGGGATGGTGAGCGTGTCGAAGAATGAGTCTGGGCGGGTGATGCGGGTGGTGGGCTTAAGTACGAAGGCTGCGGACTTTAGCTAAGGAATATGGGTGGGCAGGAGCGGGAGGCATACGGTTTTTGGGCGGGGCGGAATCCGAGCGCATAAGCATTGCGAGCTGTCTCGCGGGGCGGAACGCCTGGTAGTTCTGTGGGGCGGCCTGCGCAGCGTCCACCTCGCGAGCGAGAATCTGGCGACGGGCGTTGTAGCGGCGGACCGGGGCGCTGGTAGCGACGCCTGCAACGACAGGGAGTAGCTGGGTGCGCACTCGCTTCTTTAGCGGCATGTAGCTCGGGTTCGCATCCGGGCTGCTAGACGGTGGGGTAACGACCGGCGAGTTAGTCGGTTCGGAGCTCTTCCCCAACGGCGGTGGCGGCGTCGAAACCACCTTGTTGCCAGCGCGCTTCCGCTTGTTCCTCACGCCCTTGCCCTCGAACGTCTCACCGGCCATGATGCGGCGCTTCGTCTCCTCCCAGTCGAGGCCGGCCTTCTTTGCGGCGGCGCAGCTGCCGACATGCATTCCCGCGAGCGTGATCGAGTCGATGTGTGTGGTCCCGCAGACGCACAGGTTGCGCCGCGGCGCGAATTTGTGGTGCGACTCTGTGTGCCGCAGCAGTGCGGCGCGGTCGCTATTCATGTGATCGCAGTTCTTCCAGAAGCACAGGTCCGATAGGTAGGAGGGCGGTATGTGCGCGCTCTGCATGTGGAGCTGTGAATGGGCGGTTAGGCGGCAAGTGAATCGAGAGACTGAAGGATGGACTCACCTGCAGCTGCTCGAACCAGTCGAAGACTTCGTTGCAATCGCGCCAGTGGCAGAAGGTCTTCCGAGGCGGCTTGGGGAGGATGTGGCGCTGCATGATGATTTTGGTGATGTTGGTGATGGTGACGATGTTGGTAATGCTAGTGATGCGGGTGATACTAGTGAGTTTGGTGATGTTGAGTTTGGTGATGATGTTTGCTGACTGTCGTGAGGTAAGGTGTTGAGTCAGGATGAGCGTTGAGCAGCTGCAGGAGGACAAAGAGGGTTTGATTGTTTGAAGGCCGTTGTCACTTCAGAAGCGAAGTTTCCCGACGCCCCACCGTTCAACTCTTTGCTTCTTGTTTCCCCAGTCATCTCGTGTGACAACACGATAATCTCGACTTGGAACGTTACGAGAACCTAACCCTTACCTGGAGTGATATCTAATGAACCACACCTCACGATCACTCGGCTCGCCTTCACCGTTCAATTCGAGCGAGGCTCGACTTCACTTCAATCTTGTTGGATGACTTTTTCTCTAATTCAACCTCGTCGAGCCGGTCGCGAGATGATCATCACTCTACGTATTACTACCGCAACATTCACGCCCGCCGACTCCCACGATGTGTTTACCTTCAGCGGGCGACAAGCTGTCTAGTCTTCAGACCATCAACCAAAACGGACAGCTAACTAGCGGCGCTGCCAGAGGAGCCACCAAGAAGAAGCGGTGGTCAAAAAAGCTACTTCCGTCGCTGTCGGAACCTGCACCTCCACCAGCACACGGCAGTAGGCGCATTTCCGTCAGCAACGCTCGAATGCCCGCTGAAAACTCACCTCCACCAGCACACGGCAGCAGGCGCAAATCCGGCAGCAGGCGCAAATCCGCCAACAGCGCTCAAATGCCCACCGAAAACCCACCTCCACCAGCACACGGTAGCAGGCGCAAATCCGGCAGCAGGCGCAAATCCGCCAACAGCGCTCAAATGCCCACCGAAAACCCACCTCCACCAGCACACGGTAGCAGGCGCAAATCCGGCAGCAGCTCCCGAATCCCCGCTGGAAACCCACCTCCACCAGCACACGGCAGCAGGCGGAAGACCACCAACAGCGCTCCAATCCCCGCGGAAACCATCCCCCACGCCGTAACCGCCACAATCATGTCGCCCTCCAACCAACACATGCAGAACCCACCCCCTCGGTCTTCCGTTCGGCTGCCGTTCACCAGCGCCTCACCTCCTCTACCGGAGACGCCGTTCTCGACCAGCACGCGCGACTCCATCAAGACGCCAGACAAGACACCCAACACGCCGTGGCTGGGGCCCGCCTCGAGCATGCCTCCGCCACCGCCCGCGCACGGCAGCCGCCGCATCATCTCCGGCATGCGCGCGCCCAACGCACCGCCGAACGCACCACCGCATCACGTCGAGAACCAGCCGCCGCTTGCGAAGTGCTTCAAGGTGATCAACCGCATCACGACCAATCCCCAGCCTGGCAAGAGGAGGCCGAGTGATGAGGTCCTCGAAATGCAGCTTACCGTGCTAAAGAGGGAGTATCTCGGGTTTGCGGGTAGGGAGAAGGAGGCGATCGGTAGGCTTAACGCCTTGCATGCCTTTGGTGAGCAGGCGGACCAGGCGGAGCGTGACAGGTGCAGCCGCGAGGTCAAGGTTTGCTGGGAGTGGAGGAAGGAGTGGAAGAAGCGCATCGATGAGTTGGAGGCCAGGCTCGACAATAGGAATGCGAAGGCGCAGAAGAGGATGGCGGGGATTTGGAGCACCGATGAGGAAGAACCAAGCACGCCGGACGAGACGGCGGCAGTGGAAGATGCCATGCTCTCACTCGAGCTGGGAGAACGTCTTCCGAAGGGGGGGGATGAGTCTTGATGAGAGAGGTAGCAATGGGGCGGGCTGGAACATGTAGCGTGCTCCATATAACACTGTGCCACTTACTAGTGCTGTAGGATACGGGGGCTGAAAGAGGGGCACTCGTGCTATTGTGTTGGTTGGCTGCTTAATAAAACCTCCATCTTCGGCAAAGTTACAGCTTTCGTATGTAGCTCTTCGCTTCAGCTGAATACTCTGCCCTCGTCACACTCACTCCGACCAAGGCCGTCCTCGTCACGCTCCAACTAAAGCCCGCCCTCGTCACACAGTACCCAATCCCTTCTTTGTGACACGATACACTCACCACGTAGCCCCCCAAATTCCTCAGCCGCACTGCTGTCTCACTTGTGCGACACTGATGATTGGTGCAACGAGCGAACAGTGCCCGTCGCACAACCTTAAGTTCGCCCACTCTGTGCCTGCAAGGCCAGCGAGATCCATCTGCCATTGGATGACGGAGGCGATTCAGAAGCGCTGTGTGTCACGTGGGTTCTAGGCCCCCGTCGTACATAAGTGTAACTTCGTTTGTTGTGTGCTACCCAATCCGCTACAGCCGTGGATGATGAGTCGATTCTGTACGTGTGCAACTGTTGGGAGGAGAAGGCTGTGTGTGTGTGTGCCTCAGTGAAGTGCAGTGTAGAGATTGGCAGATAAGTGGTGCCCTGGGGATATGGATTACTACATAAACCCCCGGGATACGCTCCTCAGTTGGATGCTCTGATCGATACCGCCCAGGGTCCTTCGTTCCTGACACGATCTCATCCCTTCTTGCCCGCTTTCAGCTTTTTTTGCCTCGCACACAGAAAATGTGAGCCGCCCTTCCTACCCCTCTCCAAGCGGATTGAAACTGACAATGAATCCACAGGCACGGCCTACGAAGTCTTTCGGCGTTCACCCTACTCACTCCCGTACTCGCCCAATCCTGCTCTTCCCCGAACGCCACCTTCGGAGCTGGTGGCGGCCGCAAGATCGCCCTGGTAATCGACAGCTCTGGCTCGAACGACTGGACGGACCCAGAGGACCTCCGCATAACCGCCGCGCAGGCCTTCACCTACCGCCTCACGGCATCCAGCGAAGCCAAATCTGGCGGCCACGGTGCAGCAGACCTCCTCGCCGTGATCGATTTCGACGACACCAGCAAAGTCGCCTACCCCCTCGGCGACCCGGGAAACGCCGCATTCGACACGATCAATGCCTTCGGCGGCACCTTCATCTCTGGCGGCGTGGACCTAGGCCTGGCCGAACTACAGCGCGACGGCAGTCCTCTCGGCAACCGCACCGGCATGATCGTGCTCACGGACGGCGAGGACGCCTACCTGGAGACGCTGATCCTATCACTGAACAACGCGACCGCCCTCGGCGTGCGCATCAGCTTCGGCTTCCTGCAGACACCGGGCAGCCCCGTCACTCCCCCCGCGGGGCTCGTATCCGCGATCCTCGCCACGGGCGGAACCTTCTCCACGATCGACTCCGCCGCGGCACAGCAGTACTTCATCGACCTGATCATCGCGAACGGGCCGACGCCCGTCGACGTCGGCGGCGGCGCCACAGGCCCCAACGGCGAAACGTCGATTCTCCCCGGCCTTGCCGTCGCCCACAAGCTCGCGCGGGACCCAGGCGTATACACGTACAACGCCGTCGCTGGCGAGCGCCTCAACTTCACGGTGCAGAGCCTTACTAACCAGTCGCTTGCTGTGGCACTGAGCGGCCATGGAGGTGCCGATCTGCTCACTGCCACCGAGGGCCCGTCGTGGATCGCGAATGTCCTCTTCACGCCCGCGAGCGATACCGCGTTGAAGTTGACGGTAGGACTGGCCGCTAATGGGACCGGAGAGATCAATGGAACTTATACAGTCGGGCTGAATTCCAGCCTGGCGGTCTTGAACTGCACCGTCGGGGCAAATAAGACGAAGACGAGCGGTGCGTCCAGGGCAGTGGGAGAGGTGACCGGGACGGTGGGGTTGACGGTGGCGATGTTGAGTGCGTTGTGGGTGGTTGTCGGGGCGGTATTCTAGGGCAGAGCGGTATTAGGGCCGGGGGGGTAGACAGTAGGATCGTGTGGCATGTGCTAGATGGGCAAACCTCGAAGGCGAAGTCTTTGGATATGTGGATATGGACAGTGACGTTTTATGATCGTGCGGTGGCTTAATTAATGTATGTACTCGATGGGTTCGAAGGAACGAACAAAAGGATTTTTATTGTAATATTCTCATGATCCACGCGAGCAGATCACGGAGATGGGTCGGGCGTATGTAACTTGTCCCAATCCTGTCTTCCTGCCATGCGTACAATGGGCCCGTGTGGGGTTTACTCAAGTCTCAATAGAGGAAATACATACTCATGCACATCATCGGTACGCTTACGTATGGCAATAGCACTCGTGCCCTATCATTGAGGTACCTGCGTCTTTAGTGTCACTGAATATCACTCGGTACTCTCCGTTCGAGGATACTCCGGAAATTTCCATTCAGCGGTGTGGGAGATGGGAGTAGCGGGGAGAGCAGCAGGGTAGGTCTGGGGATGTTCCGTGAGAACTACCTACGGGGCAGTTTCCTCGGTGCGCTACCAGTGTATGTAAGAGTGGGACGCTCTTGTACAATATCGTCGAGTACTGTGATTATCTTGTTTTCCTTTGGTTTTATTGTATGGCAAAGTTATTATCTGTACTGCAATTTTCGTGAAGAATTTATTTCATGATAGTTCCTCGTGATGCTTCACGATTCAATTCTATTCTCCTCTCCTACATATTCCTATGCCACACCATCTAATCCTACGCCTTCACGCCAAAAACCCCATCCTTCCCAGCCGCCTTAATTTCCTTCATAGCCTTGACACTGTCCCTCTCGCTCAGGCGCTCATACCAGGCCCTGACGGCCGAGAACCTCTCATCGCTCTTCCACGCGCCGCCGCCCATAGTCGGCCAGTCCAGCACGATGAGCCACGTGACGAACGACAGATCAGCATAGCTGACCCTGTTCTCGACGAGGTACTCCTTGTCCGTGAGGACATCGTTGAGCACGCCGAGCACGCGGTCGATCTCCTTATCGTAGCGCTCGATGGCCGACGGGATCGTCTCCGCGTGGAAGTTCTTGAACCACGCCGCCTGGCCTGTTTGTTTGTTTGTTGTTAGCCACACACTCTCCCCCGGCACCGCAAAAGATAGTTACGTACCGAAATATGGTCCCTGCCCGCTCATCTGGAACATGAGCCACTGCTTGGCGGTAGCATTACTCTCGAACTTTGCGAAAGCCAGCTTTGAGTCCGCGCCGGCGTCGTATTTCTCGACCAGGTACAGGATGATCGCGCCGGACTCCCACACGACGAAGTCGTTGTTGCTGTGGTCCACCAGCGTCGGCATGCGCCCGTTCGGGTTCAGAGCCGTGTAGGGCGCTTTCTTTTGGTCGCCCGACTTGGTGTCCACCGTGATCGTGCGGTATGAGAGACCGAGCTCCTCGAGGATGATGATCACTTTCCACGGGTTCGGGCCGCTGTGGATGTAGATGCTGAATTGGGGGGTGGCCATTGTGGAGGTGGTTTTGGTTTTTGGTCGGGTTTTGGTGGGGATGGGGGTGTTATGGATGATGCTGCTGTTGATGTTGTTGTTGATGCTGTCGATGGTGTGATGGCGAGTGAAATCACAACATCGAGGGGAATGGACGGGTTTATTTTATATCCTCCTCCACTGTCCCCTCCGCCGTACGTCCCCCACGCAATTCCCCCGCCATCCCACCCATCCCACCCATCCTATCCCATTCACATCCATCCCGTCCCGTCCAGCCCCACTAGGTACCCCGTAACCCCGCAGCACGCCTTGACGGCATGGTTTCCCCGTATGTACGTATTGCCGAAACCCAGCCACGCATCCGCCGGCACGACGATCACTGGTGACTGAACCATAACTAGCATGATCCATCGGCCAACATCTAATCGATCCGTGCGCCCCACGACGGATGAGCTCCGGCGATTTGAAATCACTTTCTGCGTGGACGGATGTATGTATAACGCTAGTTATGCACGGCGGCGCGTGCCTGCAGATCATGATGGCTCGGTTAACTCCGGCTGGCAGGGACTGTGCTACATACGGACCCTGGAGTCTGCACACAAATACATATCACGGCTTCGAAAGCATTCGCATGCCAAGATCCACCCTCGAGATGTCTCATCTGATTACTTCTGGTTAGTTAGAGCAATATCTTCACCGGTGGGGTCCATACCGCCGGGCATTTGTCATCGCTGTAGTTACTGCGGACTTAAACGGGGGTGACCAATCACGCCGACCCGACCGGACGAAGTTGAACTCCGATGCAGTGCCGTTCGAACTCCGATGCAGTGCCGGAATCATTACCGATCACGGATTAGAAATTTGGTCCCGTATTCAGGTCCGCGGAAATGCGGGTGAGTGTAGACTGTAGGATTACTGGGACTGGGAGGCGGAGGTGAGGAGAGAGGAGCCAGGATCACTCCTGCCGTTGAATGTCCCTCCCCGCACCCTCCTTCATGGCAATGATGGTATCTCTGATGAAGAGGTAGGATGCAAGGTGGAATAAGGAACAGAAGCTGTTTTTTCCTAATGTTTTTTCCTTAGTGCGCTCCGCTTTTATCGTTGGGACGGGCCGGCGCGCAGGATAGGGAAAGCCACATATATTGGGCCGTTCGATGAAAGTCGAGTTGGACTGTGGCGTGGAAACGGGGGGACGCCATACGGGCAGATATCGCCATAATCTAGCAATGTCACATGCAATCGATGATTAAACAAAAATAAAAAAAGACTACGGTATTACTATTAGGTGCGAGGCCTACCTGCATACGTGGGGAGCCCATGAATCGGTGTACGGTATGCATGGGTACACGAGACGGTCATTGTTCCGTGAAACGTTCCGTCGGTTTCGCCGACATTCTGCAGGATTTCATCGGAGCAGAGGACTCCATACTAGAGGGAACGACGGAATTAACTTTGGCGGGAGGAACATGCTAGTTGGTAGAAGTATAGAGGACAATCGAACTGCGTGCAAGCTGTGGACTGGTTTCGGTTGGTTTTGACCGACAGGTGCCTGGTGGAATAGTTGGTCCGGTCCATTTATATCTCCACCAGTTAAGCTTTTGAAACTTGAAACAGCCATAGATACCGGAGTAGGAGCTCCGAGATCGTGAGGGCTTGAGTAATGAGTTGTATGCACGATTGGCGCCTGCTTTTGTTTTTCTCACATGCCACCATTCCGCATGAAATCAATTCATGACGTCTCCGAGAAGCCCTACATACCTCCGTTTACCAGGTGTTGGATGATGCTTGCCCGTTGGAATCCCTCTAGTTATTCCTCCCTCTCCTTATCCCTCCCCTGAGAATCTCAACGATGGTCCATACCGGTAGCTGACACTCGCCAATTGCAATCTCATATGTACACGAAATTCGAATCAGGACGAGTGCTCCGCTGTTAGTGAGATAATTCAGATGGAAAAGCCAGACACCGTACCACAAAAAAATTGAGAAATGACTATGAGGATGCTCGCTCTCCAGTCAACGGTTGTAGGGGGAAGCAAGCGAAGTCGAAAGCGGAGGGGATTTTAACCCTCAGACATAGGAATGATGAAGGAGTATCATAACAATCCGGAGTTCTTCGATCCGGTCGTAAATCATAGTTGGCCGTTCTGTGATGCCTGGCGGATGGATAAATGGCTGAGGTTCTCTACTTTTCCAGCAGCGCGCTTGTCTCTTGGTTGAGGATTCTCTTCGGTTAATTGAGGAATGCTAATCGACTTTTCCCTCTAGTTGCGGCTGGCCATTGGCCTCAACTGATCATTCCGTGCGGTAATGGAGGTAACCGAGCGAGATTGCTGGCCACAGACGGAAAGTGAAGTTTGACAGCATCAGCAAATGATAAATCTACACATCGCAGTTCCTAGGGCAGTGGGTATGTTAATAGTCACGTCACTTTCTTGCTGCTCCTGCGTCGACGATCGTGAACAGCACTTGCGGCTCGTTCTTCCCCTACAGCTGACGGTGATCTGAGATCTTATGATACATGTATGTATGCACTCGGGAGGCGCGACTCGGCGCGTACGATACGGACCACGCTAGTCCTACACACGCCACAGAATCCTCACCAGCCAGATAAGTAGAGTACCCAGGAATAGTACCGCCAGAGCCCGGTCGTACGGTAGGAAGTCTCAGACAACAGGCACATGCATGCTCAGGCACCCAGTTACCTACTTGGGTATTTACCGCCTGTCTGCTGCCTGGTGGGAATCGTTTTCGGTCTGTTGGCGTTAGGCGCAAATCACCAACAGTCGGAAAAAGTTTAGCGGTTGTAGCCGATAGGCGGGGATTCAACCGCTGAGACACAGTCTACAGTGCGGGTGCTGCTACGACAAGGCGATAAGCTCATCTAAGGGGTACATACTGTTTACGCGCTTACGAGGTGCGGATTTATTTGCCGAACACCTACTGGTAGTACAAGGTGAGGCGAAATCTACCAAGGGGATATTGCTATTATCCACGCCCAACCATCGTTGCTACACCGTGAACACCTGTCTTGGTTGAGCTGGTGATGCATTCACAGTGCGTCGTTACTCAATCATCGTAGAAAACTATGCGCCTATCGTCAACGATAGTGCTGGTACAGTCTTAACCTTCATTGTTCTCTCTCCCTGGTTCTGTACAGTAAGTAAGAAGGCACCACGAATTCCAAACAACCCTTTCTAATCTCGGAAAGTGTGCAAATATCTTAAGCGGTGCCCAAGGCTTCTTCTCCGCTCTGCAGAGGTCCAAAGATGCCTCGCCGGTGAGTTTATACCCTTTGTTATTATTGGTTCCGTATCATCTTGTGTGCTTTCCCGATGATGGAAAATGGGTCGACACGACAACTCGCCCATCTGGCTATGAATGAGATTCAAACTGGCGGGCGCTACTATTGCATTTTTCTGCCTGAGTTACCGCCGCTGTAAGGGACCTTTAGTATCTACTCTGCTGCCGCCGCGCTAGATCTGTGCTGCCGAGGGAGGGGCATCCTGGCGCTAGCGCTTGACCGGTTAAGCTTCGCTGGTTAGCTCTCCGTTCGGTCTGCATCGCCGCACTACCTATTTCGGTGCGCTCCTATATGCGGTGGGCGAAAACAGCTGTGACTGGAAGTAGGAGAATGAGGCAAAGACGAGACATTCCATATATGTTCGTACACCTATAGATATATTGAAGCCCTTCTGCTGCTGTTTCGACTCGATTCATTCCTTCATTCTGTCTACTATTATTTTCTTTGTATATGCTTTTTTACCGTTGACCGGTTTCTGTGTTACTTTCTCAGCATTCGTTCTTTTTTGCCTTGTCGCTCGCACAGCACAGCACCTATTCCATTTAATCTACGGCAGGTCCGTTTTTGTCATTTCTTCTACTCCAGGACTTGAAAGGATGGCGTCCCAGACTGGTTCTGCTACTCCGGCCTCCTCTTCCCGGAAGAACTCGTTGCCCTCCCTCTTCTCCGTAGCCGTCACGAAGCGCCTCAGCAATCGCCTCACGAAGCCCAACCGGTCCCGCAAGTCCCTCCTCGCCTCGGCCGTACATACGCCGACCTCGTCCAGCGCCGAGTCAAAAACCAAGGCCCTTCAATCCTCAGTCTCCTCCAATGTCATCGAGCTACCCCCAGCCCACCGATACCGTAGCTTCGGCGAGATCCTCTCCTCGTCGGGCAGATCCATCGCCTCCGTCCTCCCCAGCCGCACACCCCGCATCAATGGCCTCGCCATCGCCAGCCCCCAAATCTCCAGCCTCTCGACGGCGATCGGGATCGAAGGGCCGCTGCCCAAGACCGATTCGCTGCGCGAGGGCGCGGTTCTCGGCGGTGACGTAGCACTATTCGGCAGCGGCATCCCAGCCAAGATCTACAAGCTTCTCGGGACCGCCCATCTCGGCGGCGTCAAGGAGCTCGTGCAGCTCACCGGCGATGTTGCGTTGAAGGAGCTGCTTCCGGGCTTCGCGGGGGAGATCATGCTGGCCGATGTCAGCCTCGTCTACCGCGCCGAGATCGCGGGGCAGGAGGCAGGCGTGTGGTTAAGGGCTTCGACTCGCTTCGAGGGCGCCCTGGAAGGCGTCGGTAATGCGGCCTGTGCGGTTTTTGGGCTCAAGACCGCCCGCGCGGATGTGAGCGGGTATTTGGGCCAGGAGAGGGATTGGAAAAAGCCGTTGAGGCCAAAGAGGTTTAGTATGCAGAGCGTGTTGGGTGGTGATACGCAGGTGGATCGGAGGATCTGCTTTAACAAGATTGGCGTTGAGGTCTCCGGAGCGCGGGATGGGAGGCGGACGGCGTATGATGTCTTGATTCATATGTTTGGGGAGGTGCTTTTGACCTTGCCCGGCAGTGGTCAGCATCTGAAGATGGAGTGGACCATGAAGGAGGAGACGCCTGGAATGCTCACGTTGAAGGTCGACAAGTGCAAAGAGGAGGTCGTGGGTATGGTTGGGTACAAGGGATTGAGGGTACGTGTGTCGATTGGGAGTGGGCGATTCGTGATGCTAACGGAAAATAGATCTCGGACCTTCGGTTGGTTGCCAGTTTTTCTGTCGCAAAGCCCATCCAGGAGATCACCTTCGATTTCGAGGCAACGATGGCTTTCGGTAACGGAACGCTACTCTTCAAGGGTGTCTACAGCGAAAGCGAATTCTGGGTGGAGGCAAAAGTGCCTAAGTGCACTCTTGTGGACATCCAAGCGCTGTACACATCCATGACTGGGCGAGAGTTGGAACCGTTCGATCACTCGGTTGAACTTGAAGACATCGCTTGCCGCATTGACGCCAACGGGCTACAGTTCCGGGGTCAGATCACAGTTGACGGCCATCGGTCAGTATCGGGTACGATATCGATTAAGAGGGACGGTGTGGCTATCACTGGAGTCCTGCAGAACATCAAGCTAGGTCACGTTACCGTCGAGAAAGCTGCCCTGGACATTTTTCTCGGAAGGCCGACCAAGAACGAGACTTCTAGGGAGAGCGGCTTCGCCATCACCGGGAAAGTATCCTTCCATGATATCGATATCGACGTTGCTGTATACCTCACTGTCACTGAGCATCAAGGTGTTCAATGGACGGTATACGGCGAACTTACCGGGAATGTGATGAGATTGCAACGGCTTGCTCCGGAGGTTAAAGATACCTGGTTGGATCTCGAGCTGAAACAGATGGCTTTCATCGCCAGCAATATCGATTCCCCACAAGGCGACTACAATGACTTTGATTATCCTATCCGGTCGGGTGTCCAGTTCTGCGCAACCATCGAACCTGTCCAGCCGCTGAACCATGTCACGAAAACCAACGTTCGCGAACTCGCCCTCCATGCAGTTTGGAGTCCAGACACCGGTTTCAACTTTGGATTGATCCTCCCTACCCCAATCGGCATCCATCTGACCAAGAAAATCACCTCCGGTCCAGTATCAGTCGAGATTGGCTTGTCCCCAATGCCACATATTCAGGTTACAGCCGAACTCAACGTGACCCCAACGAGACAAAGCCAGCCTCTAGTCTTCAGATTCGGGCTCAAGGCAGATATAATCGGGGCCCAGGGATTCGGAGAGATGAACAACTACTGGGTCAACCCTTTGGGCATCAGCGAGAAGGTGAAAATCGGGCCGACAATCGCGCTCGAGCTTGGAATTAATTACGCCACCCTCGCAGCCACCGGTACACCCTCATTCATTGGCTTCTCTGCGGGAATGGCCATCGGAGATGTGGAAGCGCAGGTTGCCATGGCGATCTCGGAGAATCCGGGGGATGAACTGATCAAGGCCAGCCTAACTAAGCTATCGGTCCAGGACTTGGTCAAATTTGCTTCCGAGATCTCTGGGCAGGAACTCGCGCTGCCGCCGCAAGACTTACTCGGCTTCAGGGATGTATTGCTATACCTTTCGACAGGAGTTACGATCGGGACAACACATTATCCTAGCGGGGCGACAATGAAGGGAGAGATGGATTTGTTTGGCCAGTCTACCGACCTCGAGTGTACGATCGGTGCCACCACCAGGATAGCGGCGCAGTTCGGGGAGCTCGAAGTCGGGCCGCTTATTGTTAGTGGCTCAAACGGCGGTGGTCCTAGTGCAGTCATCGAACTCGGCGTGTCGAAGCAACACATCCTCATCGATGGTGCTGTCAAGATTATGGATCTTGAAGCATCAGTTCGCTTCGTCTGTGATATTCTACCGAGTCCTGGGATGGAATTATCCCTCCGCCTCGCATTTGCCGACGCACTCGAGATCAACCTAGACGCGAAATTGATTGGCATAGCAGATTTCAAGAACCTCTCAGGAGCAGACTTCATGGTGCATGCGGTCGTAGAACAGGATATCCTACAGTACTTGGCCAGACAGATCAGGCACTATCTGTCTGCCCTGCTGGTGTTGCTGCAGAAGGGCATCGAGGCTGCGCAGTACTTTATCGACGAAGCCCAAGAGGGGATTGAGAGTGCCATTGAGCTGGCAAGCAGCGCTCTGGAGAGCGCCAAATCCGTCTGGGACGAGACGGAGGCAGCTGTGGACGCCGTGCTGGACGAGCTGCAAGATGACTTCCAGCGGGGGCTTGAGTCGCTTGAGTTGAACCTATTCACGACGCAACAAGAAGCTGAGGACGCCATTTTTGAGGCTGGCAAGGAACTGGAGCAGGCAAAGATGATCAGCGCTACTACCATCGCTGCAACCATCACCGTCGTGCGGAAGAAGAAGGCCGAGATGCGAAAGGGCATCACCACCAAGTTGCAGGAGATTCGCGAGGTCAAGGAGAAAACCAAGGCGAAGTTTGGAGCGCTCGAGGAGAAGATTAAGCACATCGAGGAGAAGGTCAAGCATGCACAGAGTACGTACTATCCCACCCATATTGTAAAACCTATTCGTTAACGATGACTACTTAGTTTGGTACGACACATGTAGTGCCCACTTCCAGGCTGCCGAGCAGACCGTCGAGGACGCGCCGTTCTATCGCAAGATCGACCTCTCTTTGCCGGTGCATAGGTGGCGCCAAGTTAGAGACGACGCCTTAGCGGAACTCACCATACTGAAGCTACAGCTCAGTCAAGCGATTACGTCCTCCCAGAGTCCCGAATACAACGAACTCCGCGCTCGAAAGGCAGCAATGAAAGACGATCTCCGCCAAACCCGAATGATCTCGGAGAAGACAATTGCCGATGCCGAAGCAGACCTAGAGGCGGAAAGAAAAGTGCAGGAGGCCCTCGTCAATTACCACGAGGCCAAGGTTGTCAAGGAAGCGGTGGCTGGCTCGCAGAACAATATCAAGGAGAAAGAGCGGGCGATGCAGCGGTTCAAGGAGGAACGCGAGACGGCTGTCCAGGAGGCACTCGCCCGCAAGGAGGCGCTCGCCCAGAGCCGCGAACGCGAGCTGCTCGACGCCGCAAGGGACGAGTTCAAAAAGGCCACTATCGCCAAGGTCGACGTAGCCGCGGCCAAATCGGCGATCGAGAAGATCCCGACAACTATCTCGGCCGACTGGCTCGAAACTCTGGTCGACGGCATCGACGACGTGCTCGACATCAAGCGCGTCGAGGTCTCGGGAAGCTTGAGGGATCTGGTTCAGCACGGAAAACCGCTCAAAGCGGAAATTACTATGGTGGTTGCGGGGAAGGAGATGGTCTTTGCTCTGGATTATGGCGTCGCCGATGCTGTCGGGTTTGTGGGCGGTGTTTTGGAGGGCGCGTGGGATGCTGTTTGTGAGGTTTTCGATGGGGAGGAGTAGGGTGGTGGTTATCGTGGTGTTGGAGTTGTCATTCTGCGAGCATAGCATAGCATTGGAAGGCGTTATTTATTATAGTGGGCATGGACGGAATGGGTTATGAGCATGGAGTTGGAGTATCAATGGCAGTCCTGACAATTCGATATCGCTTGGAAGTCTGAACATCTGAGCATTCTGGAATCGTGAGGGATGAAGCATGACTAAATGACGGTAATGCAATGGATAGATCGGCGAAAAGATGAGTTTGATACTCTGAAAGCACCATAACTCAAGCAGAGACGAGTGATATCTCAAGAACACCACAGGAGCCATAACCACACCCAAGCCGTCCGCTATCTTACTCTATCCTCTACTATGGCGCCTTAACTGGTCATATGTGCACGGTTGTTCAAATTACACCCAATTCAACAAGTAAATTATTTCCATACTCAAGAGCTAGTGAGTGAGATTCCATGAGTACACGCAGCCAGCAGTGCTCCATTGTACTCACCGTACTCTCCGCATGATGCATCCCACTCCCGATTACCGCGTTGTTACCTCATACCTCATACATCCGCGGCACGGACTGCTTACCTAGAGATTTTCACATGATCGTCGTCACGAACTCATATTGACGTCAACGCCCCTCCGCTGCTCAGCTCAGTCGACTGTGCACAAAACCCGGTCCTCCTGCTCCTGCTGCTCATATTCCGCAGCCAGAAATCCACTCCAACCCACATCACACCGCATCCCATACGAGAGAAACCAACCCATAGAAGCCAAAATTGATTTCCCCTCCCTCCTCGAGCAGCAGCAGCAGCCCCGGCGGTCTTCGCGCGCCAGCACCACCAGCAGCAGCAGCACCACCACTACCACCAACTGCGCCACCACCACCAGCATCAACAGCAGCACAGCCCCCGCAATGTCAGACAAGCACATGCTCGACATCGCGCACGCGGCCGAAAAGGACCTGAACAGCTACGACGCCAAAGTCGGCCACCCTCGACGCAACAAGAGCGATTCCAGTCCTCCCCCCCTCCCTTCCCCCCACCCCCTTTCTTCCCCTCCCCCTTTTATCCACCCAGCTGACACTGCTGCTGCGTAGCCAACGAATCCGGCGTGGACAAAGGCGTAGAGAACAAGTTCTCGGGCGCGCACGTGACGTACGGGGCCGCAAGCACGGGCCGCGTCATCCCCGCGCAGGAGGGCGGCGATCAGATCGGGAAGGGAGGGGGCAGGCCGACCGTAGATAGGGACTTTGAAGGCCCTGGCGGGCCGGAGGATAAGGCTGAATTGGCGAGGAGGGAGAGGCCCGGGGATGATAGGGTTGAGTAGGTAGCTGGCGTGGGGTAGGGGTGGGGGTATTGGAGGGAGGAAATGGAAAAACTTCAATTGTTTGATTAATTGTAAGAGGGTGGTGATGGTAAAAAGTCGGGGTGATTGGTGCCGAAGGTCGACGGGAGTATGTACTACCACTCAGATTTATATCAGTCAAATAATACAGATTTACTCTGGTATTTTTTGTTCTCCCTATATTCTCACATCTACGGTAACGAAAAACATTATGTAGTGTAAAGATAAGCGTACTAAAAACTATGGGATGAGTGGTACGATCTACAGAACGTGACTTTGCGAGAACGTAAATTCACTTTCTACGGCAGCGAAAGGATAATACAAGCAAGTCCTTGTGTAAGAGAGCATATGACGGAAGAAGAGTAATCAATTGAGCAGATGGCATAACTAGATGAAGCAGGCATAACCCCCAGTACCCTTCCTATCCACCCGTTCCAGCAGTTCGACCAGTTCTACCAGCGTCCTCTCCGCATCCCCTCCAGCGCCTCAAGCGTTAGTGATAACAGCCCTCAACTTCGCATCAAAGATGAAGACACCCTCGGCCCTGGTCTGCCCATCCTCGCCCCTCCTGGAGCAAGCATAGATGACCTCTTCAGCGGCCCTCGCAAGCGCCTTACAAGCCATGCCCCACCAGAACGTTCCGCAGAGCTGGATGCGGGCGGATTGGTGTGTCATTTCGTGGTCGCAGCCGTTTCCTCCTCCTCCGGGGTTGCTCTGCACGCACAGCGTGCTCTTCCCCAGCGAGAGCTTCATCTTGTTCGCCGCCACCTGCACGTGCTTCGACAAGGGCGAGCCGCCGTTCGTCTCGCACTTGATGAACGCGTACGGCACTGCCGCCGACGCCGTGAGCGGCGAGATGCTGTCCGCGAGCGAGGCGTCAGAGAACGCCAACTCGTCGTCGAAGATCGTTGCCACAACCGAGGGTGGGGAAGTCGGGTGCGTGAAAACGGAGCGCGCCGCATGGTCAGCGGGGCTGACGGAGAGCGAGGCCTTGTCACCGCCGGCGGGAAGGCAGACGGCAGTAGTGAAGAGGAGAGCCGAAACGGCGAGGAGGGTGGTGCGGAGAAACTGCATTTTCGTTGTCGTTTGTATCGTGGGTGTTCGTGAAGAGTGGTGGAGTCGTGGAAACGAAGGTGGTATTTGAAGGGGAAGGTGGTGTGGGGAGAACGAGTGGATGTTGTTGTGTGAAGGAGGAGGGGGAGGTGAAGGAGGAGGTTTGTGTGTGGGGGGGGGGGGGGGGGGGGGGGGGGTCGAAGGAAGTTGCAGTTCCGGGTGTTGGCCTTAGAGGAAACGGGTGTTGGCCCAACACGTGTGATCGTGAAATCGCACAGCATCTGAGTGATGGGAGAGTGCATGAGGTATAATTGACAAGATCGGATAACTGAAGCACATCAATTACTCGAAAGGCAACGACACTGGACACGGGCACGAAAATATCAAACGGCGAGCACAATAAGATGTAGCACAAAACACCAACCGGAAAACCAACGAATCAACCCGATAGCAACAACACCCACAGAAGAGAAGAAAACACAAGTTCCTGACCCCGCCAATACCCGGAAAGAAGGAAGAACGTAAGGAAGGAAGCACAAAATCATGAAAACACGCATAGCATAGCCCCCCGTGCGCCAGATGTTCGACCTCTACTTGATACCCACTACCATCCTCCATTATGCCGTGACTCGTAGATCCCAGCCACTCAACTCCTGACCTGCAACTTCTTGACGCCATTGACGAGATTGCCTCCGAGCGCGGCCTCCATCTTGAGCCTCTCGATGACATCGGCCGGGTGTCCGCCCATGATCATGCCGTTTCCATTCTTCGCACCATCCGGTCCCGCGGCATCCAGATCCTCGTCGATGCCTTCATCGTCGTCGTCGTCACTGGTGCTATCGTGGCTGGCAGCGCGACTCGCAGCGCCGCTCCTACTGCCGCCGAAGTCCCTTCCAGCCTTCATCACGTGCCCGCCCATCATGCTGCGATCGCCGTCGAACTCGTGATTGCAGCCGTCCACACATCCGCCGAACTTGCGCACGCCCCACACCGACGCCTTGAGCGCCACCACGCGGTTCGCCGGCGGACACTTGTACCGCAGCTCCTCCTGCTCCCGCGAGTACCCGCTCCACGTCCGCAACTCGGTCTGCAAGTCGTACTTGTGCTGGTCGTTGAGCTTCATGACGACGAAATCGCAGTGGTCCACGTTCCGCAGGTCCTCAAAGTACTCGACCGAGTAATGGTACCACTTCATGAGAAAGATCCTCGTCATGAGCCCGTGCGTGACCAGCACCAGAACACTTGGAAAATCCTCCTCAGCAAACTGCCTCCACAAGCTCTCATTGAAGCCCGAGACACGGTCATACGCGTCAGCGGCGCTCTCCCCATTCGGGATGCGATAGAAGAAATGTCCGTAGGCGGCGCGCTCATGCCACATTCTCGCCATCTCTGCCTGACACGGCTGGAAGTTCCCAAAGTCCTGCTCACGGATCCTCGGCTCCTCGTAGACGCGGATGCTGCCGGAGTTCGGGTGCTCCTTGAGCGCGGGCGAGGACAGGATCCCCAAAGTCGTCTCCCGTGTCCGCGTGTACGGCGACGTGATCATCTGTAAAGTGTCGGAGGGCCGCAGAAGCCGCGCGAGCTTGTCGCCCGCCGCGAGCGCTTGCTCTTGGCCCACGGCTGTCAGTGGTACTCGGTGGTCTGGCACTGTCTGGTGGATCGTCCGGTTCTCGTTGCCGACGCTCTGCGCGTGCCGGCAGAGGATGATTAGCTGTGCGGGCGGATGGGTTAGCTGGTGCATGGCGGCGCAGGGTGGGCGGGGAACGCACTCTGGGCTTGCCCATGATTGCTGACTGTGTCGTTGCAATGGAATTGGGTGGTGATCCGCGGCGGGTGTGGGGATTGGAGAAGCTCAAGGATGGACGTCGGGGTGGTGGGGCTAGAAGTCTAGGTTTCCGTGCAGCGAAGCGAGTTCTTAAGTTGCTTTGTTTTCGCCGGAGAGAAGGAGAGGTCGGCAGAGGCTTGATGCAGCCCGGTGGCGGAGGTACGGTGGGGGTGACGTGGACAGGGGGTTATATATTGATTGTGGAAAGCTCTTTTCTTTTTTCTCCACAGCGATCACCAGAGCGTTGATTGGGCAGCGGCAGGGCTGAGAGCTGAGAGCTGAGCGCGCGATTGTGTGTGTGTGTAGAGCAAGGCAGGGTGGATGGAGATGTTCAGCAGCAGCAGTTGGATGTTGGTTTTTGCGTGGCAGCGTTTGCCTCGTGACGAATCAAGTTGTCAGCGGCCCTGATTGGCCGGGTCGGGGTGTGGGGCAGCGGGGAAATTCCGTGCCAGAGAGTCAGAGACACCCCACGGCGCCTACAGAATTGAAGTAACCGGTTGGAGCTGGGCCGGGACCTTTGCTGCAGGGCCCATGTAGACAATAGAAATAGAGCTGGTACTCTAGTTACATAAGGACGTCCCGCTCGAAGGGAACCTAGAATATGCTTATTCGGACAAACGGTTCTCTACAAACGAGCATGAAGCTGTAAAACACGGGCCCAAGGCCGACCGCGGGCCACAGTCACAGCTTGGACGAGGTAAAACACTGGTAAGTAGCGAAAGATGCGTCCGTTCGCTTCCCAAAGACCCCAATATCCCAATCATAGGTATCAAGGAAAAAACCAGGTAGATACACCTTATGTATCGCACAACACCCCTCTGCTGCCACTTCGAAGTTGGAACACCTCCTGCATCAACAATTGGGGCGCTGCTCGTCGTGAGAGATCCGTAAACTCCCGTTGACCGAGCTTGGTGCGATGCCGGTACAGACTCTAGGAGTTCGGCATGCGAGTATGAAGCGTCGTCATCCAGGCCCGGATCCCTCCCGCCGCAATTCAATGCGAGACCTTATGGGACAAGGCTCCCAGCTGCTCGCGAAGCCCGCAAAACCCTACTGATGTTGAAGGAAGAGAACCAGCTTACGACTTGCTCCCAAGCAACACCATCCCCCTCCGAACCCCGCCAAGATCATACCTCCAACAGCAGATCCCTTCCGAATCATTCAAACAGTCGTCCGGGCAGTTGTGACCAGGAGTTTGTCGTTGAGGGGCTCGAGAACGCCCGGGGGTGTCTATGCCAATCGTCGAAGTCTGTGTGATGCGCGCCGTACTCGTGGTGGACAAGGCAGGAATCGTTGGTAAAGAAAGGATGTGGTTCCTATTGTTGAAAGACTTCCATGTGAGCTGATGTGGGGCGCGGTGCGAGAATGATGAGTGGCTGCCGTTGTCGTTGTCGTCGTGATGATGGAGGCCAAGATATCTATCACATGCTGTATGTGTCACCCATATGGATTATCAATTAATCAACGATATCACCTAAAATCTACCACATCTCCCAGTTCCGCAAGCAGCCAAGGCCGTTCTGGAATTGTGCTTCTCCAGTTGCTGGCATATGTAACTCGATACGCACGGAAATCGCTCCACCAATTGCAGAGTACAATGTGCATAGTAGTACTCTACAGACCTCAGGTCATCATCATCCGCATCACTGTGCTCCCAAGCCCTCGTGCCTCACTCCTGCCGCCGTTGTGCGTGGGTAGGGTACATACGCGCCGCAGGGACACAGAAAGCCTCCAGTTGGTGCTTGGTGCTTGGTGATCTCATACTCCAGAGTAGATACACACACAGAAAAGCTTGTATCGGTCCCAACAGCCAATCCCCACCGCCAATCAGCGGGGCTACCGTCACTGTGGATGTGGTGGTCGTGCGAGCAGAAGAAGAAGAAGATGAGGAGGAGAGAGAAAAGAATCATCATCATGATCACTACTCCGACCCTCGCGGAACAAACCGCCCTGAAGGTTTGGGTCAGTCCTGGCACGTGCACTCGCCCTGCCGATCCGGACCCTGGCCAGGCCCGAGATAACGCGGGCAGAAAAGTGCAACTCACGCCAAGCACTCGCTTTGTGCGCATGCCGCACGCATATGATACATCTGTGCAGATTCGCCGGGTTTCTGGCACTTGCATATCGCATGGCGAGTGGTGGACCAACATCGCACGAGAGACGCACACTCTGGTTCGATATGTTCTGATCCTATGCGCCGTCTGCTTCTTCCCCTACGGCGTTGGCTCGAATCCGTCCATCTCCGAAAGCCAACTGCAGCTGCTGCCGTCGCGCATCCCTCACCACACCTCCACCATCCCGCTCTGCCTCTGCGCCCAATCACCATGGCCTCCCCGCCGCCGCCCCCACAGCCCACGGACTATGCGGCCTGGGACACCCCGTCGCTTATCGCCCGCATCCACAGCCTCGAGGCCACTCTCTCTGCCGCAAACCCGAACTCGTCTGTTCCTCACCCCACCCCACGCACCCCCGCCTCACCCGACTGACACCACCACGATGACAGCAAACCCGCAACCACCAAGCCGCGCAAAGCCTCACGGGATTTCGATTCCTCGCGCTACTCTACCCGTCTGATCGCGCTGAAGTTCGCGTACATCGGCGCACCGTACGGCGGCTATGAGTACCACGGCAACGACACGGCCCTACCCACCGTCGAGGAAGTGCTCTTCTCTGCGCTGCTGAAGGCGCGGCTCGTGCCCACGCAGCCCGGCCACCCACAGCCCACATCGCCCGAGGCGTGGCCGGGCGACGACGCCGTCGAGTACTCGAAGTGCGGGCGCACCGACCGCGGCGTCTCGGCGTTCGGCCAGGTGGTCGGCGTGCGCGTACGGAGCAACCGGCCGCTGCCTGCGAGCATGGACATCGACGGGCAGGAGGAGGGAGAACCAGCGCCGTTCGACGACATCGCGGACGAGATGCCGTACACCGCGATCCTGAATCGGCTGCTCCCACCGACGATCCGGATACTCGCGTGGGCGCCCAACCCGCCCGCAGGGTTCTCGGCGCGCTTCAACTGCCGCGCGCGACACTACCGCTACTTCTTCACGAACCCGATGCTATCACCGACGAACCCCGGCGGCGCGCTCGACATCGCCGCGATGCAGACGGCTGCACAGTACTTCCTCGGCAGCCGCGACTTCCGCAACTTCTGCAAGCTCGACCCGGCGAAGCAGATCGACAACTTCTCGCGCGACATCCTCGAGGCGTCGATCGAGGAGCTGCCATCGTCGAGCGGCGATGTCACATCCGCGAAAACGTACTACTTCAACCTCAAGGGCACCGCGTTCCTGTGGCACCAGGTGCGGCACATGATGGCGGTTCTGTTCCTGGTGGGCCAAGGGCTCGAGAAGCCCGAGATCGTGCGCGACATGCTGGACATCGCCCGCTTCCCGACGAAGCCCATGTACGAGATGGCCGAGGACCGGCCGCTCGTCCTGTGGGACTGCGTTTTCCCCAACGACGACTTGAGGTGGCTCGTCGCTGATGATGGCGATCTGAGAGGCGCTCTCGCGGATACGACATGGATGGGCTGGCATGAGAAGAAGATTGATGAGGTCCTCGCTGGGCAGCTCGTTGGCCTCGTGCGCAGGCAGCGGGAGGAGAGTGAGATGTCGCCTGTGCTCCAGAGGAAGAAGAGGAAGGCCGCGAAGCCGGGACATGTACTTGTCTTGGGCAGTGGAGAGGCTGTCCTCAGGGGGAAGTATGTGCCCATGAAGGATAGGAAGAAGATGAGGCCTGTGGCGGAGATAAATAAGAGCTTTATTGAGAGGAAGGGCGATTGGAGGGAGAGGAGGGAGCTGAAGAGGAAGAAAGACGAGGAGGAGGAGGAGGAGGCGAGTGAGTAAAAGTGCTTTCTGGCGTTTCGGGCCAGGAGGGAATTAGAGCAGTGCACATAGAGGTTCACTCGATGTAGATGCTGAATATGGGTTGCACACATTCACAGCAGGTCGGGTTTGAGGTCGCCATTCGGTAGGCTAGACAGGCGGTATACGGCAATAGATTGATATTCTCTCTCACACACTCATACCTATATTGACCACCCTCTTGCATACGAAATCAAACGAGCTTCATCATTCTTCCTTTCAATACATACATTTAACTCAAGCGCCGCCGAGTTACTCTACTCTACTAGGTAGTTGGAGCATATGTAAGCGAAATCCACCACCACCCCCAGCATCCTTTTCTGGTTCCGGCTCGGAACTCGCCCCGCCTTATACCTACCGTACTTACTCTATATTCGCGACGTGGACCCACTCAACTTTATCGTAACTCCGCAAAACACGAAACATGGAATAAACATCCTGCATCGTATCCTGTGCAGTGCAGTGCAGTGGGGACAAGAAAATGCCTCTTTTTTACCTGTGGGGTACCGAAGTACCCAGCCCAGCCCGGTGGGTATGCACCGAAGGCTGAAGGCTGGAGCATGTGTCCGGATACCTATGCTCTCCTAGGTATTCCCTGCGCATGTAGCAATGTAGCGATGCAGCGATGGCGATGGCAGCCTCACCCCCCCCCCCCCCCCCCCCCCGCCCCCCCGCCTTCAAGCTTCCAGGCAGCACTCGCAGCCTCTCAGGCCAGCCAACCAGTCAGCCAGCCTCCAGGCAACCGCATCGCATCTCAGGAGAACAAAAAAAAGGTGTTCACCGGCCACGGCCCCCGACTCGCACGCCGTATATACTCGCCGTAACTACTCGCCGTACTCGCCGCCACACGTTTCACCGGGCGGGGCACACACACTAATCAGCGGGTAGACATGCACGGTATGTAGATGTAGAGAACATGAAACGCTGCGCACCCCTCAGGGAGGCATGCTCACACTGCGCAGCTGTCGTATGTGTGTGTGTACCGGTATGCATAGAGTATGCAGAGCAGAGCAGAGCAGATGCGTGCCTGGATCTTACCACACCGGGATAGAGTAGCCACCGGGATAGCCACCGGGACAGCCACCGGGATAGCCACCAGTGAGGGTAGGGGTGGAGTGATTACGTGTGAACCTACGGTGACTGTCGGAGCTGGCCGGACGGTACTCTATGTAGGTACTTTGGTACTCTATGGTGCTGAATCGAGATGAAAGCGAAACATCAAGCCTACGGGAGAGCGCCATACTACTCTAGAGACGGACAGACAGACGGACAGACAGACGGGATATTCCCAGCGCAGTGATCCTGGACTCCTGGACTGCTGGTGCGAGATAGGCTTTTTGCCTGCCTGCCTGCCAAACCTTGGGGGGAGCATTGAAATTTGGCGAGGGTTGGCGGGAGTGGATGGGGTTATACGGGTTCTCATTGGCTCTCCGGTGACGGGGGGAAGGGGGGGAGTGTGAAATGCATGTCAGATCAGCTCGGGTAGGTAACCGCCGTATATGGGCGGCCCCAACGATGGGCCGGCCATGGGTCATCGCAAAGTTTCTGGATGGGCGCTGAGGAGGCAACGATTGGATGGCAGCGAGTGCAGAGGGGAACGGTTGGACTGTATATAAGGGACCTTTGAAATTCCTCAGGGTGATATAATCTTATAATTTTCCACTGTTGACTGTAGACTGCCCCCCTTTGTAGCGTAGCCACTGTCGTTCTTTCCATTGGCTGCTTGCTAGACCGCTATACTTCCTTCTTTGTTCTTTTATATCTACCTTAGGTCCTTGACGGATTGTTCTTCTCTACCAACTAACTACTCGGATACCTCTTCCTTCACATTCATTCATTCCTTCATTCGCTCGTTCATTCACTCACTCACTCAACAAAGTCACTCCTTCGAAGAACAAATCCATCATCATGCACGCCTCCACCCTCCTCCTCGCCATCCTGCCCTCGCTGGCGACCGCCCACATGGCTATGTGGCACCCGTCAGTCCTCGACTTCAACGGCGACGGGTACACTGCGGTGACCCCTCTGTCAGGAAAGTCGTTCTCGCAATGGTGGTTTCACGGGATGGCCAGCGCCTCCATGCCCAGCGAGGTTTTTTCCCTCCCGGTCGGCAAGTCCGTTACCGTCGAGGCCTCGTGCAACAAGGACTTCACCTCGTGGGGCTCGCAGGGCGACGGCCAGAACGCCTGTCCCGACGACACCCCCTCGCTCCATGCCGGCACGCCGGTCGAGGCCGGACAGCTCCTGGGATGCGGCCTCGCTATCGCCTACAAGTCCAAGTTCACGGACGTCAAACCTGAGGACTTCGCGGTCTTCTCGGTAAACCATCAGTGCGTCAAGCAGCTAAAGACTACTTTCGACGTCCCGAAGGTCATGCCCAAGTGTCCCGATGGAGGGTGCATCTGCGCTTGGTTCTGGCAGGGACAGTCGAGTGCCGATGAGATGGTTCGTTCCCTTCCCCCAACCCCCCACTCCCACCCCGCTCCCAAGCTAACGGCAAGACCAACAGTACATGACCGGCTTCCGCTGCAACATTTCCGGCGGCTCGAGCACTGCGTCCATCTCCTCTCCGAAGGCGCCCAAGTACTGCCCGAGCGGCGGCTGCGTCTCCGGTCCCAAGCAGCCCATGTACTGGGCCAACGACAACTCGAACATCGCCTATTCCGGCGACTACTACCAGAAGCCGTCGTACAACGCCAAGTGGGGCTTCGCCAACGGCGCGCAGAACGACATCGTCAGCGTTGGAAAGGGCAGTCCAACGGCTTCCACAACCCTCGCCACCGTCACCCGCAAGCCGAGCGTTACCAACACTAGCAAGTTTGCGATCCCCACGAAGGTCGTCGATAATTGCACCTGGAAGGACCACTGTGCCGGTGCTACTTGCGTATGTTGATCCGAACTCCCCCGAGATGGGTACTGGTTCCCGTACTAACAGTCAGCAGAAAACCTACAACGACTGCAGCGACGACCTCGACTGCAAGAGTGGCGTCTGTGCCAAGTGATTGTCTCCGAACCCGAGCTGAGCTTGAGGTGGAGCGCCGATTGTCGACATGTGGAGGGTGTACTTTTATTGCGATTTGGTTGGCGGGCGTATGGGATGGACATACTTTGTTTTCACAAAATAGACGGGCTGGATTGTAATTTTAAAGTGCCGAGGTGAAATCTTGATCTTCTGAGGTTGATATCAGTCAGTCGTGAGGTGGATATATCCAACCAAAGCACAAGTATCTTGAACCATAGCACTGTCACTCTCACCAGAATCGTTTGGACACTGTCATCCGGAAGAGATTCAAACGCGATGGTTGTTTGTCTTCTACCCATAAATCAGGTAGCATGGGCAGAATAAAGCCATAGAAGGTTCCAACTTCAGTCCAGTCAATGCTAACTTTCCGGTGACAATTTTAACCATAACGCGGCAAAAGACCCTATCGAATGATCAGCCATGTCCACAGTTCTCCGTAAATCTGCATTACCTATCGTTCTCTCCTCCAAAGTCATTGTAGATCTTGAGGACTGCCGAAACTCATCATTTCTTCGTAGATATGTGGCGGTTATAGTTGCCATGAAGCCGCGGATTATTTCGGTGCTTGATCCATCAACCTAAATTTAGGGTTACCCCGCGTTCCTGACGCGGTCGCGCTGTCACGTGACAATCCGCACCCAAATATACACTACTCTTGCCAAAGCAAGCATTTATCGTTTTCTGTCCTCTTCAAAGTTTATCTCCATCCATATGAGGCCTTCAAATCCTTATCTTGTACATTGTGCAATGATTGTGCGTGAGTGATTTGGCTTGGCGAGGTGTCATGGGCCTGCTCGTAGTGTCTCTGGTCGCACTCTACTCTCCCCGAAACCCACAAAATCCCCACCCTTCTCCGCTTGCTCATCTTGCTCCTCGGCACGCCTCGCCTTCTAATTCCACACCCTTTTCCGACCCTTCCCCTCCTCTGACTCCGTTCCACTTCTCACGCATCTCTACTGCCCGCTCCTTCCGCACCACAGCCCGGGAGGTCTCCTCGGCAGTATTTCTCCCGTCCTTTCGGCCTCACCGCACGCACTCCTCTGTGCCTGGCCATCCTCACAACTCCGATCGACGGCCACCTGCGCGGCCATCCATCGACCGTCCTTTCTCCCTACATTCTCCCTCGCCCAGATACACAGCAATGGCGTCACCCTCACCCACGCCCCCCTCGCTGTCGCCGACGCCGCACCCGACCCATCTGCACCCTCCTCCGCAGCCCCAGAGCAAGCGGGATAAGCGTCGCAATGCCCTCTCCGACAAGTTGAACTTGCTCACCAAGAGTTTCCATAATCCCACGAATCCGAGAGTCCGCGAGCAGCATTACCGGGCCCAGATCGCTTCGCTTCAGGTCGACATGCAGCTGATCCAGCGAGCTGACATTTCGGGACGTGACATGCGCCTGATGGACGACTCCTGTGAAGCCATCCAGAGGGAGGTCGATGAAGTCCTTGCCACCATGGGTGTGCGGGGCTCGGATGTGAATTCTGAAGGAATCCAGGGCCGTTGGTATTCCGACTTCTTGCGTGATGTGAACGACAGCATGGAGGAGAGGGACACCCAGTTGTCTTTGCTATTCGTGTGTAACCCCCCTCCCCTTCGCTGTTACCGCCGCCGCCATCTTATTTTTCTCTGCTTCACCCTGCTGATGCAACCGTCCAATAAATCAGAACTCGCATCGTACGAAAGCCGCATCGCTCGCCGCGCAACATACTCGGTCGCTTATCCATGCACGCGAAGAACACCGATCTCTCGCTGCGACCATCACCCAGCGTCTCTCGCAACGACTTAAGGCACAGCTGAAGAAACTTGCCGCCGAAAAAGAATCGTCGTCGGCATCGGCCAATGCGCTTTCTTCCCTTTCGATCGGTGCCAGTCTCACGGACATCGCCGAGGCCACTGCGCTCCATCTGCATCCTTCGCACTATAGTTTGGGCGGTGGAATCGGTTCGCCCAGACGGCATGGCGTTATTCCGTATGACGACGAAACCGAGAAGGAAATTTCGACGAGGCGCAAGCCGCGTCGCCGCGTGGGCGAGGTCGAAGAGCTCATGGCGTTCGGCGCTGGAATGAACTTCGACTCCCCCAATACCAATGGCAAGCGAAAGCGTCGAGGTGCAGCTGCCGAGATGGTGTCCGAGGACATGCCGACGCCGCCACCATTCTCAAATCCGTTCGAGCCGCCTTCGCCGTCCGCGGCCAATCCTGTGCCTGAGTCAGCTGAATCGGGAGAAGAAACAAAGAGGAAGCAAGAGGAAATAATGAAGCAGATGTACAAGCCCATCTACACCATGGAGAAACTCTTCACCGACAAGGAGTTGCAGCTTCACTCCAACCAAGCGACGTTGGCCACCTTGAGGTACTTCTCCGAGAGAGCTGGTAGGGAAGAGAATGGCGAGAATGGCGTGGGTGATGACACCGACGACACTCCTACCGGCGCCAACACACCTGTTCCCGGAGCTTCTGTGGCTGCTGGGGACGACGACGATGACCAGGAGGAGCAGCGAGGTCGTGCATTGACTCCGCTTTCCGAGCTCACACGAGGCCTTCCGGCGTTGCCCGGCTTCGGCGGTGTCAACACCAGAAGCAATCCTCCAAGGAATTTCGCCAGCTCTCGCGAGATGGAAAATCTCGTCTTGGGCGGTGTACCTGGAGTTGGCATGAGCTATGTGACCAAGACCGGCCTCGCGCCACCTCCGCCCGGCCTGCGCAACGACGATGCCGAAGCAGATCTTGCATTCCTCCGGAAAGGCGCCGAGAAGCGGAGCAGTGCCGGGGCCGAGGGATCGAAACGCCAAAAGAGGGGATGATACTTAGATGCATTTTTTTCCTTCCCTTCCTTCCGAGCCGATAATGATAGATTTCCCCTTTGCGTCCGTACAAATCATGGTTGTGATTTTTGTTTTGTAAGATCCCCGGGACTCCTTTGCTTTCCTTTTCTTTGCTTGCTTTCCTTTTTTTCCGTTCATTGTTGCGGCAGCATCTTTTCCTCACTTCGTGTTTTGTCATGTCTCGCGCGGTTCGGTTCGGCTTTGATTCCATTAGGAGGGGCATTTGTATTTTCGGGGTTTGTATCTGGCGAATGAAATCGGGGTCCTTCTGGTATTGTTATTTGTTTCTGTTTCCGCTTCGGTTTCCGTTTCCGTTTTCCGTTTCCTTTGATTTGATTGAAAATGGTCTGTCCTGGTGCATACGTGCGTTAGGTTCATTCATTGCTTTGCTTTTATTGCTTTGCTTTTATTGCTTTTATTGCTTTTATTGCTTTGCTTTGCTTTGCTTTGCTTTGCTTTGCTTTGCTTTGCTTTGCTTTGCTTTGCTTGATTTGCTTTGCTTGATTTGCTTTCGGTGCTGGGGTGTTATTTTTTACTGTGCGCCCCGAATAGGTATCATACTCGGGCTGGGATTTCGGGCTTGTATTTAGTTAATTGCGAGGGTTTCTGATGATGTTGACTGTTGTTGTTGACAGTTGTTGGGGGAGGAGGAGGAGGGGGGAGCTGTGAGGTGTGATAGTGAAGTGTGATGGTGGTGAGGTGTGATGGTGAGGGTGAGGGTGAGGGTGATGGTGAAGTTGTGGTACGGGGGAGCGCAAAAGGTTGTGGCCGAGGAAAGCTGTTGACTGGTGGGATGAGCGTGAGCGTGGACGTGAGGGTGAATGGGGTTGAAGTTGTGAGGAGATAAGGCTGAGGGTAGATGGGCGCTGAAGTCTGAAGCCTGAAGCTATGAGGAGGGATAAGGCTGGTGGGTAAGGCTGAGCGATAAGGCTGAGGTTTGCTGTGTTATTGTAAATTCGATTCAAGAAATGTAAACAGGAAAGCGGCAACAACCACAGGTCGCATGATTACTACCGTATGATAGTAGCTCGATCGAATTGTGTTTCGTTAAAGGGGAACTATGACTCGCGGTGATTTTGAGGCCGGTTGGTGAGTGGGGAGAGTTGAGCGGGGAGAGTTGAGCGGAGGGTTGGGTGGAGAGCAATAGGGAGCCGGACTGATACCGAGCCCGCGACCAGCGGTCGGTGATAACTAGCTAGGTGGAAGCGGAAATGTCATATGCCATGATCCGTTAAGGTCGAATGAGATGATGATTAAACAAACGAAAACGATGGTAAGGCTAGTCACTGATTCTCACTCTCGAGTTGGGTTGTCGGTCGCCGAGACGAGAGTTCGGTTAGGTGGTTCGTGTGGATGAGGCGAGCCGAGCATCGGGAGGGGTTCGCCGTTCGGGATCTTTGGATGTTCACGTGGTTAGTTAGGGTACGAAACTCTTCCGGTGAGACCCCGGTCCGGCACTACTCTACACTGGCGAGCCTCGGCTACGAGGTGTTACAGGTTCGGACACGGCGGGGGAAACGAACCCCAGTAGCGAGATTCAGAGACGGGAACATCGTCACACACCCTCTGTGCCTTCCTCCGTACACGCATTCGCTGTGGTGATCTTAGGCCTAGGAACCCGCGGTATTGCCCCCCTTGGTTTCTTCACCGGCCGCTTCGGAGAGTTGATTGATTGATTGATTGATAATTCGTGCAACATATAACCCTAAGGTTATGGCCTGTATATAGAGGTAGGTATATTGATTTTGACAAAGATCTCCCCCCCCCCCCCCCCCAGAAACAGAAACGACAGTCGAAATCCCTCTATCCTCGTAATATTTGAAAGTGGGCCTCCAATGAAGCTCGAGTTATCCGTTGTACGCTGTAGAGTGGCGGTGCGTCATACCTAGCCCTCCTCATCTCCAAAATCTCCCCACTCGGTAGTAACCAGTCTAGTGCACACGGCATGGTGCTCGAAAGGAGTCGTCGTCTTGGGGTTTGCATATGTAGCTGTCAAGGCCGGTCCCGATGAATGGCAGCGGAACGGAATTGGATCGAAGGCGGGTTGGTAAAATGTCAAGGGGCAGGTTCGTGATGCTTGATGGCGCGGTAATCCTTATATACAAGACAAGTAACCGTATCGGGTGATATGGTCGAGTAGATGAGAGCTAGGTCATGGTGATATGGCGAGTCATGCTGGCATCCATTCATCTAAGGTACTTTGAAGAATTGGGACTTCATCTTGGTCACTTGTCTCTGTTTGGTGCACACTGTTGAGAACATGAGTGTCATATTATTCAGTTACTTGATTCATTCGCAGAACACAGCGGGTGACCAGCTAGACATACCAGACAGTAGCAAAAGCAGAAGAAAGTATGGGAATAAACAGGATTCTCGAGGCGCTCTGGAGGCGCATGACTAATATGACAGATGTGCAAAATCTTGGACGAGTGCCGACGGTGGCTTTCTGACGAGAATCGCAACACACAGTGCACAAGGACGATTTCGATTTGTCAGCCCCAACTCTATGGTTGAGGTACACAATAGTTACAAGACTCATTCCCGAAACTCCTCAAATCTATAGGTATGTACAACGAAAGGCACTCTCCATCAATGCTTCAATTCCAAATCATCTAAAACACCGTACTCCAAGAAATCATTATTCTAACCACACCAATTTTTACACTATTTCGCACTCGTGCCCGCTTTCAGAATCTCCTTCTGCTGCTTGATCCTCTCTTCCTTGCTCAGATTCGCCCAGCCGGAGATGTACACCAGCACCGCGTCCTGTTCAAACAACTGATTCTGTAGGGTAGCGACATCAAGATCGTGGACAGCGGGTTCGCCGCCCTCCTCGAGCAGCAGTGCAACGGCCGTGCCAGCCGCCTGGCCCAGCGCCATCCAGCACGGCTCCATGCGTATCGTTGAGAATCCGATGTGACTGCCGCTGACGGGGACGGGGGCGAGGACGTTTTTGATGCCTGCGGCTTTGACGGGGACGATGACGCGGTAGGGGACGGTGTAGGGCTGGGTGGGGTAGCTCACGAATCCGTCGAGGTGGGCACGGCCTTCTTCGCGCTTCCGGACACCGTGCGAGTCGAGCGCGTAATGGCTGCTGGTGATCGAGTCGCTGTGTACAGGTGGGCGCTCGCCGTCCGCCGCGGGCGTGGCGTCGTTGGATGTGAAGATGAATTCACCGTGCATGCGGCGTCCCTCGCGGACGTACACTTGCCTTGGGAAGTAGTTGTTGTCCGTGTACTCGTCCTTTGCCAGGCCCCAAGCGGCAGTCTTGTTGCGGAACCACTCCGGGACCTCCGGGTCGTTTTGTGCAAAGTAGAATAGGCCAAGGATGTAAGACCTCAATCGCTCGGCGAAGCGGTCGCGCCAGGCCCAAGAGGCGGTGGGGTAGCCCTGGTTTTCCTCGGGCAGGTCGGTGGAGATGAAGCCAAGATGCTGGTTGTTGCCGTCCCATTTTTGGTTGGGGATCTGAGACATGCTAGAGAGACGGTCGATGCCGACTGGCGAGCCGGGGAAGTTGGGCTGCACGTCTGGATCCCCTACGGTGCCGGGACAGAGACCTTCGGCTTGGTAGCCGGTGTGGCAGCCGGTAATGATGTCGTCAATCAGGGAGACGTATTCGGTGCGGTTGTACTTGTTTGGCTTCGGGATCTTGTAGACGATTTCTGGGTCGTTCGTCAGGGAGAGGCGGTAGTTGTAGGCCTGGATTCGGTCGTCGCCTTCGTGCGTGGTGCCTTCAGCCTCGTCGCCCTTCCAGTACTTGTAGACCACGCCGGCTCCGATCTCGCCAAATTTGGAGGCACTTTCGCGGCCGCTGAAGAAGGGGATTCGCGCGGCGTCGATGAGGTCACCTTCGTAGGTGGCGTCGATGAAGTACTACCCACTCGTCAGTACCAGATCCTCCCACCGTTTTTATGGAAGAGAGATGTCTACCTTTCCCTCGTACCACTCGGCCGCTCCGGTATCGCGGTTGGTGACCTTGATCTTCTTGACGCACCCGTCCTCCACCTCGGCATTCTCCACCTGCGCATCGAACTGCCGGCGAACCTTGACCTCGACACCCTTATCTGCGACCTCCGCCAGGAACTCTTTCATAACCTTCTCGGCAACCTTCGGCTCGAAATGGTAACCATTCTGGGAATCCTTGACTTGCTGCGAGCTCTCTCCGTACGTGTCGACATACTGCTGCTTCACACGGCCGACAAACTCGAGGAACAATCCACCGGTCGCCGATCTTGTCGCGATATCAGTCGCGCCGAGCCCATTCGCCGGTAGTCCGCCGATGTACGACGTGCGCTCGAGAATCAAAATATTCGCGGTTGCATTCGAAACACGGGCTGCGGCAACGGCCGCCATGATCCCGCCCGGTGTGGCGCCGAGGATCACAAGATCGTACGCTCCGCTCGAAGCCGCCGCAGCAACTAGCCGAGCGGGGAAGAGAAAGAGAAAGGTCAACAGGACTGCTAGGGTTAGTAAAGCCATTGTCAATCCCCCGAGGAGGATGTGCCGCCGTTTGATCCTTGTGAATGATGTAACTCACAGATCATTGTCGAGATCAACTGCGAGTTCATCGTCGTCGGCGTCGCCATGTGTCTTTGTGCTATTTTTAGGCGCTTATGCTGAGAATCTTCAGCCGTTCGTGGGGTTCGTAGGGCTGGTCCACTTGCAGCAGCTGAAGGGGTCTCTTTATAGGTGACATGCAAGAACCGACGACGCAAGAGCAGACAACACAGCACTGAGAACGCAAGTGACCGACCGGAGTGATCGACGACCCTGACCATTCCACCGAGAAGCCCGGTCGCACACACCCGACTCGGTTAGGACAACCCGAGGGTGGCAGAGCATGGACCAAGGATGCCATCTTATCGTTCGTTAAGCTCTGCGGCTGAGCGACAGATGTCAGGCACAATCAACCCCCACCGACTACGCCAAGGATGATGAAGATGGTGGTGGTGATGGTGATTTGTTGATCTTCTGAAACCTGGCAATCAATGCCGCGATACGGTACGGCAGGCTGCAAGTGCTTCGGATTCCTTCTCCTCCTGTTCACTGGGGAATTCGCAGCATACGCCTACGTGAATCTCCGAGTTCCATCAACTATTGACAACATCGTCTGAAGTTTGCCTGTCTCGAGTCTCCACAAACCGCCAAGACACCCGTTGGTCGGAAGCTAGCAACCATTATCGCCGGTACCTAAGGCTTACAGTACTAAAATAGGGTTGTACCTTCTTCTTGCATCCCTACTTTGCGAGTCGGCAGCACTTCACGAGTGCCGCTGGGCTTCACCGGTGCCAATCAATAATCAATATCTTCCGCTTGTCCTTTCGAGTCCGGTGAGTCCTACTCTCATGTCGGATTCCACCTGCGCCACCGCACGCGACGAGGTGCCGTGGACTCGTGCCGCCCGCACTGCAGATTTACCTCCCATCTCAACTCGATGAACTCACGCCTTCCAGTTCCAGCTTCCAGATGGCCGATCGCACCTCAGGGTATCATGCTATGTACAGTCAGCAAAATGTCGTCTTCTATATACATACCCCGCCTACGATAGCCCAACTTTCTGGAAGCGCCCTCGACTGAGCCACCATCACTAGTTGCGGATATTAATCTAAGCGCGGTGTAAGCCCACCGTTCGCGGTACGTTCCGTCCATCCGTCCCGGATATTCAACCGCTACCGCTGGCTCCATCCTACCCGTGATACAAAAGTTTCGGCCTCCGGTACGGAAGGGAGGATCGAGGATTAGCGGCCGTCCCGGTGAAGCTAAGTCGATCGGAACCACTGCCATACCTACTGTTAGTAGGTACTGCACATAAACCCTCAAGTACCTACGTCTTCACCGGACGATGGATACGTACCACTTGAGGTGATATGTATAAATTTACTTCGTACACTTCATACCGCTTCCAGCTTTTCTCCAAGAATCACGCAATCTCGTCGCTCGGATATCAAACACTTTTTGTGAGAAGTCTACCGGAAATTATTGCTTCTATGCAATACAAGCCACTAAAGGCAAACTCCTCCGATGGTCTGGCAGCCGAATGTTACTCTGCCTGCTCGAAATCATGTGGAGCATCCAATTACAGAAAGCTGGAAGCGGAAGACTGGAGTTGGGTGAGGATAAACTCTCGGAGATTGACCAGCAAGGCGCATTCTTCCAGATCCACCAGTTCTTGGAACCAGAGGACTCTCCCAAGCCCTGGAGTATCCTTAGAATCACTTCGGACCGTACAACCAGCGGTTTGATTGCGAAGGTGCCGTTGACTACTATGTGTTGTATAACTCAGAAGGCTAGGCAGTCTTGGACGGATATCATGTGAGACAGATGTCTCTCCTCTCATTTGTGCCGTCACATCGTTCTTAATCCAATTGCAAACGTGGCACCCTTCAGAGCCCAGTTGAAGGAAGTCGCAGATTGGTGCTGCCAGGAGATATATTGAGCTCATCCATGTTGGGCAGTACAGCCCGAGTGCGGTGAGTTCTGTTATCAATAACTATCGGCGATGCATCTGAAACTGATGTCTCATTTTAGGACTGCGACCTCCGAGCCGCTGCATAGACAAAGGGTGAAAGCGAAGGCGCTGCCTCCAACCTTGGCGAGCTTGAAAAGCACCCCTCGAGCTCCGTGATTGGAGGACAGGAGGATTTTCTACGGCGATAGAGGAGCAATAGGCATGTCTATCCGCATCTTGCGTATAGCCCGCGATTTCGTTGTCACCCAAGCCATCAGCACTCATCTGAAAGGATGCTCTCCGTGACCGGAGATGTCTATCTGACAGAAGAAGATGTATTGGCTGATAATTTTGTCTTATTTTTCCAGTCTCTCCGGACCGGAGGTCCTCTATGTACAGAATCTAGAGTCCCTCCCATATGTAGCATACAGACGACCATATGTAGCATACAGACGACGGTGCGCGCTCACACATTGCTTGTCCACATTTCTGCCGTCTGCCAACATTGCTGTGGACTATCAGAATTTCTGCGACCGTCTGGGAGACATTCCGGACGCCCAACTCTTCCAGCATTAGTGCGGCCGTCATCGACCGCTTCCGGACGTCCAACCTCTAACTCTCAACCTCCCTCCGTCTCTATTCCATCCGCCGTGGGTCTCAATCACCTCTCGGAGCATCCCACAATCCCCGACGGCCATCTACACCCCCCCAGCGCCCTCCGAGGCTCCGCCGCCTCTCGCCCTTAGAGTACTATTCCGAACCATGCAAAAAAGACTCACATCGAAGACTGCAGTCCGATATGTACATTCGGACATAGCTTAGCTTAAATGTGCCGAAGATTGTGCTGAGGATAGCGAACAGATGGCCCAAGTATCATCGCCAGGTGGATTGGGGTTCAGACTACCGGTAGTAGCGGAAGGTGCCTTCGTCCTAGAAGTGCTTTTTCCGCCGAATCCAATCCGCAACCAAAACAGGAAATGCGGAAGAATACATGTGCTTTTGCTCGCTTCCCTCGGGAGTAGCCGCAATCTTACCACATGGCACGGGGGCGTGTTGCCATGTGGGTACTGGCGGCTAGCTCTCCGGAAGACGGACCGGTCACCGGTATATCTATGCACCCTGGGCCGTCAGATACGTATGTGGCTCATCTCTAGGTGTTAGGTGTTGAGTGTAGGCTAACCAGCCAATATGGCATTAGCAAAACCAGCCCCTCGGGTAGGGCTGAATCCTCAGTTAGGACAATCCTGCACATGATGGGCCAGGGCCCACCATGTGCCAGTGGTCCAGGCTTTGTGTTGAGGGGGGGGACAAAAGAACTCTCCTAGCAGGGGGGGACACCAAAACTCGTGCCCACCACACCTTGATTTACGCGCGGTATGGTAGGCCTCGTTGTCGGTGTGGCGCAGGCTAAAACCCCCCTTTCCCCCTGCAGGCTGCCAGGCGAGTTCCTTTGCCCTCCCTCAGTACAAAACATGGGTGCTGTGCAGTGCCGCTGTCACCTGTGGGACATCCGGGCGGCTCGATAAAAATCATCACAGGATTTTATGTGTATTTCCTTAGGAATAACGAAGAACCACCAACTCATGATTCTTGCCCGGCTTTAGCCAGTTGCTGGGTATGCTCATTTGTGGTCTTCGGGAAGAATTCGCTGCTGACCTGGAACTTTAGCCTGATTTTGATGATATATCCATGGCGGTGAGTGTTTGGCTCCCTGACGATGGCCGGTGATGCGGGATAGCCGTTCGCGATGTCAGGAGTTCCGATGTTGGTAGTCGTCGGGACAGCTGCAGCGGCGGCGGCCATGTTCTTGCGTGAATCAAGCTCGATTGCGGCAGAACTCCGAGCTCTCAGTCTCCAGTATCGTTGCTCATATGCCATCGGACGTCACTTGGCACGAATATGCCGCTCTGTAGGATGGCTGAACGATTGTTTAGCCAGATGTGCATATGTCGATCAACAATATAGCGACAGCCATTCTTCACATGACGCCTACTCTCCCCACATGTCCAGTTCGATGTCTAGACTCTAGGCGCGTGGTGACTTTTGCCGCACCACACGCTCGGACCTAGTCATCCGGGCCTTTGTGCACGCGATCACCCAATCTCCTTGGATAACTAGCATTTGATCATTCCCAGTTTGACGATGCAGGTGACTGTCAGAGTTGGACGTCCGGAATGTATATGACGACGGGTCACGGCAGCAATGCTGACAGAACGGCAAGAATGCTGACTGGCGATATGATATATCAGCGAGCATCGTCTTCGGCCCGCCGAGTATTCGGGAATCGGCATATCAACGGTATGCTAGGTATATGGGAGCGAGCGAATCTGTATATAGGGAGGACCTCCGGTCCGGAGAGACTGTGGAATAATGAATCAGTGAACATTATCAGCAAATACATACCTGCATCCTCTTCTATTTGACAGTGACGATTGCAGTATTGTTTTTGCATAAAGTATGAAAAATAGTGGGCGTCGACGTTGGCGGGCATGGCGGAGTTGACTACTGAGCGAGGAGGGGATTTTAAAATTGAGCCTAGCACCTGTGGGGTTTCTCATTCTTCCTCTTCTTGTTCTTGCTCGATCATTGTCTACCTCCTCTTTCTCCTTAGGTGTTCTCCTTCTCTCGACCCGCATCCCGGCCTAGAGAGGCATTAGTGAAAGAGCCCTCGCAAAACCACACCGGGCCGCGCACTGAAAATCGGGTTTGACAGCGGCGTGGAAACGGAGTATGTGAGTGTTTATACTACCATGATCTACTAATTCCTCAGTGAGAAGCAGTTTTCCAGTTGGCCACCAGGCCGTACATACGTGCCTCGCAGCTGAGTATTTCTGACATAGCATATCAGGCGATACCGCAGTGTGAGATAGAAGAATCACTCCAACGCTCCGATCTAGCGAACGGTATCCCGTCGTTGTTCCTGTTCATCGTGGGGCACCTGCCACTTTATAAGCATCGAATGCGTGTTTCCAACACGGAAAAAACCCCGTGTAGTCTAGTGGTCTAGGCTATGCAATCGGCGAAGGGAGTTGCGGGAAAGCTCCCGGTTTAACCCAAGTAGAAAACCTACGGATTCAGCTCTTGGAGTTTCCAAGCCACCCGCCGGGGTGGGGATGGTTTTTGTTTTTGGCATCACGGATGGAGCACGTGATATCACTCGTCAGTACCACGTGACACGCCTTAATTACGCTTCCAACTATGGAGGTGAGAATCCAATTTACCAAAAGCCTACTGAGCCGGCTTCGCCCAAAACATTGCAATTTGTATGCTATGAGGAAAAAGGGCTGATTCACAGGCAGAAGCCTGGATTACCAGTGTAAATGAGCCGCACTTTGTGCTCATAGCCAGTTTACGTGCAGACTCGCATTTACTTAAATCCCGCTTGCCGCATGCCTTGTACCCTAGGGGGAAACGACAGTGTCGTCAACTCAATCATAGTTCCAAGCTCGGTCAGTTTCTGACCAACTTTGGGATGTCTCAATACTGATTCAACCTCTGATTTTCTTCTATGCATACCATCTTAATAGCATTCTGTACTAATTTACATACCATTCCATACCTCAAGCACATCACATATGTGCTCACTGCAATTTTGGTTACATACGATGGCTGGTACGAGAGTGACACCAGGTGAGGCAACTTGCTATGTCACGTGCCAGTCATCGGACACTTGTGTTGGCTGCATTAATGCATGGACCTGAAGCACACGCCTTTAACCATTTCCCAAATCATTAAAGAATTGAATCTAAAAATTTCTCAAGCTTATCAGAATCAAATAAATCGGGCTCGGGTTGCTCAGCAACCCCGCTGTGCCAAGCGCCAATTGGAACCACTGGATGGTCATCGTCGGTCACGTGATAGTGGAGACATGGTGCACCTCTCTCCTCCGCTTCGCGGGCAATCAACGACGTCAGGAATCCCGCACCATCCGACGCCACCACCCACATCCTTCAAAGGCTTCACGCCTGCCTCTCATCGTTTCCCAATCTCCACTCGAGTTCCTTTCCGCATCGCGAACACGCATCGCAATGGCCTCCTCATTCATACGGATTGCCGCCCGACCGTCGGCCGCTAGATTCCTTCCCCGGTTTGCGTCGACCGCACGATGCCTCGCGACAACGCCACCACGGAGGGCGGAAGCTGAGTACCAGCGAACAACCTTAACGGAGTCGATCCCGAACCCCTCGATGGGGTTCCGGGAAGTCAAGTCTGACCCCGAGACGTCGCCGGAGAACCGGAAGATCAGACACTACACCGTCAATTTCGTATGTCCTCATCAGATGGAGAAAACTGGCGCTGCGGTGCGGTGTAGCGGGGCTGATGGATGAGATAGGGTCCTCAACATCCCGCTGCTCACGGTGTGTTGCGGTTGATTCTGGAACTCAACGGAGAGGAGATCTTGCGGAGCGACCCTCACGTCGGACTGCTGCACCGAGGAACGGAGAAGTTGATTGAGTACAAGACATACCTTCAAGTATGCAATGAAACAGCTTCCTTGTTCGGTGACGGTTGCATTAACGGTCGGTACGATAGGCTCTTCCATACTTTGACCGTCTCGATTACGTCTCCATGATGACCAACGAACAATGTTACTCTCTTGCCGTCGAGAAGCTGCTCAACGTCGAGATCCCCGACAGAGCCAAGTGGATCCGTACCCTATTCGGAGAGATCACCCGTATCCTTAACCACCTCATGTCCATCCTGTCCCACGCCATGGACGTTGGTGCATTGACCCCCTTCCTGTGGGGTTTCGAAGAGCGTGAGAAGCTGATGGTAAAAAAATCCTCTGGATCACGCTGCCGCTGTCGTGCGCGCTGACGCATTCCAGGAATTCTACGAGCGTGTGTCTGGTGCCCGTCTGCACGCCGCGTACGTGCGTCCCGGCGGTGTCCACCAGGATCTCCCCATCGGTCTCCTCGACGATATCTTCCAGTGGGCCACTCAGTTCGGTGACCGCATCGATGAGGTGGAGGAGATGCTTACCGACAACCGCATCTGGAAGGCGCGTACCATCGGAATCGGTGTTGTCAGCGCTGCCGAAGCTCTCAACTACGGTTTCTCGGGTGTCATGCTCCGTGGTTCCGGTGTCCCCTGGGATATCCGCAAGTCACAGCCTTACGATGCCTACGGCCAGGTAGAGTTTGATGTTCCCGTCGGCCAGAACGGTGACTGCTACGATCGCTACCTGTGCCGTATGGAGGAGTTCCGCCAGTCGCTCCGCATCATCCACCAGTGCCTCAACAAGATGCCCCCGGGACCCGTGCGCGTCGAGGACTTCAAGATCTCGCCACCTCCCAGAGCCGCCATGAAGGAGAACATGGAGGCTTTGATCCACCACTTCCTACTATACACCAAGGGCTACGCCGTGCCGCCGGGTGAGACCTACTCCGCCATCGAGGCGCCGAAGGGAGAGATGGGTGTCTACATTGTTTCGGACGGCTCCGAGAGGCCGTACCGATGCAAGATCCGTGCTCCCGGATTCGCGCATCTGGGATGTTTCGACCAGGTCGCCAGGGGTCACTTGTTGGCCGATGCGGTGGCGATTATCGGTACGATGGATTTGGTGTTCGGTGAGGTGGATAGGTAAACTTGTGGCTTTATAGAAGTGCCGGACTTTCGAACGTGGGATATTAGTTATCCTGTTGGCGGAGCGCGGTGGGAGCGGAAAGCATTACTCTGATATATATTTGCAACCACTTGTCATTTTTTGATCATCCGAGTCTCACGTTATGATCTAGAGGTCGTCGGACATGTTGTGTCGCTCGAATCCCATTGTGTTGCCCCTGGACGCCATGTGCCCGCGATTATAGAAGCTGCGCAACCGCGCTTTCTTTCATACAGAGATATTATGCATGATTCCGCTGTTAATAAGTCTCCATCCCATCGGTTTTGTCTCGAACAGCCCTGTCCGCCGCCCGGGCACCTAGATACTAGCCATCACTCATCTATGGGCCAACAAAAACTGTGCCATCTTGATCCCTAGTGCATACAGTTGCGGGCACAGGTCAGAGGGAAGAGGACGAAGCGAAATCAATATACCCAGTAGGCTTTTTACCAAAGAAAAGTGCCGCCCAGCTATCTGGGTATAGTATCACTTGATCTTCTCGGGAGCATGATACCGTTGCAAGGGAAAGCTCTCTGGAGGGAGGAGAAGAGGGAGAAAAGGGAGAAGACGAGCGAGCCAATCGGGGGGGGAGAGATAGGTATGGGACGAGACTGCGAGTGCGAGTGCGCAGATAGGTAGGCAGCACCAATACGGCTTCACTGCGACAGCCAGTAGACGAAAACACACCTGTCCGAAGGCCGCCGACAGGAATGTGCCACTCCCATGTACGAATACACGGCCGAGCCACATCCCCACACTCACGCCGGCAGCAAGAACAATACCTAGGTGGTCTCAACACATTCAATCACACATAACATCCGATCGCATGTGCATCCGGCCTACCTACGTAATGTAACATGGAGACTTCCGATATCTACTTTATCTACAAACGAGATCAGACACTGAGGGGTTACGCATGCTTCGAAGGAACGTAGATATCATACTACTACAGACACTGGCTGGCTGGCGAACACGCATTCAACAGACACATATCGCTTTGCACAGCTCCTGCAAGATGGCTTTAACCTCTCCAATCGCCCCGACATTTTCTCGGATTTTCCACTCAACCTCCGCCACGGCCACGTGATCATCCTCGATCTCGCTCTCCAGGCTCCAGCTGACATCTCCAAGCGTGGCGGGGTCATTCTCCTCCAGCTGTTTGCGCGGGATGCACATTGAGACCGACGGTGTCGGGTAGGAAGAATTGTAGGAGAGTGTATCTTATTGAGAGTAGATGCCGGGTCGGGTGGCTTTGTCGTGTGAAATCAAGTTCCAACCAACGCTTCGTGTCTATGACGGCAAAAAGCGAGTGATTTCCTGTGTATGTCTGCAACCACCAGTCGGCAAAAGCCAACCAGCCAGCCAGCCAGCCAGTAGAGCCGCGATACTTCTACTTCATGCGTGCAGAGATTCGGGACGAAGCTTGGGAGCTGGATAAAGCCCACCAATTGGCGTTCGCGCGGAGTTGGGCCTGTTGATAGGTACCATAGATATCACTCGGCTGCGGGGGACGCGGGGGGTTTCGGGGAAGCAGAATAGAATCGGCAAGGGGAGGTGAGGGGAAGTTCCGGGTTCAAACCGGGTGAAGGTGAAAGAACTTTGTATTCATAAAGCTCTTGGTTTCCAAGCCACCCTTCGGGCTCGGGCCGTGATGGCTTTTTCAGTTTTCAATTTTTGGCATCCGGGAAGGAGCACACGATATCACTCGGTCATCTCACGTGACTTGTGAGCTGGATCCAATCCGCCCGGCTGGAGATTCCTCACTCGCTCGGCCCGATCCGACGTGCATGTCGGGCCCGCCCAATTCGAGGATCGCCAACACACACACGCATCTACATATAGTAGTACACATGCATTAGGTACATACTCTACACACCGCTTATCGTTTTCGCATCGGCGTGACTCGGATGGACGTCTACCTATGTGTGTGTGTACTACATACGACGGTTAATTGCGCCTTAAACCTATCCATCGCCGCGAGGCGAGGCGGAGGAGCACCGTTGCGGGGGGAGGGGGCGGGGAGAGGAGGATCACAGTTGCTGCTGCTGCTGCTGTCTCTCTATCATCGTGACGTCGTGCATGGGCTGGAATAAGGAAAAAGAAAAAAAGGAAAGGGGCAAAAAGGAAAGAGGAAAATCACACACTCTCTCTGTCAGTCTATCTGTCTAGCCCTTCTCTCACCGCCCGGCGCCGCAGGCGCCAGTCAGTCAGCCAGCCAACCAGCCAACCAGCTAGCGGTGAAGCACGAATCACGTAGATATGCGTAGCTCATGCGCAACGGTAACGCAGGTATGTATCAAGAGGACTGTCTAACTACCCCGCAAAACCGGGACCGTTCCCCGGAGGAGGAGGATGAGGAGGAGGAGGAAGAGGCGGAACGAAAATGATGCGTGCGGGAAACATGGTCCGCTTCCGGTCTTGTGATTATGTGGGCTCGCTACATATGTATGTATGTAGAGTACTGTTGTACATACACTTCTACCGTGGATCGGGTGCGGGTGCGTGTGTGCGGGTGCGTGTGTGCGGGTGCGTGTGGGTGCGTGTGTGGGTGCGTGTGTGGGTGGGTATGGCTTCTGGTCTGCGGATGTTGATATTGGGATATTGGTCGATGTGGCGCTCCGTTCCGAGCTCATACCTGCTGTGGGTTGCGGGTGGTAGGTAGCTATCTATGCACATACCTACCATACCTACATACCACGCTGGAGAAGGGAATGGCGAAAGCGAAGTGGAGGAAGGGGCGGCGGCGGCGACGAGGGGGGCGGGCAGAGAGTGGGAGACGCGGTTCGTTTACCCGCCGGTAAGTAAAATATGCTACTTCCAGCACTCTATCCCTACATGTCCTTTTTCATTGGATAGTGTACTTCTCTCTCGCGGGCAGGCGAGAGACGATTAGCTAGTCTCGCAGCGGTGGCTCTCTTTGGTGTGGACGTCGTGATCTACTTAGGTCTATAGACACGTCAATAAAATGATTTCCCCCCCCCCTCCCCTACATGTCCGGCGGTAGTATACTGGTATTCGTTGCACCTCCCTAGCTTGGCCCAATCAGGACTAGCGCAGAAAGGATGGCAATGAGTGATATCAAAAGCATTCGGCGAGTGAGCTCTTCCGCAAAGCAACATGTGTACATTAGTACAAACAGGCTCTCCAACATTATATATCTAGCAGCGTATATTCCCACTTCCCTTCTCCCGAAGCTTTTGTAAACATTTGACAGTGTACCTAGTACCTGGTAGAGTCCGCCGCCGCCCTCGGTGTAGTAGTATTCGCCGGTGGCCTGTCTGCAACATGGCTGCCTTTTTGTAACTCCAGTCCCGGCCCGATAGCCTCTGTATCAGCGCTGTTGCTCATATCTCTGGTATTGGAACCGCAGATGTTTGAAGTACCGTGGGTCAGAGGTGGCGACGGCGACTGTCATATAGCAACCGTCACTGCTACCAGCACAGCTACAACCAAACTAATCGAGATAGTGAGCCGTGTAGTTGTGCAGACGCACTGCCGCCTCCTAATCTGGCCTGGTCGGGCATACTTTGCAGTGCAACGAATATACTCCCCCCCCCGGACATGTAGGGGATAGGTGGGGGCGAAGGGGGGCTGTCAGCATGCCACCATGGTGCGAGTCGAGTGCAGCTGTGTGCTGCTCGCCATCGACGATCAGAAGATTGGGCAAAAAGCCTCTTGGCAGCCGACGTATCCCCTCCCCACCGCCCCCGCGCCCCATGCCTTCCTTCGTCTTCAAGGGCTCCGTGACGGTCTCGGACGGGGCGACGTCTTGGCCCGAAAAGGGCTGGCGACTGGGTTCGACGGGATTTGCCTTCCCTCAGAGCGACTTGTTCCATCCTGATCTGATGTCTGGGGCCGGAGATGACGAACTGAAGTCTGAAGACATGTTTTGTCATGGGGAGCGTGGACTGCCACTAGTGACCGACTACATGCTTGCTCGCTCGCTGTGGGGTAGGTAAATAGAGTAGTAGCACTTGCCTAGGTATGCAACGGTGGAGAGTCGGAGTGCAGTGGCGTGGCGTGCTGGGGTTCAATTTCCATCAATCATGATGATGATCAGCAGAGCACGGAAAGACCTGTTTCCACCGACAGAGACAGAGACAGAGTCCGCTCTCTCTCGGCGGCGGGGGTTGTGTTCCAGTCCCCGTTGCCCGGGTAGGAGCTATATACTATACCGGTAGTGTTATGGGGATCTATCTAACTATAGTAATGCCACTTTCGCCAGCCGGAGAACGGAGAACGGAGCAGACGCCGCAAACCGGAGGACGGAGAGTGGGTAGTAGGTAGATTATGTATCATAGGTATGAACGGTAGGTATGAACGGTACGCAAGCTGCCCGTCTACCTACCTACCTACCTTTCTGCCCCCAACTCGAGCCCGTTTATTGATGGCCTGTAAGCCACGCGCGCGCGCCCTGTGCGAACCGCCCCCCCGAGAACGTGATGAATTCACCGAGTGGCACGTTCGCTGTTTCCGCGGTCCGTCCGAAAGAGGTGGCGTCAGCGTCCTCGGCTGTCAGCGTCCGTCCGTCTGTCCACGGTCCGCATCCGCATCCGCATCCGCAGTCCGCAATTCGGCGCCGCTTATCCAGGGCCCAATCGCTTCTGGCAGGCGCACGCCCAGGAGTAAGTAGTAGCAAGTCACTCTAGAGTAGTATGGCGTGGCATGGCGCCTTTGCGACTTCTGGCGGCGGCGCCCGGGGGGAAGATGGGGGCGCCCAGACCGGATTGGTCGACGCTTTGAGACTCGAGAGACGCCTCTTGGAGGAGAGTCTTGGACGTGGGATATAGTTAAACGCCATCTTGATAATCTCCTTGCCCAGACCTCTAACCACCACCGCCGCCGCCATGTCTTGCCATGCCATGTCTTGCCATGGCTTGCCATGCTATTCCCTCGTGGCTATGTATGAGTACCGTAAGCTCCTCATCCAGGGAGACGATTGTGCTAACTACGGGTTGGAGATGGGGAGATGGGGAGGGGGG